ATTAAAGTTATTAGGTAGATTAGAACGGTAAAAATGGTACAAACTGCGTCAGAACAGCAAATTAAAACCTAATTTGGCTTTCCTTAATACTCAATATGGCTTTGTTTGTTTTTCAACGATTTTTATGGTATAAGCCTACGCAATGTAATAAAATAGGCCTACGCAAAATAATAAAATTCTAAAATAACTTTAAAATAAGAATTTTGTTTATTGATGACAAGTAAAGCCAATAAAATAATGTACTTAGAAGCCACAAAAACAACAATTAAAAGTTTTGAAATACCAAACTTACAATTGAAGGATTTTTTAATATTTGAACTTCATAAAAACCCTGCCAATTTAAACAGTATAACAACTGAATAGTTGTTAATCCATGAGAAGAACTGTTTTAATAAGATTAAAACAAAAAACGTTTTAGTAAACAGTTAACACCACCTTTTCATAAACAGTTAGTGTTAGCAACGTAATAGATTTAGGGATTGATGGTTAGTTGGAACGTAAACAAGTTGATCTCTTTAAGGAAAATTCAGGTTCAGAAAGTCTAAACATTACTTTAGAAATCAATTCTTTAACAAAAACAATACCAAATTTTCAAATTTGGCGGTTTTTATTTGAACTAAACTACAATACAAAGAAGATTCTTATGTTAAAACGTATTCAGATGGGATTACCCACGTTGATGCAACTCTTTCTTGACGTTCTTGTACATATACATCCAAAAGAAAAGAAATGTCACTGTCTTCCAAATGATTTTATAGTTGACCCATCTTCAGTTTGTCTTTTTTTAACCGTATCCTGATTTGCTTTCTTGGTTGTGTAGTAGACTTGAAAAAAGCCGGCCGGTCCCTTTTCAGCGGGCCCTTTTTTAGATTCAACGGTAGATAGACAAATTGCTCTTATTTGGCAACTCCGCATCTATTTGGTTGTGCGTGATTGACAAAAACAACAGGTTTTTTAACGTTATGACAAACAATCTGTCTTCGTCGATTTGTTCTAGCTGAAAAAAAAATAAAATTTTTAACCAAAACTGTTGCTTCAAATTTCGAAAAATTTCATCATGCTCGTGCAAATTCTAAAATTTCACAATGTTAGGTGCATTAATCTTGTAATTAAGTGCAACTGTAATCTTTCACGGTAAACATGCTACAGACGCTGCGGAAAATCTTTTTAGCAGCCATATTAACTTAATGGTTGAAAAAGTGATGTTATACTCAACACACTAAGCCATTTAAGAAACATTTTAATGGAATGCGATTAAGTACCATTTCCGTTGGAAGACAACAATGGCGTATGTTAAAAATAATATTTAATGGCATTATATATACGTTACATTGAATGTGTATAGTATTGACGGATTGTTCTGTCTTTTGTACTCGTAGTGTAGTTAATAATGCGCTTTATAGTATTTTTGGTGCAAATTTTGGAAGACAGTAATCTTTTATAACGTACAGGACTAATATTTATGTTACCTTTGTCTTGTATGTTTAAATCTTGACCATCACAAGACATACGAACCCGACATTCATTTATGACAAATCTGAAAAACACACAGTCATCAACACTTGAACCTTTTTACCAAATAACATCACTTTTGAGTATTTTTGGTAATACGTTATTATATTACCCACATTATCACATTATATGCTGCGAACGCTGTAATTAGGCGGTAATTACGCAGTTTGTACCATTTCTAGCAATTCCCCACTTAAATTTTAAGCCTTAACAAGTCATATGCGCATTAATTACCGGTGACATTTGTAGAAATAGAAACGGTTTACATAATCAATGACGAAGGTTTCAGATTTTACGTAAACTTTTAACTAGCTTTGTTTTACAAAAGGCTCACATGTGGAAATTAATGATAGTTTTTGACTTTCAAAACTTGAAGGAGGTTGAACATAGTTTCCTTAGGCTGAAGCTTGTAAAGCCTAAAATTTAAACAGTAGCACCAAATATTCCTTAGAACATCTATGTAGGATGAACGAGCATAAAAAGTTACCAAGATTTTTTTTTAAACTTGTTTAATAAAAAAACTAAACGCTTTGGTCTTTAACCCTAATATTATCAAAACATTTTTTTGTAGCTTTAAAGTTTTAAAATAAAGTTGTAACAACTAAAAACCAATTTACGCTTCTACAACTTGAATCTACGTATTGTTTTACGATATCTTTGTTATGTAGTCTACAATAAAGTTGTACAATTATCTTGTTGTAGTTTTACGTATTACGTTATTTGTTACATACAAAGGGACGTAGTAGACAACATCGTTTTATATTAATCAGGTAAAATGCGGTTCTTCAAAAAGATAATAGTAAAGCGCCGTTCGACGTACATTAACACGATAATACGCTACGTAATCAACAGTTTTTGCATAGTCTAACAGTTAATTATTGTTAGTGTTTATGAGCTGTTTTACTTGATTATAAGCTTTGTAGGCTAAATTACGCTACAATAAACAAATGTTGTTATTGACTACGGTAACCTTAATTGCAATTGTCAAGTAAATTGGTAAATAACAATAAAACGTATTTTTTTGGTAATACGTAGCAATTTGAAAACGTAGCAAATATTCGTTTTTTGGTCTACAACGTAGATTTCAACACCCTGTGTAACTACTGTAACGGATTAGGTAGACAAACTGTACTGATTTAGTAGCATTGTAACTAGTTCATCGTGCTAGATCGAAATGTAACAATAGTTTAGCAATTTGGAACAAACACTTTTGCAATATCAGCCTCGGCACTGGGAGGAGTCTGGTCGGTACCTTCTTGGTCTATATTTTGCCCACTTGAGATTTTGCAGACACGTATGCTTTTTTTGTATATTGTTAATGACACAGCTGCTTGAAATCCTTGAGAGGGCCTCATTACTATGCCTTGAGCTCAAGATACGGAACTCTTGACTTTTGTACTTCTGGTTGTTTTTAATGCTTGTTTTCTTCCAACTCTCGTACAAAAAGGTATTTTGGAGCAAATATGAAGGGTCAAGCATATATTTATGTTGGTGTTTAAAAAAACAAGCAACTTTAACTGATGGTTTGTACATGTCGTAATTTTTTTTGTTATAACAACAATGTTATTAATTAAAATAACCATTAGAATGGTTGGAAAATTCACGTTTTTTGCAAAGACGAATGAATTTCAAAATTGTCTGATTTTGATACAAAACAACACTGATTTAGAGGACGTTTTGTGGTTATTTAACAAGAGTTTGCAGCTGATTCTCAAGAAATTATAAAAAATATTTTTATTTTGGACGACAATCCAAAAAAAGCATACAATTTCATATACTTCCTCGATCAGCCAGACATGTTTTGCAACGAAAACATTAATAGTCTTTAAGATTGTAGCTAAACTACAGGTAAACGCATGATTCGACGTCAAATCGAGGCCATGTGTTTGTTTACTAATTATAAAATCCAATTTTAACAATTTAATCAGTCGAAGAAAATACAATTTAATACACTTTTGCATACAATACGAGGAAAAAACGGAGAGTCACATGGCGGATATTACGATACTGTTAATTGAATCATCGTTTTCCACTGTTAATATAATTGTATTTGGTGTCATATTAGCCGTGTATGACTGTGTTGTAGAAATGTATGACTGTGTTGTAGAAAATGTGTGGTTGTGTTGGAAAAAGTGTATGACTATGCCATTTGAAGATGTATGACCGAGTTATGAAAAAAATTTATGCTCGTGTTGTGGGTATAGTATACTACATAGTAGGATTGCAAGGAAGGTTTACGCAGTTTGAAAGCAAAAACATTATAACAATGATGCTAAAGTGACTAAGTTGTCGTATGATAAGTTTTATAGTTTATGATTGTACATCTTTTTACAATGATGCTGGGGGTACACTGAAAACAATTTTCGCAATTGGAATCAAATTTACACTAATTGACGATCAAACTCCCTTAAGTGAGTTAGAATCTTAGTTGGAGTACGTATATTACACGTTTTTGCTTATTATTTTTACTAGACTCGTTATAGAGAACAGTAGAAGAATTTTGATTATAAAGTAAACCTCCTGTGTAACGAATAGCCCGGAGATTTAAATTTGATCGTTCTGAAGACGTTTCTAAGCATATCAGTAAGCAGTGAAAAGGAAACAAATGTCAGTTTCTTCATTAGTTGTGACTTATTCGGGATGAGCCCAACGATTTTGACCTTTTAGTTTTACGGCTCTGTTTTGCAGGTTCATAACAACAACTTTTATTCAACGTTTACATTTCCTTGTTGTTAAAATAAGCATAACTATACAAAACTTCCAAAACTCATGCGTCTCATAAGATTTCAATTTCCAAAACTACCGTATTTTAATTTCAAAATTTGCATTTTCAACAAAAAATCATTAGTTGAAAAAAAAGCGCAGAGGAAGCCACGCCTTATTTAGCATTGATAATATTTTCGCTGGTTTTAGCAAAAAATTGTAGGAAAATTCGGGGCCGTGTAGATGCGGCCACGGCACGTTATGATGGGGCGGAGTTTGGTTTGTATGAATGGGAACGAACATATATTACACATGGCAAAGTTGTCCGGTGTCTGCAGTTGGGTCAATTAACGGCTACACGTCTAGCGGCTTCTTGGTGGAGCTAGGGGATTCTTGATGGGGTTAGGGGTTCTTCAATAGGGCTCAGGGATTGTTGATGGAGCTGAAGTTTTTTAGTTTAGGTTAAGTTATATCATAGTTTATATGTTATCTTTAATTTTTTAGTTCGTGGGGTCATTCTGCCTTAGATTTTTTTTTCAATTTACCGCTTAGTAGTACATTTAAGATTTTTGATTTATATGAATTGTGTTTTCCGCGACTTTCTTAATATAGTGATATAAATACTGTATTTTTCAATATTAACATTTGCTTTTTTTCAGAAAGTGTCCATAAACTCAAAACCAAAAGTTTTAAAACTACATTACTATTGAGTGCTCCTATACCCAATACTTGACCCATTTTATCAATACTACAAGCTTCAAACTTATCTGCACCACCACAACAAAATGCAGTTCCCAGTATCACAGGTTACGACCATTTTCTGCCTTACCGTCCTCCTCAGTGCCTTCACGAAATCAGTCGAATCACGAAGCGTACATCGACGACACACCCCAGAACGAATGATCCGTGAGTCCAGTGCCCTAAAAGAGCTGAAAGACTTGGTGAAACAGTGCAACAGCGAGAAAATGTCCAAAGCTCTACGCAACCCTAACATCTTCAGCCAAGAATTCCAACTGTTGCGACGTTGCTTGACTTTGTTGCAAATTCTCCGACCCGAAAACGATGTTGACATCAGCAATGAAATCAGTGTTGAGTCATCAACAATGTCAGAGGCTGATCAACTAGAACAACAAGTACCAACTTCTGAAGATTCCGAAGTAGAGGCAAGATCAGAAAGCCAAGTAGAATCCAAACCAGTATCAACGATATCAGAAACAGCGCCTTCCAACGTTGCAAAAACCCCCCGAGCAACGATGCAGCGAATAAACGACTTAATATTTGTGTGAGAACAACAAAAAGCTAATTGTTGAAAAAATAGGTTGTAACTTGTTAGATTTGCCATATTTTTACGCTGTGTCTGTACATACAAATTATCGTTGTTATTTACCTTGTACATTGTTGTTTTTGATTATATTGTGATAATTTAAAAAAGATAAATAAATATAAAACAAAATATTATATTTGTTGTTGGGAACATTGTCATAAAACTTAAAAAAAAGTTGAAACGTCGACGTTAAATAGCTTAAAATAAAAAAAAATTTTTTTTTTAATTCAAAAATTGTGTATATTACTAGGTGATAAAATTTCCATTTAGTATTTTTTATCAACTGAAATATTAAAGTCGACGTTACCCTTAGCTTTTGTCCTAGCCTTAACCCATAGCTCTAGCTTAGAGTCCTAGCCCAAAATCCTAGCTCTGAGCCCTAGCTTTAGCTTTATCTCTAATAGTTAATCAGCGCACGAAAAAGGACCTGCTGTTTCTTCTTTTCAACATAAAATCAAGAACATCGTTTGTCTGGTCGTGCACTAGAACTTTTATATGAACCGCTTGACTTATTTATAAGTCTATCTACGTCATTTTAACCTGAACCATTATAAAAAACCTTTTGTAAAGACGTAATTTCACTATTTGAAATGATGCATTTAATATTTGCATACTTTATTTGTTAGTTTGATGTTTGGGCAGCCGGTTTTAACTAGTAACAAAGTCATCCTTGTCGTAAATGTTTGTATTAGACAATTTTCTAAACAACATCCTCCACTTTGAAACATCCTATTTTTTTGGCGTTGTTTGTTTTTGTTATTTTAATCGGTTGTTTATTAACGACAAAAGTTACTTATTGGTTTTACTGCAGTAAATTTTGGCTCATCACGTATCTTGTAGGTAACAATTTTTTTGTGTTTTACATTTTTATGCTTGAAACAATTTTTTTTTAATTTTAGGGGAAGTGTTTTTCAATTACAATTAGCTTAATACGTACTAATTACGAGTATATTGTGGTTCAATTTTATGTTTTGTACTAGATCAATACTTTTTCTCTCATTATTACTACTTTTCCCAATGTTAGCGAAAGCAGACGAAGATGCAGGTTGCACTGATGATACACCAGCTGATGATAAACCACAGGATGACAAACCACCAGGTATCTTATAAATTTTTCTTCTTTTTAATGTAGCTGTACTAAGAAAAATAATTCTACGTACAACTTGGCCAAACTATACTGTATTTACTACAGACCTATAAAAAGCTCAAAATCCGTAGCACAAGTATAATTAGCTGTCGTATAATTAGTTGTCTAATTACACTTTGGCCATGATTTATCGCATGCCAAGTTTAATTTGTTTATATTTATTAACTAATCAACTTTGCGCGTCACAGAGGACCCCTGTAAAGACCAGCACGAGAGATGCAAGGACCACCAGCACGTGTGCGAGATCGATGTGAGTTTTTCTTATTTTGGCATTATGAGTTTCACAAAATATCGCTAATTTTAAGCTTTGTAGTAAAAGTGAAATTTTTTTTGTAAATTTCATTTTTTTTAAATTTCAATTTTTTTTTCTAATTTTACGTTTTTATAAAAATGTCTAAAATGGTGGAAGTTTAACTTTTAATTATTGTTTTAAAAATGTAAAAAACATGAAAAAAACTTAAAACCGCCAAAGTGTGTTGTAAACAAGTTTAAAATTAAAAAATAGTAATTACACAGTACCATTAAAACACGTTGGAAAAAAGTATATCATATGCTAAAGATATTGTCAATTAAGATTGTAACAATACATTTGTCACACGTTTTTGAGTAGGCTATTGGGATAAATTGGGAAACGGTAAGACTGTAGTAAAAAGCTTGAGTTATGGTATGGTAGGGCAACAACATAATAGGTCTAGAACGAAGGTGTAAGCAATAAAAAAAATTAACGTTTATATATATGAAGCATAAAGTTTTATTTTCTAGACCTATCACATAATGATGGTCCGAAAATGCGCCACGACTTGCAACTTCTGCCAAGAAGCTCAAGCGATGAAAGCTAATTGTCACGACACTTTCCCGAGATGTGGACCTCGGGCTGATATTTGCTATCATAAGGCAAGTTTTTTTAAAGTAGCTTTTAATTTAAAAAAAAATTAAGACAATGCTATATTTATCTTTGAATTTTTAAAAATGTTTTTTTAGACATACTATCGTATGATGTCGTCTGCCTGCGCTCAAACATGTGGATATTGCTAAAAACCTAAAAGTTGTATATTATTTATATATGAAATAAAAAACGAAGGGTATCAAATACGGTAATTTACAAAGTACATTACGATTTAGGAAGGTATGAGCTAGGTCAATGGTTCTGGGCTAGGGCCCTGAATAGGACTCTAAGGGCTTTGAGCTATGGCTTTGGGCTAGGGGCCTGGGATACAGATTTGGATTAGAGCTTTGAGCTAGAGCTAAGGATAACTTTAAAAACTTTTAACCAAGAAATATCAAACAGAAATTTCATCACCTTATCGCGAAATTGCAAAAACTTTAAACTATATGTAAGGAAGTTTTAAGTTAAAGTATCAACAATCGTATTACACTTTGACCAATTACATCTGGATTACAAACCACAATTACTAATACAAAAATTTCTCGAATTTTTAAAAATCTGATAGAATGGGAAAAGTATAAAATGCTCATCAATCATTGTTAATTTGACAGTTGTTATGTTACATACGTGACTTCGTCGATTCTGATCGGCGGTCTGCGCTACGTGACTTTTCGAACATTACAATGCCGATAAGGTTTTACGGTATATAAAAGAGAGGAGCTGTTGAGAAATAGTGAGCTATAAAAGGTAGAATTAAGGTTGTACTTATAAATTTGGGATTGGTTTGGGGTAGGGGGGGGGAGGTTTGAAATATTATTGGTGCAGGATGGTCAAGAAGTTATAAATGTATAAGGAGTTAGGAAGCCTATAAAAAACAAGCTGTAACGTGATTCTAATGCTATATATGGGCTGGCCTTGATTTATAATTGTTTTAAAAGGTTTTATTATATTGCGTGGCTTTAGGGCATGTTAAAACTTTAACTTATAATACGTAATTAGGCTTAATTTTTAAAGTTTAAAAAATTTTTTATTATCATAGCTTTTGGCTAGGGTCTAGACTAAAGGGCTATGGCCGGGGCAAAGGGGCTAGGTTCAGGGTCAAGGCTAGTGCTAGGGCTATGCTGGGCTAGGGCAAAGCTAGTCTAAAGATAGAGTTAAGAATAAAGCTAAGGTTCTGGTTTAAGGCTCTAGCCTAGTGCACTGGGCTAGGGCGCCGATATAGGGCTCTGGGCTAGGATTCTGGGCTAGGGTTCTGATCTAGTGTTTTGGGCTAGGACTAGGGCTCTGGGCTAGGGCTCTGGCTTAGGGCTTTAGCCTAGCGAACTGGGCTATTGCTTTGGGCTACGGTTCTCGGGCTAAAGCAAAGCTAGGGCTAGGACTAAAGGAATACGTTATAGACTTCTTATCACTGATGAGCGATCAAAATTTACGTAGTTTTACTACTTTTGTTTACGTCTAGTTGTGTTATCAAAAAGTAACGGCAATCTTGAAAATGAAACGTAAAGTGCGTAAAATTTGATAGAAAACTCATCTTATTTCTATTTTTACTTCCTTATCTTGTAAAAGGGCTTTATTTTTTAACCTTTTTTCTAATACAATTTTACTTTTTTCAATTTGAAATTTAAATTTTGTACTCAAATTTCCAAAACTCATTCCAAAACATAAAGTTTCTAAACTTACCGTGTTTTAAGCGTAGGCGCATTCGACTGGTACGATTGTAATAATTGTAACATTTCTCGACTAATTAAACTTTTGTTTATTAAAACGAAATTAATTTTACTGTTGTGGTTATTGTTGTGTCGTGACGTTCTTTCGACGTAATTTTGGAAAAAAAATATTTTTTGTTTTACGGTAGGTAAAGGGTTTTGTCGTACAAGGAAGTTACTTTTTGAGGGTTTTGATTAATTAAAAAAAATTTTTTTATTAATAAAAGTTTTTTGGGGTTTTCATACATTGATTTAACGAATGTCTAATGATGGCCGTATTTTACAATACTGTACTTTAAAGTTTAAAAAATTATATAAAATCACCATTTTTTAAAATTTTAATTATTTTCAGGCCCAAAATGATCACCTGGATATTTGTCATCATTATCTTACTGCTTTTATGGTTTTACTTAAATGGCAACTACAGTACAGTAAACACAAATGATCCTTACGTAGATGGTCACGTTGACAAGGATTTTCAGCGTGTCAAAGAGGTTTTTAGGTATTATTTTAATTTTTTCAAATTTAGTTCTAGTCCAGAGCCCTAGACCAGTGCCCTAGCCCAGAGCCCTAGCGCAGAACCCTAGCGCAGAGCCCTAGGCCCAGAGCCCTAGCCCAGAGCCCTAGCCCAGAGCTCTAGCAAAGAGCCCTAGTCTAGAACCATAGCCTAGAAGCCTAGGCCAGAGCCCTAGCTTACAACTGCAGCCCTGCGCTCTAGCTCAGAGCCATAGCCCAGAGCCCGAACCCAGAGGCATAGCCATAGCCCAGAGCCCTAGCCGAGAGCCCTAACCCCAAAGCCCTAGCACCAGAGCCTTGGCTAGTTTAGAGCTCTAGCCCAGAGCCTTAGCCCAGAGCTCTAGCCCGAGTGCCCTAGCTCAGAGCCCTATCCCAAAGCTCTAGCCGAGAACTTTAATCCTACCCCATAGTCTTAGCTCAGACCCCTAACTTTTGCCCTACTTCCAGCGCTAGACCAAGCTTTTGCCCTAGCCTTACATGTTAGCAATACGTTAGCATTAGCATCTATCTCGCCGGGATTTAAGTTTACGCTTAGCTCTAGCGACTAATTAAACACTGTCACTTCAGATCAAATCTAACTAAACAGTGGGAGCCAAGTGGAGCAGCCTTTGCCGTGTATCATAAGAATAGACTGGTCGTCGACTTATGGGGTGGATATGCAGACAAAGAATGTGAAAGGCTTTGGCAGAAGGACACCCTGAATGTCACTTTTTCATCGACAAAAGCTGTGACAGCGCTTTGTATGGCTAAGTTGGTCGATATGAAAAAAGTACAGTATGACGACTTGGTCACAAAATATTGGCCAGAATTTTGGAAAAATGGCAAGGAAAAGATTACTGTGCAATGGGTTATGAGTCATATGGTAAGTAATGGGCTAGAACTTTCTTTATAAAAGAAAAATGGCAAGAACTTTCTTTACAAAATAAAAAATGTCAAGAACTTTCTTTACAAAACAAAAATTAAAAATTTTAGAATTTTAGGCCGGTCTACCCTACTTTGACAAGCACTTATCCTACGAAGATGCACTGAATAATCCAGAGAAAATATCGGAAATAATTGAAAATGAATATCCAAAATACCCTCCAGGATCTCATGTTGGCTACCATCCAGTAACATATGGATGGATTGTTGATCAAATTGTTGGACGTGTAGATGAAAAACATAGGTCTTTAGGACAGTTTTATAGAGAAGAGGTGCAGAATAAGCTGGAAGGTAAGTTCTTATCATTTTTTGTTTTGTAAAGAAAGTTCTTGCTATTTTTTGTTTTGTAAAGAAAGTTATTGCTAATTTTGTTTTTTAAAGAAAGTTATTGCTTTTTTTGTTTTGTAAAGAAAGTTCTTGCTATTTTTGTTTTGTAAAAAAAGTCCTTGCCATTTTTTGAGTTTTAAACAAAGTTCTTGCCATTTTTTATTTGTAAAGAAAGTTCTTGCTATTTTTCAGATTGTGACTATTACCTTGGACTACCAGCTTCAGAATCTCATCGTGTAGCCAGACTAACATTACCTGATATCTGGCAAAGGATTCAGGAGTTTCTTCACAACCCCAATGCTGTATATTATTGGCGCTACTTTAAGGATTATTTGTACAAAGGACTATTTTACAAAACTGTCATTACTGACTTACCTTGGTTGCAATTTGTTACTGTAAGTAGGGTGAGGGTAGGATAGAGGAGGGTAGGGTAGGGTAGGGTAGGGTAGGGTAGGGTAGGGTAGGGTAGGGTAGGGTAGGGTAGGGTAGGCTAGGGTAGGGTAAGGCAGGGTAGGACAGGGTAGGGTAGGGTAGGGTAGGGTAGGTTAGGTTAGGGTAGGGTAGGGTAGGGTAGGGTAGGGTAGGGTAGGGTAGGGTAGGGTAGGGTAGGGTACTGTAGGGTAGAGGGGGTAAGGTAGAGAAAGGTAACTCTTATGATTTTTTAGGTATTTGTACCATGTTTTTCAAATAATTTTGTGTCCTTTAAAGATCAAGTTTTCTGTGCTAAGAGAAACAGAATTAATTGAACACTGCAATGCATATGTTGTTTCAGAAAATGAGCTTTAACAACCCAGATTTATGGAGACTAGAACAAGGAGCTGTTATGGGTATTGGAACAGCCAGGTCGTTAGCCAAAATTTTTCAAAAAACCGTAATGGAAGACGGTTTTTTGAGTAAAGATACTAAGAAAACATTCTTACAGTAAGTTTTAAACTCAATTTTTTAAAACTTTTGAAAACAAGGTTTTTGGGGGGGGGGTTTTTTCACTACCGGTTAAGGCGGGGAAAGGAGGGGTTTGGAAAAAGGTTTAGTATGATTTTTTGGCATTACAACGCATTGTGTTCTCTTATTTTCAGACCGTATGCATCAGGAGAAGACGTTGTGACTGGGGCCAATGTTTTACGTGGTAACGGCTTGATGTTTTCTAAATTTGAAATAAATAATGTAAGTTTTATATTAGTCACAGCCAGTGGCATGAAAGTGATTTTAGTTTGAATATGATAGGAGATCCTATCCCCTAGCCTTTAGCCTTAGCCTTAGCCTAAGCCTAAGCCTAAGCCTAAGCCTAAGCCTAAGCCTAAGCCTAAGCCTAAGCCTAAGCCTAAGCCTAAGCCTAAGCCTAAGCCTAAGCCTAAGCCTAAGCCTTAGCCTTAGCCTTAGCCTTAGCTTTAGTTTTAGCCTTAGCCTAAATTTATAAAGATTATGTTTTCAGGTACCCCAACAGTACATAGGACATGCTGGCGTTGGTGGCCAGAACATAAAATTTGATCTGAAACATGACTTGTGCTTTGCTTATGTTTCCAACGGCTTTAAGGGAGGCTTCGGCGATTCGGCGCGGACCTTCGTCGCTCTTCGTGATGCTTTATATCAATGTGTGTTGAATATCGAAAATAAAGTAAACTAACTTATTATTTTGGTACTGTATTTTGGTTGCGGTAGTCGAAACTTATTGCCAAGGTTTGGGCAGGTAGGACAGGGTAGGGTACGGCAGGGTACGGTAAAGTAGGGTAAGGTAGGGTAGGGTAAGGTAGGGTAGGGTAGGGTAGGGTAGGGTAGGGTAGGGTAGGGTAGGGTAGGGTAGGGTAGGGTAGGGTAGGGTAGGGTAGGGTAGGGTAGGGTAAGGTAGAGTAGGGAAGGGTAGGGTAGGGTAGGGTAGGGTAGTATAGGGTAAGGTAGGGTAGGGTAGGGTAAGGTAGGGTAGGGTAGGGTAGGGCTACATACAAAAATTTTAAATTTAAAAATTTTAACTTTTTATTGATTAGGAATCTCTAGAGATTGTATAGCAAATATTATACGAGCCTTTCTTTGTCTAGATTTCAAACTACGATGATATTTGCATATGAATATCTCGGCGATCAGAGCTAAACCGCTAATGGATAATAAGATGCCACATATCATAAGTACTCCAATGTATGGTGCTAGTTCTGAAAAATATTTTTGAAAATAAATGTAAAGTTTTAAATAAAAATAAGATAAAGTAAGGGTAAAGCTAAAAAATCAATAATATGTAAACGAAATGAAAATTTTCTTCCCAGAAACAGTAGGGTAGGGTAGGAGTCAGGGTTAGGTAAATTAGGGTAAATACGGTATAGTAAGACTCAGTAGGGTAGGATAGAAACTTTGGCATTTTTTCAAAAACTAATAAGTTTTTTATGTAAAGAAAGTTATTGCAGTTTTCGAATTTTTTAAAAATTTTCTATATTTTAAATGAAATTGGGATAATGAATTCAAAAGGTTATAAAAATTTTGAAAAATCATATTTCTACCCCTGCTCTCAAACACCCCCCCCCCAAACCTCCCCCTGCCCTTAAGAATACCCCTGAAACTACCCTTGCCCTCAAAAACACTTATTCCTCCCTAAGCTTAACCGCTGCCTTCAAAAACACCCCAAGCCTATCAGTACCCTCAAAAACACCCCCAAACCTACTCATAGCATCGCCAAGTTTAAAGTCGTCACATATGATATTCTCCATTTCTGGGTTAATATAACGTTTTTTAATGTTGTATATCTCTTGCAAATTCTCCTCTATGACTTTTGAAAAGTCCTCAAGTCCACTGAAATTTTTTCGAAACATAAAATGCGCTGTCAGCAAATCGAATTCAATTTCAACTTGAGTGAAACGGCAGTTACTGATTATGTAATTCGAAATGTCTTCGTCTTCTTGAAAGTAAATCACTCCGCCTTTGTGTTTGACGTAGTCTAAAGCTTCTGAAAATTTTTATTTTATGTAGAGTAAAATACGATACGCAAAGTGTAAAAGCAATACAGTACGATCGCCAGGGCCGGGTGAGAATTTTCGGTCTGGGAGCGGGGGTGGAAAAAATTCACAAGGGGGACCAAGTTCAACTTTTTTTCAAAAAAAACTTATTGGGGGAAAGGTACCCAATCCTGACTGTCGCGAAATCAAAAAAAGTCAAAGCCAAAGTATTTACAGATATAAGTAAGATACATTAAAGTACGGTAGAAAAATTGTTTGAAATGACACGGTACAGTGAAAACAAGTTACGATCAAAACAAAGTGCAGTAAGAAGAAACGTTTGGTGGTAAGAATAGAACAAAGGCTAGACTAGACTAAACTAGACCAGGATATAATTGATTATTCTCGACTAGACTAGACTAAATAGGATAAAATGGCATACACTAAGGTAATGCTAGGACTAATGTCCTGGGCCAGGGCTCTGGGCTGGGGCTCTGGGCTAGGGCCCTGGGCTAGGGCTCTGGGCTGGGGCTCTGGGCTAGGGCTCTGAGCTAGGACTCTAGGCTAGGACTCTGGGCTAGGACTCTGGGCTAGGACTCTGGGCTAGGGCTCTGGGCTTCTGGGCTAGGGCTCTGGACAAGAGCTCTGAGCTAGCTTACCTTCTCTATCAAAGAACACCTTGACCTGCTTCCCCCTCAACACTCTTTTAAACTCATCGAACGGATATTCCTCTCCTCTATCAACTTTTTCTTGAAAAAACTTGTCTTCAGTCATGGTAATCAGTTCTCTTCTGTTGTGATAAAGCTCGTCTAATATATAATCCAACTTTTTCACATTTTGGTCGTATTTTGGCCGTATCATTGATGACAACAGGTATGAGCCGAAAATTCCAAAAACAAAGGAACATTGTAGTAAGGAGAAGATGAAGAGGCCGAAGTTGCCTGCCCTGTAAGAGAAATGCAGGTGGTCGGCTTGAAAAAATTGTAAGCGAATGACTTTCCAGGCGGTCTAAAATTTAAAATTTTATGAAAAAATGTAGGGTAGGGTAAGGTAGGGTAGGGTAGGGTAAAGTAGGTTTTTCCGAAGTAATCTAGGCTTTATTGCCTCCTTACCATATTAAGACCATCCTTGTTATAAATCCCGTTCTTTTGTTCAACGTATCTTATAAACATGCTGAATATACATTGCAAAAACAAAATCGAAGCCAACATCTGCCAAATCAAAGAATCGTAAATTTCAAACAAACTCCAGTAATTTGCGTCCAAACTGTCTGACCTGGCTGCGTAGAGCCGGGCTCTGATCTACAATTTTTAAAACATTTTTACTGTAGTTAAGCATACCTTACCCTATCCTACCCTACCCTACCCTACCCTACCCTACCCTACCCTACCATACCATATCCTTAAAAAAACTTACCTTATAAACATGATGAGAAAATCCAACAACTTCTTCACGATCAGGTGTCATTTGAAATGGCACAGCTAAAGTATCAAACGTATGGTTGTTTAACAGTTTTAAAATGGGATATTCTTCTTGGCCGACAGCCTGAAAAATATGAAAAAATTAAAAAAACTTTTTTTTTTGTTTTTAGCTTTCACTACTAGGTCTTAAAAAAAATGAAAAAAAAATAAAACCGTATTAAATTTACTTTATTCCACGTATCTTGATTTACATCACCATGAGCAACAACGTAAGGTATGATTTCGTAGTTACCTTTTTTAGCTATAACTCCGACAACCTGAAAAGGCTCAAGCAAGGGCAAAGGCAGGGCAAAGGCAGGGCAAAGGCAGGGCAAAGGCAGGGCAAAGGCAGGGCAAAGGCAGGGCAAAGGCAGGGCAAAGGCAGGGCAAAGGCAGGGCAAAGGCAGGGCAAAGGCAGGGCAAAGGCAGGGCAAAGGCAGGGCAAAGGCAGGGCAAAGGCAGGGCAAAGGCAGGGCAAAGGCAGGGCAAAGGCAGGGCAAAGGCAGGGCAAAGGCAGGGCAAAGGCAGGGCAAAGGCAGGGGAAAGGCAGGACAAAGGCCAGGCAAAGATAGGGCAATGGCGAGGAAAAGGCGGTTTGAGAGTTTTACCGGACAATAAGTAACATACCTCAGCCCACAATCCAGGATAAGAACAGGTATTAGCTGGATACAAAACTGGCAGCCGATTGCAAAGGTTGTTGTTGTACGGCCAGTAGTTAGTAAAAAATACTGTTAATGGTCGAAGAGGATACATTTTACTAACCTTACACAAAAAAGCTACTAATTTTTGTTTTGTACAAAATCAATAAATGGTCATATTTTGTAGACCTTCAAATGTCTTCAGAGCACCAAAAACCTGACTTGTTGTGAAGGTCATTTGCACAAGGTATCAGATGTCATGAACAACATGTTTTTGATGAAATGTTTTTAAATATCATAACATACGAAGGTTCTTGGAAGTATGTTTTAACGGTCATAATATTAAATTTCTTACCTTGTTTTAAATGAAGTATATAAAATTTTTTTTTTAAATTTGGCTTTTAAATTTTTACTTTTCATTGACATCATATACATTACATAGCATTAAAACCACGCATACACAATATAATATAATAATAATTTAAAACTACGTTTAAATTCTTTGGTTTTTATATTTCCTGATGAGAATTTCAGCTGCAAGAGCCAGTAAACTTAGGGACAATAGTATTCCACATACAAATAACACTCCGACATAAGGGGTGATTTCTGAAAGTACAGCATGATTTTTTACTATAGTATCTTTGAAACATAATACAGTGGAATAAAGTCTATGACACTCAAAACTTTCGTTAAGAGACGTAAACTAGGCCTTTGAGATCTTGTTTAAGGCCTATGAAGTTTTGGTTTGGATCCCGGCTCTCGGACTCACATGTGCCGACCCGGCGGCGCTCAAGGTTGACTCGGTCCGGAGCTCAAGGTGAAGTCAAGTTAAAGCCTAGTTGAGTCCAAGTGGCCAAGATGAAACCGAGTTGAAGCTAGACTGAGACAAGGCCAAGCCTAGTAGATTTTTCATACCAAAACTTCTTCTTTTCCCCTCCCTTTCAACCCCATTTTTAAAGCCTCCCCCCCCCCTCCCGCTTTCCTTACTCATAGCATCACCAATTTTAAAATCATTACAAATTGTTCCTTCCATTTGTGGATTGATATATCGTCTTTTGATGTTGTGTATCTCCTGTAGGTGTTTTTTGATAACTTTAGAAAAGTCTTCAAGCCCACTAGCATTCTTTCTCCATATAAAATGAGCCGACAAGCTTTCAAACTCATACTCGATTTCAGTAAATAGACAATTTCGTGATACTGGAGAAGCTATATCATCGTCATCATGAAAGTAAATTACCGCGCCGTTACGATGAATTTGGTTTAGAGCTTCTGAAGGTAACCGAAATGTTATTTTTAGCGCTTTTACTTTGCCCTACACCACCCCACACTACTTTTCCTTACACCAGCATACACTACTTTGCCCTACCCAAAATTGCTTTTACCTTCCGGATTATAGTAAACCCTGACATCCTTTCCATTTAAAGCCCACTTAAGCCGATCATATGGGTATTCAACTCCTTTTTTTATCTGTTCTTCAAGGATCATACTATGTCCTTTACTGATAAGCTGCCGTCGATTGTCGTGAATGTCATCGAACATTCGATCTATGTGCTTCATGTTATGATCATACTTAGGCTTTATCATCGATGACAACAAATATGAACCAAAAATACCAAAAACAAATGAGCATTGCAGTAGCGAGAATAAACACATACCACAGTTGCCGGCACAGTAATAAAAGTTTAACTTGTCGGCTTGAAAAAATTGAAGGCGAATCACCTTCCAGGCAGTCTGAATTAAACTTTTTTTGTTATTCTGTTCTACTTTACTCTATCCTATCTTCCCCCACCGTGCTTTGGCCCACACAATCTTACCCTACCGCAGAGTACCGTGACCTACCCTACAATACTCTATATTATATTGCCAAATAGTACCCTACTCGACCTTACATTACTAAAACGACTGACCGTTTTTAGTCCATCTTGGTTGTGAACACCGTTTTTTCGTTCCATATATCTTACAAACATAGCAAAGACACATTGAAGAAACAACATAGAACCCAATACCTCCCAAATTAAAGAATTGTATATTAAGATCAAGCTCCAATAGTTCTTGTCAAAGCTGTCTGATCGTGCAACATATAGCCTTGAGTTTATCTGAAAACAAGACCACAACTACTAAGCTCATTTCTTGCTCAATGAACTTTAAAATCAATATATTAAACCGATTTTTTTGTTAGGAAAAGTGTAAAATATGTATAGGTAGTAAGGTGAACATACAGAGTAGAACGGATAAGAAAAGTCGAGTAATTCGCGTCGTTCAGCTGTAGATTGAAACGGCACTGCCATCGAATCAAAAGTCTTGTTGTTTACTAAGTCTACATATGGATAATTCTGTTCTACGACAGCCTATAAATTTTAAAAATTTATAATATTTATTTTGATCATAGAACGTGACAATTTACCCTGTTCAAATGATCTGGATTATAATCTTCTTTTGTCACAACATAAGGCACTATTTCGTAGCGTCCCTTTTTTGCTACTAAACCAATTATCTAAAATACAACGTTTTAAAAGGCTATAAAACAAACAATTTTGAAATTTAAATTTTTTAAATACCTCATTCATAAGCCCAGGAAACGCACATGTTGCACTTGGGTGCAAGACCGGAAACCGATTACAGTTGTAATTACTGTACGGCATGTAATCGGTGAAAAACATTTTTATAGGTCGTAGAGGATACATAAAAAAACAATTCGTTGTTCTTTTGATGTTTTAGGTTAAGTAAGGGTGCTATTATATTTGATGAGCAATATCTTATGTTACACTATTGAGCAAAACGCTCTTAAATGCGTATCAAATGGCATGAAATGCGAATGAGTTAATAAGATTTCTGTAGTCTTATTTGAACATCTTTTAGTTTTAGTAATAAAAAACTTGTGGTTGATTTTGAGTCAGTGCGCTGGAGACCTGCGTCAATAAAATTTTCAGTCGAGGTAAAGGGGAATTGACTAGAGCGGTACATTTATCAAAGAGTAACGTATATGTCCTTAAACAAGTAAGGACACCTTACGTAGAGTAAAAGCACAAAAGCTTACTCGATTTTGATGTTATTCTTTTATTGACTGTAAAAATAGATAGTATTATATGTAAAAGGAAAAGAAAATCCATGGCTGTTTTAATCTGTCATAACTTTCAGCAAGCGTCATCATCTTGTCAGTCCACCTTTGTCGCAATTAAACAAGTTTTAGAATATTTGGGTATAGAGACCCCCACCGACTTCGCGTCACCGGCATCCGTAAATATAAATCAAATATAACACCAAAAACGTGACCGACCGGTTGATTGAAAATGAAGCGCTGAAATAAAATTTTAGAGTACAAAAAATTAAACACAAATATTATTTTTTTGCTCCATCTTCTTCCACCTACTACATCCTAATATGGCGTTTGTATCAAATTTCCAGCGTTTGTAAAGAAAAAACAGGTGACACAAAAAACCAATGACTAAAAGATTTGCTAATATGTCTTTTAGCTTCGTTTTATTTTGGTTATGAAATAAATCAGGGTGCAACACGTACTACTATAAAATACTATGAACGAAACTCGACCAGAATTTAAGGTATTGTTCACTAATTATTTTCCTTTTTCTAATAACAATTGCTCAAAGTTTCCACAATTGTACCGGGTCCGCGGGTGTTTACAGCCTGGGTTTATGAATGAGGTAAGCTATACTGCTTTAGGATTTTAGCTTTTTATACTTATAAACGTTTTTCTTGATGTTTTGCGAATTTTAAAGCGTTAGTATTTGTTCTAACACTACTCCCCTCTTTAGAAAAAACCGAAACACTTTTTTACCCTAACCTACATATCTCAAAAAGTAGTTTAGACTCAAAATTTAGATAATAGGCCAGTTGATCAAAGAATTGAACTGGAAGTTAGTGCCGGTAATTATAAAAACGGGAGAAGGCAACCGCAACACATTGTCTGAAGTTGGTAAGACGCTTTATAATCATATAACTAAAGTTTAGTCGTTTGGTGGTACTTACATTGCAAACGATCTTGTACTAAACGGAACTGTTGATATGGCAGCTATACCAATGGAATACACGGACAAACGTAATGAGACTTTTTTGTTGAGTCGGGAAATGTATGTGGTAGGTTTTGCCATACCATTGCTTTGCTTTGCCGTGACTTGAATTGCCTTTGCGTGGCTTTTGCCCCGTCTTTGCTTTGCTTTTACATTGCCTTGCCTTGCCGCCTTGCCTAGCCTTGCCTTGCCTTGCCTTGCCTTGCCTTGCCTTGCCTTGCCTTGCCTTTCCTTGCCTTGCCTTCGCCCTGCTTTTACATTGCTTCACCTTGTCTTGCTCTACCTTATACTTACAACCACCGGCTACAGCCACTACCATCCCTTTCGTAAGCCTGCAGTACCTAACATTTGTAATATAATAATACTGTAATCGACAATATTTCCAGATCAAATCAAACTTATTAATTCAAAAGCAAAAGCAAGCCATATCAAATTGGTGGAACATGTTCAGTATCTATGATAAATGGTCGTGGCAGCTTATTTTATGCACATTATGCTTACAATGTTTGTTATGTTGTGTCATTCAGAAATGTGAAAACATTATGCTTGGTAGTACGTATGATCCTACGAAGGTATGAGGCATCATAACTTTTACTTTACAGTAAAGTGGTCTTCTAAAAAACATATTATCAATTTCAGCGTATCTGGCATACAATTCGCCTTCAACTCTTCCAGTCTCAACATACTGAATTCAACTTTTTCGCCGGCAACTTTAGCCTTTTAATCTTCTCCTTGCTACAATGTACTGTACTGTTCGGCATTTTCACTTCTTATATGTTATCAACCATGATTAAACAACCATCTGATGAGTATTCAAAGTCACTCGACAATATTATAAACGGGTTACTGTCGAAGAAACGACGGCTTATTACTACGATGGTACAAGGATGGTTCAATGATTTGTTTAATAATAGTAATGCAGCTCCTATTAAGACACTGAGAGAGGCTAGCGAAGAGAATTTGGTTATTATTAGGGATGTTCATGGTGAGTATTGTAGATTTTTTGTATTGTATTACTATGGTATAACCTTACCCTACCCTATTTTACCCTACCCTGCCATACGCTACCCCAACTTTAATTTCAAATTCAGAAGCCCTAAACCTAGTAAGAAACCAAAACGACGTACTATTTTCCCAAGAAGATGTCTACATTAATTACCTAGCTTCAACGTTCTGTGATATTACTCAATCATCAGTAGACCTGCCTGTACTGACAAGCCACTTGTCATTTAGCAAAAACTTTTCAAAAATCGACGAAATAAACCGTGCTATTACTTTATGTCAACCTCAAATCCACGAAATTATAAGTCGATATTTTGGAGTCAGTCTATACGATGAGATATGTCCTATGTTTAAGTTGGGCGACCCTATGAGTAAGTTGGTACCTAATTTTTTTTTAAATGTCAGAAAGAAAAATTTAAAAAATAAAAAAAAATTTCGAATTTACATAAATTTCAGATTTTTTTTATTTATTTTTTTTTTATTTCCGGGCTAGAATAACATTGCCTATTAATATAAAAATTTATTTTTATTTTAAAAAATTTTACGAAAATTAAATTTTTATATTTTTATCAAATTTATTTTTTTTAAATAAAAAAAAATGTCAATTCTTTAATATTGAAAAAAATTATTTCCAATAATTTCCAGGCACATAAACTAAAAATTAAAAAAAAATTAATTTTTAAAAATAAAAAAATTTTTTAAAATATTTTTTTTTATTTTAGGACTAGAATCCTACCATGGCCTACTGATAGTATGCTCTTCATTGCTACTTCTAAGCATTTTTATATTGATTTTAGAAAAGTTGTATGTTCTTTATTACAAAAATTTTCATTTTTATTAAATTTTTAATATCTTTTATCTATTTAAAAAATTTTTTGAATTTTTTGTTTATTTTTTCGAAATTATTGGAAAAATTTTCTTTTATTACAAAAAAAAATTTTTATTTTTTTTTGAAATTTTTACAAAATTTTACTCATTTTTGTCCTTTTTCACCTTACTATAACTAAGGTAAAACTGTGCTCGTTTGAACAAGATATACAGTGTTAGACTAACTGAGCCAATGATAAAAGCAATCACATCCAGGTTATGATACTGGATAAAGTTCAATCTTCTACCATGAAGATCGAGGTGCTCATGAATGTCGAATTGAGCACCAAATTCACAATGTTTCACAAATCTTTCATCCGCTGACATTGGCTTGCTCAACATTAGGTGAGAGAGCTCGTTTGAGGCTGTTTGGAGACTGAAATGATAATTTTTGTACTGTAGTAAAGATTCTACTGCCATAGTTTATCTCATCCTACCTTATAGTAACCTACCTTACCTTACCCTACCCTACCCTACCCTATTCTACCCTACCCAACCCTACCCTACCCTACCCTACCCTATTCTACCCTACCCTATTCTACCCTACCCTACCCTATTCTACCCTACCCTATTCTACCCTATTCTACCCTACCCTACCCTATTCTACCCTACCCTACCCTACCCTACCCTACCCTATACCGCTCACCATATCCTTAGCGTATCCTACACTACACTACCCTATCCTATTTTATCCTATCCTATCCTACCTACCCTCTCTTACCCTTCCCTACTCTACCATCGGCTACCGTATCCCGACCCTATATCATATATATCTATGCTACTCCCTCAACCGTATTCAACCTACCATCGTTAATACAACTTCAGCATAAACTTTTCGTCCTTTAACCTAAAATATCCTTTGCCTATACCCAGATCCATACTCTTGCTTTCTACCATAAACCTGCTACACCCTACCCCACACATAAACCCAAAATTACCCTATCCTTTACAAATGCTTCTCCATTACTAGCAGATCTATTGTTGATGCCTTACCCAAACACGTACCTAAGCCTTACTCAAACACGTACCTAAACTTTAACAACATAGGTAAAAAGACCTACTTTTCACTATAGATAACATTCCTCAAGACCTCAACAATCTTCTTTTTATTGTTCAAATAGTGTTTCTTCAAAATCTCAGCGACGCCTCTTTCTTTAACAGCTTCTGCATTCCTAGGCTGGTCTCCAAACAAGGGTACGACAACTAATGGCACTCCAGCGTACGTGGCTTCAGTAACACTGTTTTGACCACCGTGAGTCATAAAGGTTAGGGTCTTGTTTTGGGCTGGAAGTGACATTTTTAAACTTTCAAGTTTTTTTTAATATGTATGATTAAAAATGGCATAAACCTTCATTGAGAAGTTGAAAATTGCAAGCACTCTCTTTACAAACTGAAAAATAACAAGAACTTTCTTTACAAACCTTAAAAAACGCCATTAATCTTCAGTTTGTTACCTAAGAACCAAAAAAAAATCAAAATCGTACCTAATATAGCAGGCTGAGGCAGCCATCCAGACATAAATACATTAGTTGGCACTTGTACTGTCACATTATCGCTCTCATACTTTACTATGAAATTGACATTTGGAAAGTCGCCAAAAGCATCGAATAAAGTTTGTAGAGATTTTTGGGGAATATCGACTGTTCTGGCCAGTGAACCCCATGAGACTAGCACTACACCATCTTTTGCGGCGCCGTAGACCTTTTGGTACTTCTGAAGAGGTTAGAGTCATACCTTTTTTAAGCTACCCTTCTTACCCTACTCCACCCTACCCTACCTTATCCTACTCTAACCTATCCTGCCCTGCCCCACTCTATCCTACCCTACATTACCCTTTTACCCCTATCCTTCTACCCCTACGTCTGTCCAGTCCTCCCACTGTATTCCTCATCCCCCTATACTGCCCTTCATACATGCCTACCCTTATCATTCCATCTACCATACCCTAAAACAGTACCACGACAGATGTCGCAACAGTACTATAATTAAAAATTAAAACCTTACCTCGGGCAATGTTTGAGGTTTAGAAAGCATCTTTTTCATCCCAATACCTCCAATGTTGACAATTTTATGGCTGATTGGCTTTGGAAAGTCAACGTACTCATCAGTATTAATAAATATAAACCCACTTTCAGCCATTAAGTCCTAAAAATAGTACTGTAAAAGCATAGTACTTTTTTGCTACTATATAGCACTGTGATATAAAGTACGGAAACAATAGTACTATGCAGTACTGAACTTTTAGTACTATGTAAAAGCAAAAAAAAAGTATTAGTACTACATAGCACAAAAACACATTACTATTTTTAATAATTAGTACCAAATAGTACGAGAAACGGTACAATAAGATACTAAAATCCGAATACAACATTATATTCTCTAAAAAACATAGTGCTAAATAGTACTAAAAGGACAACTTACGTAAACAGTTTTGCCCATCGAAGCAAAAACGTCATTGAAGCCTCCAATATGGCTGTGAATCAGGTAGGGTTCAACAACAAGATTACAAATAAAGTTCCACAAACGTTGAAAAAACGTCATTTTAGATGGAGTTGACCAGGTAATTTCTAAAACAACATTGATTTACGCTCTTCTAATCCAAAAAACATATATACAGTACTAATAGTTTCATAGTGAAAAGCCATACAGTACTATTTGTACCAAAAAACAACAATAGTTGGTCCAACCTTAAATCCCTCCTTTACTCCTCTCTAAAATACCCATACCCAAGTTCAATCCCAAAATCATTAGCAAAAAACTCCTCGTACTATATAGTACCAAACATTCTCACAATTACTACCTAAACCAAGCTTCCAAACCGAAATATGAAATGAACTCTTACCAGGAACAAAGCTGGTAGGAGTAGGAATACCAACATGCCTAGCATGAATAAGATGAATCTGAGTCGAGTATACAATTGAGTACCGTTTTATGCCAATCTTGTGAAATATTCCCAATCCGCACGGGTCAAAGTACTCGATCAAAGCAAAATCAAACTTTTCAGCTTCCAATTTCTTCATTAAAACCTCATCGTTCAGTTGGGTTTCACAGGATTTTGTTGCTATGTCACTTAGTGTCTTCATCCACTAAAAAGATAATATTCGATAAAGAAGGGGTAACAAAAGTAAAAAAAAATAGTAAGGTAAAGCCAAAAAAGATAAAGTAGGATAAAGGAAAATAAGGCAAAAGAAAGTAGAGTAGAGTAAGATAGGTCTCCTAAGAACAAATCAAAGTGTATGACAAGAAAAGCCAGGGCAAGATAAAGAAGAACAAGATAGCCAAGAGCACGGTAAGATCAAAATGGCACAAAGGCGTCAAGGAATGGTAAGGTACGTTAGATGCTAGACAGAGCAAGGCAAGAAAGAGAAGGGTAGAAAAAAGTAGAGTGGGCTAGAGTAAGGTAGAGCAAGCTAAATTAGGGTATATGCTAGGGTAGCTAATATGAGAGCAGGGTAAAGTAAGGAAAAGCAGAAAAAGGTAAGATAGAATAGGGCAAGGTACGATAAGATTTGGCAAGTTAAGGCAGAAAGTTTAGGGTAAATAGGGTGGGCTAGGGCAGGGCAAAGTTAGAGTCGGGTAGTTTAGTGTAACATAGGGTAGGCTAGAGTAGAGAGAAGTAGGGTATGGCAGGGTAAGGCAGAGTAACGTAGGTTAAGGTAAGGGTAGGGTAAGGTAGAGTAGGGTAAAGTAGAGTAGGCTAATACAAGCAAACTTTCTAAAAAATACATCCAATAAATTAACTTACAGCCCCAATTTCGGTAATTTCAAAGTCTTTTTGCCAGATATTCGAACTCTCAGCAATAGTCGGAACGTCCATGGTGACATTATAGAACTCTGTCCTCGATTTGCGTTTGAAGTGGAACGAAACGTCATTGACAAATGGCATGTATGTTACCTAAAATCAGTATTAGAATCATAAACCATTTAAAAATTTATTCCTACCTTACCCCTTATTACAAAACCAGCCCTTATCTTTACTCATTTCCCCTATCCCAATCCTTAAAAATAAATTTTGTTTACCAGGTAAATTATGAAATATAACAGACTACTTACCACCTCATGACCAGCATCCACCAACAAATCGCCTAACTTGTCAACCAGTATAACATGAGATTTGCTTGCTCCAGGGTTGTCTGGGTTGTATAACAAAAACTTAAGACTTTCAACACTAGACAATAACAATAAAAGTACAACAGCCCTATACATTTTTACACCAGTTAACAGAAAATAGTACCAGTAATAAAATGCGTTTGTTTCGTACTATCAAGACTTAATGATAAATATAGTACTCGTACTGCAAAATATGATATTTGCACTGTAATGTGCTACTAAAAAGAAGACTCAGTACTAAAGATTCTTCGCACTGTAACGTAGTACTACTAGAAAAATTTTTAATAGAGTATTACTAATAGTACTTTTTCTAATCAAGTATGGTACACAAAATACAGTACTCGGACTATAGGCTATAAGACCACAATAATAAAGGTACAAATAGAAAAACGTAATACAATATCTATAACACAGTACTACTTAGTACAATACGTTTTTAAGCTATAGTACTACGAGAATCAACTCAAGCTTAATGACCGTTCAATAGACAAAACTATGTAAAATATAAACTGATATAACCACAAACTGGATTTTTCTTATCACTCTTTTGACAACAAAAGTAAGAAAATACCTATCTTGCTATCCTTATGACCAGTAGCTTACTTATAGTCTCGCACTAATTCAATGACAACCCTATTTATAGGTCTTACAAGCTCTGTGATAAACCTATTTGTAGGCCTTACAACCCAATGACAGGCCTTATATATAGGTCTTATAGCACTGTAACAAACCTGTGTATAAAGCCTTGCGAGCTCTGTAACAGACCTATTTATAGCCTTTACAACCCCAATGACAACCCTATCAACAACCTTTGCCACCCTTATAAACCTAACTCAGTATAGAGTCCGTACCACCTTTATGCCAAGCTAAATTGATACCGTACACTAGACACAAACATACAGTCCGTACCACCTTTATGCCAAACTAAATTGATACCTTACACTAGACACAAACAATCTCTTCGATACTAACCCAAAGTATAACAAATAGACTGATTTGGTGTTTTAATCTTATCATCGCCACTAAATCAGAAGGCTCGACAAAAAACAAATTATGCTTTTCTTTGATAAGACCTTTTATGGGCTTCCTCTTTTGTCACCGCAACTTTATGCGAAATTTATGAACCGGAATTGTTTCGATTTGGTAGATTTGGCAAAGTTGGCATTGTGTTGCAAGCACTTTTTTTGATGTTCCAGACAAGATAAGCTTACAAATTTAAAATTGCAAGTTCATTTGAAGCTTTTTTATCATTATATTAAAAAAATAGTTAAAAGTCAAAAAACGACAAAGTTAAAAGCTCGAAACACTATGCCAATTTGGCGGGAAATTCAAAACGCAATTTTTTAATCACGATTTTCTCAAGACTGAATGCAAACCGCAACTTAGGATTCTGCATAAGATCTTACATTTAAATGATCTTTCAATACAAAAAATTTAAACCAAATCTGAGCGTTGCAGGTCGGGTACCTTCCTTGTAAGTCAATAAAATTTTACAGAATAGGCGAGGGGAGCTGCGACTAGACCTGTAAAGAGGTCAGGCCTAATTTTCAGCACTGCTCTTGGACCGACATTTGGCAACTTTTTCAAAAGACACAGCGACGAATAGAGGTAGAAAAAGGGTATGAGTAGAAGTAGGAGTTAAAGTAGAAGTAAAAGTAGGTGTAAAAGTACATGTAGCGGAAGGCGTATTGGTAGAAGAAGGGGGGGGGGGAAGGTAATGGTAAAGGAAGTGGTAAAAGGTAGAAGTAAGGGTACAGGTAGCAGAAGGGGTAGGGTAGGGATAGAGATAGGAGCGGCCATGGGTAACAAGCCGGGCCCATTTTTTAAGCCCCCGCTCAATCTAAGTTTTGCTCAGGCCCGGCCCGAATTTGTTTTACATGCAAACGGGCCGGGCTTTTTCAGAATTTCCGGGCCTGGCCAGACCTAACTTTTCTCCAGCCCACCCAGTTCCCGTGTCTAGGTAGAGGTAGAGTATAAAAGTAAGATAAAACATCCAAAAATTCTATTTTAAGTTAAAATTATTTATATTCCTCCTTGTGAGTGACTCAATATTAAACGTATAACAATTGTATTAACACTATATATATCAAAAACAGAATAAAAATCTGACATGTTACCCAAAACTGTAAGTTATAAAAACGAAAAAAAACTTGTTTTAAAAAGATAAAAAAACTAAAACCTACTAAGACTAGGCCTACTAAGCCTAACCCTAATAAGTCGGTTTAAAAAAGTTAGGTATTCTATGATACGGCAATGAGTTATACCCAAAAATCGTTAGACAAAACGTAAGTTAAGTTACTCAAAAGTTCAAAAAATTAAAATTAAAAAAAATATTAATCATAGTAAAGACTCTACCTCAAATTAGTCCTTTTTGTAAATAAACTTTGAAATATTACTCAAGAGTTTGTGTTTCCTACTCGATGGGCCTGGTTCTTCTTCTACCGGTCTTAGGCTTCGCGAAATTTGAAGTAAATGTTTGAGATGATAAAGGGATTCGGCCGCTGCGCCTGGCTTCTTCTTCTCTGGTCCACCACATTCTTTGTACATTTGGCGGATGAAGCGGTCTTTGTCTGAATCCAGTATTGCTACTACCTGAAAATCAAACTTAAATTTTATATACTACAATTATTTTAATTAGTTTGAATTTTGTAGACCTAGGGTTCATAGGTTTAGATTTATTAAGCTTAAATTTGGCTGTATTAGGGTTAGGTTTTAGAGATAAGAAAGAAAAGATTTAAGATTGATAGAGTCAAGCTTAATAAAGATGTGTTTAGCAGACTTAAGCTTAGTAGGCTTAGTCGTATGCTTAGTAGGCTTAAGCTTAGTAGGCTTAATATTAGTAGGTTTAGGCTTATAAAGTTAAGGCTTAAGAAAAATAAGCTTAGTAAACTTAGGCTTAGTATGCTTAAGCTTAGTAGAACTACAATTAGTCGGCTTAGCCTTAGCATTTTAAAGCTTAGTTGGTTTAAGCTTAGCAGGCTTAAGAAGCTAAGATTTAGTAGACCTAGACTTATTAAGCTAAGTCGTGTTTGAGTCAAACCTACTAGGCTTAATAACCCTAGACATAGTAGGCTTACAGTCAATAAAACCTATGTAAAAGCTACTTTATTAAGTTTAGGCGTAAGCCTCTAAAGCGAGAACTAAGTAAGTTTAGCCTAATTAAACTTACAAAACTTTAGGCCTAAAAACCTTCATTGTTTAGCTAAATTAAAACTCAGCTCTAGGATTACCCACCTTCTCAACCAATGAAAACGCGTCCGAGCTGTAGGCATTGAACGAAACACTTTTCCATGTCATTTTCTCATAACCATCAATTAAAGGTTTCGGATCGAATCCTTCGATGTACCTTGGGAAAGGTTTTTCCTCTACCTCCTCCTTTAAAGTGTCGGTAGATTGGCTTTCTGTTAATATTGTTGACGGCTTACGCTTGGCCAAATTGAAAAGTGATATTGATGAGGTTGAAGACTTGAAGCCTTTCTTGGTCGTTGTTGGAACTGTATAGAGGCTGTTGGCTTTGAGGTATCGAATATAGTTCAGGCATAGCTTTTGGTCTTCGTACATTTCCTTTGACATTTCTAGCCATACCAGTTTTAGAGTTCTTTTGGCTAGAATAGGATAAATTAGGGTAAGTATGGTAAGAAAGTGTCATAAAAAATAAAAACGTCATTTTTAAAATTTTTTTAATAAAATCAGAAAAGTCATTTAAAACTCACGTTGTGTAGTAGGATTGTGATTATAGTCGATTCCAGCCACATGGTCCCAATTTACTTCGATTCTATCGTAATAATAACCCTTACTCGGCCCTCCACCTAACACAATAGCGTCATCTCGAATCACTAAAAAATGTCATTAAAAGTAAAAAAAGCATTGATACGCCATTCTTTTTGCATCAAAGTACGCGCTATTACTACAGTAATACCACACCAAGACTTGACCTACCGTAACTTTAGCCTTACTCTTGTTCTAAAGTAGCCCTACTGTACTCCTAACTCGTAGCATTACCTTTAGCTTACAGTTGCCTTGCCTCAGCCCTACCTAACCCTAATCGTACAGTATTCCAAGTTCAGTCCAACCGCGACCCTTTGACCTTTTCTAGTCATACCGTAACCCCTACCCCACACTAGTCTAGCCGTAACGTCCTGTTTACCCTATACCACCCGTATTCTCGAGCCCTACCCTAGCCCCACAGTAGCCCTACTTAAGACCTACAGTGATCTATAACCATTCTAATAGTTTACCGTAACCCCTAGCTCTGCCGTAGTTTTACCGTAACTCCTAGACCTACACTAGTTTTACCGTAACCAATAGCACTACCTATTCCTACTGTAACACTTAAACCACTATTTCTACCATATCGCTATCGTAACGTCTATCCCTATTCTAGTCCTACCGTAACCCCCAGACCTACCCTACTCCTATCCTAGCCCTACCGTAACCCATAACCCCTTCTCTAGTTCTACGGTAAAATCGAGCCCTGCCCTAGTTCTATTGAAGCCCTACCATATCATATTAATCATGCAGTAGCTCTTTCCCTACTTTGACCATACCCTACCTCACCCTATCCACAAATCCAAAAAACTTACATAATTTCGTAGACAAGTTATGCTTGAACTTCTGAATCCTTTCAATATTGAATCTTTGTAACTCAACCGGATCTCTTGCGTTCGTTCCACTTCGACTATCACCCGGGTCTGATAGACTAGCGCTCTGTGACGCTTCGTAGCCTTCTTCTGATTCCATATCGATCTCCATGATTCTTTTGTGTTTCTTTCGTGCCACCTTGTCCAATGTGAAGTTGCCTCTGGAGCTTTTGTTTCGAATGCAAAGGAAGGTTAAGCCACCAGATGATAAGGCTGCCATTTCTTCGTTTAGGGCTACATTTGGACGTTCTGCTAGCTCCAGGCGGTATGTTATGTCTAAAAATTGAAAAAATGAGCCCCTTCCCATATGAAATGCCTCCGGATTTTAAAAGACTGAAAATGCTAAAAATAATAATAAAAACGTCATTTTAAGCCCTGTAAAGAAAGTTTTTGCCAATTTTTGTTTTGTAAAGAAAGTTCTTGCCATTTTATGTTTTGTAAAGAAAGTTTTTGCCATTTTAAGCCCTGTAAAGAAAGTTCTTGCCATTTTATGTTTTGTAAAGAAAGTTCTTGCCATTTTAAGCCCTGTAAAGAAAGTTCTTGCCAATTTTTGTTTTGTAAAGAAAGTTCTTGCCATTTTATGTTTTGTAAAGAAAGTTTTTGCCATTTTAAGCCCTGTAAAGAAAGATCTTGCCATTTTTTGTTTTGTAAAGAAAGTTCTTGCCATTTCGTGTTTTGTAAAGAAAGATCTTGCCATTTCTCGTTTTGTAAAGAAAGTTTTTGCCATTTTAAGCCCTGTAAAGAAAGTTCTTGCCATTTTATGTTTTGTAAAGAAAGTTTTTGCCATTTTAAGCCCTGTAAAGAAAGATCTTGCCATTTTTTGTTTTGTAAAGAAAGTTCTTGCCATTTCGTGTTTTGTAAAGAAAGTTCTTGCCATTTCTTGTTTTGTAAAGAAAGTTCTTGCGATTTTCCCCCAAAAACCCACCTCTAAAGTCCAATTTCTCATTGACAGTAGGTCTGACCTTACTATACCTCTCCAAGGCTTCGTTCTTCAAACTTTCAATTGTCAAATCAGGATCATCTATAGCAATTTCAATTCGAGTATAATCGATAAAGTAAACTTGAGCGACCTGAACTGTTGTTTCTCGTCGATCCTGAATGAGTGCCATATGTGGAAAGTCAATTTTGGTGATTTTGCGATTTCGATCAGTGATTGGCAGCTCTCTCTCGTAACTTCGTTCATCTGCTACGCAGAGTCTGTAGTGCTTTAATTCGAGGTTTCTGAAAAATGTGAAATTAAAAGTAAAAAAATCCAGAAAATCTACAGGGGGAACCACGTTCAATGTTTTTACATTTTTTTTTCTTCTATAATGCAAAAAGAAAAAAAAACCATGTCAATTTATAAATTTTAGGTAACAAAAAATGTTTTTTTTGCCATTTTTAATTTTGTAAAGAAAGTTTTTGCCATTTTATGCTTTGTAAAGAAAGTTCTTGTCATTTCATGTTTTGTAAAGAAAGTTCTTGCAATTTTTTGTTTTGTAAAGAAAGTTGTTACCATTTTTAATTTTGTAAAGAAAGCTCTTGCCATTTTTTGTTTTGTAGAGAAAATTCTTGCTAATTTTAACTTTGTAAAAAAGTCCTTGCCATTTTTGATTCTGTAAAGAAAGTTCTTGCTGTTAAAAATGAAAACGTTATATCACGTCATGGGCCAAGCCCAGTCGTATGCCCGGCCCGTTACTCATGTCTACGCCCGACCCTGTCCACACCGTTTTCAACCCCGCCAACCAAAAAAAACATAAAAAGAAACAAAAAAAGAAGAGAACTCACAAAGGCAGAGGTGGATCATTGTTATACCTCTCATACTTATACAATGCCAATCCCACCATATCCAGAATCCTGGCCTCGTTGTTAACACTGATCGTAATGTGAAGAAGCCTGTCTTGTTCATCTCTACAAAAGTCGTAGTAAATTGTGATTACTATGCCATTTACTGTGTCTTCAAAGGCTTTGTACTTTGACCATCTTGTTATTGATTCTTCTTCATGAGCTTCGATTGCCATACTCATCGCACTTTGGCCTATCTTTGGCTTTGTCACTACTTCCTTGGCTTTGTATTCTTTTTTCTTTTTGGTCTTGTCAAACTCCAACTTCTTGTCTCTTTCGATGAATTTGGAGAGAATGTCATTGTAGTACTGGCGGGTACCTGAAAATATAAAAATAGTGATAACTATGTTTACAAACTCAGAAATGGCAAGAACTTTTTTTTACAAAACCAAAAAATGACAAAAACTTTCTGTACAAATTGAAAACGGCAAGAACTTTCTTTACATAACAAAAAATGGCAAGAACTTTCTTTACAAAACAAAAAATGGCAAGAACTTTCTTTACAAAAAAAAAATGGCAAGAACTTTCTTTACAAAACAAAAATGGCAAAACCTACCAAAAGTGACCTGTTGAGATTCGTTGAATTCAAAATTGTCCAAATCACTATCATCATCATACTCAATCCTCTTTTCATTCTTCAAAAACCGTGGTTTAGGCCCATTCTTTGTCAGCCGGCTGTCACTTATGCCCTTTTTAAGATTGTCATCTCTGTTATCACTAGATGTGCCCAAAGATTTAGACCGTTCTTTTCGATAACTCTTCTTCTTCGTTAACCGTTTACCAGCCGGTTGGCGCTTCTTCTTTTTTGGTACTTCTGGTTCGAATCGATTGTATGGCATCCACATTTCATCTTCGAATTGGCCTTCTTCATCATATGGAATTCCTCCGGGCTTTTTTCGACTGAAAATTGTTAAATTAACATTGAAAAACGTATTTTTAGGCGCTGTAAAGGAAGTTCTTGCCATTTTTTGTTTTGTGAAAAAAGTTCTTGCCCTTTTTTGTATTGTAAAGAAAGTTCTTGCCATTTTTTAATTTTTAAACAAAGTTCTTGCCCTTTTTTGTCATGTAAAGAAATTTCCTACCATTTTAAGTTATATAATCAAAAAAACACATGAAAATCCTCACTGCGACAATAATCCCAGCGCTCTAATAACTGAATGATCGTCGATTTCAATACCTAATTTATACTTTATTTCGTCCAAGATTTGAGCGTCGTCCATCGTTCATCAACTAAAAGTAAGTTCAGTTACGTGAATAAGGTTTGTATACATTAGAAGAATAAATTCCAGTCAAAATTTATCTTTTTTTAGCTCAAAAACGACCTAAAACAAGGTTAAACCAAGTTTGAATAAAGAAAAACGATCAAAAATAGACGAAATCAGTCAAAATTGGTATAAATTTAAAATAATCATATTAGAAAGCACGTATTTTACTAAAATCAAGCCTTATATAAAAATTATAAAGAACAAAAACATCAAAAAGCGGCATTAAAAACACCTAAAAAAGGTCTAAACGGGTTAAACCAAGGAAAAACGGCCAAAAATGGCCAAAATGAATAAGAATTGTTATAAATTAATGAAAATCATAATAAAAACATCGTATTTTGCTTAAAACTAACTTTATCTTTCGCATTGTAACTCTACAATACTAATAAAACAGAGTTTTCGGCCAAAAACAAAAAAGATTTTGCGAAAAACAATATTATTTTTGGAGCGATTCGCGCCCGCTTTGCTGCAGGCCGCAGGTTTGTCTTCCGGAAAAGGAAATAAAACTGACGGGAGTTGTTTGAATTGAATTTTTTTTTGGGGAAAAATACGATTTTTATTATTTTTCATTTAAAAAATTTTTTTTTATTTTTTTGAATTTTAAAATTTTTAATTCCTGAGGTCTTTTTTTGTCTTATCAGTAAATTTTAGGAATAAATGAGTCAGAGAAAGCTATTTTTCATATTAATATAAAATGCATTTATCGTAAATCAATAGTCTTTCACAGTAAGTTGCTCTATTACACGTATCTGTCTGATAATACCGGTCGATTTTTCTATCCAGGGAAACTGTTGACTCCGCAGAAGTTACACGTCTTTTCGCAGTTCTGTTTCATCAGTGTGAAGTAGGACTGAAAATACGATTTTGTTATAGGGAGGGTGGAAAAATGTGTTCTAGGGTAGGGCAGGATAAGGGAAAATAGGGTAGGGTGGATAAGGTAAGGTATGGTGGAATGGGGGGGGGGGTAGAGTAGTAGGGTAGCATAGTAGATAAAACTCACTTGAATTTTGCATTGACTTGTCACACTAGCGCAGGTTGTAATTTTATCAGAGCATGACCCTTGACTATTTGGTGAGGGCGTGGTAAATCGAGGGGCGATCGATGAAGGGCAACCACACGTTTCTGGACATAGCTTTTTCATCAAGTTTATGTAGGCCTAAAATTTGAATAAAATAATGCTAAACCAACAATAATTATCAAAAAAGACAACTATTTTTACAAATAAAAAAATTCATTTGAATTTTAAAAAACCCTGCCCTAGTACAATGCTAAAAGCACTATCTTATAGTACTCACAGGCACAGTGCACATCTGTGACTTCTTTTTACAATCAATTGTTTTGTCGTCAAGTCCACATCCACCACTTCCTGAAGGCGTGGTAAATCGAGGGGCAATTGATGAAGGGCAACCACATGTTTCTGGACATAGCTTTTTCATCAAGTTTATGTAGGCCTAAAATATAGGTGTAATAATGCTAAACAAACAATAATTCTAAAAAAGACCGCTGTTTTTTAAATCTAAAAAAGGATTTAAAAAATTAAAAACCCTATTAAAATACTAAAACCCCGACGTTAAGGTACTCACAGGCACATTGCACATTTGTGATTTTTTTTTACAATCAAATGTTTTGTCATCAAGTCCACAGACACTACTTCCTGAAGGCGTGGTTGTTGGCACACCTGGCGTTGCAGAAACACAACCACAGGTGGCTGGACAAAGTTGTTTCATTAGATTTACATAGGCAGGTACAGTACACATTTGAGCTTTGTTTTTGCAATCTGATGACCTATCTGGAGCCGTACCAGCACAACCGGGAGAAGTTGTAGGAGTGGTAGGCGTAGTAGGTGTGGTCGGAGTAGTTGGAGTGGTAGGGGTTGTTGGAGTGGTAGGCGTGGTAGGCGTGGTAGGTGTGGTTGGAGTGGTAGGCGTCGTTGGAGTCGTGGGGGTGGTAGGCGTTGTCGGAGTAGTGGGTGTCGTTGGAGTGGTAGGGGTTGTTGGAGTGGTAGGCGTGGTAGGCGTGGTAGGTGTGGTTGGAGTGGTAGGAGTTGTGGGTGTCGTGGGAGTGGTTGGCGTTGTCGGGGTAGTAGGGGTCGTCGGCGTCGTAGGTGTCGTAGGCGTAGTGGGTGTAGTGGGTGTGGTCGGAGTTGTAGGAGTAGTAGGGGTAGTTGGCGTAGTAGGGGTAGTAGGCGTAGTAGGGGTAGTTGGCGTAGTAGGGGTAGTAGGCGTAGTAGGGGTAGTTGGCGTAGTAGGGGTAGTAGGCGTAGTAGGGGTAGTAGGCGTAGTAGGGGTAGTTGGCGTAGTAGGGGTAGTAGGGGTAGTAGGCGTAGTAGGGGTAGTTGGCGTAGTAGGGGTAGTAGGCGTAGTAGGGGTAGTTGGCGTAGTAGGGGTAGTAGGCGTAGTTGGTGTAGTCGGAGTTGTAGGGGTGGTTGGAGTAGTAGGTGTGGTGGGAGTCGTCGGTGTAGTGGGAGTAGTGGGCGTCGTTGGTGTCGTAGGTGTGGTAGGGGTCGTGGGAGTTGTAGGTGTAGTTGGAGTGGTCGGTGCCGTTGGGGTTGTCGGCGTGGTAGGAGTTGTAGGGGTTGTGGGTGTAGTTGGTGTCGTTGGTGTAGTAGGCGTTGTGGGAGTGGTAGGAGTAGTGGGCGTGGTAGGTGTTGTTGGAGTTGTTGGTGTCGTAGGTAGCGTAGTTGGCGTGGTAGGAGTAGTGGGCGTAGTTGGTGTTGTTGGAGTGGTAGGGGTTGTGGGAGTCGTAGGGGTGGTCGGAGTAGTTGGAGTGGTAGGTGTAGTTGGTGTTGTAGGCGTTGTTGGAGTGGTTGGAGTAGTAGGCGTTGTGGGAGTTGTAGGCGTGGTAGGTGTGGTCGGAGTAGTTGGAGTAGTGGGAGTGGTAGGCGTAGTAGGTGTGGTCGGAGTAGTTGGAGTAGTGGGAGTGGTAGGCGTCGTTGGAGTCGTGGGGGTGGTAGGCGTTGTCGGAGTAGTGGGTGTCGTAGGAGTTGTAGGGGTGGTTGGAGTCGTAGGCGTAGTTGGGGTGGTGGGAGTTGTAGGTGTCGTGGGTGTTGTAGGTGTACTCGGAGTAGTTGACGTAGTTGTGTCACTTGATGGACCTTAAGAAAAAAGTTTAGAGTTAATAAAACTACACATGTCAGCAATTGTTTGATTTCAACTAATTAACTAATCTAATCTATATCTCCCGAGTTTGTACGTGGTAACTTGTGACGGTTTCATTTAGCCTTTGCCCGAGCAGATGAAGTTTGCTCTGCTTCAGGCCGGATGCGAGGTCTACAGGGGTCTTTCTGTTGCCCTTGTTCTTTTGCTCTTTAGCGTTTGGATTTGTATGCTAGCTATCTTCAACACATTTTTTTTGTGTTTTAATTAGGCCTGATATCAGGTCAACGCTAATTTGAAAGGGTCCTGGCTGGCTACCGTAATCCCAAAAGCAAAGGCCTAACTCGAGGCCCGGTCCGTAGGCTGGCTGAAAAGGGTTTGTCGGTCTTTTTACAGGTCAAGCTTTAATAATTATGTAAAAAACGTACAACAAACTGAAACACCAAGCACTTTTACACATTCTGGGTTGGTTGACAGCATACATGATCCGAGGGGACATGCTGAAAATAATATAAGGAATTGTTGTTGGAGAAGAGGCTGTGGTTGGCACTTTTAAAATATAACAAAAAAACAAACTTCAAATTTAAAAAAATAGTTTTTGGTTACATTGTAAGACCTACGTGTGCCAGGAATGCTACCATCGGGACAAAATTGTGAATTAACAAGACTTGCACCAAATATGAAAAGACATATCCCCAACAGCATTGTGTCCTTTTTCAAATAATCCAAAGCCAAACATGATTAATGTTATATAGACTAATTTGAACAATTTCAAAAACTTGTTTGCACAATTTTTAAATTTTGTCGGATATTTGCAAGCTATGTCAACATTCAAATGGATATACATGAAATAAAGACATGCGTCAATTTTTCTTTCGATTTTTGTACTTCATGCAAAGTTTGAATATTGAATAAGCGTAGGAGTATTTCCGGGTGTTGTATCCGTCTTTGCTCAGATGGTCTTTGATATACTCTTATACTCGTTAGTCTTAGTTTAGATGTGATTTGCAAGATTGTTGCGTAGTTTGTTCATAAATTTTATAAAACTATTATGAGGTATTGTTACACTAATAAAAATCTGAAACTTTAATATTCATTCACAGTAAGTTGGTCTATTACACGTATTTGATTGATAATACCGGTCGACTTTATTACCCAGGAAAACTGTTGTCTCCGCAGAAGTTGCACGTCATTTCGCACTTCTTTTTCATCAGTTTGAAGTAGGACTGAAAGTAAAATATTGCTTTAGGCTATGGAAGAATAAGATACAGTAGGGTAGGTAGGTAGATTAGGGTAGGATAGATTAGGAAAGGTAGGGTAGGAGGTGTAGTGTAGGTTAAGATAATGTAGAGCTCATAAGCTAGTTTAAGGCATAATAGAGAAGGCTCAGTAGGGTAAGAAGGGTAGGAGAGAGTAGGGTGAGCTGAGTCGATGAAGCTTACTTTAATTTTGCATTGACCTGCCACTTTAACGCAATCTGTCATTTTATCAGAACATGACCCTTGACTATTTGGTGAGGGCGTAGTGAATCGAGGGGCGATTGACGAAGGACAACCACATGTTTCTGGACATAACTTTTTCATCAAGTTTATGTAGGCCTAAAATATGAACAAAGTAACGTTAAATTAACCATAATTAACAAAAAAGACGACTGTTTCTAAAAATTTCACAAATTATTTTAATTTTAAAAACCCCCACCCTAGAGCAAGACTAAACCACTATGTTGTAGTACTCACAGGCACAGTGCACATTTGTGATTTCCGTTTACAATCAATCGTTTTGTCATCAAGCCCACAGCCACCACTTCTTGAAGGCGTGGTAAATTGAGGGGCGGTTGACGTAGGACAGCCACAAGTCTCTGGACATAACTTTTTCATTAAGTTTACGTAGGCCTACAAGATAAATAGACAATAATCATTAACATAGACCGCTGTTTTTTTAATATAAAATTTACAGATTTGGCAATGAACTTTTACCGCGCCAAACGTGAGCGTGTCCACTAGATAAATGAGCTGCTTTATCCAAAAACGACCAGCTCATGTTTTGCGCCAAAGAAGTCAATTCTCTTAATTTCCATGATTGAAACGGAATGACAAGTCAGAGCACTTATGGTTTCTGGCCGTTTAAATAGTATTCTCGGCGACGGGATTTTTTAAAACCGCAGCTTGGAAGTACCGCAAAACCCCTCCCCCCCCAGTAAGTGTCTTAAAGTGGGAGGGGGGGGATATTATAGTACTCACAGGCACAGTACACATTTGTGACTTCCTTTTACAATCAAATGCTTTGTCATCAAGCCCACAGCCACTACTTCCCAAAGGCGTGGTATATTGAGGAGCGTTTGATGTAGGACAACCACATGTTTCTGGACATAACCTTTTCATCAGGTTTACGTAGGCCTACAATATAAGTGAAATAATGCTAAACTAACAATAAATACAAAAAAACAGCTGATTTTTCAAGCTTAAAAGTTTTAAATAGTGCTCAGCTGGAACTTAAATCCCGCAGTCTGAGATGTGTTATAGTACTCACAGGCACAGTACACATTTGGGACTTTCTTTTACAATCAAATGCTTTGTCATCAAGTCCACAGCCACTACTTCCTGAAGGCGTGGTTGTTGGCACCGCTGGCGTGGTTGTTGGCTCCGCTGGAGCGGTTGTTGGCAACGCTGGCGTGGTTGCTGGCGCATTTGGCGTTGTAGATTGTGGGGCGATTGTTGTAGGACAACCGCATGTTTCTGGACATAATCTTTTCATCAGGTTTATGTATGCCTTAAATGAAAAGGATGCTAAACCTTGAAAAACCACTGTACAATATTAAAAGCACTATTTTATTGTAGTACTCACAGGCACAGTGCACATTTGTGACTTCCTTTTACAATCAAATGCTTTGTCGTCAAGTCCACAGCCGTTACTTCCTGCAGGCGTGGTTGCTGCCACTGCTGGCGTGGTTGCTGACGCCGCTGGCGTGGTTGCTGCTACTGCTGGCGTGGTTGTTGGCACGGCTGGCGCGGTTGTTGGCACTGCTGGCGCGGTTGTTGGCGCATTTGGCGTTGTAGATGCTGGGGCCGCTGATGTAGGACAACCACATGTTTCAGGACATAACTTTTTCATAAGGTTTATGTAAGCCTATAAGGTAAATAAAAGAATAAATTAAAAACAATTGTTAAATCAAAATCCCTTTTTAGAACTTTAACCCTAGTACCTTACTGAAATCACTACGCTATAGTACTCACAGGCACATTACACATTTGTGACTTCTTTTTACAATCAAATGCTTTGTCATCAAGTCCACAACCACTACTTCCTGAAGGCGTGGTTGTTGGCTCCGCTGGAGCGGTTGTTGACACACTTGGCGTGGCAGAAACACAACCACAAGTGGCCGGACAAAGCCGTTTCATTAGATTTACATAGGCAGGTACAGTACACATCCGAGCTTTGTTTTTACAATCTGACGACCGGTCTGGAGCTGTGCCAGCACAACCGGGAGAAGTTGTAGGAGTGGTAGGCGTAGTAGGTGTGGTCGGAGTAGTTGGAGTAGTGGGAGTGGTAGGCGTCGTTGGAGTCGTGGGGGTGGTAGGCGTTGTCGGAGTAGTGGGTGTCGTTGGAGTGGTAGGGGTTGTTGGAGTGGTAGGCGTGGTAGGCGTGGTAGGTGTGGTTGGAGTGGTAGGAGTTGTGGGTGTCGTGGGAGTGGTTGGCGTTGTCGGGGTAGTAGGGGTCGTGGGCGTCGTAGGTGTCGTAGGCGTAGTGGGTGTAGTGGGGGTGGTTGGAGTGGTAGGAGTTGTGGGTGTAGTGGGAGTGGTAGGCGTAGTGGGCGTGGTTGGGGTAGTAGGCGTTGTAGGTGTCGTAGGGGTGGTTGGAGTTGTAGGAGTCATGGGTGTGGTGGGTGTTGTAGGAGTAGTTGGTGTCGTAGGCGTAGTAGGAGTAGTCGGGGTAGTTGGAGTAGTGGGTGTCGTAGGAGTGGTAGGTGTTGTGGGAGTGGTAGGGGTAGTAGGCGTTGTGGGTGTTGTAGGAGTAGTAGGCGTTGTAGGTGTAGTGGGCGTAGTTGGGGTTGTCGGGGTTGTTGGAGTAGTTGGAGTAGTTGGGGTAGTCGGGGTAGTAGAAGTGGTTGGAGTGGTAGGAGTCGTAGGTGTAGTGGGTGTTGTTGGCGTAGTAGGTGTGGTAGGTGTCGTTGATGTGGTAGGTGTGGTAGGGGTAGTAGGAGTAGTAGGTGTTGTTGGTGTGGTAGGTGTGGTGGAAGTTGTGGGAGTAGTTGGCGTCGTAGGGGTAGTGGGCGTTGTTAGAGTGGTACGGGTGGTTGGAGTTGTTGGTAACGTAGTTGGTGTCGTTGGTGTAGTAAATGTGGTTGACGTTGTGGGAGTTGTAGGGGTAGTGGGTGTTGTCGGCGTCGTTGTAGTTGTAGGTGTAGTTGGAGTCGTTGGGGTTGTAGGTAGTGTAGTCGGAGTAGTAGGGGTAGTAGGCGTTGTGGGAGTAGTAGGTGACGTCGAGGTTGTAGAAGTTGTGGGTGTTGTTGGAGTGGTAGGCGTTGTAGGAGTCGTCGGTGTTATAGTAGGAGTAGTATTGGTAGTGGAAGTTGTTGGAGTTATAGGCGTAGTAGGTGTTGTAGGAGTGGTCAGTGTTGTAGTAGGCGTTGTTGGTGTGGAAAGAGTGGTTGGGGTAGTAGGTGTTGTAGGAGTCGTCGGTGTTGTAGTAGGAGTAGTAAGCGTAGTCGGCTTAGTAGGTGTAGTAGGAGTCGTCGGTGTTGTAGTAGGAGTGGTTGGGGTGGTTAAAGTAGTTGGGGTAGTAGGAGTTGTTGGTGTCGTTGGTGTCGTAGGTGTAGTTGAAGTAGTGGGAGTAATAGGTGTAGTAGGTGTGGTTGAAGTAGTTGACGTAGTTGTATTACTTGATGGACCTTAAAAAATAAAATCGTAATAAAACTATTTATAGGTTTGGTATTATATAAAATTATTGCTAGACGAATAGTAGATTTGTGTTAGCTTGTGCCCGGCATAAAGAAGTTTGCACTGAGTTACCGACTTTTTACTTTGTTGTGGAAATAATTGTGTTAAAACTTACAACAAACCGAAACACCAAGTACTTTTACACATTTTGGGTTGGTTGACAGCAGACATGATCCAAGGGGACATGCTGAAAGTAATATGAAGTTTTTAAAGCAGTGCAAGTGGTTGACAAGTGTGAAAATGAACAAAATCAAAAAATCAAAAAAATTTTTTTAATTGTACTGTAAACTTACGTGTGCCTGGAATACTACCGTCGGGACAAAACTGTGAACTGACAAAGTTTGCACTGAATAGGACTAAAAATGCCCTCCACAGCATTATGTCTTTTTTGAAATAATTGGAAACCAGACATGCTTACTGTTATATAGTCCGAGTTGAACTATTTGAAAAATTTGTTTGTACAATTTTTAAAGTTTTCCAGGTATTTGCAAGCTATGTCAATAATGAAATAAGTTTACACGAAATGAAGACAGGAAAGACATACGTCAATTCACTTTCAAATTCTGTATTTTATGCACCTTCTGCAGGGGTATTTTTAGGTGTTGTACATGCTTAGATGATCTTTGGTATGTTCTTTAGACTTTTTTTAGTTCTCCTTTGCAGGATTGTTTTGTATTTTGTCTAAAAAATTATATCGGGATGGATTAGGGTATAGTTACAAAAATACAAATCTGAAATAAAGTTAAAAAATAACCTGAGAATTGTTACAATAACATTGTTACTGTAATAATATAATGGCTTGGGCAGGAATACGGTAATTTATATATGTGAGCTAACTTTCTGCGGCAAAAAACCTAAGGTTGGGCTAGTCTTACTGTTGGTTATACTATCCTGTCGGATAGATAAGGCTTGATAAACAAATCTAATAGGACTCAAATATAAGCAGGGGTAGAGATAAAAGTGGGGGGAAGGCTAAAGCTACAGCTAAAGCTAGAGCTAGAGCAAGAACTAGAGCACCAGCTAGAGCTAAAGCACGAGCTAGTGCTAGAGCTACAGCTACAGCTCGAGCACAAGCTAGGGCTAGAGCACGCACTAGGCTAGAGCTAGGGCTAGTGCTAGGGTTAGGGCTAAGCGTGCTAAGAATTGAACTAAGGCTATGGTACGGTAAGGACACTTATTGCTAATACTCTTACCAGCAAGCGTTGGCGTAGTAACTTTAGCTACATAACACGAATTACCATAATTGACTGGGCGGTTTATCGTTTTATGGAAATGAAGCCGTCTATAAATCTTTTACCAAAGAATTACACTGAAAACGCACCAATGCCCTCGGGGACTAAGCCCGGGTTTCTCACAATACAATTGTGGGCGTAAGACGAATGTTTTCTTGAAACTGCCATAAACGTTTTAACATCATGTTTAGAATGTTTAAGGGTGGTTTTTTGTAGATGGGGAAATGTAAAAAAAAGGAAGGGTAAAAATGTTTTGTAGCACAAAAAAGGAACGGTTATTTTCTAAAGAGGGAAGGGAGTGTACAATATTAAAAATGCCTTAAAACAAGGTTCGCCCAAGAATCAGACATAGGCGATGAAAAATTTCAAACTATTTGAAAACCGCTCATTTTTTGATAAGAGGTAGCACTTGGTTATAGAAATGCAAAAATATAAAAAAATTTTAAAAATTTGGGTTACGTTAGGATTACGGTAGGTTTTAAGATTTTTTTGTAACTGTTGTACAAAATGTCAGAATGGAATGAGACTTTTTTTAAATTATTTGTCACTATAAGACAATCATTTTATCTGTTAACAACTTTTTTTTATTATGCCCGGAAGGCATTGAAAAAAATTAAAGTTTTTAAAAAAACCATCAAAATTTTGAAAAATTTGAAATTTCTCGAAAAAAGTCACTATGTAACAAACTTTTGACAACAGATAATGAAACTACATGCTCTTACAGTTCTAATGACACCGCGCATGGGTCATCTTAGCGGGGCCTGCGGTAGCTACGAATTTTCAAAGTTGACACCCTAAGGTCAATTAGCACAGAATTTGACTGTAATATTGTTACAAATGGTTAAAAAAGATGTTTGCCACATTTTGAGCGTTTATAAGTCTTTAAAAACAATTTCCTTTGTATTGCCTCAGGGAATTTGTAATTTAAAAAAATTAATTTTTTTAAAATTTAAATTTTAAAAAATTTTAAAGCTCGGAAATTAAAAGAATATGACTTGGCTTTTAATAAATGATCTATACAGAGACGTCGCTACGGATTTTCTCTAGGGAAAGAAAGGTTGAAAAATTTTTTTTCGTCCACAGGTCCCCTCCTGTGGCCCGATTTTTCAAAAAAATTTTTTTTTGTTTTTTTTGCGTAAAAATCTTGTATAGGTCACTTACCAAAAGCCAAGGCATTTATTTTAATTTCCAAGCTTTAAAAATTTTTTAAAATTAAAAGTTAAAAAAAAAATTTTTTTTAAATTACAAATTCCCTGAGGCAATACACAGGAAATTGTTTGTAAACACTTATAAAACTTGCAATATGTGCTATGAACCTTTTTTAACCATTTGTAACCATATTACAGTCAAATTCTGTTCTAAATTACCTTAGGGTGTCAACTTTGAAAATTCGTAGCTACCGCAGGCCCCGCTAAGATGACCCATGCGTGGTGTCATTAAAACCGTAAGAGCATGTAGTTTCATTATCTGTTGTCAAAAGTTTGTTACATAGTGACTTTTTTTCGAGAAATTTTAAATTTTTCAAAATTTTGATGGTTTTTTTTAAAAACTTTAATTTTTTTTTCAATGCCTTTCGGGCATAATAAAAAAAAGTTGTTAACAGATAAAATGATTGTCTTATAGTGACAAACAATTTAAAAAAAGTTCCATTCTATTCTGACATTTAGCACAACAGTTACAAAAAAATCTTAAAACCTACCGTAATCCTTCCGTAACACGAATTTTTAAAATTTTTTTATATTTTTGCATTTCTACAGGGTGCGACAAAAGTCCTTGGACTAACTTTACCGGTCGATTTCTTTATGTTGTACGCGATTTATATAATTTTTTAAAAAATTGTATTATTCCCCATAGTTTTTTGTTATAAATAAGTAAAAACTGAGTTTTTTATGTCTACCGTCTGTCTGTAGTTAGATGTCAAGCATGAGAGGAGCTATTATTAAGCTGCATAAGAAGGAAGAAGGCAATGTGATATTGCGAAATTGTTAAATATCGCAAAATCTACAGTTTCCGACGTGGTCAGACGGTATGTAGAGCTTGGACATGATGGTGACAGACCTAGAAGTGGCCGTCCAGCAAATGTAAACACCCGCGCCAACAGACAGTGGATCAAGAAGCGATTCATGCGTAACCCAAGGCCTCCAGTATGTAAAATGGCACGAGAGACCGGACTGAACGAAATTTCAATTCGCCGTATAGTCAGAAAGAACTTGAAGATGAAGCCGCACAAACTCAAGAAATTTCAGGAACTTACTGATGAAAACAAAAAAGTACGGTTTAAAAGAAGCAAAACTCCAATACACCGGGCCGCTAACGGAAATTGGGAGCGCATTGTCTTCACTGATGAAAAGATATTCACGTTGGAACAGACACACAAACCCTCAAAATGACAGGCATTACTCTACTGAGCCTCCTAGAGATTTGGCCATCGTCGAACACCGTCAACACCCTCGGGGCATTATGGTTTCGGCAGGAGTATGCGCCTCGGGCAAAATTTCCTTGATTTTTGTTGATAAAGGAGTAAAAATCAATAAAGAAGTGTACCAAAAGGACATTCTGGAAGCCGTATTACTTCCTTGGTCCCGATAACACTTCAAGAACACCAAATGGACGTTTCAACAGGACTCTGCTCCAGCCCATAAAGCCAAAACAACACAAGAGTGGTGTCGGACCCATTTTCCGGACTTTATCACCTTAGCTGAATGGCCTCCGTACTCCCCCGATTCAACCCGATGTATTACAGTATTTGGTCGATATTGGAGGCAAGGGTGTGTTGTAGAAGACACCAAACTTTGGAGTCTTTGAAACAAGCATTGATCGAAGAGTGGGACAAACTTTCGTTTCAGGACCTGCGGCCCGTCGCTGAAAACTTTGTGAAGCGTTTACGCCTCTGCGTAGCGGCAAAAGGGGGCCACTTCGAAACCGCTTGACTATGTTATAACTAGTGCTATATGTTACTATTGTTAGTTGTTCTTTTAGTTATATTGATTGTTTTAATAAATATATGACTAAAATAATGAGTCCAAGGACTTTTGTCGCACCCTGTATACCCAAGTGCTACCTCTTATTAAAAAATGAGCGGTTTTCACCTCAATAGTTTGAAATTTTTCATCACCCCTGTCTGACCAGTGTTCGATTCTTACGCAGACATTGTTTTAAAATTCTTTAAAGTTAAAAAAGTCTGAAAGGTCAAAGAATGTTGCATCTGTAATAAATTTTGCCCAGTGATAAGTTAGGTAGGGGGTATTAAGTTAGGTAAGGAATATCGTAGGTCTTAGTTAGGGTTAAAGCTATAGTAGGTTTAAAGTAGGGCAAGACTAATAATGCTATAGTAAGTAAACTATAGTATACTTAAGGTACAGAAACGCTGTAGAGCTAGGCTACAGTAGGCGTAATGTTAAACAAAGTTTAGTCGACTTAAGCCAAAGCGAATCTAGAGCAGTATAAAAGTAGAGGAAGGGCTGGTTTGAGTTTAGCGTAGGGCTGAGGAACGCACATGATAAAAATGCTAGAATAAGGCTCGGAATAAATAGAAGAGCCTTGGCCCTAGCACTAGCTTTACCTTTGGCCATAGTGTTTTAGCCTACAGAAGGCAACTTTTTTTTTAAAAGTTGTTTGAAATTTATGAAGTGGCAAATAATTTTAGAAAAACTTGTTTACATTACGCATAAAAGGTCTAACAACTTTACGTAAAAGATGGTTTTGAAGAAGCGATAATAAGGTGCTAATGACTGTGAGCAAGAGATTTTTTTACATTATTTTGAATAGGTTTCTCAATATAAATTTTAACACTCTTTTTAAATTTTTTTAGATAGTATTGCTGTAGCTTAAATTGCTGTATTACTCACATTTTTAAAACAGCACGTAATAAATAATGTTCTTATAATGTCTTACAAACATAACTGTGCTTTAGTGTTCACGAATAGTCTATTTTTACACTGTGGGAACTGTTTTGAACTTACACATCATAGCGGACGTTCATCCGTTACAAGCGTTTCTTTTCATAGTGGTGTGATTTATGGGTGAGGGTGGGAGATTACTCTGGCTACTGGGAAACATACGAACCTTTAAAATAGTTGTTTTTTACTTTGGTGCTTAGTGTTTCAGTTGGTGTTTTTATATTATGATTAGGCTTAAACCAGCGTTTTTAATCTAAATTTTTAAATTTTATTTATTTTTTATTTTATATTTAAATTGCTATGTTGAGGGTGTGATGATTCATTCTTGCAAGTACTGGCTGGAACGCATAACATTAACATGTTGAAATTGCTTTGTTGTTTTATTGCTTCCTTAACATGTTTTAGATATATGGGTAGGGGTTTCGGCATTACGTTTCTTTGCTTTTGCCTTGCCTTGCCTTGCCTTGCCTTGCCTTGCCTTGCCTTGCCTTGCCTTGCCTTGCCTTGCCTTGCCTTGCCTTGCCTTGCCTTGCCTTGTCTTGTCTTGCCTTGTCTTGCCTTGCCTTGCCTTGCCATTCTACCATGACACTAACTTAACTTTTATTGTAATAGACACTGCCCTGCCGTAAAATTTTACTGCGATCTACTCTTGCGTGCTTTAGTTGCCTACCTTTGTCATAGTTTGGGCCTACTCTTTAGGTTATTATATAATATATTTTACAATTTTACATAGTAACTTTTTTTAAATATGAATTGAATTTTAAAAAGCGTCTACAAGCTTTTATCTCCCGCGTTTTTGACTCACAGTTTTAAAAGACAAAAAAACTCTCATTTATGTTACCATACCGCCACATTTTCAGCCCTCAAAATAACCCCGCTACAACTACAGACAAGATGACAAACGTATCTTGTAAACATCACCCGTCGTATGTTTACATAACCAATTAAATTTGCGGACCGAAAGTTTTGAATTCGTGTGATATTCAATCTGGCACGGGCGTTTTATCCCTTTTCCGGAGGACTCTTGTGCCCATCTTCTTCAGCTGACAATAAAAAGAGAACGTCTTGAGGCTGGAATTCGAAAAGCGATACGCTTCGGGTTTAAAATCTTTTGCACGCTACACGACATTCAAGATCATGGCCAACACGACTCGCTAGCGCAATGACGTTCAGGTAAGAAGTTTGCGGACTTTCGTTTTGAAACTTGAATTTTTGCAAAAATAAAAATTTTAAAGTTTTTGAGGTTTTAAATAGATTTTAGATTAAAAATGATATTTTAGCTAGGATTAGGTTCAGACTTGGCTAGAAGAGTGTAGCATAAAGTAAGCTAAAGCCAAGGAAAGGCGTAGGCTAGGCTTGAGATTAAATTAGGTCTAGAATAACACTAGAGCAGAGCTCTAGCAAAGATCAAATATAAAGCTAAAGCTAAGGCTAAGGCTAAGGCTAAGGCTAAGGCTAAGGCTAAGGCTAAGGCTAAGGCTAAGGCTAAGGCTAAGGCTAAGGCTAAGGCTAAGGCTAAGGCTAAGGCTAAGGCTAAGGCTAAAGCTTAGGCTAAGGCTAAGGCTAAAGCTAAGGTTAAGGCTAAGGCCGTTTAAGTATAATTTGAAAGCTAAAGCTAGATGGCTAAGTTAAGGCTAAAACACTAAAAAAAGTTTATTTATAATAAAATTTGAGCCCTTACGAGTGTGTGGGAGAAAAGGCCTGTAAATTGCCTTAATTCCTCTCAAAACAATCTTTGGCTTCAAAATTGGACTTTTTTTTAAATAAAAAACTCCTGCCTATTAGAATGTTTATTTGAGTAACGGAAAGCAACCTCGTAATTTCTGGTGCTAAATTTAAGTTTTTTAATTTTGTAATTTAAAAAATATAAATAAGATTTTTATCGTTTTTTTAGGTTTTATGAAAAAAAAATAGTTATGTTAATAGTAAAGTGTAAGTGTAGGTAAAGCTGAGAGTAAGGCTATATTTTTTTTGCTTTTTGAGTCGATATTTAATTACTATTTGGGCAGCTGAGGCTTATTTTCAACTTAGGCTTAGACTTGTTTTATAGCACAGGCTAGGCTAACTTAGTGTTACGCTTAAATTTGGAATTTTTTTGGCTTATCCATAGGCTCACGTTTAAGCTCAAACTTAGGCTTAGTCTCAAGTTTAGGCCGAATTTCAAGCTCAGGTTTATGCTTATCCTCAAGCAGGCTTCGAGCCAAGTCTAGGCTTGTTAGACTCAAATGTAGGCATATCTTCAAACTTACCTTTAAAGCTCAAGCTTTGCATCGGCTATGATTCAAGTGTAGCTTGAATCATAGCCGATGCAAAGCTTAAGCTTATGATACTCGAGATAGAGCCGGTTTTGGCCGTATGAGTAGATTTTTTATTAATTTTTTATTAGTGTTATTAAAATTTTTTACGGACAAATTTTCAAATTTTATAGTTTTTATTAAAAATTTGAAAAACATTTTTTTAATGTGACGCGCCTACTTCAAATTTTTCAAAAACGTTTGGAACAATGAACTGATAAAGAGAATAAAAGTGTAAAAACGCATTTTCTTTTACAATTTTTGCGTTTTTTTATCTTCTCTCGGAATTAGAAGATTCTCTTCGGGTCTTCAAGTATGGTACTCGTGAAGAGCGAAAAATAAAGTTATGGTAAATCTTGTCATTCTTGGCCGCTTCAGACGCTTTGCGAAATTATTGAATTAAAGGCTGTTAGGAATGTTAGTTTGTCAATTCAAATCTGGGAGTAAAGTTGGTTTGGGTGTTGTTAGGGGCAGGGCTAGGGTTTATTGAAGTTTTTGGCTAGGACAACAAGCTGGGGTTTAGTATTTATAAGCTTAATTTTGCAATGGCATGCTTTCTAAAATACGCTTGGTTTTGAAGTTATGTTTAGAAACCGTGGGTAGGGAAGTTTTCTTTGCTTTACAGGTGCTGGATTTAGAACGGGATGAGGGCTAAGCATGCTAAGGGTGTGGTAAAACTTTTATTAGGAGACGCCATTTACCCCCACCCCGTTTCAATGGCAAGGCGGGACATAATAACTTAGTAAATCTCAACTAAGGGTAGGGCTCAACAAAGATAGGTTAGGTTTGTAGTGGTAACGTAGGATTATATTGGACCTAGAGGATACTTGGACAAAGCAAATTACAGTAAAACTTGCTTACACTTCATGGGTTATTGAAGGGTAGCGAAGGGTAAGTAATACAAGTTAAGATACTGTAGTGGGTGGTAAGATAAGGTAGAGTAGGTTAGAGCAATAGGGTACTGTAGGGTGGTAGGGTAGGGTAGTGTAGGGTAGGGTAGGGTAGGGTAGGGTAGGGTAGGGTAGGGTAGGGTAGGGTAGGGTAGGGTAGGGTAGGGTAGGGTAGGGTAGGGTAGGGTAGGGTAGGGTAGGGTAGTGAACTGCTTTTATAATGTCTTACAGACGATATTTATGATTTTTATAGTGTTTTTATCGTCATTTCTTTTCAGACATGCTATACAACATATGGGTAACTTTGCTTTTGCAACTTCTACTCCTGTTTTTAATGTTCACATCATTATCCAACGCCGACCTACACACAGTTTATGGCACCAGGACAAGGAATTCGTCGTTACGCACAGCTGCAGCTAATCTAAACTACGGTTCAGAGACATATCAATGTAATTACTGTGATATTAAGCAATGTACAAAGAAGAAAACCACTGGAAAGTCGTTTGGAGAAGTGTTTTGTTATAGCAAACAGTATGTGGATGAAGGTGGGTTTTTTTAAAAAGATGCGTTTTAATAAGAGCAAAGGGAAGGCGGAGTTAGAACAAAAAGAAGAGTATGGTATTGGTAAAGAAAACGTGAAGGGCATGGGCAAATTAGGGTAACGTTACTTTAATAAAGGTAGGGTATAAGCAAAGAGAAGAAAGCTACGACTTAGGTTTAGATAAGGCAAGGCTATACTACTATTAGATGTCAGTTTGGGTCTAGGACCAGGCTTGGCAGAGAAAAAGTAGGCTAGGGTTTATCCTGTTGCCTGGACTTACTTATGCTTAGACTTACGCTATCTACGGCTAAAGCTAGCAATAAAGCTAAGACTGAAGCTAGAGCAAGGATCAGGACTAGCGTTATGGCTAAAGCTCTGGGCTAGAACTCTGAGACTAAGGCTCTAGGTTAAGGCTCTGGACTAGAGTTATGGGCTAGAACCTCTGGGCTAGAACTTTGAGACTAGGGCTTCTAAGCTAGGGCTCTGGGCTAGGGTTACCATATTTTTCTAGGTTTACTCTTCGTACCTACAAAATTGTTGTCAACAAAAATATTTATTCTAACCACTTCAGACCCGGAAGACGCGCCAACAACAACATGTATAACAGACGAGGCCGAGCTACGGTATTTAGTGTTAGCGGAACGACTAAAAGACAGTAATACCTGTCAGACGGCAAAAGAGGACCCTAATATAAGGATATGTTGGTGCAAAGCTTCAGTTAAGAGGAGGTAAAGATAGAAAATTAAATCTTTAAATTTTTGAAATTTTTAAGATTTTTAAAAAATTTTTTATTTTTGAGCAAAATTTTGTTTTTTTAAAACTTAAAAAGTCTTGTCGCTTTCCACAATACAAACTAGTGTAAATCGACGACAAGACTTTTTTAAAGCTATAAATCTTACTTAAAGTGATAAAATGTTACCTAAAATGATAAAAATTGATTAAAATATTCAAAATCATTCTTATGTTACAGTATGTCACGAGTAGAACAACTTCAAGAACGAAGCCGGCTTCGTTTTGCAACCGGAGCCAAAGGCGGCGTCAAACTGGTACATTATCAAAGCGCCAACCAAAGGCAAATCAACCAGAACTATGATAACACAATAAGGGTAGGTTTTGAAAAAAATGGCAAGAACTTTCTTTACAAAGCAAAGAATGGCAAGAACTTTCTTTACAAAATCAAAAATTGCAAGAACTTTGTTTACAAGTTAAAAAATGGCAAGAACTTTCTTTACAAAATTAAAAATGGCTAACACTTTGTTTACAAACAAAAAATGGCAAGAACTTTCTTTACAAAATTAAAAATGGCTAAAACTTTGTTTACAAACAAAAAATGGCAAGAACTTTCTTTACAAAATTAAAAATGGCTAACACTTTGTTTACAAACAAAAAATGGCAAGAACTTTCTTTACAAAATTAAAAATGGCTAAAACTTTGTTTACAAACAAAAAATGGCAAGAACTTTCTTCACAAAGCAAAGAATGGCAAGAACTTTCTTTACAAAATGAAAAATTGCAAGAACTTTGTTTACAAGTTAAAAAATGGCAAGAGCTTTCTTTACAAAATTAAAAATGGCTAAAACTTTGTTTACAAACAAAAAATGGCAAGGATTTTCTTTACAAAGCAAGAAATGGCAATAACTTTCTTTACAGTCTCCTCAAACCCTAAGGCAAGGTCCAAGAGTTCAAGCTTCTGGTCTACAAAGGATTGGCTCTACAGTAACCCCATCAGGTCAGGACTTCCACTCGAGACACAAAATAGCCGCTACTCATGGTGGTATAGCCAGTCGGCTTACTAATCCTAGACGACCTTCTTCTACTTTAACTGATGGTAGTAGTCAGGTTTTGGTATCTAATATTGTTATTTTGACTTCTGTGGCAGTCTTATTTATTCATCAGCTGTTTTTGTGATTAATTTTGATTGATTTTTGTTATTTATTTTTAGTTAAAAAAGCATTTGTAATGTTTTTTTTTATTTTGAAGGTTTCGAAGTCTATGTTCAAGACAATACATTAGGAAATTATGTTTTGCATGTATTATTTTTTGTTTCATATAACGTCGAAGTCTTGTATAACAAATTGCTCCCGGATTTAAAAATTGTTCGTTAAGGAGTATTGGTATAGAAAAGTTATACAGGGCTTACAGTTTATAACGTTATACTTATGTTATAGAAATATGCATTATGTGCTGATGCAAGATATTTAGATACTGGTACAATAAAAATAATATTAACTTTATAATATGAACTGGCAGGTTTTATGTAACAAGAGCGTATTAAGGCTAGGTCTGAAAGAGTTATTTTTATTACTCGCAATTTCTTTGAATTATTTTTATTTCAAGTTTTATTAGCAAAAATTTACAAATATATTGCAGGAGGCTGAATAGAGGTTAGACGGTAACATTAACAATTGAAAATATTATACTATTGTAACAAATATTGCGTGAATATTTGATACTGATAAAAAATTGTTATGCTTATGAAATGTATACTTTTTATGACTAAACTAGTAAAACATTCACTACGTAGCTAAAATAAAGATTGTATTGTTTTGTAAAGCAAAGTTAAATTTAGGACGGTGTACCGTACTGGTATTGTAGTTTACATTACAAAAAAATGCTAAAAAATCCTTTAAAATGTACAAAATGAAGAATAGTCTGCAACTTCAATTAAGACTTCATGCCAAATTACGATCAAATTGACTAATCGAGCGTCTTTTTCGTACCCAGTCAGCTGCTTGAACAGCACATTGTGGCCGTCGACAAATACCATTTAGCTTCAACAGTAATTTTATACTACAACGGAAGTTGATGGCTGGCTGAAAAAGTTATTCTTAAAAACGGCAACAGGGCAGTTTTTTAATTTTTTAAAATTTTTAACAAAATGTCAAAAAATCAATTAAAATTTTAACGAAATGTAACTTTTTAAACTTTTATTTATAAAAAATGACATTTTACTGTAATTTTGAGCTAAACTTTTGAAAAATAATCAAAATATAAAAAACCGATAAAAATGTTGACGAAATGTCAATTTTTAAAAAACGTAAAATTTTTTTAAAATTAATTTTGTGGTGGTAAATTTGCATAAAAATCACGTTTTAAAAATTTTTCTGTCTGAAAATGATGCATAGTAAACAAAATGTCACAAAACTTATTATTTCCTACCTCATCCACATCAAGTGAAAACGCTTGAACCCTCAAGCCACCAGTCAAGTCACTGTCGTATTTTATGTTACTAATAACTTGTGGAAATAATGTACAACCAAACTCGTCAATAATTTCGACCGGTTGAGTTTGACGTTGTGTTGTTACCGTACAACTGTGCACCATCATACAGTAAATGTCTACACTGCCGCGTTCACCATAATTACAGTCCCATTTGTGGTACAATGGGTCACCAATGTTTATTTTTCTGCAAAAAATGTGATATTTATGGCTATTTTTTGGCTTTTTTTGGTAAATTTATTTTTGGCAAAATGTTACAAATTATATAGATTTTTCGACAAAATGTCACAAAGATTATCGGTTTTTTAAAAAGTGCCAAAACAATTAATCTCAAAGCAAGAAAGTAAAATACGCGTGATTTAACCCGGGTTACATATATATTTTTAATTTAAACGAAATGTCACAAAATTTATCGACTTTTTAACAAAATGTCACAAAAATTATTGATTTTACAAAAAAAAGCCAAAACACAAAAAAATTTTTAAAAAATATTTTGTAATAGTTAATTAAGTCTTACCCGTTGACCGGAGAACCATACCGGTCGTTATGAAGCACATTATAGCTACATTTAGGCTCTGGGAACCGGCTGACTGGAAGTTCAATAATATTACTACTATTAAACTGGGCCAAGGCAATCGTTGCTAGCATTGTAGGTATCATGACGTATTGTCGTGTACTAAAATTTTAAGAAATTTAATTTTTTACTAGGTTAACAATTTACTAATTTTTTAAAGATTTTTTGGTTTTCTTAATTACTGTAGGCATGGGTGAGAACGTTAGGGTAAAATTAGGCTACTGTCAAAGCCGGGGGAAAGGGGACTTTTGGTCTGGGAAGGAGGGTCGAACAAATCGATACAAGTAGCTAGCTGATTTGTTGCAAAAAAATTTTTTCTAAAATTATACAGAAGAAAGCAAGATTGATTATTTTCGCAACTTTTTTTCTGGGGGGGGGGGGGGGGGGAAAACTAAATAAAGTAAGATAGGACAAGAGTAAGACATATGTTAAAGTAGGTAAGGTAGAGTAAGGTAGGGTATGGTATGTTAGGGTAGGATAGGGTAGGGTAGGGTAGGGTAGGGTAGGGTAGGGTAGAGTACGGTAGGGTAGGGTAGGGTAGGGTAGGGTAGGGTAGGGTAGGAGGATACAGTTAACTTACCATTTTTGAAGCCATTTTAACATAACTTTTTGCAAATTTTGTAGTTTGCTTTACCGACTACTTCCAAGAGTAAAAGTTCACACTTATTTCGACTGAAAACTATTTTTAAAAAACAAGTAATTGGCTTAAATTTAAGTGAAAAACAACAGTTTTTCTAAACGTCACGTCTCGGAAATTAACACAATTACAGTAAAAAACTGTTTGTACTCAAATTGGCAGGTGATTTGAATTGTAGTTTTTAGCTTAAAAGTTCACACTTTTTTTATAAAATAGAAGAAACTTTCTTTACAAAACAAAAAATGGCAAAAACTTTCTTTACAAAATAAAAAATGACAAGAACTTTCTTTACAAATCAAAAAATGACAAGAACTTTCTTTACAAATCAAAAAATGACAAGAACTTTCTTTACAAATCAAAAAATGACAAGAACTTTCTTTACAAATCAAAAAATGACAAAAACTTTCTTTACAAATCAAAAAATGACAAGAACTTTCTTTACAAATCATAAAAAGGCAAGAACTTTCTTTCCAAATCAAAAAATGGCAATAATTTTTTTACAAAGCTTTTTCATTATATTTTTGAACTTTCCCACCAAACCAAATAAAAATACCCTAAAGCGTTTCAAATTAAACCACGTTTCACTTTACATCGAAAAAAAGTAAGAATGATCGTAAAAAATTCGTAAAACAAAGACCTTTTCAAAGTCGTTTTCGTCTTCTTCGGTCAACGTTTTTTCACGTAAATTAGTCTAAAAAGTTAATGAAAAAGAGTTTTTTAAATTTTTTATTGGAAAATGGCAAAAGAACTTTATCAAAAAAAACAAAAATGACAAAAAATGTCTTTACAACATAAAAATTTTATTCATTGTATAACTTGCCATTTGCAGGCTGCAGAATAAAAAAAACGAGAAAGACTTTCTTTACAAAACAAAAAATTGCAAAAACTTTCTATACAAAACAAAAATAGCAAAAAACCTTTTCTTACAGGGCTTTAAACGGCAGAAACTTTTTTACAAAACATAAAAAGGCAAAAACTTTTTTTACTGATCAAAAAATGACAAAAACTTTCATTACAAACTAAAAAATGGCAGGAAATTTCTTTGCAGTACAAAAAATGGCAAGAACTTTCTTTACAAATCAAAAAATGACAAAAACTTTCTTTACAAATCAAAAAATGACAAAAACTTTCTTTACAAATCAAAAAATGGCAAGAACTTTCTTTACAAAGCATAAAATAACAAGAACTTTCTTTACAAATCAAAAAATTACGTTAATATCTTTCACAATTTTTACAGAAAAACAAAATTTCTTACCTCCATTAAAACTCAAACCTTGCCATTAACTTTTAAAAATAATTTAAAAAACAAAAATTTAAAAAATTTGTTCAAAAAAGGGTATTAAACACCGTCCGACTACATTAAAACAAGTAATTTTCTCAATCGAAATGAGTTTTTTTTACAAATGTATTGAAAGCGACCCAGTTTTGACGGCTTAAAAGTGACCATTTCGGGCGCAAAAAATACCCAGGATTTGATCAGTCTGAACTTTTAAAATTTAAACTAATTAGACCGGGTGTTGTACGTTAGGTAGACATAAATACAAAACTAATCAGACAAGGTATTGTACGTTAGGTGGACTTTACTATGACAAAAAAGCTATAGACCAAGAAAAAGGCAGGGCATATCATAATATGAGAGATACAAGAGTGGGCAGGGTATCATAAAGCAGGGTAGAAGTAAGATTGGGCAAAGGCAAGAAAAAGGCAAAGAATAAAGCAGTGTAGAGTTAGGCTAAATACAGGAAAATCAGGGTCAAAATAAGGTAGAGTTGGACAATATAGGAAGGGGCGGAGAGAGATAGAGTAATTCAAGACAAGGTAGGATAAGACATAGTAGGGTATGGAAAACCAGAGCAGGGCAAGAGCAAGGCAAGGCAAGGCAAGGCAAGGCAAGGCAAGGCAAGGCAAGGCAAGGCAAGGCAAGGCAAGGCAAGGCAAGGCAAGGCAAGGCAAAGGCAAGGCAAGGCAAAGGCAGGGCAAATGCAGGGCAAATGCAGGGCAAAAGCAGGGCAAAGGCAAAGCAAGAGCAAGGCAAGAGCAAGGCAAGGCAAGGCAAGGCAAGGCAAGGCAAGGCAAGGCAAGGCAAGGCAAGGCAAGGCAAGGCAAGGCAAGGCAAGGCAAGGCAAGGCAAAGGCAAGGCAAGGCAAAGGCAGGGCAAAGGCAGGGCAAAGGCAGGGCAGGGCCTTTTCTCCGCCAAAACTTTTTTTACAAATACTTCTTGATTCTTAAAGATGTTTTTGGTATAAACTTACCGTACCTTTCCAAAAACAGTTGCAAATTAGCGTCTTGAAGATTAAAAAACAACACACTTGTGACTTTTTGTATGATTTTTTTGTCTTTTAAACTAATTTGTTAACTGTACTTGACTGCACGCCAACTGTCTTAATTGGCTTAATTTTGTCTCGTGTTGTAAACACGGTTATTACTGCAAACGTGTACTTCGGGGTTTTAAGCCAAAACTGTAGTTTTGAAGTAAGTGTTCTGTGTTTTACTGTAAACTGGTTTGGAAAAATTATTGTGTTTGCTATTTTATGTAACGGAACGAAAAGAATTTAGTGTAACTGTAGCATTAGAGCTTTAGCCCAGAGCCCTTGCCCAAAGCCCTAGCCCAGAGCCCTAGGCTAGAGACCTAGCCCAGAGCCCTAACCTAGAGCCCTAGCTCAGAGCCCTAGCCCAGAGTCCTAGCCCTGGCTCTAGCCTAAATAGCTCTACTCTAAAAGTTTGTTTTGGCTCTAGCCTACATAGCTCTACTTTAAACAGAATAGTCTTACCTATGCCAAACCGAATTACTTTAGCCTTATTCATGCTATGCGCTAGCTATCTCTTAGCTTGATCTGTTTTTTAATTTATCCTACTCTGGCTTTAACCTAAAAAATACTTTTTTTTAGTTCTTTTTGACTTTTTAACAAAGCCATTCTAAAATATTTATTTTACAATTATGATGGAACAACTTTTATGCTCAGATTGCTCATTCTTTTGGTTATCATCATTAAAATTGTTGACCTTTTTTACTTCACACTGAACATTATTATCCAAGTCCATTTCTTTTGTATACAACTTGACCACAATTCCCAGGCAAAATAACTGGACGATAGTAAAAAGCAACGCTACTCCGTACCCAAACCAAAACTGTAGTGGATAGTACAGTATTGTGACCACAAATGCGTTGAATAATGAAAAAGAAGGCACAAAATGGTATAATGCACGTTGAAACCTTCTTTCTGATATGATTATTGCTCCGGAAGATATAATGGGCTCTAGGATAGTGCCATATATTATAATGGTTAAAATGGCTATCATCATTAGTGTTATTGTTGGCCAGGTTTGAGTGATTTGAAAGTCCTGAAAGTAATTGGTATAGGAAAGATCAAGCTAGAATAAGACTAAAGATAAGGAGAGCGGTAGAGAGGGAAGAGAGGTTAGGGTAAGAGCTTCTTTTGGGGTTGTAGTATGGGCCGTAGTATACTATATTTAAGCCTTACTATAGATTCCAATTAAGCCTTTCTTTAAGGATATAACTTGAACCTCAGCCTTAAAGTCTAGCAATAGCCCTATCATTAAAGGTTAGATAAAGACTTAGGTAGAGTTTCTGGCTTAATTTACTGTAGGGTTGAGGTAGAGGTGTACAGTGAGATATAGGAACTTAAATATATGTCAAAGGTAGGGTTAGGGTTAGGGCAAAGGTATTACCATGGTAGAGCTGGGGAGAACTAGCGTAGAGCTAGGGTAGGACTGGTGTAACGCTAGGGTAGAGCTAAGGTAAGGATACGTAATGGTAGGGTAAAGACCAGGGTAGAAACAAAATTAGAAGCTAGAGAAAAGCAAAGGGAAGAATACTTACCGTAACAAAAAATACAGCTACAGTAAGAAAATTTAGCATGGTCAACACTGCCAAACTTGATATTATCAATTTGCGCTGATTAAACATAGAAATTAGTTTATAACCAACCGGTAGGCATACTGTTGTCATCATTATTATAACGGCTAGTACAAAGGTAGAAGATGCCTAGAAATCGACAAGTAAGTTTATAATTGCCATAACTTCTTTAAATGCTATAAAATGTCATAACTTTTGTAAAACTATAAAAATTGTGACATGTTTCGTTTTACCCTATCAATTTTTCCAAATCTTCCAAAAATATCATTTCCGTAGATCAAAAACGGCCATAATAATGAGAAATTGAGCAATGTTATCATAGCTCCAACAAGTATAACACTTTTCTGCCCAATATGGTCTTGAATTGTCTCTGATAAAGTAAAGTCTAGACGATTTGAGTTCTAAAATGACATTTTTTTACAAATTTTACAAATAAAAATAGCAAAATTTAAGTTTTACAAAAGTGAAGAAACTTTCTTTACAAAAATTTTTTTTGAGAACGCTAAAAGTTTGCTTACAAAAAAATTTTTTTTAAACTACAAAAAAAAATTTTACAAAAAACACTGCCAAATTTGACAATATCTACCATACCATTCTTTGTAAAGCTTTAAGTTCTTCTAGTATAGCTTCATGATCTTTGTCATTTTCATAGTAAAACACGACGCTCTCCTTGGCTAATCCAGTTTCGGCCAATGACAATAAATATAATGGAGTTTCTTTGTAAATCAATAAGTAAAAGGTTAAACTAAAAAAACGTAATGTTATTGTAAAATACGTTGCGGTAGACTGTAAACGCAAAAATTTTATAAATAAAAAAGATTTTTAAAAAAATCTAAAAATTTAAAAAATTTCACCAAAATACGTTGAACACAACAGGAAATAGGTGAAGGTAGGGCCAAGTTCCGTCACTGCCTAACACAAATTTTGACGCTGTAGTACTGCTTACAATCATAGAACACCAACTTGTTATACAGACTGTTTTTACTAATATACTTCTGGATTCTGATGACGTAATTTCCTGAAAAATCAATAAAAATATCTTGCCCTACCCTACCCTACCCTCCCTACCCTACCCTACCCTACCCTAACCTAACCTAACCTAACCTACCCTACCCTACCCTACCCTACCCTACCCTACCCTACCCTGTCCTACCCTACCCTACCCTACCCTACGCTACCCTACCCTACCCTACCCTACCCTACCCTACCCTACCCTACCCTACCCTACCCTACCCTACCCTACCCTACCCTACCCTACTACCCTACCCTACCCTACCCTACCCTACCCTACCCTACCCTACCCCACCCTACCCTGTCCTACCCTACCCTACCCTACCTTACTTTATTATACTCTTACTTTACCATACACTACCGTACTATACCGTACATCATTTTACCGTATTCTATTGTATTCTACTGCATTTTATTATACCCTTATTGTAGCATATGTTACGCAACCCTACTTTACCTTACCTTCTTTTACTCTTTCTACTCTACTGTATTTTATCTTTCTCTTCTCCACACTATCCTATACTAATTTTGGTGTTGTTAGCCTCAGGTATATTACACAAAATCTACAAAATAACTTACATTTAAAATCCTCGCCAAAAACGAAAGTCCAATTCCAATGCCAAAGCCAGATAAAATTTGAGAAAACACCAACAGTTCGAATAAGTCATACGAACTCCAAATATACAACACAGATGACAATAAAGACAGTATCTGTGTCACAATAATACCTTTCCTCCTACATATTACTTTAGATATCCAGTAAAATAATACAGTACCAAGAAAAGCCGACAAGAATAATAAACTACAAAAAAAGCTCCACACAATAGTAGTACTACCAGGCCTTAGTACTATATTGTAATGAATTTTGAGGCTTTTTCTAACTAGGCCAATTATAATGTCATAATTAGCGTTGATTGTACTTATAGTCATACATAAGCGGAATACTGTACCTAGGGTTGTTAGTACTATGGTTAAGATAGCATTTGCTGATGGAATTTTAGTTGGCTTAGTAGTACTGTAATCATCAGTGTGTTTAGGTAGGATGAAGCCAAATAACATCTAATAGAAAGGTTTATTAAAGGTAATGTTAGGTAATCGCCAATTTAGCAGCAGTAACCACGAACGTCAAAAACGGCTTGAATTACTTCCGTCGTCAAGTGGTTTCATCGTAATTCAGTTACAACAAGATGGTCACTCAACGTAATTTGGAGGTAATTGTTGTTATTATTAAAAACCTATTTACTATGACTAAAACTTGCCCAAAACCTACAAAAAAATACTAACAAGGAAAGTGCCCAACCTGCAACTCTCAGAATCAGCTCTCAATTTTTAAATGAATTCTTTTTACTACCAATAGTACATATAAAAAATCTTAGCCTGCGGTTTTAAGTTTTAAAATTTAAATATTTGAATTTCCCGCCAAATTGGCAAATTTAGCATAGCGTTGCAAGCACTTTTTTCGGCTTTCCAGTCAAGCTACGCCTACAAATTTAAAAATGTAGGTTCATTTACAGGTTTTCTACAATCAAAGAAAAATGATTTAGGAAAGTCAGAAAATGACAAAGTTATAAGCCTGAAATACAATGGCAATTTGGCGGGAAGTTCAAAAAGTAATTTTTTAATCTCGATTTTCTCAAGACTAGCCGCAAAACCGCAACTTAATAATTTGCATAAGATTTTGCATTTACATAATCTTGCTACAAAAAAAGTTTGGATAGAATCTGAGCGTTGCAGGTCGGGTACCTTCACTGTAAGAAGAACATGTGGAATGTATTTATTTAAGTCAATATCAGTTTATACAAAACCCACAACTTTTACTGCACATTATACGTTTTCTTCGTGGACTATAGTACGGAGAATCACAAAAACCATTATTAACGTACAGGGAACATCTAAAAGTGTTTTATGTTTAACAGACGTAACTTAAGCTTAACTTTGTTACCAATCGGTACATTTATAACATCTTTATAACAAAGGCTAGAATAAGCAAGCAGTTCCAAGCGGGGACTTTCTTGGGTCTGGGGGTGGGGGTCGAAAAAATCCACAAGAGCAACCAAGTTTAACTTAACATTTTTCAAAAAAATTTTTTTTTGGGAGAGGGGGTAAACAAATAGTATCATGTATAACAAGGCTAGGCTCTAATCTAAGGTAAGACTAAAATTGAAGTAGAGTAAACCTAAGGTAGGAATATGATTAGACTAAGATACGAATAAATTACGGATAAGGCAACATTAAGTTAGAGTAAAAACAATTTAAAAATGGGGCTAGGGTAGGTAGAAGTGAGAAACGGGCCGTCTAGGCCCGGCCCGGCCTTGAGTTAAAATTGAAACGGGCCGGGCCTGAAAATAGGGCCCGGGCCCGAAAAAAAAATTTTTTAATTTTTAAAAATGTTTTATTTTAATCCCGTTGATGTTTTTTGATTTCATTGGGTACCATGATACATAAATGATCTAAAAGAACAATGCAAAGCCAAATTTCCGTTCATTTTTTAAGTTTTAAAATTTTTTTTAAAACGGGCCGGGCCTAGAAATTTTCTGCCCGGGCCGCTCCGGCCTGAGAGAAAATTGAAAACGGGCCGGGCCTAAACGTTTTGCCCCGGGCCTGGGCCGGGCCTTAAAAGTGGGCCCGGCCCGGCCCTTTTCTCACCCCTAAGGGTAGGACTAGGGTAACGCGAAGATTAGATCAAAGGGTAGGCCTAGACGTAAAGCTTATCATTAAATTTAAAAAAGAAGTTCTTACAGTTTATGTGAATCTTTGCAAATTGGTGATGGTGTTTCCGTTTGGCTACAAACTATATCACTAAATAACAGTGATAATAGTGTCAGTATTAAAATATCATAAAAAAATAGAAAAAGATTCATTAACACACTCAAATTATTAAAAACTAAACACAAAACTAGGTTTCGATGTTCTTTTACTAACTTTATGTTTATACAGATGGAAAAAGCTTAAATGTATATTACGTATTTTACCTTTCCTTTGACTGTCTTCATGCAAAAGTCAACAAGCTTAAAAGTTGCGTAAACGAGCCCACCACAAAAATTAACAAAAAAAATGGCGCCAGATTAACTCAATCTAGCCTCCAGCCTCTACGCTAGCTTTAGGCAAGAGTGTAAGCCCAGCCCCTTCCTCAAGTCTAGCTTTAGTTCTATCTCTACTTCTAATCCAAAGCCAAAACTCAAGCTAAAACTCAAGATTAATATCAACTTTAACCCCAGCCCCAGCTCCACCCCGGCCCTAGTCCGATACCTAGCTCCAACACCTAGCCTTATCGCTACTCCTAAACCGACGCCGAATCCAAAACCCAAGCTCAAGGTTGGGCTCAAGCTAAAGCTCAAACCCAAATTCAGTTTCACGATTTAGACCTAGCCTTACCCCTAGCCTCAACTCTAGGCTCAGCCCTAGTCCTGTTTAAAACCTTTTATTAAAATCAATAGTTTTTGTGACATTTCGTCTTATTACTCTATTTTTTCGTTTTGTCAATATTACTTTTAAATCAACTTGCTTTGCACTGCTTTGGACAAGCGTTAGCTCTTTGCTTATCAAGCTTTCAGTAAAATACTTTAAAAAATTAAATTTTAAATTAAAATTGCTGTTCACATCATTAAGGTTTGCCTTGTAACATTATCAATATTCAACGCTGTTCACAAGATTAATTGCGAACAGCCCTACCAATCAATTAAAACAAATTGGGCCCCAGACCATTTTACAGCTTATTAGGCTTAATAGCTCAAAGGAACAGGCCATAACGTCTAATGTAGTGTAATATTGTATGTAACATACTGTTACATGTACGCTTTGATTTATTGTAATTCAAAACTGCTTGTACATTAATGTAATGTAGAAACGTAATGTAGCATTACATTGCGTTCAATTAAAGCTAATATAAAAAGCCTTCTGTAGCTAACACAACATCACTGTTTCGCCATGAAGTTGGCTTTGGTATTGTGCGTTACCGTAGCGGTTGTTGCGGTTGTTGGTGGCCATAGAGGACTAGACAGCCGAGTACGTCGTGGTGCTGATGACGATGATGTACCTCATTCTATCAACTTCTTGAGAGCTTGACGTGGTGCTGGTGACATATCAGTGCATGTCAATCACGATGATGTTATCAACAAGATATTCCTTATCTTTAATGAAGCCGGATTTGGGCTCTAGTACCAAAAAGTGTACGATTTGCTGGTGGCCAATCATAAAAACGTAAGGTATTCCAGAAGTGCAGCTATAACGGGATCTGCTTTAGTTTGGAAACAGGATTTCGTACCAAGAAGGCTGGGCTGGTAATTTGAGCTAGAGGGACTAAAAATCTTACATGGAAAATGTTCTACCTGCCTGCCTGTAAGATCGTTAATTGTTTTTACTGAGTAGGGTAGATCCGAGCAAGGAAGGACACGGTTAGGCTTAGCACGGTAGAGTTGAGCGCGGTGGGGCAGGGTAGCGTAAGGCAGAACAAGCTAGAACAATGAAAGATAAGATAGGTTAAGAGATAGAGTAAGACAAAGCACGGTGCACAGCATAGTGTAAACGGCTCATAATTGAGCTGAAAACCGTCTCCGGCGAAGCAAGTGACGGTAGTACGATAAAGCAACGTGGAGTAAGGCAGATAATGGCAAAGCAAAGTAGAGAGTAAGATAAGGGAAAGGTAGCTTACGTTAGAACAGAATACAATACGGTAAGACACAGTACAGAACAGAAGGAGTACTATAGGACAGGGTAGGGTACGGTACGGTAGGGTACGGTAGGGTACGGTAGGGTACGGAAGGGTACGGTAGGGTACGGTAGGGTCGGGTAGGGTAGGGTAGGGTAGGATAGGGTAGGGTAGAGTAGGGTAAGGTAGGGTAGGGTAGGGTAGGGTAGGGTAGGGTAGGGTAGGGTAGGGTAGGGTAGGGTAGGGTAGGGTAGAACTGCTTATACTAAATTCTAAATTTTAGGTAGAAGACCTTGTCAAAAAGTACAATTTGGATGTTATTCCTCAACGCCTTAATAACTTTGAAAGGGATATTATTGGTTATGATGAAGGAAATCCAAGAGGAAAGCAACTTGACAAAGCGGTAGCTGAAGCAGAATACATTTATGACCGTCTGATTGCCGTTGTTACTTCAATCAATGATCTTGTTTCCGTAGATAATGTTATGGATTTGCTTCGCTTGGCTCAAGTGGTATGAATTTAAATTTAATTTTAAATTTCTGAAAAGAAAGTTTGTCGTCAATTTACGCTTACTATACTCTACCGTACTCTATCCTACTTTACGGAACATAACTTACCGTATCTTGTCTTACCGTAATTCTACCATGTCTTACCGTACCGTGCCATATCGTGCCATACCCTACCCTACCCTACCCTACCCTAACCTACTCTACCCTACCCTACCCTACCCTATCCTACCCTACCCTACCCTACCCTACCCTATCCTACTTTATTATACTCTTAACTTATCAAAAACTACCGACCGTATTATACCGTTCATCTACCGTATTCCCTCCTTACATTATGCTGCTCTATTCTACCTTGTCTTGCCCTGCTGTAACTTATCTTACCCAATCCTACACGACCCTATGTTGTCATCCTCTTTCTTACCCTATCCTCCTTCATTTCCTATCACGTATTTTAATTAAATTTCAAAAAATTTCAAATTTCAGAACCACGTCACCAATCGCATTCGTGAATCACTTGCTTCGGGCAATGGCGATATGCAACAATTAGTCAACGCAATTTCTTGCGCATACAAATGGCAACCTCATGGCCCAGCTAAGTATAGCGTAGGTGCAGCTCTCGATGTGCTGTACAGCCGCAATGTTAATTCACACGAACTTAGAAACCTTATTCTCGGCCTGTGCCCAATTATCGAGATAAAGGACGAAAATTAATACTTTTGAGGATTCGATAAAATACTATGAAAGAGTTTTTAAAATAAATTTTTATGCCACAAAATTGTTTTTTTTTCATATGAAATGGCTTTTTTATAACGAATGTAATGTAAAAAAGAAAAATTTTGAGCGCTTAGGGTTGGAGAGCGCGGGGTAGCGTAGTGGTTGCGGCGCCACTTCACTATTCGGAAGGACCTTGGTTCAACCCTTGCCTCCACCCAACCCAGGCGCATTGAGGAATGGGTAGTGCTGGGAGCACGGGGACTAGGCTCATCAACAATTGGCCAACACAAGTGTATGATAGACAAGCCAGAAGTCCTATAGAGCACCTCACCCACGAACCAGTGATGCGGTGGACAGTGGAAGCTGGGGAGAGGCCCAATTATAAGAAACATCATAAACCAAGGATAGCTCCGGTGAACAACGAGGAAGAACTAGAACAATCCAGGAACATACACGCAGTAACTCAAGGCAATTGTTGGCATCAACAACGTATATCAGATTTACATTTTACTGGCATAAATTGTAGTTTTGCCGGAGTTCAAATTAAGGCCGCGGTGGTTTGTTTTAGGTCCCGCAACGATAGATTTGAGTTGCAAAAAAGCGTAAAAGAAATTTAGTTTTAACGCTACTTTCATATTAAAAGGAGCGCAAAATTAAGCAAACGGACTAATAAAAATAATATTTAAATAAATTTAAAAAATTAAAATTGTTTGAATTATTGATTATTTAGGCACAAAAGTAGTACAATACAAATTTCTCCATTTGTTAAATTGTTCAAAAAAGAATGACTGCAAAGTGACGGACAAATCAAAATTAGTCATTCTTTTTGGGACAACCTAATATTATTTTAGTGAATTTATATTGCCTTGCCTTTGCCTTTGCCTAAATCTAACTTCAGTCTCCTTGTTAGACAGTCTTGAACAGTATGCTTGGTGTAGCGTGGTATGGTTTCTCACAATCATTAAAAATTGAATTTTGAAAAATTAGTTTGTATTTAAACGTTGATATTAAAAAATTAATTAAACTTTGTCTAAATTTGTGTGAACAAGACCAGAACAAGATTCCTAATACAGCCTACATCATAGCTACAACAACATTAAATGGTAGCTATGAAGCTAATTTTCGTACCTTGGGCTCTTGCAGTCATTGTTACTGTAGTTAATAGTCATGGTGAAGGTTTCGATAGTCGTCGTTCTGGGATCAACTATGATGGAATAAGCTACAGAGGCAACAGAATTCGACGTGACATAACAGATCGAGGATGGTTTAATCCGATAGGTTGGGTTAGTTACCGTGCTCGTCGTTCTGTTAACGATGATAAGAAAAGCTTATCTTTAGTAAGAGATCGCCGAGATGTTGATGATAAAATCATTGATATGAATAACAGAGAAGCCTACATAAGCAAGCTAGAGAAGGATGAATACAATCCACCTCATCCGGAAGTCATCAATATTAAAAATGTCATCAACAAGCTCTACCTTATCTTTAATGACGCTGGATTTGGACTTAAATATAGACAAGTAGAAGAGTTATTGGTTTCTACTTATCTGCATGTGAGATTTTCAATTATTTTTTCTAGGTAGAGTAAAGCAAGGCACAATAGAGCAAAGAACGGTGAGGCAGAGCACGGTAGGAAAAAGTACAAAAAGACATAACACGGTAGAGGAATAGGAAGTAAGACAAGGTAGGGTAAGGAGAAGTAGGAAAAATCACAGTAAAGCAGGGCACGGTGTAAAATGGCACAGTCGGGCCGGGCACGGCACGGCAAGACACCGTAGTATAGTTCAAAGTAGGGTAGGTAGGGTAGGGTAAAGTCGGGTAGGATAGGGTAGGGTAGGGTAGGGTAAACATAACAAAACTTTTCAATTTTAGGTACGAAACATTGACAAACAGACCAATTTGGAACTAAGCGAATTGTTGAGAGCATTCGGTCTGTTTCTATCCCATGATGACAAAGGGTATCCACGTGGATTTGCGTTTGAAAAAGCTGTCAGAGAAGCTCAAACTGTGTATGAAATTTTGGTTTCCACGTCAACGTCTGACTGGAATTTACCGCTCGAAGGTTGTATGATGGACCTTCTTGGCTTGGCACAGTTGGTATGTAACTAAGAAGGCTTTTGCTTTTGCCTTGCTTTTGACCCTGCCTTTGCGCTGCTTTTGCCCTGCCTTTGCCCTGCCTTTGGCCCTGCCTTTGGCACTGCCTTTGCCTTGCCTTTGGCACTGCCTTTGTTTTGCCTTTGGCACTGCCTTTGCCTTGCCTTTGCCCTGCCTTTGCTTTGCCTTTGCCCTGTCTTTGCCCTGCTTTTGCCTTGCCTTGCCCTGGCCTTGCACTAATATATCTACTTTGTTCAACACCTTTTCACTATGTGCCAAGCCCTAATATAAACTATAACATCTTTTAAAACACAATTCCAGAACCACGTCAACACCCGTATCGACGAGTCTCTCCAATCGGCTGGTTCCAATATGCAAGCTTTGGTAAACAAAATTCTTTATGCCTACAGCGTAGATCGAATGCACCTTCAACCAGTCAAGTTTTTGGTTGGTCGAGTCTTGGATGCACTATACTACAAGAACGTTAATAAGAAAGAGCTGGACCAGCTTTTGAACAGTTTGAAACCAATTGTTCATAAAAACGTCTTATAATATTAAGACATTGATAATAAATGTTTGCATTTTAGAGATATTTGGATTTTGATTGACTTCAAACTTTTTAATTACATAGAAAGATTATGTAATTATAAAATATTCAACAAAGTGCTGTATCGCGCTTTTCAAGAAAACGCGAGAAAATCGAGTTTAAAAAATAAGGTTTTGAATTTCCTGCCAAATTGGCATTGTGTTTCAAACTTATAACTTTGCCATTTTTTGACTTATATTCACTTTTTTTTTGATATTTCAGTACAAAACCATTTTAACTTTGAAGACAAAATTACATTTTTAAATTTGTAAGCAAAGCTTTTACTTTACATTATTCAAGCGTCTACAATTACAATTCAGGAGGTATAGATTACATAAGTAGTTTGATGCCGTAGATTGTAACGTACTGTGTTGATGTGCAATGGTGTTCAATGTTCAGATGAAGACCAACGGAGCTATTCTTGAGTCTTACTTTTCCCATAATTGTGCATCTCCCCAGGTATTTCACTGTTCCCCACCTCAATGAGTCGTAAGTGAGATGCTCCATAAGACTTCTGTCGTTTAATCATATACTCGTGTAGGCCAAGTATAGATATGCCTAGTCCCCGTGCACTAAGCACTACCTATTCCTCAACGCGCCTGGGTTGGGCGGTGGCGGGGTTGAACCAAGGGCTTTCCGAATAGCGACGGCCTCTGCGCTACCAACGCACTAAAAAAGACAAAAATCTGGGCTGGGCACAGCAAGACAGAAAAAATGTAAGGGAGAGTAGGAGTAAAGAAACTTAAAATAAGGTAAAGGTTTGACCCTAGTGGTAGGCTGAGGCTGTGGTAGGACTATAGTAGGGCAAGAGAAAGAATAGGAAAAGACTAGGTTAAGGCTAGTTCAATGTTAATTTAAATTTAAGGTAGAAGTGCCTACTCTTTCACTTGGCCAACACAGGTGTATGATAGACAAGCCAGAAGTCCTATGGAGCACTTCACCCACGAACCAGTGATGCGGTAAACAGTGAAAACAGGGGGGAGGCCCAAGTATGGAATACATCATAAACCAAGTATAGCTCCGGTGAACAACGAGGAAAAACTAGATCAATCCAGGAACATACACGCACTACTTCAATGCAATCGTCGGCATCAACAACATATAATCTAACTAAATCTACATTCCACCGACCATGAATTGTAATTGTATAGCGTAGAAAACATGTTATTTTGAGCTGATTCTGAGCGGAACAAGTGGGTACTTTCCCTGTAAACCTAATGATAGACGGCGATTTAAACGTAAACGGTTTTTCCTACCATATGTTGCTTTACTCTACTTGTCCATTGAATTTTTGTGCTTTTACTAATTAAAACATCTAGCCCATTAATAATGTTGCACCAATAAACGTTTCTTTATTAAATTTTAAACAAATTAAAATATTAATTAAAAAATTTTTTTATTAAAACTTTTTTTAATAAAACAATATTAAAATTAAAAAATTGTAATGAAAACGTTATTTTAAGTACAAAAATTTAATAAAAACTTTGTTTAAATTTAAAATCCCTTAATTTTGATACCTATAAAAGCCCGGTCATGCTGTTATTTCCATCATAAAGCCATGAACTGGGCCATTCTACTGTGTCTTGTTGTGGCTACGGTAGCTCAACGGTATGACAGAAGACATAGTGGTGAAGAAGGTGGAATAAGCTATCGTGCTCGGCGTGGCAATGATAAAGTTAGTGCTGATGGAGAAGGAAGCAAGCCCATTGGTGATCTAGGCTGGGGTCCTTGGGTATCGAGAGTACGTCGTCAAGCCGGCGGAGGAGGCAAGCCATCGGTGATTTAGGCTGGGGTCCGTGGGTGTCGAGAGTACGTCGTGGCTTTAATGATGACAAAACTAAAAAATCAGGATTCTACAGAGCACGACGTGGTGTCGACTGTCCTCCAGGCCAAAAAAGCTGGCATGGCTGTAACACCTACAGCTTCCGGGATCGTCGTGCTGCTGGCGATGATAAGGGTCAAGGCAGTGATGATATTAAGTCATGGGCTCCTGGTGCGTACTCAAGAGTACGTCGTCAAGACGACGACTCTGTTTCATGGGGTCCCTACTGGTCAAGAGTTCGCCGACAAGCTGAGGGCCATCCTGATGGTGGTATGTCATGGGATCCATATTGGTCAAGAGTTCGTCGACAAGCTGGGGGAAAGCCACTGGAGGACCAGGATGATATGGCCAATAAACTGCACTTGGGCTTCAGGGATGCTGGATATGGGCAATCTTATGAATTTGTTCAGCAGTTCGTTCAAAAAGTTGTTCGAGATGTAAGATTTGGAAGGAGGAGGAGTAGGGGTACTAATAACTTTTTAAAACTTTGTTCTAAGTTTTTATCATAACTAACTTCATAACGATTTACCTTAGTATTGCTACTTAAAATACGGCTTTTTAGTACCACTTTCATTCACATGGCCTTTTTTTGCATGGTGCTTTATAGTATAACCTTCTCTAGTTTTCAGTACTAAAAAAAAATCTTTCTAAAAAGGAGAGATTATCAACCTGCCCCGCTCTGATTAACTTCAAACTTTTTATATAGAAAAACCATGTAAATATAAGATGTTCAGCAAAGTACTAAGTCACGCTGTTTAAGAAATCTCGAGAAAATCGAGATCAAAAAATTACGTTTTGAATATCCCGCCAAACTGGCATTGCTTTTCAAGCGTATAACTTCTCCATTTTTTGACTTTGAGTATTTTTCTTTAATATGCTAGTAGAAAAACTTTAAAAAACCTATATTTTTAAATTAGAAAGCGTAGCTTGTCTAGAAAGTCAAAAAGAAAGTGCTTGAAACACAATGCCAAATTTGCCAAATTGGCGGAAATCCCAAAATATTTCAAATTTAAAAATCAAAAGCGAAAGCTAAAATGTTTTATGAGTACTATTAGCCCAACTAAGACCCCCTGCCTATTTGTAAAAACCCTACCCTACTTTTCCCTACCCTACCTTACCCTACCTTTTTACTTTTCAAATGCCATACCAAGGCAAATTTTTTGTAAATATATATCTACAACTTCAGATTCGAAGCCTCATCAAAAAGTACAATGTAAACCCTGAAATCGAAATGAAATTCCTCCGACTATTCTTGATCAACATTGATGAAGGTAACCCTCGAGACATAATGTTTGACTTCGCAGTACAAGATGCTGTAAACGCGTTTGCCGTCTTATCAGCCATGGCTTCTCAAAAAGAATTAGTGGAGCTTGAGTTTGCTGTGAAATTGCTTCAGTTGGCTCAGCGGGTGAGTATTTTAATTCTATAGCTATAATTAAAGCTAAGGCTCAGGCTCAGGCTCAGGCTCAAGCTCAGGCTCTAGCTCAAGTTCATGCTCAGACTCAAGCTCAGGCTCATTCCGAGGCTCAGGCTGCTCAGGCTCAAACTCAGGCTCAGGCTCAGGTTTCTGCTCAGGTTCAAGCTCAGTCTTAAACATATGCTCATTCTCAGGCTTAAGCTCGAGCTCAAGCTTAGACTCAAGCTGAAGCTCCAATTCAAACTCCAGTTTAAGTCCAAACTTAAGCTTAGAAATAGGCTTAGCTTCACATGCAAGCTCAGACTTACTACTTTAACCTATCATAGCATAACGTTTCCTTCCAGAACCACGTCACCGACAGAATCCGCGCTTCACTGGACGCAGCCGGATCCAATATTGACGAACTGGCACAGAACATAGCTACAGCCTATGCGAACGCTAGATTTTTTGTAGATGGACCAGGAGTTAGAGTTGCCGAAGTTCTAGACGCAATTTATCGCCGCAACCTCAGCGCTAAGGAAATTAAAGCTCTTTATCATGATCTTACCACGTTTCGACATGAAATCCCCTCATCCACTGCGGCTCAGAAACCGGCTACAAAGCAGCCCTCCAAACCCACCTAAGCCAGGCAAGATTCCTGATAAAAAATCGAAAAATTAATGAAATTTTCAAAAAACAATGGAAAGCTTGACTAAAATTACATTTTACTTTTGATGTAATGTACTTTTTAAGTAATAAACCAGCTCTAACTTGAAAACTTGTAAATTTTTATTTATTTATAACAAAACCTTTCAAATAACAAAACAAAAATTGACAAAAATTGGGCTAATACCAACGCTATAACTGTGCCTACATAAGGATATGACCCTGAAATATTAGAAAAATGACAGGTAAAAGTTAGAGGCTCAATGTTAAACTCACAATTCGTCAGGCTTAGGTTCAGACTCAGCTTAGGCTCAAACTCAAGAACAAGGTCAAGCTCCAGCTCTAGCTTAAGCTCCAGCTCAAACTCAATCTTAATATCTAGCTAAAGCTCAATTTTATGAACAAGCTCAATTATAGGTCTCGACAAAAACTAGAGATTAGACTACAACTCAAGCTAAAGATCGGGTTCAAACTCAGGCTTCTAATTTAAGTCACAAGCTCCAACTCAAGCTCCCTCTCAAACTGCGGCATAAGCTCAAGCTCAGACTTGTTTTCAGGCTCAGAGTCTACATACTCAATTCTTAGAGCCTCAACTCAATTTCATGCTCATGTCAGAGTTAAGCTCAGGCTTAGCGCACAGGCTCCGTTTTGGGTCTACGCTCAGGCTAAAGATCAAGTCCTGGCTTAAGCTCAGGCTCAAGCTCAGGTTCCTTTCAGTCTGGAGCGCAGGCTTAAGCTCAGGATTGGTTTAGGCTTACGCTCAGGCCCAGGCTGAAAATTAAACTCAACTTCAAGACCTCAAATCTACAAGCTCTTAAACTCAAACAGTCCAAACTAAGGTTAGGCTAAGACCCAAACTTACTTCCAATAACTTTTTTATTGCTAGCCTCACATGCCACATGATTTCGATAAAACACCATATATTTATTCCATAATCTTCTTAATTGTAGTTTTTCTGATATTATAATCTCATTGATTTGATTTAATAGTGGAAAGCCTTTTTTAAACATAAAATACGCTTTTGTTGGGAAGAAAAGACTGTCAGCCATGTGGATATTACACTTTTTGAAGGCTTCAAAGGTTAGGTGTTCATCATCCTGAAGAGTATCTTATTTTATTTATAGTAACGTGCTATACAGCAAAGTGCTAAAAAAGTAAACTTTTTTATAGTATCGTACTATTTAGTACTAGAAAAAAACTTTAAAATATAGCACAACCTCATATTTTGACATGCAATTCTATGCAGTACGACCCTAAAAGCTTTAAAAATTAGCTATAGTACTGTACTAGTGAGTATCGTACTATAAGTAATAGACTGCCGCCTCCAACTAGAGGCCAGCATTGATAAGAATATAGGTCAGTCGAGAGGACATGACGGGTTCGTGAGAGGTCGTATCTGTTATGAGTCTTTTAAGATATTATATTAATGTTATTGTAGTCTTGCCCCCAACAGTAATAATATTACATGTTAGTATTGTTTAGAAACGCCAATAAATTGTACGTGTAAAATACTAGACGTTTTTAATATATTTAACTTGTTAATTAAGATAAGAGACAAGTTTACTTATATAATACAAAAAAAATTTAATGTTAAGCGCAATATAGTTCTTTGGTTTAAATGCAATACTACAAGGTATAATACTAAAAAAAGTAAAAAATTTGTTATAGTACTGTACAGCTTAGTACTGTACCATTTAGTACAAAACAAAAGAAAACATATTACAATGTAATGCTTTGAAATGCATTCTATTTATTATAATACTAAGTAAAAAATAAAGTATTGTACAGCCAAGTATCGTACTATACGGTACGAAAAAATTACAATGTTAAGTGCAATATATTACTTTAAAATGCGATACTATGCAGTACAAAACTAAAAAAGATAAAAAATTAGCTATAATACCGTTCTGCTCAGTACCGTACTATTTAATACAAAACAAAAAAATTAAAACTATAGCACAATATAGTACTTTAAAATACAATCTTATCCGGTACAACACAAGCAAAACATTTCCTAACCTACATATCTTATGATGACAGCACCAGGCTTATCCAACATATCCATAACATCATCAATATCCTTTCCCAACCTCAACGGATTACTTTCCAAAGCGTTCCGTAACTCAGAGAAATCAGTAGCATTCGAATTTACTACAGTTTCGTAGAATATACTAGCTTTTGTCACTTCAACCATATGTAAAGTGCCATCCGCAATCAACGAAGTGAATTGTGAAAAGGTTTTAAAAGGCACTGGATCCTCTGGTCTTACCAAATTTGAAAAGATATACGAACTTAACACTCCCATTATTACTGTGCATTGAACTAGAGAGAATATGAAGAAGGATATACGGCCTAAAGTTATATTATGTTAGGTATAATGCATAATCACCGTGCTACCAATGCATTAATAATAATAATTAATAATGCGTTGGTAGCGCAGTGACTGTGGCGCCGCTCGCTATTCGGAAGGCCCTTGGTTCGACCCCGTGCACCGCTCAACCAAGGCGCCTTGAGGAATGGGTAGTGCTGACTTTAGCCTACACGAGTATATAACAGGCTCAATACTTGGCTTACGCGAGTATATGATTGAACGCCAGGTCTTATGGAACACCTCACCCACGACTTTGTGACGCGAGGAAAGTGAAATACCTGGGGAGAAGCCCAATTATGGGAAACGTCAGCCTCAAGGATAACTCCGTTGGCTTTCATTTTTAAATTTAAAGATCTTGAACATCCTTTCACATCAGCACTGTACGTTACAATCTACGGCATCAAAAATCTATTGATTAAAGGTATTTAAAAACTAGGGAAGGGGAGGGTAAGTAGGAGTAGGGTAGAAATAGAGCAGGGCTGAAGTAAGGCTAGGATAGGGCTGGGAAACTAAGGTAAATCTAAAGTAGAGCAAAGTTAGAGCTTGTGTAGTACTAAAGAAAGGCTTTTAGTAAAGCTAGAATATGGTCGGGGTAAGTCTGGGGTATGGATAAGGCAAGGCGAAGTTTAAACTAAAGTAGAGGTAAGGTGAGGTTAGGGTAATGCTAGGAACCTACCAGCAACCAAATTGTTTTCCACGCTTGATGCTTGTAACAGCTGAAGCCGCACAATCTTCCATACTAAATCAGCTACACTTCGATGACTTTCGCGCTAAATAAAACATGAGTCAACAAAAATATGTCAATATGCCTACGGAATTAGAAAAAACTGTCTTTTTACCTTTCGTACAAAGCTTTCCACTCGATTTACAACCATACAAAACCCGCACTGTAACATCAAAGCAAAGATAATGCAGATCCAGGCCGAGAAGTGATAGCTTTCGAAGAAGGCCGTGTAACTGTGCCAATCACTGCTTGGGACGTTTATTAGTACTCGACTTAGAGACTAAAATATAATAATTTGAAGACCAAGGCTAAAACTAACGCCAAGGCTCAAGCTCAAGCTCAAGCTCAAGCTCAAGCTCAAGCTCAAGCTCAAGCTCAAGCTCAAGCTCAAGCTCAAGCTCAAGCTCAGGCTCAGGCTCAACCTCAGGCTCAGGCACAGGCTTAGTCTCAAGCTCAGGTTCAGTCTCAGCCTCAACCTTGAGTTTAGATTTAACCTCAAAAGCAGGCTTAATTAAGCTCAAGCTTCGGTTCAAGTTTAAGATTATACTCAGGCTTACGCTAAGAGTAAGCTGCAAGGTCAAATAGACTTACGTAATACACCGGTTCAGTAAAGTCAAAAAATAGTCGTCTTTCGTCATCAGGACCTACGGCTAAAGCCATGGTGTCAACTGTACCATTGTTTATGAGTTGCATTAGACCATTTGGGATTCCGTCTACCTATAAGTTTAAAAAGACATTAGAAAATCTCCCAACCCTAAAATATATCAAAAAGGCGGGAAACGGTAGGGGGGGGTATATCGACTAGGCCTTGTTCTTAACTCTTGCCTCTAGGTTTACGGAGCCGGTTCGGACCTATTCAAAATTGCTTTTAAACATGTCCTATGCCCTTTTTTGGGTCCCCGCTCATGTTTACAGAACCTTGATTTACAATTATGTTTAACTTACAACATGTCCAACAACAGGCTGTTCACTCGGATGGTAGTGGGGTTCTATTTTTAAGCCTAGCCGGGTTGCTATTAGCTTTATTATCTGAAAAGAAATTAAAAGAACATGATAATACGTTCTACCCAGCTCTACACTGCCTTACGCTACTTTGCCTTACGCTGCCCTGCCTTATCCTACCTTGCCTTACGCTACCCTGCTTTACTCTACCCTGCTTTAACCTACTCTGCCCTACACTACCCAACTTTGGCTCTAATGCATTGATCTCGTTTAGCCTCTCTACTTCCTCTCTAACTAATTCCCTGCTGGGTGCTATAACAACAATTAAAAAAAACCAAAAACCTACCTCAACATGTAATCCAGGGAACATACACCCCTTCCTAGGGCTGATAACCGGAGCATTGAAACAATCTGTATTAAGTGCTGGAAGACCACCAGTGTACAATACTCTTAATGTAGTGATGTTCATTGGTCAGAATTGTAAAAAAAAATTGTGTTTTGTGACAAAATATTTTGAACTCGTTTTTTTTGCAATTTTAACCAATACATTCTCTATTTGTCTTTGGCATTTTCTTAAGCAAACAGTTTTAATACCAATACGTGGGATAATGTGTTTAATGTCAATTTAAGGGTAACAAGGTCTTTAAATATTAAAAATTAACTAATATTGAATAATTTTGGCTAAAATAAGTTAAAAAAGTTTGTTAACAATATATTCTAAACTAAATACAAGAATAGATAGTGCTTCACATATCAGCAATACCATGACTGTACCAATGTATGGGTATGACGCTGAAATTGAGGGTTAAATTAAAGTAAGGTAAGATTAGGTAAAGTGGGGTCAGGCAAGATGTGATGCGTCTAGCATAAAGTTAAGGTATGACTATAATAATGCTATGGTTAAAAATAGAGAACGTGTCAGGCCGAGCCCGAGCAAAATAAAAAACAGGCCGGGCTTGAAAAGTAGATCCGACTTGATCTCCACGTTTAGCTAAGATAAGGTTAAAGGTTTAGAGTAAAGCTAGGTTAAAGCAAGGGCAGGTCAAAAGCAAGTCTAAAAATAGAACCAAAAGCAGGGCCAAAGGCAGGGACAAAGCAGGGACAAAGGCAGGGTAAAAGCAGGGCCAAAGGCAAGGCCAAACGCAGGGCCAAAAGCAGGGCCGAAGGCAGAGCTAAAGGCAGAGAGGCAAAGGCAGGGCAAACGCCGGGCAAGGCAACTTACTTCCAATAGTTTTAGTAGTAGAAGGTTCACAAGCAACGTACTTTCGATATGACGTCAAATACTTTGCCCATAGCCTTCTGATTGTTTTTCTTTCATCAATGAGCACTTTGTTGATCTGAGGCAATAAAGGAAAACCTTTTTTAAAAATTAATGTTGCAGCTGTAGAAGAAATTAATATGGCTTCCGTCATGTGGATATTACACTTTTTGAAGGCTTCAAAGGTAACGTGTTCGTCTTCCTTAAACAAAAATCGTTATTATTCTACCCTACCCTACCCTAAAAAACTTTTTGTGAAATATACCCTACCCTACCCTACCTTAAGGTACTCTTACTGTGCTCTATCGTGTCTTACCGTACCGTACTCTGCTGTATCCTACTTTAGCTCTACCCCAGCCTGCTTCATCCTTGTCTTGCCCTAACGTACCTCTGTGCTCTACCGTACCTTACCATACAGTACGTTGTTCTAACGTGCCCTAACCTTCTATTAACCTTACTAGAGCCTTAGCATAGTTCTACTTAGGCCCCATCTTGCGCTTACCTTACTCTTGCCTTTCTCTAGCCTTATCCTACCCTTGCTTGACTTTACCCTTATCTTGGTCCTACCGTACCTTACCCGCTCTTAACCTATTTCTAATGTGCTCTATCGTGCTTTGTTGTACTTTATTCTGCCCTAGAGTATCTTAACGTATCTTACCTTACCTTACCGTACCCTACCTTACTTTGATCTGCCCTATCCTATAAGGCTATAAACCAATAATACTCACATATCTAACCAAAACAGCGCCAGGTTCATCTAGAAAAACCAATAGCTCTTCAATATTCTTTGCCAGCTTTATTGGATTCTTGTCCAAGGCATGCCTTAACTCCACGTAATCAGCAGCATTTGATTTGTATATAGTTTCATAAAATATATTAGCTTTGGTCACTTCAACCATGTGTAACGTCCCATCAGCAATAAGCGACGCAAATTGTGAAAACGTTTTATACGGTATTGGGTCTTGCTTTCGTACTAGATTGGAGAATATGTAGGAACTTAAGACACCCATGATAACGGTACATTGAATAAAGGCAAATATGAAGACGGAGATTCGACCTAAGTTAACCAAGTATAGTAAAGCTCTTGTAAAAGAAATAACTCTAGCATAGTAACACACAAACATAAGCCTAGCCCTACTTTGTAGCTACCGTTACCTTAGATTGTACTTGCTTTGTCCCAGACTACAAAACCTTACTCTAACCGTACTGTCGCGATATCATAGCTATACCTCATTTCCGCTCGATCCTTACTATAAGCTTAATTTAACACTACGCTACACTAATGTTAAAGGTAAGGTAAAGCTGAAGCTTTATAAAATGAGGCTTCAGTAAGAGTAAAACTAGGCTTACAAGGAAAGTGCCACTTTCCTTGTAAGGCCGAGCTATATTATGGCAAAAGTAAGGCTAAACTAGAAGTACCGTAGGCTTGGACACAGCTGGGGTAAGGGTAGAATCACAGGTAACAATAACTGAAGAATAGGCTTAAGCATAGGCTTGTGTGATGCTATGATAAAAGGATTCGCTAGATCGGAGTGTTTTAACAAAAAAATAACCTTCAAAGCTACCTGCAGTAATGTTACAATTGACATCTTCTGGTTGCATTAGCTGTAGTCTCACAATTTGCCATACCAAATCGCTAATTCTCTTCTTTTTTTCATTCTGAAAAAACAAAAAAAAAATAAAAAATACAAAAAATACAAAAAAAATGAAATAAAAAATACAAAAAAAAACAAAAAAAATAAAAACAAACACAAAAAAATAAAAAATGCAAATATAAGATACACCATTAAAAAATACAACAACCTACTTTATTAATTTTAACTTCCACTCTATTGAAAATAACGCTCAAAGCACATTGTAACATTAAAGCTATTAATATTGCAACCCATAAAGTAAATTGATAACTTTCGAAAAACGCCATATACTTGTGCCAGCTTTGACTCGGAACATTGATTAACACTTTGCTAATGGACTGAAAAAGTATTTTGATTAAAAAATTATTCCTTTAATACTTATCTATCACTAGACTTCAAAGAGGTCCTACTAGGCTAACTAATTAAAGCTTAGGCCGGTTTTGAGCAGCAATTTTAAAAAAGACATGTGAGGGCCAAGCCAAAGCCTGCACATGCCCGAGTATTATAGGAAAAAACCAGGCGGATTTACTTGGTTTTAAGACTGGTTCAAACCAAGCTAGGCTTTTGTACCGGGCCAAAAACTCAAGACGAGCACGGTCTCTCTACATGTCCAATTTGTTGTACAACGAGTTGAACTCACATAATAAACTGGCTCTGAGAAGTCGAAAAACCTTCGGCGTTCGTCATCTCCTTTGACAGTCAAAGCAAAAGTATCAACGGTGTCGTTGTGGATAAGCTGCATCATACCGGTAATTGTGTCATTTTGCTAAAATATTTTTAAAATATATTGTTACAGCAGGAACTTCTGTTTAACAAAATACTAAATTGAAATTTATAACTAAACTTTAAGAAAATTATATAACGTTAGCTTACCACAACACCTACATACGGTTGTTCTGCAGCTTGATAAGTTGGAATTATTGTTAGACCTAATTTGTCAGCGATTAATTTCATTATCTGTAAGCATGTTAATTTTAGTGTAATTATAGGCCAAACAAGATTAGAGTAAGGTAAGAAAAAGTGTCATAATGTAAGGCGAACTAGAGTAGGGTAGGTCATGATATGGTAGTGCAAAGGCAGGACAAAGGTATGGCAAAGGCAGGGCAAAGGCAGGGAAAAGGCAGAGCAAAAGCAGGGCAAAGGCAGGGCAAAGGCAGGACAAAGGCAGGGCAAAGGCAGGGCAAAGGCAGGACAAAGGCAGGGCAAAAGCAAGGCAAAGGCAAGGCAAAAGCAAAGCAAAGGCAAAACAAAGAAAAGGCAAAAGCAGGGCATAGGCAGGTCCAAAGGCAAGGAAAAGGCAAAAGCAAAGGCAGGGCATTCATGAAAACTACCTCAACATGAAGTCCAGGAAACTGGCACGACTTCCTCGGAACGAAGACAGGAAAGCCATAGCAATTTGTGTTCAAAGCTGGCAATCCACCCGTGTACAAAACTTTTAGTGTTGTAATATTTGTATCTTTGTTAGCCATAAAGTACTTTTTAAAATTTTTAACATTTCAGTCTAATGGCAAGGACATTACACTTCCGGTAATCTAATACTTTCTTCTTTGAACTGACTTGTGTTGTTACCTATTGTCTTTCATGCATATGATTTTGACCGCAGCGAATTTTAATGAAGTCGACGCAAAATACTAGGCTTTACAGTACTAATTATACAGTAATACTACTATATATTGCAAAACACAGTATATTACACAATAAAAATACGTAACAATTATATTATAAATGCAATGATTTTATCAATAGCGTCTCTCAATTTTGCATTTGTAAGGAACAATCATGATTCCATTGCTATCCACCTTCTTGAGCACTGGTGGGTTGGAAGCAGCAGAAAACTTGTATTGATTCAGGAAGTTGGCAGTAAACATAAACAGCTCAGCTTTGGCCATTCCTTCACCTAAGCAAATCCTTTTGCCAAGTGAAAATGGTATAAATTCATCAAATTGCTTGAACTTGCCATCGGAGGTCAGGTATCGCGTTGGGTCAAACTTTTCTGGGTTTGGAAACACCTAAAATAAATTTAAAAAACTTAAAAATTTATGTTACTTTAGCTTTAAATTTAGCATTTCTTTAGCTTTGGCCTTTTTCCTAGCTTTAACCAGAGCCTAAACTGGAGCTTGAACCTGAGTTTAAGCTTAAAACAAAACCAGAGCCTAAGCTTAAGCTTGAGCCGTAACCTCAGCCTGAAACTAAGCTTGAACTTGAGTATAAACGTGAGCTTAAGCCTGAGTTGTAAGCTGTGCTTAATTCGAAGCCACAGCCTTTTTTTAGCCTTAGCATGAGTTTTAGCTTGAGCAAGCTTGCAAATAAGCCTAAAATTGAGTAGGAGCATGAGCCTGAGCCTAACTTCGAGCCTGAGCCTAAGCTTGTACTTAAGCCTGAGCTTGAGCCTAAGCCTGAGCTACAGCCTTGGCCCTACTCTAGTCCTACTCTAGCAATATTCTAACCCTACCTTAGCTCTATCCTTGCCCTACACTCACTTCTGCCTTTATCGTACCTTTAGTATCATTAGCCCATACTTACTTTGGGATCTTGTAGTAAAACTGAAATTTGAGGTACGAAAACAGTGTTTGTTTCAATGTGCATACCATTAACTTCGACTTCTTTTGTATTGACTCTGAGCATGTTTTGGCCAGTTATATTGGCACATCTTTGGCATTCCTAAAACATTGTTTAGTCTATTCCAAAATTACAATACTAATATATAAATTTTATAAACAAAACTCACAACAAGCACCGCATTAAGATAAGGCAAACTAGACTTGTATTGACCTTCAATGATCCCACCGTTTCCAACAACTCTGTCCAACTCTTCATGAACCTTCTCTTGAATCTCTGGGTATGTTATCATAAAAGCAATAACCCATGCCATAACTGATGAAGTTGTCTCCTGCCCAGCCACCCACAACTCGGTACATACATGACACAGCTGACGCACGCTGTACATGCCTTCTTCCCCGTGCGCATACAAATGTTTCTGTCGTTCCAAAAGATAAGCGTCTACAAAGTCAGAAGGCTCCATGTCTTGAGTATAGTCGGTTTGTTCAATGTGACGATCGATATGTTTTTGCAAATATTCGATCAGTTCGGTTGAGGTCTTTTTGTTGGCTTCGGCACGACCTTTTATGATTGGCAGGTTCAGCATCCATGGGTTTTGGCGTACTAGATTTGAGAATGGTGAACCAAATGATTGGGTTATTTTGGAAGTGAGGGTCTTTATACGGTAGAATTCGTCTTCGTGTTCCTGAATAGTAATTTCGAGGAAACATAAAAGAAACAAAGCAAGCAGGGTTTATGTCAGGCTCATTACAAGCGTTAAGACTAAGGTAGTAAACTAGGGTTCTAGACTAGGACTTTAAAATAGGATTCTAGGTTAGGATTTTGTGATAAGGCTCTAACTAGGGCTTAAACTAAGATTAAGACTAAGGTTAAAGCTAAAGTTGGGGTTTGCATTTAGGCTTGCGATTATGTCTAGCCATATAAAAAATCGATGGCTTAGAACAAAACTAAGATTATAGTTTAGAACTATGGATTAGTGCATGTGCCTTCCAGCTAGAACTGGGACTTTTGGACTACGGCTCTGGGCTAGGGCTCTAAGTTAGGGTTCTGGCTAGGACTCTGGGCTAGGGCTCTGGGTTAAGGCTCTGGGCTAGGGTTCAAAGCTAGGGCTCTGGGCTAAGGCTCTAGGCTAGGGCTCTGGGCTAGGATTTTGGGCTAGAGCTTTTTGGTTAGGGCCTCTGTGCTAGAGCTTCTGGGCTACAACTCTAGACTGCGGCTCTGTGCTAGGACTTCTGGGCTAGGGCCTTGAGCTAGGGCCTCTGGGCTAAGGCCTCTGTGCTAGGACTTTGAGCTCTGGGCTAGGGCTCTGAAGTAGCGCCGCTGGGCTAGGGCTGTAGGTTAGGGCTCTGAGCTGGGGTGTTTGGCTAGGGTTTTGGGCTAGTTGGGCTATGGCTCACCTTTGTAAATCTCCGGCCTAGAACAATTCGTCCAATCACTGATCCAGTAGCCATATCAGTGTAATTAAAAAAGTCAATGTTCTCAATGCCATCATCAATGTCTTTGTTGACTTGCTCTAACAGTAATTCAATTTCAGCTCCTATCTAAAATATTATGACATACAACTTGTAAAGAAAGTTCTTGCTATTCAAACTTACCCTAGCCTCCATTTGGTTCTTTCCCAACCCAAAATCTCTCAAAATCTTCAACGCAAACCTTCTCTGCTCTCTCCAACTGTCACCATTAGCCAATGCGATACCCCAATTACCAGCGTACAAATTATCGACCGGTGTTCGGTATCGGTCCGAGAAATGTTCGGACTGTTTTACAAAAAACTTTTGCATATCAGCAAATTCACAAATGGCTATAACTGGCAATTCACCAAGCCAATAGGTGAAGGTTGGCCCATAAGTTTTGGACCATTCAATAAATTTGTCTTCCCATCGTTCTTGCTGTGAGAGAGTGTGAACATTGCCCACTAGAGGTAGTGGCGGGGGACCTGGGGGTAACTTGCGACGTTTCCAGAAATAGTTGTAAAAGAGAGTTATGGCTAGAAGGGCTAGTATGTAGATGAACATTGTTGGTTAAAAATTTAAAATTTTTTTTGTAAAAAAAAATTTTAAAAATTTTAATTTTGTCTTACTCCAAACTACTCCGCTTTACTCCACTTTACTCCACCCTATTCCACCCTATCCTACCCTACTCTACATTACTCCACTCTACTCGACCCTACGCTGCCCTACTTTACTTTACTCCACCCTATTTTACGCTACTCTACTTCACTCCACCTTACTCTACCTTAACCAATCCAACTATTCCCCCTGACCCACGTTACTCTGTCCTGCGCCGTTTAGAAAAGAACACCTTTAAAAAAATTCGTTTGAATGTTACTAAAATGTTACCAAACCTAGAGCAAGAAGCTTGTTAAACTTTTTGTTTGACGCGGTCTTTGAAATCGATAAATTGTAACTAACAAGCAAAAAACAAACAGCTCGTAATCAGTGAAAACACCCATAGTAAGCATAATATAAAAAACAGGTTTAGTCATTTGTTATCAAAAATAAACAAGTACATACATATTGATAATAGTGCGTTACTATGCTTCAGGAAATAACGCTAAGCCAGGTTTTTTGTAAAAAACAGTTTTTAACGCCCTAGTCAGGTTTGGCTCTATACAAAATGCGCCAAAACTTCTGTTACAAAACTTTGTGATACTTTAAAAAAAAGTTTGAAGAAAATTAGAACGTTGCGTGCCGGGTACCTTCCTTGTCAGCTCTAATTAGGTTTGGAAAAGGCGTGTTTGGACTTACTAGTCCAACCGAGTCGAAAGAAACTTGAAAATAGCCGAGGTCATGTAAGCCCGGTCCGAGAACTAGTAGCGCAACAAAAAAAAGAGCCGGCATCTTTACAGAACTATGTTAGTTTATATTATAGGTATGTAGCTCAACTATAACCTATTTTTTTACTTAACTTATGTCTATTTTTAAACAAGCTTTTTTAACTTACTTTAGCTACAGATGTGTCTATTGGCTCGATTAACCAAGAAATTTCACCTGAATGGACTGATTTTAAAATTTGTTTTGGTTTATTCAAAAAAGCCTTGAACTTTTGTTTATAAGGCGATTTTGTAAACTGTGGTTTATGTGTGAATTCGATTCTTCTTGTTCTTTTTATTTTTGTGATCAAATAAGCATGCGTTGAACGACAGAGCTTTTTGAAAAATATATTGTCAATTCTAATTAACCATGACTAAAAACAAGGTTAAAAACATTAAAGAAAAGCTATAAGTTTATTGTTATTTAGTTCATTTTACCTTACATATAGCATCAAAGCAACCAGAAAAACAAGTTAAACAACCTTACCCTACTCTACCCTACCCTACCCTACCCTACCCTACCCTACCCTACCCTACCCTACCCTACCCTACCCTACCCTACCCTACCCTACCCTACCCTACCCTACCCTACCCTACCCTACCCTACCCTACCTACCCTACCTACCCTACCCTACCCTACCCTACCTTACCCTACCCTACCCTACCCTACCTTACCCTACCCTACCCTACCTTACCCTACCCTACCTTACCCTACCCTTTATCTTACCCTACCCTTTATCTTACTCTACCTTGCCCATATTACCTTACCTTACTCTGTCTTACCCTACCACACTATTCCCTATCTTTTGTTACTCTATCTTACCTTACCCTACCTTATATTACTCTGTGTTACCCTACTCTACAGTATGCCCTATCTCATCTTATGTTATTCTATCTTACACTACCTTACTTTACCTTGTCCTGGCTTTCACTAATTTACTCTATGGTATCTTACCTTATCCTTTTGTGCCTTATCCTATCTTACATTGTCATACGTTACCTTACCCTACTCTGTCTTATTCTAACATACTCTATTTTAACTTTTGTTACCCTACTTTACCTACCTTATTCTATGTTACCTTACCTTACTCTAACTTACCTTATCTTACTCTACCCTAACTTACCCTTTTTTTCAAAGATGTAACCAAATTCACCACAGTTCAAGTTTATGTCGCGTTCCATAACCCATTATCAATAAGCAGTTGATAAGAAATTTATGAGCAAGGTTATTCTCGTTCTGACCTCCCAAAGTGTTCGCAGCCAATAATGAATTTGGCTAGCTGTATTTGGTTATTTTTGTTTGTTCTAACTTGTCACGGAGCTAATGTTTTAGTTTATAATGGGGCTAGGATCGCTCAATCTCATGTCTTCTTCATGGCTAAGATAGCTGATGTTCTGCAGGAAGATGGGCATAATGTGGTAAGGTCAGGGCAGAGTAGGGTTAAAAACTATTTTTTTCATTTTCAAAAGTTTTTTAACGTAAATTTTGAAATTTGTTAAAATTTTAAAAAGTTTGGTTTTTAGCCCAAAACTTTCTTTACAGAACAAATAATGGAAAGAACTTTCTTTACAAAGCAAAAAAATGACAAGAACTTTCTTTACAAAATGAAAAGTGGCAAAAACTTTCTTTTAGCTAACCTGTATCTCACATCTTCTGATAAAACGAGAACAAAAACGAGAACTTTCTTTACAAAATGCAAAATAGCAAAAACTTTCTTTACAAGGCGGAAAATGGCAAGAACTTTCTTTACAGACTTAGAAATGACAAGAACTTTCTTTACAATACAAAAAATGACAAGAACTTTCTTTACAACTTCAAAAATAGCAAGAACTTTCTTTACAGAATAAAAGTGGCAAGAACTTTCTTTACAGAACAAATAATGGAAAGAACTTTCTTTACAAAGCAAAAAAATGACAAGAACTTTCTTTACAAAGTTTAAAATGACAAAACCTTTCTTTTGAAAATGGAGTATGGCAAGAACTTTTTTAACAAGCCTAGATTGATGAATTAACGTCATTTTCTGTTCTTTTTCTTTTAAAAACCTTTATCAGTATAACAATGACCAACTTCACTTCTAAATTTTTATGAAAAATTTGACAATTTCCACGACAAAAACTGATGTTAAAATGTGTAAGCGCTGAGAAAGTCATCGTGACCATGAGACTATTTGTTAGAAGATTTAAAAAAATTATTTTAGACGTTTTATCAGCAAGAAGTCTTCAAAAGTGTGAACAAGGTCGGAGTTCGAAAGGCCAAAGCCGTGGTGAGAAAAGCAGATGAAGACTTAGGTGGAGAACCGAATCAGGATGTTTGGCATCCGCCTGAAGGGCTTGTCGCTAATTTGAAGGTTTGTAAATGTTCAGTTTAAATAATAATAAAGGACTGGCGTAAGGGTAGATCAGGGTAGAAGTAAGGCAAGAATACGAAGCTTAATATAATTGTACATAGGTAAAAAAAGTTCTTAGTCTATAATTAGGTAAGGCTAGATTAAGGTTTAAGTTAGGCTGTAACCAGGGCCGGGCGCGAGGGGGGGGGGACGGGGGGGGACCACCCCCCACAAAAAAATTTTTGAAAAAAATTGAACGTGGTACCCCCCCCCTGTGGATTTTCGGAAAAAAAATTTTGCAAAAAATCGGCACAGCTACCTGTGCCGATTTTTTGGACCCCCGCCCCCAGACCAAAAGTCCTCGCCCGGCCCTGTGTATAACGTTATACTTATGTTATAGAAATATGCATTATATGCTGATGTAAGACATTTAGATACTGGTACAATAAAAATAATATTAACTTTATAATATGAACTCGCAGGTTTTATGTAACAAGAGCGTATTAAGGCTAGGTCTAAAAGAGCTACCTGTGCCGATTTTTTGGACCCCCGCCCCCAGACCAAAAGTCCAAGCCCGGCCCTGGCTGTAACAATTTAGAATATTGCTGGAGTAGAGCTTGGGTCAGGTCAGAATAATGCTAGGGTGAGGCCAAAGTAGCGCAAAAGTAAAAAAAAGAGGACTACAGTACAGTTAGGAAAAACCTAAGGCTATGGTAAGGCTATATTAGGCTAGAGTAGGACTAGGGTAACTCTAGAGAAGAAATAAGGTAAGGCTAAGGAAGGCTTTAAGGTAAGGCAAAGCTGGGGTGCTTTTAGTGCTAGAATAAAGCTAAAGCATGGTTAGAGTAAGGCTTGTGTAGGGCTTGTTGTAAGGTAAGGCTGAAGTAAGGCCAGAGGGCTGGGGTAAAGACTGGGTAAGTCAAGAGTAATGTTAGGGCAGAGATAGTAGCAAAGTTTGAAAAAGTAAATTTTTATTGTTTTAGATGTTCAAAGCTTATGGAAATGCCATAACTAAAGCGTGTGAATGTAAGCATTTTACATATATTTAAAAAAATAAAGTTTCACTACTATGCAGTGCATTTGAAAGTTCTTTATACTGAAACATAACGAAAAATATCAAAATTCCCAAACATCTCGTCATACCGAGATTTACTGTAATCATTTCAAAAGCTTCAATTTCAGTCCAACTAAACGACAAGGAATACTTAGCCAAATTAAAAGCGGAGAAGTATGACATAGCTTTAATCGAGTATTTTGACATTTGTGGCTTTGCAATTGTTGAACAGCTGGGAATACCAAAATGGATCACAACTTCAGCCATGATGATCCAATCTGACTTCAATTCTCTGTTTGGGCATCCAAAGAATTTGGCTTTTGTGCCTGGTGAGGTTTTTTTAAAATAAAATACGTTTTTGAAAAACTTAGAGTAGCACAGGTTAGCTGAAGGCAGGGTAGGGTAGATTAGAGCAGTGTATTGTTGGGCGGGTTAAATTAAAGCAGGTATAGTAGGGAAGGGTAGAAAATTTTGTTTATCCATTTTTTTTAGATTTTTTGAATGGCAAAAACTTTCTTTACAAAACAAAAAATGGCAAAAACTTTCTTTACAAAACAAAAAATGGCAAAAACTTTCTTTACAAAAAAAAATGGCAAAAACTTTTTTTACAAATTAATAAACAGCAAGAACTTTCTTTCCGCTAATCTTTTGTTTACATTTTCCGATTCCAGGTTTTGACGGTGACCATGGCTCCAGACTCACCTACAAACAACGTGTCAAAGCCTTCTTTTCGTACCCGCTGCAAAAAATCATGTACTATTTAGTATTTGGAGAAGGTGCACATGGAGTGGTAAGAAGAATGGGTCAAAAGTTTCACTACGAAGATGTTATTGCCAGAAGTTCGTATGTCTTCATTAATGTTGATGAACATTTGGCTTTTCAAATGCCTTTAAGCGAAAAGATGATATACATTGGAGGCATGGACCAGGATGCGGTAACTAAGCCGTTAGAAAAGGTATACTGTAGTAAAAATCCACATTTAAAAAAAGCTTTGCTTTTGTAAACATAATAGCAAAAACTTTCTTTACAAAACAAAAAACGGCAAGAACTTTCTTTACAAAACTGGAAATAGCAAGAACTTTGTTTACAAAACAAAAAACGGCAAGAACTTTCTTCACAAAAAAAAAATTTAGGAGTTCAGTACCATCTACAACAATGCCAAAAAAGGTGTAATACTAGTGTCATTTGGAACTATAGCAAAAAGTGTTGACATGCCTGAAGAAAAGAAACAAGACGTGTTAAGTTTGGTTCGAAACTTCCCAGAATATGAGTTTATTTGGAAGTATGAAGGCGATGATGCCGTAGGAAAAGAGTTAAAAAATTTGCATAAGAGGAAATGGCTACCTCAATCGGATTTACTAGGTAACTACCTGCCCTGTTTTTGTCTTTGCCTTTGCCCTGCCTTTGCCCTGCCTTTGCCCTGCCTTTGCCCTGCCTTTGCTCTGCCTTTGCCCTGCCTTTGCCCTGCCTTTGCCTTGCTTTTGCCCTGCCTTTGCCCTGCCTTTGCCCTGCCTTTGCCCTGCGTTTGCCCTGCCTTTGCCCTGCCTTTGGTTCGTTTGACCCTAAACTATCCTAACTTTCCTTATCTTATCCTACGTATCCTACCGTAAACTACCCTAGCAGACCCCGTTCTAATGTACCTTACTCTAATCTTACTGTCCTGCCTTAAAGTGCCTTGTCTTGGCGGGCCTTGCTTTGCGCTACCAGCCTACTCTACTCTATCTTACTTTTCCTACAGGTCTAGGTGTACGTCTTGGCCTACATGACTATACCGTATCTTATTATACCAGACATCATCTTACTCTACCCTTGTCTTACTCTCGCTTTCCTGCCTTGACGTGTCCTGCCCTGCTCGACTATTATACCCTACCTTACAACACCTTGTCTTATTTTATCCTACCCTGATTTACCTTATTGTACAATCAGTTTGCGTTAGCTTAGGCAGCTCTACATTTGCCTAAAACTTTATTTTTTGAAGAAATAATTTTTAGCCCATCTAAAGACCTTAGCCTTTGTAACTCACGGCGGGCTGAACAGTTTTAGTGAAGCAGCTCATCGAGGAATGCCGGTTGTTTGTGTTCCATTGTTTGCCGATCAAGCCAATAACTGCTACTCTGGAGCTGAAAAAGGTCTGGGCATCGTTGTTAAGAAGGAGGATTTCAGTGGTAAACGGCTTATTGAGGCTGTTGATGAGCTTTTACACAATTCTACGTACGTTTTATATAAAGATCTAACTACAGCTTAAACTGACTTTAGGGCTCTGAGTTAGAGCCTTGGGCTCCGGGCTTTAGCCTAGAATTTTGGGTTAGGGCTCTGGGCCAGGGTACTAGGCTAAAACTCTGGGCTAGAGTTCCAGGCTAAGGCTCTGAGCTACCTCTAGGTCAAAGCCTAGGCCTAGGTCTAAGTCTAGGCCAAAGTCTAGGCCTAGGTCTAGGGTAGGTCTAGGTCTAGGTTCAAATCTAGGTTTTTTGAGCTAGGGCCTTTGAGCTAGAGCTCCCGGCTACGGCTCTGAAGCCTGAGAATAAAAAATATAAATTAAAATTCATTTTTAGTTACAAACAACGCTCAGTCCACTTTGCAAGAATGATGGCAGCTAAACCGTTCAAACCTAAAGACAGAATTACTGGTTATGTTAACCATGCCCTTGAGTTTGATGTCAATATGGCATTGGATTTACCTTCCCGTCATTTATCATTCATTCAACTTTACTTTATTGATGTTATTGTACCTCTTGTTTTACTTTTAGTTCTTTTTGTTTATATTATTGTTAAGGTTTCGAAGTTTTTATTTAAATTTGTCAAAAAAGTAAAAGTGGAGTAGACTTTTTAAGTAATATAAGTTATGTATCTTCTGTTTCTTAAGCAATAAACCATGTGATAGTTAAAAAAAATTAAGTTTTTCTAAAATATTGTTTCTTTCATTTTAAAGTCAATGAGTTTGGTTGAAGAAGAGTTGAAATTTAAAGGCTGAAATGACATAGTCCATGTTAAAAAAAGTTTTGATGGTTACAGACTACAAATGTCATGGTAATCAATTTCACGTTTTTAATACCTTACCTTACCCAGTCCTACCCTACCCTATCATAATCTACTCTATTTTACACCACCCTACTTTGCCCTACTAATCATATTAGGTGCCGACGCAAGGAACCCAAAATTTTTTACAGGAAATTACAGTAAAACTATGGCGGGTCTTTTATGTAGGCACCTAATAAAATACATTAACTCGCTCACTTTTAGCCTAGCCCGACCTACCTTACCTACCTGTGCCGATTATTTTTAGACCCCCGTCCCCAGATCACAAGTCCCCGCCTGACCCTGCTTATGATGCCTCTAAATGTGGCCCGGCCTTAAACTTCTAGTTACTACTATAGTTTTAACTTAGCCTTATTTTTACGATACCTAACCTCGTGAAAACGAAGTTAAGACACAAACCTCACTACAAGATAAAATTTTTTTGAGAAGTTTGTATTTCTTTCTTGTGATAATGTCATGAACTTTGTAACTAAAAATTTAAAATTTGATAAAACCAAAAAAAAAGTTTATGTTTAGTAGACGTAAAAGCGCTTAAAACAACAAAAATTTAATTTTTTATCAAGGCTGTTCTTAAAAAATTTCAAATTCTTATCAAAATTGAAGTACATTAATCGGCTAGACTGGTATTTTTAACATCTTGATAACAAAGCTGTAGTCAAAAGCTTATAAACCTTTTTCTAATTGTTACGTTTTTTGGGTGTGTCTTACAATATTGTAGTATTGTAATGCAGGTATTAGTATAAAATACAAATTTTTTCTCAATTGTTACACTTATAATTGTCAGAGTATTGTTTCATTAAATACGTTTTATACTTTGCTCCTTCTTAGTTACTTCCTAGTTAATTTTTAAAAAAAAGTTTTGAAAAAATGGCAACATTTATCTTTCTGTCTGTTTCCTATAGAGGGGGGGGAGCTGTAAATGTGAATTCCCACCAAAGTCATCTAACCAACTCTAATCTAGCCAATAATACGCTTAAGAATACAGATTACTATAATAACTTAATATAAAATTTAAATTTTGTTTTATCTACTGTTACCGTGGAACTCTTGTAAATATAACAAACTTCTTTATAACGAAAAGGCTATACAATGAACAAATTTTATAATAAATCTCTGTCTACCACTATACATTATATTTAAAACTTTACTTGTTATGAAACTCCTATGTAAAGACCAAATTTAAAATAGCGGAGCCATTCGTTATAAACGCGTTTTACTGTACAGTGTAACTCCTATATAACAAACTCCTCTATAACGAAACTTCTGTAAAACAAACAACTTTTTAATCCTCGACTACCAGTACGCAGTGCATTTAAAACTCCTGTATAACGAAACTAGTTTACAACGAACAAATTACAAGTCTCCGAGCGATTCGTTATACATGAGTTCTACTGTATTTATTAATTTAAACTGTTAATGGTGTTTGTACTACTACAAATAGATTAAACAATTCACGTTGCTAGCCTTATAAAAACATTTTTTTAACTTGTACTATTCGTAACTTAAAACGATTAGCTTTAACTATTAGCGTTAAAAAAATAAAAGTCTACTCACTAAGCCCTTTTACTACGCTTTCTACAGTACCTAAATTAAGCAAGAACATGGTGAAAGTCTAATTTAATTACAAAAAAGACTATCAAAAGCATCAATAGTCTTCCTTCAATACGATTGTCGCGCACTCGTTCGAATCGTAGTTTGAAATCATAGAGAAAAAAAGTAATTTACAGCAAAGAACCCTTTCTTAGTAATCAAAGTATTTGTCGCTGACAATTTGCAGTATTACCTGGAGTATAAAAGCTGACAAATACCGCTTATCATTGCCTGATTTACTGGCTTGTCCAGCGAGTGTGCTGGTTTCGTAGAATAACCTGGGAGTTAGGGTTGAGAGCCGTTAAATTATTTACTTTACATTCTTCAAGCGATCTACAATTACAATAGGATATAGATTAGATTAGTTGTTTGATGCTGTAGATTGTAACGTACTGTGCTGATGTGCAAGAATCTTTATGTTTCAGATGAAGACCAACAGAGCTATCGTTGAGTCTGACGTTTCCCATTATAGGGCCTCTCTCTTGGTATTTCACTGTTAATCGTGTCACTGAGTCGTGTGTAAGGTGCTCCATAAGACTTCTGGCGTTCAATCATATACTCGTGTAGGCCAAGTATAGATGAGCCTACTCCCCGTGCACTCAGCACTACCAGTTCCTCAAAGCGCCTGGGTTGGATGGTGCGCGGGGGCGAACCAAGGTTTTTCCGAATAGCGACGGCCTCTGCGCTACCAACGCACTAAAAAAGACAAAAATCTGGGCTGGGCACAGCAAGACAGAAAAAATGTAAGGGAGAGTAGGAGTAAAGAAACTTAAAATAAGGTAAAGGTTTGACCCTAGTGGTAGGCTGAGGCTGTGGTAGGACTATAGTAGGGCAAGAGAAAGAATAGGAAAAGACTAGGTTAAGGCTAGTTCAATGTTAATTTAAATTTAAGGTAGAAGTGCCTACTCTAGCCCTACCAAGAGCTAGATAGAGATAGAGTAGGCATAGGGTAAGACTAGAGTGAGACTAGGGTAGGACTGGATTAGGACTAGGGAAGAGTTAGTTTAGTGATTGGTTAGGGTACAGTTTGAGTAGAGTCAGGTAGGTCTAGAGTAAGGCCGGGCGCTGGGGGGGGGGGGGGTGGACGAGGGGAACCACCTCCCCCCAGCAAAAAATTTTTTGAAAAAAATTGAACGTGGTCCCCCCTGTGGATTATCGGAAAAAATCAGCACAGGTTCCTACCTATGCCAATTTTTTAGGCCCCCAGACAAAATTCCTCGCCCGACCCTGGTCTAGGGTAAGATAAAAACTATTTTAAAGGTTACGTTAATCTTTTCCGATATAATATTACATAATATTATAATAGCTCAAACAAAACACAATTTTTTATCTACCGAAACTATGAAACCATACGAAGCTTGATAGTGACAGTTTGCTTTTGGGTGGGTAAACATAACCGTTTTCGACTTGAACTGATTGATTATTTTTAAAACTGATATTTTAAAACGTCATTCATTATTCCCTATTTAATCAAATTTATATATCGCGGTTACTGTAGAGTTACAATACACCGTAGAAAAAACATAGATTTGTAGTTTCTGTCTTCCACCTGTAGTCATTGAATTACTGTGCGTAGTCAAACGTTAATGTAAAAACGTGTTTTAACAATTTGTAAGGTGAAGGCGTATCGTAGCCTTAACTCTAGACATTTGTTTTTATTTTGATCTTTAAAGAAATAACTTATATAAAGATTAATTGAGATTGTTAAACAAGCCGGCTATTTATTTGTTACATGTTTTGATGTTTTTGCTGCTATTAGTTTAATTTTTAAAATTAATATAAATAGGTTCTAATTTTAGGATAATTAGAGTAGGATAGGGTATGATAAGACGTGTAGGGAAAATCAAAGAAAAGTAGGGCAGTTTAGAGTTGGGAACGTTACAGCAGAGCAGGGTGCAGTAGGGCAAAATAAAGTGAAGACAGGGTATCTAAAGGAGAGTAACAATGATTGAAGTAGGGTGAGGTAAGTCCTGGCATAGAATCATACAGTAGGGTGCGGATCAAATGAGCATAGCATATTAGAATAGCTTACAGTGGAATGGGTCATGGTATGAACGTAAAGGCAGATTGAATGATAGAAAGAATAAGGTAGAGTAGAACACAAAAAAAGAGGGGCAGGCTAGGGTAGGAAAAATCGCAAAAATTTTCTTTACAAATTAAAAAATGACAAAAACTTTCTTTACTTATCAAAAAACGGCAGGAACTTTCTTTACAAAACGAAAAATGGCAAGAACTTTCTTTACAAAACAAGTTTTGATCTTTAAATTTTTAAGAGTTGTATCTTCAGCCATTAATAACATTGTGATTTGTCCAGCTCTGTTTGTACCGTTTTTTTAACCATTTTTTCATTTTTTTAAAATTCCAACTTTTTCAGTGTTTTGGGTTCAAAATGAAGTTGATCGCACTGCTCGCTGTGATCACATTCACTGCTTCGTACGTTCAGTGCGAGAAGATTCTGCTGCTGAATGCGGCTCGAATCGGGCAATCGCACGTGTTTTTCATGGGCAAAATCGCCGACGTTCTTCATGAAGCCGGACATAATGTGGTGAGTGGGAAGAGAAAAAAGTGTAGTTTAGACTGTTATACGATAGCAATCAAATTTAAGACACTTTTAAAATGGTACATTTTTTTTAAATTCGATGAAATATTGTCACGATGACACTTTCTTTCAAAAAAAATTTAGAAAATAGGTCATCATGACATATTTTAAAAAAGCTAAAACAATTGTCAAAAAGTAAATTGCACATTAGAAATACAAAAGTATTTTACACAAAATAAAGTCTGTCACAATGACATATTTATTTTCAAAAAATGTGTCACCATGATTTAATTTTTCTGAAAATATGTCATCAGAAAATATTTAAAAAAAGTCAAAAAGTGACAAAAGATTTGTTTTTAATTAAAAATAAGATTTTTGGTTTAATAAAAAACAGTCATAATGACACACTTTTCTAAAAAATATGTCATGATGAAAAATTTTTGTAAAAAACCAGTCATGATGACCCACTTTTCTAAAAAATAATGAAAAACCTTTCTAAAAATCAGTCATGATGACGAATTTTCTAAACAAATTCAAAAGTTCTAAAATCTTTAAAATTCTATAAGATTTTGATCACTTTAGACGTTTTACCAACAAGACGCCTTTACATCCCTCACGAAAGTCGGAGCCAAGAAGGCCAATGTTGTGGTACGTCCATGCGACACAGGCTGCAGAGATCAGCCCAGTGATGACGTTTGGAAGACTGGAGATGAGATGATGGAGAACTTGGAGGTGTACCATATTTATGGTAGCACTATGGGCTCTGCTTGCGAATGTAAGTTGAAAAATGTCATTTGACACAATTTTCTAAAAAAAGTAACAGTGCCATCATGACTTGACACATCTTTTGGAAAATCAGTCATCATGACACATTTTTGGTAAAAATGTCATTATAACAATTTTTTAGAAAATCTGTCATCATGACACTTTTTTATAAAATTTGTCATCATGACGCTTTTTTTGAAAAACTTTTTATTATGGCACATTTTTTTGTAAACTTGTAACCATTACTCTTGTTAAAAAAAAATTTCAAAATTCAAAATTTTAAACTTCAAAATTTCAGCCCAGCTAAAAGACGAAGCTCTAACACAATGGTTCCGGGCCCAAAACTTTGACTTGGCTATAGGTGAGCACTTTGACTACTGTGCTCACGCTTTGATCGAAAAGATTGGCATTCCAAAGGTCATTACCGCTTCTGCTATTATGATTCAGCCAATGTTGCTGCAACAAACTGGCCATACACTCAACTTGGGGTTTACTCCTGGTAAGTTGTAGAAAGTTTGAGGCTTGTAAAGGAAGTTTTTGCCATTCGTTTTGTAAAGAAAGTTTGTGCCATTTTTGTTTTGTAATGAAAGTTCATGTCATTTTTTGTTTTGTAAACTAAGTTCTTGCCATTTATGTTTTGTAAAGAAAGTTCTTGCTATTTTTCGTTTTGTAAAGAAAGTTCTTGTATCTTTTGCTTTGTATAGAAAGTTCTTGCATTTTTTAAATCCAATGTCTTTCAGGACTTGACGATGACCACGGTAGTCAAATGACCTACTGGCAACGTGCCAAAGCCTTATTGATGTACCCACTCAAGCGATTCATGCTCTACCTGACATTCGAAAGTTATGTTCTAAATGCCATTTCTAAACACTACCGCCCCGACTTCAACGTCAATGACGCTCTCGGTAAATCGTCGTATGTTTTCGTCAACGTTGATGAACACTTGGCTTATCAAATGCCCTTAAGCGAGAAGTTTGTGTACGTTGGTGGGGTAGGTGAGCATATGGGTCGTGACCATTCATTACCGGTCGAAATCAACAAAATTTTGGAAAATTCTAATAAAGGTGTCATTTTGATGAGTTTTGGCACTATTGCCAAGAGTTATTTGATGCATGAAGATACAAAGCAGCAGATATTGGCCGCTGTCGCTGCGATGCCCGAGTATGATTTTATTTGGAAGTATGAGGTAGATGACTCGATTGGATCGAACTTGACCAACTTGCACAAAATGAAATGGACTCCACAGAGCGATTTATTAGGTAAGGAAAAGCTTTGCCCTACCCTACCCTGCAATACCCTACCCTACCCTACCCTACTCTACCCCACCCTATTTTATCCTTGGTACCTTACCATTGCATGCTTTGTCATGTGCGACACTATCAATCCTAGCCTATTCTGGCTACTTTACCCTACCATCTCCTACCTTTTTGTAATCTTCTTTACCGCACAATATCTTGTCTTACTCTACCGTATGCTACTCTAGCATGCCACGCCTTTTCTCACCCTGCTTTATTTCACTTTACTCTACTTTACTTTAGTTAAAGTACAGGGTGTCCCAAGATTTTTGCGGAAAAGTAAAAGCTTGTTTCTCGAAAAGTACCAGTCCAAATTGGACGATTCTTTTTTTAGTACACTTGAAATTGCGGGCGGATTTGGTATTGGTACTTCGTTTTTTGATATTCGGCGGATGGTCGGCGGAGGCTACTTTTTTGCTTTGACCAATCCAAAACCTTCATTTTTTGGTTCCTATGTCACCTGCTGATTCGTCAAAACGCTTTCCAATCAAAACATGTCTTTCCCTGCATCGGCGGACGACCGGCGGAGAAAAACGGCGAAGGCCATAACTCCGCTCAAACTCAATATTTTTTCACCGGACAAAAAATGGAAATGTTATTTTAAGCTGTTTAATACATTTAATCAAGTTTACAGTTCAAAAAATTTCATCGGCGGACGATCGGCGGAGAAAATCGGCGAAGGCCGTATCTTGGTCAATTTTTGTGACATAGGAACCAAAAAATGAAGGTTTTGGATTGGTCAAAGCAAAAAAGTAGCCTCCGCCGACCATCCGCCGAATATCAAAAAACGAAGTACCAATACCAAATCCGCCCGCAATTTCAAGTGTACTAAAAAAAGAATCGTCCAATTTGGACTGGTACTTTTCGAGAAACAAGCTTTTACTTTTCCGCAAAAATCTTGGGACACCCTGTAGAGTAAGGCTTACGAATTGTTAAAATTACTATGGTTTATCTTACTCTAGTTTTATCTAGCCTCAATCAAATTTCAGCCCATCCAAAGTTGCTGGCCTTCGTAACCCACGGTGGATTGAACAGTGTCAGTGAGACGGCCCACAAAGGAACTCCATTTGTTTGTATTCCGGTCTTTGGGGACCAGAACCATAACTGTTTCTCGGCCCAAGAGAAGGGCTTGGCCGTTATGATTGAGAAGTCAGAGATCACTAAGGAACACCTTGTCAGTGCTTTGAATGTCATCTTGGATCCTAGGTGAGAGATGTTTGAAATTCGTCAAATTTCTAAAAAATGTGTCATGATGACAATATAAATTTAAAAAGACTGTGTCATGATGACCGTTTAAATTTATAAAATACGTGTCATGATGACAATCTAAATTTAAAAAAGCTGTGTTATGATGACATTTTAAGTTTACAAAAAAATGTCATGATGACATTATAAATTTCAAACTTTAACAAATCCCGTTTTCAGCTACCAAGAACGTGCCATGAGCTTCGCTAAAATGATGGCTGACAAGCCCTTCCAGCCAAAAGACAGGATTATTGGGTATGTTAACCACGCCCTGAAATACGACGTGAGCACGGCGCTGGACTTGCCGTGCCGTCAATTGAACTTCTTTCAAAATTACTTTTTGGACGTACTGATTCCAGTAGCTTTGGTACTATTGACAGTTGTTTATGTGTCATACCGTATGACTAAATCGACCGTATCCTTTGTACGAAGCTTTTCAAAAACGAAAGTTGAGTAGATTTGTTAATTGTATGTATAAAGTTAATAGTAATGTAGTAATAAAGACGATTGTTATTTGGAGAACTGTTTTTTCGAAAAGGAATGGGTAGGGCAGGATGTATTAGTTGAATAAACAAAAATCAATACTATGTAAACGAAATGTAAATCTTACAAAACATTTTTGAACGTTTGACGAGCTAGTGTAAGGTTTGTCAAGAGCTATTTTTCTATTTGCTTATCAGCAATAAACTAATATTATGAAAATACTTTTAAAAAGTGATGATCTTGTCAGAAATTTACAAATTTCTTATCAATGCACTGAAACTCGACTATAAACATATGAAGAAAAAATGAGTAAATATACAGTCATAATGGAAAAACAGTCTTTCAAAAAACTCCTTAACTCTAGCCCTAAGGGTAAGAAACGGGTCGTCTAGACCCGGCCCGGCTCAGCGAGGCCCTATTGCCAGGCCGAGCTTGGCCGCTCTTGAGCTAAAGTTGAAGCAGACTGGGCTTAAAGTTAAACCTGGCCTGCGGACCAGGCTTAGAAAGCACCCCGTGCAAAAAATTTTTTTTTAAATTATTATCATTGCTAATTGATTTTTCTAGGTACCAGAATCAATAGTAAACGATGTAAAACAAGAACGTAAGGCCAAATTTTCTTTTTTTTTAAGTTTAAAATTTTTAATTTTTTTTAAACTAGCCATGCCATGCCAAGCCTAAAATTTTTTGACCGAGACTGGTTAGCTTGAAACTAAAATAAAAACAAACCGGGCTTAAAATTTGGGCTTGCGGCCTAGATCAGATTTCAAAAAGTTGGTCTTATGGCTTTCGTTACCCTTACCATTAGGCTAGTTTCACAGTAGTCTAAACCCGTTCCAGGTCTCTTGTATCCTTCGCTTTATCTGTTTATTAGGCCTGTCTAGAAATTACAATTACTGTAATATTAAACCTACTGTAAAATTTAAAGTCAACAGTGATGTTTAATGTACCTTGCCTTAACATCTTCTTATTTCTCAAACTTTAAACCCCTTAAACCTAAAGTCAAAAACAACTTAAACTCAAGAGTGTAATAGAACAAACTGTCTAAAACGTCCATTCTCTGTATAGTGGGAGTGTCTATCTTTAACAAAAAAAGAGATAGACACTCCTAACATACGGTAGACAGTTTGAAATTAGTCTAGAGAAGGAAGTAAACAGAACTTTATAAGAGTTAAGCCTATGAACCTAGTAATGTTATTGTAGAAAAAAACGTTTGATAAAGAGAACATAAATATCTGACGAACGATGAGATAACACAGTCTAGAGTTGCTTTTGTTTTTAAAGTTATAATTCAGTTTTGAAGTTGATATTCCTACTGTACTTATAGTGAAGTGTATTTTGGTTGTGTAGTACTAAATTATAGTACTTTTTTTGTACAGTACTAAGTTTCAGTATACTATTCTATACTGTACTAAGCTCTACTACGCTTCATTACAATACTAGTACTAACAAAACTTCAATATTAAACGTACAGTGCTTTTAGTACTACTAGTATTTATTTTGTTACAATTTGAGCTAACTTACATTTGTTTGTGAGACAACACTTTGTATCAGAGCTTTTAGTACTACTAGCTAGTACTATTCTACTATTTTCAAGTTCAGTACGTCTACAGAGCACTATGAGTAAACTTGCAGTACTGTAATCACACTAAACCTACACTTACTCAAATACAGTGTTCACATACTACAATAATACTATATAGTACCAAACTTACAGTACTTTTAATTTTTTCTAAAATTCAAAATTTTTTTTTTCAAAATGACTTTTGACAAAACATTATTGGCCTATCTATTATTTTTCCTAACATCATCATTCGCTAGCAAGATTCTAGTATACAATTCTGCCAGAATAGCCCATTCTCACATTAACTTCATGGCCAAGATCGCTGATGTTGTTCAAGAAAGCGGTCATAATGTCGTAAGTAATTGTCATTTTTTAAAATACATAGCTTTGTACAGTGTGTTTTAAACAACTTTATTTAAGTTTATATTATTTTAGACCTTTTACCAGCAAGAAATCTTCAAAACAGTCCACAGAACTGGCGCTTTGAAGGCCAAAGTGGTAGTCAAGTCTGCTCATATTGACTTCGGGCCGGAGCCCTATCAAGATCTGTGGCATGATACTGGATTGTTCGTTACTAATCCTGATGTGAGTTCATCTTCCCTACCCTATCCTGCCTTACCTTGCCCTACCCTACCCTACCCTACCCTACCCTACCCTACCCTACCCTATCCTGCCTTACCTTGCCCTACCCTACCCTACCCTACCCTACCCTACCCTACCCTACCCTACCCTACCCTACCCTACCCTATCCTACCCTACCCTACCCTACCCTACCCTACTTTACCTCAGCCTACCCTATCCTATTCTGCCCACCTAACTTGTCTTCCTTTGTTCAGCCCGAGCTTCTACCGTGTTTCTTGCTGTGCCACGTTCTACCGTGCTCTGCCCTACATTGATCTGCTTTACTATACCTTATCCTACTTTATGTTGTTTGTTGTTGTACCCTGCTAATACAATAACAATAAAGTAAACTAATATTGCTATATTTTAGGCCTTCCGAGTCTACGCTGATGTCATGTCAAGCGCCTGTGAATGTAAGTAAAAAGTGTAATCAAAAACTATTTTTAATGACATATGATAAAAGACCGTATTTTACCTTTTTTAGCTCAGTCTATAATTACTTTTGAATATTTTACATATATAATAATATCATTTTCAGCACAACTGAACGATGAAGAATATATGAAATCCTTAAAAAACGAAAAATATGACTTGGCTTTGGTCGAATTCTTTGACATTTGTAGCTATGCCATTTTAGAGCGTATTGGTGTCAAAAGATACATCAGCTTATCAGCTTTGACTGTCCAACAAAAAGTTTTAAGATACTTTGGCATGCCAGCTAATATCGCGTTTGTTCCTGGTAAGTTAGGCTATTTTTAGGGATAGAACTTTGAGCAAGGCTCTGGTCTAGGGCTCTAGACTAGGGCTCTAAACTATGGTTTTGGGTTAGACATGGGGAACAAACTGGGCCGGCTTGGAATCAAATTTTGATCGAACCGGGGCTGAACATCAAGGATTTTCTCAGCCCGAAAAGTCCAGCCCGCTTGCACGTAAAAAATTCGGGCCGGGCTTGAGGAAAATAAATAACGGGCCGTGCCTAATATCAAGGCCCGGACCAAACCATACGGTTGTTCTGGACAGTAAGACTAGGGCTCTCGGCTAAGGCTCTGGGCTGGGGCTCTGGGCTAGGGCTCTGGGCTAGGGCTCTGGGCTAGGGCTCTGGGCTAGGGCTCTGGGCTAGGAATCTGGGCTCTGGGCTCTGAGCTAGGGCTCTGGGCTAGTGCTCTGGGCTAGGGCTCTGGGCTAGGAATCTGGGCTAGGAATCTGGGCTCTAGGCTCTGGGCTCTGAGCTAGGGCTCTGGGCTAGGGCTCTGGGCTAGGGCTCTCGGCTAGGGCTCTCGGCTAAGGCTCTGGGCTAGGGCTCTGGGCTAGGGCTTTGGGCTAGGGCTCTAGGCTAGGGCTCTGGGCTAGGGCTCTGGGCTAGGGCTCTGGGCTAGGGCTCTGGGCTAGGGCTCTGGGCTAGGGCTCTGGGCTAGGGCTCTGGGCTAGGAATCTGGGCTAGGAATCTGGGCTCTGGGCTCTGGACTAGAGCTCTGGGCTAGGGCTCTTGTCTAGGGCTCTGGGCTAGGGTTCTGGACTAGGGCTCTGGGCTAGAGGTTTGAGGCTGGGCTAGGTTAATTACAATTTTTTTTTAAATTGTGATTTTTTAGGTATGAGCGACAACACAGGGGCAAAAATGACGTTTCTGGAGCGAACTAGAGCCTTTCTGACATTTCCTTTCAAAACTTATGAATTTGACAGAATCTTTTATGAAACTCTAGCTCAAAATGTGAAACAAATTTATGGCCATAATTTTGATTATGAGGACAAATTAGCCCATAGTTCATACGTCTTTGTCAATATTGATGAACATCTGAGCTTCCAAATGCCCTTAAGCACTAAATTTGTTTTTACTGGAGGGGTTGGACAAGATGCTGAGGCTAAACCACTTCCTAAGGTAATTTTTTGCAACTTTTGAAATTTTGAAATTTTTCTTTTCATATTTTTCAATTTTTTTTTAATTTTAAAATATTTTTAGAGCCTTCAAAGCATTTTCAACAATTCGAAAACAGGTGTAATACTAATTTCTTTTGGAAGTATAGTGCAGTCATTTGCCATGCCCAAAGCCCAAAAAAACGCCATTATTAGTACAGTAAAGCAGTTCCCAGACATCGACTTTATATGGAAGTATGAACAAATCGATACCGTCGGTGAAAACATTACTAACCTTCATAAAATCAACTGGGTACCTCAAACTGATCTGCTTTGTAAGTTATCTATACAGCTTTATCCTACTGTACCACACCCTATTCTACCCTACCCTACCCTACCCTACCCTACCTTACCTTACCTTACCCTACCCTACCCTACCCTACCCTATCCTATTACTTCATTTTATATATCTTACCTTGCTTTACCATATCTCAACCCAATTGCTGTACTCTATTGTAGGCCAGTCTTAAAATACTGTAATTTATTTCACTTGCCGTACCCAAGAGGGCCCTGGTAATATGATAAAAGAACCTTTCTTCTGTCCAACCATTGCTTTACCTAGATATACAACCTTAGTCTAAGCTAGCCCCATCTCAAAGCTTGCCATGCTTATCTTTGCCTTAGGTCTTCGACGTCTTTACCCATCCTCCCTACCCTTTTCTAACTTGCCTTTACTTTACCTTTACAAGTTCTGCCAGCCTATATTTGACCCTAATTTTTACATAACTTCTGCCATCTCTCCTATACTTGGAAAAAACATTGCCACACCCAATACTATAATGTACATTTCAGCCCAGCCCAAGCTTTTGGCCTTTGTAACCCACGGTGGGTTGAACAGTGTCAGTGAGTCAGCTCACAAAGGGAAGCCAATGATCTGTGTTCCAATCTTTGCTGATCAAAACAATAATTGTTACTCTGTAGAAGAGAAAGGTCTGGCAGTCGTCATACCCAAATGGGATTTGACTATGAAGAGACTGGAACAGGCTGTGAGGACAGTGGCTGAGGATGAACAGTACGTTAAAAACTTTAAAATTAAAAGAAAATATACATCTAATCCACCCTACCATACCCTACTTTACCTTACTTTTTCATGCCATACCTTACCCAACCCTACCGTACCCCATCCTACTTGACCGTGCCGTGCTATCTTAACGTAACTTATCCTAACTTACAGTATCGTGCCATGCCCTAACCTACCATGTTCTAAACTACCATACCCTACCAAAAGAAATATCAAGTTTACCCCGCCCTTCTTTCAGATTCAGACTCCGTTCCACTCACTTCTCTAGGATGATGAAAGACAAGCCATTTAAAGCCAAAGACAGAATTATCGGTTTTGTAAACCATGCTCTACAGTACGATGTCCATTCAGCTCTTGATCTACCCTCAAGGCATTTATCAACCATGCAGTACTACTTTTTAGATGTACTATTATTATTATCTGCAGTACTACTAGTTAAAGGGTATATTGCCTATCGTTTCATCCGAAGAAATGTTGTACATAGACTTGTCAAGGACAAGATTGAATAAATTTTAAATTATTTTTAACTTTGGCAATAGTAATCGTACCTTACGTGACTTGAAAGTACAACGACCTTACCATAACATATTTTACCGTACCCTACCCTACCCTACCTTATCCTACCCTATCCTACCCTACCTTATCCTACCCTATCCGACCCTACCCTACCCTACCCTGCCCTACCCTACCCTACCCTACCCAACCCTACCCTACCCTACCCTACCCTACCTTATCCTACCCTATCCTACCCTACCCTACTCTGCCTTACCTAACCATACAATAAACTACTCTACCATAACATATACCCTATTATAGTCAAACTTTACTCTACCATACCTAATCTATTTTATCATACTGTGTGCCACCCTATCCTACCCCACATTTCTCAGAATCTGCCCCTAGAAACTTCTCTATAACGAACAAATTTTGAGTCCTCAAGCAATTCGTTACACAACGTTCCACTGTAGTACTAAAATTTAATTCAAACTCAACTTTTGATGTCGAGTATGTTCTTTTTTGTTATATCCCTTTTTCAAACCCAACGTTCCCACTCTCCCGCTACCGTTCCCTTTTTTAATTCGAACGAAGAAGCCAGTTTGTTTTTTTTTTCGTTTTTAAGATTACGGAACATGTTCGACGCGTGGATCGGTCTTCTGATTGATTGTTTTGATAACCAAAGATGGATACGTTTGATGTTAATTCGAGTGAACAACAACAATACACATTGTTATTTATAGGTTTGGTGTAAAATAATGTGCAACTTTAGACCATAATTAACGTAAATTCAAAATTTTTACTGTAAGAATACTGTAACTTTTTTAAAACTGATAGAATGATGGTAGTGTAGAACAGGATAAGCTACGGTACGTAGAGCAGAGTAAGACAAGACAGGGCAAATCAAGGCAGAGCAAGGAAAAGCAGAGCAATGCAGGATAGGACAGAATAGGCTAATGTAGGATAGACTAGTGTAAAGTACGATAGGGTGAAAAAGAGTAGGGTAGGGTAGGGTAGAACAAGGTAGTGTAAGGTAGTATATGGTAGAATAGGGTAAAGTAGGGCATTTTTCTAAACAGAAAAAATTTCAAAAATTAAAAAAAAAATTTTTTAATTCAAACTGTGCTTAATCCTGTCTCGTCTCGTTAGGATTCATATAACGAGTTCGGAGAGTTTGTTCATAAAAATGTTGAAAGGACTCGATGTTTCAAAGACATTTCGAGTCCAAATCGATCATCCGTTTAACTTTTAACCCTCAGGTGCTCAAAGAATACGTTTTTCTTTGCTGACTAACTCTTGATAAACAACTTTTTTAAAACTTGTTGCACTTTTAAAACCGTTTTCTTGGAATAGAGAAGTAAGTATCAACTTTGCAAAAAAAATTGCAAAAATTTTTTTAACTTAGATAGGGCAAGCCTATAGTACGGCTAGACAAGGGCTAGAGTAGAATTAAAATAGAGATATAATAAAGGTCAGAACGGCTAGGGTAAAACTAAGGTTAAGCTAGAAAAGGGCAAATACTGAGCTAGGAAAGGGCGAAGACTAGCCTAGGGAAGAGCTAAGATTGAGCTGGAACAGGGCAACGATTAGTCTGAGGTAGAAAGGCTATAGTAAGGCCGGGTTGAGGCTAAGTTAAGGCTAGGCTCACGCTAACACTTGCCTAAATTAAGAGCTAGCTTAGGCCAAAATTACGGCTGTAATAAGGCTAAAGTAAGGCTAGAACAGGGCCAGAGTAAGGGCAAAGCACTGATAAGACTAGAGCGGAACCTATGATAAAAAGATCTTCACCCTAAAATAAATTTTTTACCACCCCCCCCTTCAACCTCAATCCAAAACTACCAAAAACAAAGCAAATTAGGCCAGGGCTACAAGCAGCTATAGATATTCCTAGTCCAATTTTTTACCATTACCATTTACAAAGTAATAGTTTACTAAATCTCAAGCACTTTGTATGTTTACTTTCTTGTTATACTACTTAGGTTTTGCGTGAAATTATGTTTGTGAAAAGAATTCTCTTTGCAATTCTCAGAACGTAGAACATTTAAACGGAGTAAAATCACAAAAGCGGAAGATATTCACAAGTTTTCCTGGGTTTTTCAAAGCTTTAAGTAGTTAAAGGTGGGGTAAAGATAACACTGGGTCTAGACTACGGTTGGGGCAAATATTCTGGCCAAGCTAGCTTAGAAGCAGAAGTAGAGATAAGAAGTAGGAGTAGAATAAGATAAATTGAGAAAAGACAGGGAAACATTCCAGGAAAAAATCAATACTAAGTGAACGAAATGTAAATTTTATAAGCCAGAGTACATTTTTAAACATTTTTTGAGTAGGGGTAAAGGTAGGGGTAGGGGTAGGGGTAGGGGCAGGGGTAGGGGTAGGGGTAGGGGTAGGGGTAGGGGTAGGGGTAGGGGTAGGGGTAGGGGTAGGGGTAGGGGTAGGGGTAGGGGTAGGGGTAGGGGGTAGGGGTAGGGGTAGGGGTAGGGGTAGGGGTAGGGGTAGGGGTAGGGGTAGGGGTAGGGGTAGGGGTAGGGGCAGGGTAGGGTAGGGTAGAGCTGCTAAACCTTATATAGTCAACCAACATTTTTTTGTCTCCTACTTCTCATCATCATAACAATGATGATATTTGTGGATAAATAGGTTTTTAGAGCGGCTATAACCGATTTCTCTTTCATTATGAAAAATGAACTTGTTTTTCTTTTCATTGTTTTTCGATATGACAAAGAGATTTCGGGCGGGTCATTAGGTCAATCACTTCATCAACGTTTTGTTGATCGACTAGAATTTTGTAGAAATAATATTATTGTAACATTGTGCAGTATTAAAATTTTGAAAAGATAAAAATTTTAATATTACCTTAAAATCTTTTTGTCACACTTTCCCCAAAATTTTTTTTTCTAAATTGTTTTTTCAAAAAAATCTTTAAAATTATCCACCCCGGACCTAAATTACCCCGCCCAACCTTCTAAGCGTACTATTTTGCTTTTTCCATCAAAGTAACCTCTACGTCATCGACTCCGCGTAAGTAAGGTCATGCTCAGGAAGCTAAGCCAGAAGAAGCTAAACCAGAAGAAACGAAGCTAGAAGAGAAGAAGACTGAAGAGAAGAAAGAAGAAGACGCTAAGTCAGAAAAAGCCAAGCCAGCTGCTGAAGAAGCCAAGTGAGATGAGCTAAAGGCAGAAGAAGCCATGTCAGAGGAAGAAAAGATGTTTGATGAGCCAACAGCCGAAGGTAAGAAGACCGACGATAGCGAGAAGGAGATCAAGAAAGCCGAAGACGCCAGGCCAGAAGAAGACGCTAAGCCAGAAGCCAAGCCAGCTGCTGAGGAAGAGAAGAAGGAAGAGGAAGGAAGCCAAGTTAGAAAAGCCAAAGGAATAAGAGAAGGAGGAATCCAACTTGCCGAAGCTACGCCAGCAGATATCAACCCCTCCCCACCTCCCCCCCCCCTCCCCCCCCATCTTAATCATATTGTAATTTCTAGTTTTGCAAATGTGGTTTTGTTTACAGACCAAAAGTCATATCTTTTTATGACGGTCATTTACAGTGCAGTTCACTCTGAACCAGCACTGGTTTGCTCCGCCTTGCTTCGTTATCACTTCGACGTGCCTCTAGGCTCCGCCCGTGTTTATGCCGAAGACTTTTTAAGCCCGTGAAGCGATCTTAATCTACAGCGATTTTGGATGACTTAACTTGTTTAAAAATTGGGTTTTTTGATTTTTTTTTAAAAATATTTTTTAAAAACGTACTTATAAAAAAACGTATTTTACTCATTTTAACCTCTAATTTGGCAAATTTTTAAAAATTTATTATACGTTTTTCAATTTTTTTAAAATGGTTACCTAAAAAAGGCAGCTAAAAAAATTTTTTAAAAATATTTGTTACCTAAAAAAGGCGTTTTTCAGAGTTTTTCAAAAATTTGTTACCTAAACTTCAAAAAATATCCCGTTCTAGACGTAAGGTCTTTCAAGCTGAAAAAAAAACAAATTTTAATTTCTAAACCGCGTTTTTAAATTTTCAAAATTTCGTACTTCAAAAAAAATCAAAACCTTCATTTTTCCATTCAAAGAAAGATGTCTTACATTAAAAAAACGATTTTAAGTCATTTTCCATTCAAAAAGACGATTTTTAAAGGTTAACCGAAACGTAACACCTAGCACGAACGATTGGTCATTTTTGCGTGATTTTGTAAAAAGAAGCCGGCTTAAGAGACCATTACCCACCTTTTTTTGATTCGACTTGAACGTTTCTTTTGTTGGAATCAGATTTATGAGTAGGGGTAAACTCTTCGGAGTTCGAAAATCTTCGGTTTTTATGACTTTGAAGCCCTGTTATTAGTAAATGGCAGTGGTCGAACAGATTTTTTGAGTTAGGGACTTGAAGGGAAGAGAGAGGGTGGGTAGGGGAACCTAGTGGAATGAAAAATTTTGATCAAGAATGATTTTTTTCTTCAAAAAACCTACCTCCCCTTAATCTACCATACCTCCTCCTAGCCTACTCTAACTTAGCATGCCTTGTCCTATCCTACCTTCCCTTGCCCTACTCTACCCTACCCTGCATTAACTTACTCTACCCTGCCCACCCCTAACCTATACAACCCTAACCTATCCGATCCTGACCATACCTCATCTTCAATTTTTTTCACCCCTACCCATGATTAATATGTCACTTTTTTGCCTTGTCATGTCATAATTTTCAGTTTTTATGTCATAAAACCCCGTTAATTAGATTGACCAATGCAAAACGCAATTTTCAAGGCAATTTTTTGACTGAACGAGCAACGCAATATAAGTTTTATAATATTGCTTTAATAAGAACACTACTTGAAGGTGTTCTTACATACGTGTTTTTTACTTTTCGATTTGTCATCATCATTTATTGACAAACAATTGCTAATAGTCATTTATTTCCAGGATGAAATTCTTGTACCTCGCCCTCTTCGCCTTGTTGGCCGTTTCGGCTTTGGCTGCTCCAGTACCAGAGACTGAGGCCCAACCAGAAGCCGCTCTTAAGACCGAAGAAACTAAACCAGAAGAAGCCAAGCCAGAAGAGCCAAAGACCGAGGAAAAGAAAGAAGAAGAAGCTAAACCAGAAGAGGCCAAGCCAGCTGCTGAGGAAGCTAAGCCAGAAGAGCCAAAGGCTGAAGAGAAGAAGGAAGAAGAGGCCAAGCCAGAAGAAGCTAAGCCAGCTTCTGAGGAAGCTAAGCCAGAGGAAGCTAAACCAGAAGAAGCCAAGCCAGAAGAAGCTAAGCCAGAAGAAGCCAAGCCAGAGGAAGAAAAGAAGGCTGATGAGCCAGTAGCCGAAGAGAAGAAGACCGAAGAAGGCGAGAAGAAGATCGAGAAGGCCGAAGACTCCAAGCCAGAAGAAGAGGCTAAGCCAGAAGAAGCCAAGCCAGCTGCTGAAGAAGAAAAGAAGGAAGAAGAAGCCAAGCCAGAAGAGAAGAAGGATGAGCCCAAATCCGACGAATCTAAGCCAGCTTCGGAAGAGGCCAAGCCAGAAGAGCCAAAGGAAGAGAAGAAGGATGAATCCAAGTCTGAAGAGGCCAAGCCAGAAGAAGCCAAGCCAGCCGCCGACGCGCCACTGACCGAAGAAAACAAGGTTGAAGACGCTGACAAGAAGATTGAGAAGCCAGAAGAGCCAAAGGAAGAAGAGAAGAAGGAAGAGGAAGCCAAGTCAGAGGAAGCCAAGCCAGAAGAAAAGAAGGAAGAGGAAGCTAAGCCAGAAGAGCCAAAGGAAGAAAAGAAGGACGAGTCCAAGTCCGAAGAGGCTAAGCCAGAAGAAGCCAAGCCAGCTTCCGATGAAGCCAAGCCAGAAGAACCAAAGGAAGAAAAGAAGGAAGAATCCAAATCCGACGAATCCAAGCCAGCTTCGGAAGAAGCCAAGCCAGCTGAACAAAAGGATGAGTCCAAATCCGAGGAGGCCAAGCCAGAAGAAACCAAGCCAGAAGAGAAAAAGTCGGAAGAATCCGAATCCAAATCCGATGAATCCAAGAAATCATCAGAAGAACCAAAGAAGGACGAGTAAACTGTCAATGTTAATATACGAAGAGCCATAATCTTCATTACCAAGCTTTCACCAACGCTTTTACACCAAAAGATTGCCTGTACACATACATTAATCTATTATTTTTGTAATTTTGAATACTGATTCGAGTGCAATAAACCTTGTTTTAATAAAATGCCTGAGGGGATTTTGCAAAATTTAGGTAGAAAAGTCATTGTTAGGGCTTAAAATGGAAGACAATCAATTTTTAGGTAATAAACGCCAATTTTAAGTAATCGAAATCGACTTATAGAACACAAACATCAATTTTAAGTATCGAAAATTAACTTTTAGGTAATAAAAATCAATTTTTGGGCCACCAAAATCACGTTTTAAGTAACAAAACACTCCTTTTTTAAAGAAACATTACCTAAATGACCTGTTCTTCAACAAAATATTCTTCAAAAATTAGTTATCACTTTACTTTGACCATTAAATCAATCATGAGATCAAACTTAATATTAATATAGTATATCCTAAATGTTTGTTTTTGCAAATATCTTTGTTTTAAAAGATAGGAAAGGCAGTAGCTAGACAAAATACGGTACGTTTTCATTGATTACTAAACTTGGGCCACAGGTTTATGCATTTTAAGATGGAAAAAATAATAAAAATTCAAAAACTTCAAAAAATTATAATTTAAGTGACAAAATTTTTTAATATCCAAAATTCCACGAAACCCATGCCCAATCAAAAAGGCTTCAAAATAGACAACATTACTTATGCAGACTTGGCTAGACTGTTCAGAAACTCGATTTCGCTTTTGATATTCTTTCGTGCTTGGCTTTCGTACTTGTCGCGCATCACTTTGGTCGCAAAGATGTTCGGAATCTGGAGGAATAATTGGAGGACCTGAAACACATAATCTTGAGAGTTATTTCTAACTTTTTCAACAAAAAATTTGGCAGTTAGTTCAGTTATTCGTCATGTCATTTTAAAATGTTTTTAATATATCTGTAGCCTAAAGTAATATAAATCAATGCTCTAAACTCCATATTACCTAAAATTCAAAACTACATTTTAAAAAAAGCCTTCTCAGTCTTATTTTCAACCTTTCTTGCCGGTCAGCCCCTTTCTAATCAAGTAAAACCCTAAACGCTCAAATTGCCGTATTTTACCAACAGTTATCACCCAAAGTAATATAAATCCTTCCACAGCGATACCCTACCTCAAACACACCTTAAAACAGAAACAAAACAATAAAACCGCTTACCTTTAACCTCCTTTCAATATAATCCTTGTCATTTAAATTTCCGACTTCAGATCGAGCCGCTTCTCTGAATTTCGTATATTCACCTTCATCAACTCCCATCCAAGCAGTGTCAAAGTCGATTAAAAAATGTAGATCATCGTCCCCATACTTGTCTGGAGTTAGATGAGCATCCGTACAATTATTCGCACTTTCCAACAACAATCTGGACACGTAGTTGGCCTGAAATGAAGAGAATATTATGTTATCCATGAGAGGTTTGGGTTGGTAATGAATAACATCAAAAACTAAAGAGAACCCGCAAAATAAAGTAAAAATTGATGATCAATGTCAAAGAAAAGACTCTAAAGAAGCTTTCAGCAATTTGTCGTTAACAGGAATCTTCAAATTTATCTAAAAAATTGTCTGTAACAATAACAACATTAAAAAACTTGTCAAAGTTCAAAGAACTAGGTAACATACGCTGCAGCTGCTCATGACGTTGAAGAATAACAATAAAATAACAAAAACTAATTTCAACTTTCTATTTTACGTTAAAAACAAGCTTTATCAGACCAAGAAACAAGTTCTGACCAAGTTACTGTTGTAGAGAAAAACTTGGCAAAAAAGTTAGCAACGAGGTAATCATTACTCAAATTGTCATTTTTCGAGTTTTTATCAATAAAAAACTGAAAATTTTAACAATTTTTAAAACGGAATTTAACTTTTTTTAATTTTTTAAAATATTTTTTGGGGTTTGATAAAGTTGCCTAAAATTTTATTTATCTTGTCAAAAACTTCGAATTTGTCTATAATAAAATGAAGGTTAATATTTTAATAGTATGTAATCAAAAACCTACTTGATCAAATGTTGTTTCCGCAGCAAATTCACGTAGCCTTTCTTCGTTCCGTTCGGCTTCTTCAGCGTTCAATGGATCGTATTCCAAGCTATAATAATATAACTTTATTTTTATTTTGAGGTGAAATACGGATTTACAAGATATTCTTAATAAGTAATTATGAATTGTAGGTTTTATAAAAGAATATTTTTTTTATTTAAAATTTTCGAAAAAAAATTTTTTTTTGCAAAAAAAAATTCAGCTTGGTCCCCCTGTGGCATTTTCTTCAAAACTAAAATTCAAGACCTACTGTTTGAAGAATATAGCAAAAGCGACGGCATATCTGTCCTTGAGTGAATCCTTGTGCTCATCAAACAATTGCATCATGTGTTCCAAATGTGCCAAGCCGTGGAACGGTCGCGGAGCGTATCGTTCGTCGATCATGGCTAGCCATTTCTCGCGAATTGCGTCGCTAACAAACGATGTTAGATCACTCCAACGTTTCGTCAGGTCTTTGCGACACTTTTCGAGATACGCTGGGTCTGTTGTCATTCTGAAGATTGGTTTAGTAAAATACGGGGCTTGTTTTGACGTATTTAAAACAGCGAAAATTCAAAAAACATTATACTAGGTTGTTCAAATAATTGTGTGCCCTTTTTGAAAGCAAATTTTCAGCGCTTTATTAAGCCTTACATACCCACAGCCTAGCTTTCTCATAGATCGACTTTTGTCCTACCTAGCTCTACTATTGATTTACCCTGCCAAATCCTAGCCCTAAACTAACTTTACCCGTACAACTCTGGCCCTATCCTACCCTACACTACCCTAACTTGGATCGCGTAGAAATAGGCTAAGGTTTCCTACCCTATCCTTTCCGCACCCTAAACCTCGCCTCCCATTCCTACTCCCACATTGCCCAGCCCTGCCATACACTGCCATGCGTTGAATTACCCTTAAACTCTAAAAAACCAAATTTTCTCTCAATTTTAAAACAGTTGGAAAAAACACCCTCCGGAAATGAGCAGTGATCATCATCTGAAAAGCCATTCTCAGTTTTTTTTCGAACAGAGACGGCTTTCGAAACGTCAAATGAATTAAAATTTTCGTTTGGTATATAGTCAACAAGCCATAATCATATGAGAAACGCTCGATTTTGTTTTTATTGTGACGAATCTAAACAAAATCGAGTCCAAAAACGTGATTAAACATCACTGGGAAATACATTATGACAGTTTTTCGAGAGAAAACATAGAGAGATACCGATGTTCGAGGACTTTTCATCGTATAGCATGTAAATGGACATGTTATACGACAAAAAGTGTCCTAGGGCATAGGTTTAAAGACTTTAAGTTAAATCTAAATAAAAAGATTAAGATTTAACAAGTAATACGCCGTATTTTACCTAAAAACCACCTTTCTCAATTTGTGACATTTTATACGATGAAACATATTTAAAACTAAAATTAAAAAAAATGGGTTTGCATATCTTTATGTTCGTCTTGACATACTAATATTTGTGTAAACCAAATAAATATCAAATTTTTAAACCAAAACAAGGAGAGAACCCTTTACATTTCACTGAAATTTGAACCTAACCAGTAAACACTAGAACAACATATGGATGGCAAAGAGGTAAACATACATATTATACATAAGTATATAAGACTATAATAGAGCTTTACCCATCCTTACGGAAACCTACCCTGTACTACGTGACCCTACCCTACACTGCCGTACCCCCTACAACTACCCATCAAACGTTCAAAAACATCCGCTGAACTACAAAATTTACATTACGTCCACGTAGTATTGATTTTATCCTCACCTCTGCCGTTACTCACACCTCTGCTCATAACACGAAAATAAATTTACATTTCGTTCACATAGCATTGCTTTTTTTCTAGATCTTCTACCTCTTCCCCTATCCTACCAAAACCTCTATCCCACCCTACACTACACTTTTTTTAATCTATTCTACCCTGCCCTGTCCCGACCTGTCCTGCCATATCCACCCTTCCTTTACCTTACCCTACCTAACCTTGTCCTGACATAAAAATGTATGACATTTTCACATACATAACATGTTATATTTACACCCAACCACATGTAAACACGTAGTATGTCACAAAAGAGAAGACTTCATATTATAAAAAATCTATATCATCCCTTTTCCAAATGACAAACGTTTGTTGTTTACTGAACGCTTTATAAATTGGAATGCAATTAACAATAAAAAGTTTTAGTTGCTTTTCAAATTTGTTCGTTCTTTCTGTCCTCAAGTAAGCTCTAGAACAAATATTCGCTTTCATGTCCTTTTCCAAGACAACATGAAAAAAGACAGTTCAAAAAAGTTTAATTAAATTTAAACATTAGTTTTTAGTCTAAATTTAAAAAAAAACTTTGAGTTACTGTTAAGTAGGCTAAAACCACGCTAGGCTGTCAAAGGGTAGGTTGAATATACCATAGTTTAAAAAGAGAAAAAGGCTCAAGTCAGTAAAATGGCCTGCCCTATTGACTCCCTTTCAGGTCTAAGGTTTAGGGCTAAGATTACCGTCAAGCTAGATAACAAGCAGCGGTAGAGGGTAGAATAAGGATAGCAAAAAATCAATACTACGTGGTCAAAATGCAAATTTCCCAGGGCGGTGTAAATTTTTCAACTTTGGGTGAGTAGGGGCAATTGCAGTAAGAGTAAGAATAAGAGTAGGGTTAGAGGGGTAGGGGTAGAAGTAGGGCCCGGCCCAACCCAAAAGCCCGGTCCGTTTACACGTACAATAAATCCGGGCCGGGCCTAAAATAATGGGCCAGACGTGTTCACCATGTTTAGGGGTATGGGTGGGAGCAAGGATAGGAATACGGGTAAGTAGAGTAAGATAGGACAGGGTAGTATAGCATAATAAAAAATAAAAGAGTATGGCAAAGTCAAATAAGCTTAAAATTTCTTACACTTCAAATTTAAAAAATTAAAAATTTTAAAAACTACTCAAAACTTCAATACCCTTCCACAAAAATCAAAAACCACTGCCATTCCCCTTCAAAACACCAATAAACACTCTAAATCTACTGTGCCAGTAACAACTCCCGTATAATAATGAAAAGAGAAAATAACCCAAAAATTGGTGGCCAAATAACAAACGTTCGGCCGTTGTTGTGCGTCTGACCAAGTGGAGCGTACACGAAGAGGAAAAAAAGTGCCCAACTCGCTTTTTTTTCCGTGCCGCAGGACGCTTCTTTGCCCTTATTTCGAAAAAAATTGCCTAGATAGTGCGGAAATTGAAGAGACGGCGCGACAAACTTTAACGGATAATAAAACTGCCTTACATTAGCATATAATTGAACAACACTATAGTAGGACTTTTATCGATTAGAGAGTTTTATGGTGTTAATTGTATCGATTAGAGGTTTTTAGTGTTAAAAAGGCCAATTTAATCATTTTGTAGCCAAGAATGAAATGAGCGGCCGAAAAACTCAAAATGCTTTTTGAACTTAATGAAAGCCCATCAAGCCCAGCTTCGTGCCGGGCTGAGCCAAAGCAAGTTTCAAAACGCCCAGGCCAACACTAAGCCCCAACCTAAAACAATGATCCAAGCGTCCAGCTTAGACCTCACAATTCCGGGTCAAATCAATTTGAACCGGACCAGCCCTGAAAATTAGGCCCGGCCCCTTTACAAATCTATTATACATAGCCCTAAAACAGACAAAAATAAAAGGTTTTCCAGTAAAATCAGTTTATTCCGGATAAAAAAATCTCAAGAGTCTTCACCAGAAGTAGCGATCCAAGTGGTGCACCCTAGGAACCAAGGCACGAATCCACCGTTCTTGTGGATTGTGAGACACGCAGAAATTGATGGTGTCCGGTACATATTGGTCGACACTGAAAAAAGGTTTTAACTTGAAATGACGTTATTTACAAAAATAAAAAAATTTTAAAAAAACCCTATTTTAAGCGGGTCAAAAAGACTTGTCGTCAAGTTACACGTAATTACAAGTATAAAAACGACACGAAGCTTAAATCAGCTAAAAAGTAGAAGTAGTGATAGTAGTAGGAGTAAAGTAGCGTATGGTAAATTGAAGTACATTCTCCTTTACAAAAAACTAAACTTACTGATACTTCTCGTCGTAGACGTAGTAACCACAGCGACGCTCCAAACATCTGGCGTACACAAACACCCCAACGCGGTAGTATATGGGATTCTTGCGACCGAACAGAGGGTGGAGTTGGTAAGGATTATCAATGTCACTGGCACATGCAAAACCTCTTTTCTAAAATACAATAAATGTAAGAAGTAAGCCGTGTAGGCCCGTCCCAGCCCAGCCCTACGATTGGTCCCTTTGTTCCGGGTCAGCCTAAAAAAACGAAAACGAGCTGATCCTAAAGGTTAGACCCCAGGCCGGGCCACGAAAAGCCCGTTTACCCCGCCCCTCCACCTTCTACCTATAGTGATTTACAGTATGACAAAGTAGTCTAAAAGTAGATCCTGGAGAACATAGCAGTATACGGTAAAGTATAATGAAGTCAGCAAGATCTCTCTTGGCTACCGCAAGACCCAGTAAGGCACAGTAAAGCATAGTAAACACTAGTAAAGTAACGTACAATAATTTTTAAACTTACAAAACAAACGTTTTTGATGTGGAACATAAAGTCCTTCTTCTGGGCGTCTGATGCACCACTTACGATATCCTCAACATTAACTGGCTTAATCTCTTTTCCATCGCAAATGTCAGAAAGCTTCAGCGCTTGTGTCTCGCTATACACGTAGTAGTCATAAACGAGAAACTCTTTACCGGTCACCGCTGGCAAGTCATATTTGCCTAAACACATTGCTGGATCCTTCTCGCCGGTGAACTTATTAACTGTCAACTGGCTGAAATTTCTCCAGAACACAGATTGTGTCCAAACCCCTCCCTCAGAGTTCGTGGTTGCAATCGGATACAAAAGCATTGGCTCATCATAGCCACGAAGCATTGCGGTGGATAATTCTGGCCATCCTTTGTCGTCAAGCACTAAATTTAAAAAATTTGACGTAAAACTTGCAGTTTCAAATAGAAATAGCCTGTGGTGGGTAACGACGGTAGAGCGATTCTGGTTTGTGAAAAAAATGCAAACTCCAAATTTTTAAACGTTTCAACTCAAAAATTTTTAAAAACCACATACCTAGCCTCAAATAGTAGCCGTTTCGATCCCCGTTGTCCGCGGTCACTATGTACATTTCATGAAAATCATTACTGTCAATCGACGAGCACCACGAACATAGCTGATCGCGCACTTCCTCTGCGCTCACCATCGGCGGGTCTTGTGCCCTCGCATAATCGTACCACAATGTAATCAGTAGGACACTGAAGAAGAGCCGCATTGTTCGGATCGACCGGTCGGCGGATGAACGAAACTTCGAATTATGAAAGTTTTTGCGCTTGAAAATGAATTTTCTTTCCAAATTTTTGGCAACGTCTTTCGTTATTTTTTTTTAAAATGGCAAACTTGCATAATTTTTAAATTTATGACTTGTCTGAATTCTCCTCTAAAACCCGATCCTAAACAAGAAAAATATCGAAAAAACTAAAGCAAGCACGGTAAAAAGACTTACCTCAACATAAAGCGGAAATCACGAAATATGTAATTTACATTTACCCTTAAAACCCAAAAAATAAACAAAAAACATAAAATACGACAAAAGAAATACAAAATACACAAAAGCCTGATCCTGCGCCCTTTAAAATTTAATATTCCTATATTATCCATGAGATCAAAGAATAATGGATAATACCCGCTGTCGCGAAGTTGCGAGTTAAGAAATACAAAAACATGTTTACAAAAATATAGAACCGGTCCAGAACAAAGAAGGTCTTTTTTATCTTGCAAAAACTGTTTATAGTTAGGCCGATTTGGCCAAAAGATGAGAAGTCTCTAACCAACTAGACCGCGGATCGGTCGTATTTTATATTTTTGGATAAATAAATATTTTATATACTGTAACTAGCTAATAATACTAATATTCATAATAATTTTATGACACCCGCTGCAACTCCAACATTTTACGTTTTCTTTGTTTTTTTTACAAAATATTAACTTTAAAATAGCTCTAACATTTATCAAAAACCCAACTCACTTTAACCATAAACTCCAATGGACAAACCTTATTCTTCAGAACATCGTCACCACGGATAAGAAGGTTCCAATCGTTGCTTCTGATCAGTACCATATATCACAAGCCATTCTTTGCAACTCAAAACATTTAACGTAGTTTTTCTTAGCTCATATAGGCAAAACATTCATCAAGGTTACCTAAAATTGACCCAAATTTAGCAAAGTTATGTTATCCATGACTCTAACGCCGAAAATAGGCAAAGTTCCTCCAAATAAATCTAAAAACAAAACAAACAAAAATGAAATAAAAACATACCTGTGAAGCAACGTGTTCGCCTTCAAACTAGTCATATTATACCTTCTTTGACCTTTTATCTAGCCAGTTCTGTCCATTTTCCTAAAGTTTTGCGAAAATCGGATAGTCGAAGATGTTCTTTTGCCCATAGCTTCTCTAATGTCCATTTCTCAATTATTTGAATAACTCTAAAACTTTAAACATATAAAATTACAGCATAATAAACATTATTTACGCGTTCCACAAGTTCAGTTCGCGCAATACAACATGGTAAACATGTTTTTAACTTCCAAAGGCGTATAAAAGTTCATGGAACTGCAAAATTTCAACAAAAATGGATTTAATTAAAATGTTTATGGTTTTTTCAACTAATTTTGTTAGATTATTATCAAAAATTAAAAAAAAAACTGACAGGAAAGGTGTTTCAGAATATCTCCTCGAAGCAAAAGTAAGTTTGAAGCGCAAACGCCTGCGTCCGGACCTAAAATAGGTTTTTATACGATGAAAGATGTCCGCCTGTAATTAGAAACTTTTTATTTTGAAAATACCTTCTCCATGAGTGTTTTCTTAGATTTTTTTATTTTTTTTTGTTTAATATTTTGATTTATATTTACATTTTCATTTTTTAAAATTATTTTAAATGTTTTTTGGTGATTTTTCAAGTAAAATATTTTCAATTTGGTAAAATACGAGCCGCAATTTAATAATCTGTAGTCAATTTTAATAATGATTTTTGTTTTATTTGTTATTTTTTGCGGAGTTTAGAAAAGAAATTTGTCAGCTGTTCAGGAAATATTTTTTATAAATCTATTTATTTACTTACGTAGTCAATTGTTTTTTTTTCTTATTATTATCTCATTAAGACTAGAGGGTTTTTAAAACTTTATTTTTTTTTGTTTTTGTCATGCATATGTATTTATAAAATAATTAAGTTTTCTTATTAATTTGATAATATTACGGCCGGGTTAGTAACTTTTCAACGGTGAAGAAAATTATGGAACTGTTTTTTGGGAATTTGAAAGGTTAGTTCAAGCAACAGTGCTAGAGGTAGGGAGGAATAGGGATTGAGTTTTTATGATATTAGGACCGAGTCTATGGCCCGGGCTAGGGCTGGGGATAAGATGGAGATAGGTTAGGGCTAAAGTTTGGTTAAGTTAAAGGCTAAATGAAGCCAAGAATAGGGTTTGGGCTTGGGCTTAAACTTGGCATTGGACTTGAACTTCGTAGGAATGGGGCAAACATTGAGCAAACGAAGAGCTAAGGGATGGCTAGGTGGAAGGTTAAATTAACCCAAGGGTAGGGCGAGGGCTGGGCTTGAACTTCAGTTGGAGCTAAAGCTAGGACAAAAGCTATAGTTCTGGGCTAGGGTTTTAAACTGGGGCTATGGGCTATGAGCTAGGGCCTTGGGTTAGGGCTCTGTGCTAGGGCTCTGTGCTAGGGCTCTGGGCTAGGGCTCTGGGCTAGGGCTCTGGGATAGGGATCTGGACTAAAGCTCTGGGCTAGGGCTAAGACTGTGGTTTAAGTTAGGGATAAAGTTATGGTACACCTAAAGATTTCTTTTAACACTTTACACCTTGAAAATCACAAAGTGCGATGTAAGAACGTTGTGGATGTCGAGAAAGTTGAGATACATGTCTGTCAAAAAGTGCCGGAGGTTCGTTTAAAAAAATACTCAAGGCACAAATTGATGGCAATAAAGACGGCCCACGTTTCGAAAAGAAAAAAACTAACAATTTATAGTTGGTAAATAGTTGGTTTTGTTTACTTCCTCCAAGCCTATCAGTTTAGTTTTAGGCTAACAACGTTAGGTGTTAAAGAGGGGGATGGATGGTTGGGTTTGAAAAAAAGTTGGTTTGGGATGATCATGTTGAGCTTTGATCATAAAAAATAGAATGTAGGAGAGGGTAACATTTTGGTTGCGTGGTAGGATAGGGTTATGTGCAGGACCGGGCGCTGGGGGGGGGTGGACTCCAGAAAAAAATTTTCGAAAGAAGTTGAACATGGTCCCCCCTGTGGATTTTTTCGACCCCCGCCCCCAGACCAAAAGTCCTCGTCCGGCACTGGTTATGTGTGATATAACTTTGATAGTAAGTCTACAATAAGATGGGTAATAAAGCTACAGTATGTGAAAAATAGTAAGGTATGGTAAGGGTAGGGCAATTTAGAGTAGGATAAGGTATTTTAAGGTTGGCTAGGGTAAGGTAGGATAGGATGGGGTAGGGTTTTGTATGCTAGGGCACGGTTACGTAGTATAGGGTAGGGTACATAACTGGCTTAAAACTATGGTTAATATAGGGTTAGGAGGGGATGGGATAAAAAGCTATTAGAGGGCTAGTAATTGAACAAGAGTATGGCATAGGAGGCAGGGTATGGCTATAGTAAACTTCAAAAAGTAGGATAGGGGTAGGGTACGGTAGGGTAGGGTATGGTAGGGTAGGGAATTGTAGGGTAGGGTACAGTACAGTACTGCTATTTTTTGTCTTTGAATGGTTTTTTCGTAAACATTTTGGCCACAAGTATGTTTTTCTATAAACTTTATGACTCAGAACGGACTTCCTTCTAAGTTTTGGCCAAAAAAAAGCAATTTTTTGCACGTTTTGGTCCACAAATTACCGTTTAAACAACTTTTTTTTGTAAAAATGATGTTTCTACAAACTTTTTGACCTTCTTTCAATCAGCCTGATAACTATTAGGTGCCGACATAAAGAACCCGCCATAGTTTGCCTGTAATTTCCTGTAAAAAATGGCGGGTTCTTTATGTCGGCACCTAATAAACCTCGACTTTCTTATTAAACCCTGATTTCCTTACATAACCTTAACTTTCTTAACCTAAACCTCGATTTCCTTATCTTCAGATTGATGCATTTGCTTGTTGTTTTTTATATTCAGGTCAAGAGCGGGGGGCCAAAAATGAAAGCCGGGAATGCATGTCATCCCCACAACACCTGGGGCGAAAGAAAAAACATGGCTTTTCGACGTTCTTGAGGGTTATTTTTGTTTAGATCATCTGGGTATTCTGCCAGTTTCAACTCGTGTTTATTTGTTTCTAAGGCTTGTAATGGTATTTTGTTGAAGTATATTGGCTTACTGTGTTGTAAATTTTTGAAGAATTTCTATTCTTTACTATTATTGAGTTCTATGGTTTTAAAGAGTCATCATTACTTTAGTACAACGTACAAGAGATATATAACCTTTACCACTGCTTAAAAAGATATAGTAGACTACGATACTGGTGAAATAATCGTTTATATCGCCATTAATTAACCTTATAAACTGCTATTACCTAAACTTATAAGTTGTTATTACCTAAACTTGTCTATTACCAAACCTATTGCGTGCTTTACTATGTCGGACGTGGTGATAAACTGGCGTCCAAATCAAGGCGACTCTCACCGTGATTTCTATGTTAATAGGCAAAGAAGCCCAGAAAAGGCACGTAGAATGGAGTACGAGACGATCAACGTTCGGCTACAAAGATCCAATCCAGCCATACCATGGGGCTTCTCTTTTGGACAAAGTGGCAGTAATGTCATTGTGGATAATGTAAGATTGTTTTTAATACGGATCCTGGTTTTGGTTTTAATCGTAGTCCTGGACCTAGTCATAAACTTAGACTTGGTTTTGGTCTTTGTTCTGGTCTTGGTCCTTGTCCTGGTCCTGGTCCCGGCCTTGGTCCTAGGTCTAGTCTTGGTTTCGATATTGGTTCCAGCTTTAGCCTTAGCCCAGAGCTTCAGCCCAGAGCCCTAGCCTAGAGCCAAAACCCAGAGCCTTAGCCCAGAGCCCTAGCCCGGAGCTGTAGCCCTAAGCCCTAGGCTAACGCTGGCTGTGATCCTGGCCGCGGCCCTGGACTTGGACCTAAACTTAGACCTACACCTGAGCCAGGACGTAGATTTGGATCTGGCCCTGGGCCTAAATTTAGGACTTGCCCTCACCCGTGCCATAGCCAGATCCCTAGTTTTAGACCTATCGCTAACCTAATATACATGATGTATTTTCAGGTAGAACCAAACAGTATGGCCGAAAAAGCCGGCTTATTTGCTCAAGATATTGTTGAAGAAGCGTTCAACAAAAAAGTCAGCCTAAATGATGTAAACCAGAAAATTCAAGAGGCTTTGGAAGTGACGTTGCTTTTGAAACGGCAAATTGATGAAAGAGCCTATCCTTATGGCTTACCATTAGTTGGGGCTTTCGAAAAAATCGAGGAATTCGACAAAAGTGGAAAGCTGATCAAAGAATACGAAAAAGTGAGTCATCTTACAGACTTGGCCCTTCTGGGTATCAAATTTCTTTTTTTCTTAAGACTATTTTAAAAATGTCAACATTATAGTAAGACATGGGTAGGGTAAGGTAGGATAAGTTAAGGAAAGTACTGTAGGGTAAAATACAGTAGAGTAAGGTAGGTTAATAAAGTGAAAAACAAAATTTTAAAAAAATTCAAAATTAAAATTTTAAAAATTATAGGCTTTACCAATTACTGACTCATACGACACCAAATTTCCCACAAATCAACCATCAAAAGGCCCTACTCAAGCAACACCAGCCAAAACTCCACCTCCCACATTGCCCAAACCCAAGACCCCTACCCCGCAACAACAGCAACCTCAGCAACAACAACAACTTCAACAACAAAAACAACCCCATCAACCCTACCCTTACACTCAACCCGAAGAACAACTGACCACAAGTGATTACGGTACTTTGCCAAAGGCGGGTGCACCTCAAAACATTCAAAAATATGTCAAAACTACCACAACTTTAAGCGGTCAACCTGAATTTGTCAACAACACAACCGTTGCCAATTTGAACCCCGGAGGACTGACTTTCAATGACACTACTGAGCACAGTGAAGCTAGTTCAAACTGGGACAAGAATGAAGGAAACGTTCGGCGACACTTTGAATCGAGTCGTAGTTATACCAAAACTGAAAGTTGTACTACTAAGCCTATTGAACTTCACGATTTGAATGTGCCAAATGGCGTGAATGTTCACCAAGCTAATGGTTGTTTAGCTAATGGATCGGCTGGTAAGGCTGGTGGCCTGAGTGGGCCAGGTTTTGGTGGTCAAGGTTATGGGTATCAAGGATCACAAGTCGGAAAACCCGCTGCTTATCAAACTGGCCAACAAAACCTACCTACTGGATATAGCCAACAAGTTGCTGGGCTAGATCTAGAGCCCACAACAAAGACTTATGTTACTCAAAGTCAGACTAACATCTCTAGAAGTAGTGGCCCGGTTATTGCTCAAAGTGCTGTTGGATATAGTATTGAACATCAAGGTCAGTCAGTACAACGAGGTCAAAATGCAGCGCCAGGTCAGCAGAAGTTTGCACAACCTCAGCAACAAGGCCAACAATCATTTTCGCAACTTCAACAACAAGGTCAGCAGCAACCTCAAGTACCTAAGAACCAACCATTATCGCAAGTCCCAGCTCAACAACAAGCTTTACAACAGTCTGACGCTCCTAGCCAACAACCTTTAACTCAACAGCCACCTCAAGTACCACCTCATCAGCAGCTTGTACAACAACCGTTAGCTCAACAACCTTATGAAATCAAGCAACAGCTGACTCAAACACGCAGTGCTCCAATAAGAAGTTCATCACAAGCCAACGAACAACATCAACGAGTAAGGTCCCCACCAATCCACCGTACCAACAGCTATGACCAAAAGGTGATTCGAAGTCAGGCTGACATTATTTACCCAGAAGAAGATGTTGACTTCTACTCTTCGTACTATGAGAATCAACAGCTTTCTTCCAGTTACAATCCTGAACAACAACAATATTCAAGTTATAGCAGTAGCAATGTTCATGGAGTAAGACAAGCTCAACCACAGAGTCAGGGAATTCATAGAACTTCAAGTTATCAGCCCAACGATAGCTATGACTTGAGACAGTATCAACCGCAAATTGGGCAGAAGGTTAGCCAGCTACCGCCACAGCAATCTTATGGCTTTGGCCAACAAAGTCAAGGACAAGCTTCTCAAGTACAACAAGAAAAAACTTATGGTGTTGTCCCACCCCAAGCTCAAAGACCACCCCAGCAACAGCAACTCCAGCAACAACAACCTCAAAGAGCACCACAACAACGACAACCCCTACAACATCAAAAATCACTACCTCAAATATCGCCTCAAAAACAAGCCCTTCAACAACCACACGTCGAATTCCGTCCAAGTCGCCCTGCCCCTCAACGACAACCTCAACAAGTCCACGAACTGTCTCAGTTCGATCCGCAAACCTTTAAAAATCAACCAATCACCGGCCAGAAAATCATCAGCTATCATGCTAAGCCAACGGAGAAGATTACTAACTATGAGTACGTAGACTACAAGCCTGGAGAGGGTTACCCGAAGTTTGTTAATGATGAAGAGCAACAGAAATCAGAAGTTAGAAGAGGAGTTCTTGCACGTAGCACTAGTTATGGAGGACACCAGGCTCAAGGTGGGCAACGACAGTCTCAGCAAGTGCCACAAGGTCAATCACAACACCTTTCACAAGGTCAAAGACCTCAACAAGCACAAGCTCAAGTACTAGGACAACAACCAGGACATCATCAACAGCCACAAGATTATCAACAAAGTCCACAGTTGGCTCAGCAATATCAATCTTCAAGACCAACAAAGGATTACACAGACCAATTATATGCCGCTGACACTGCTGTACCACCTTCAGTACCTCAACAAGGATTGAAACAATATGAACCACACGTTCAATTTACTGACGAAGCTGATGATGACTATGTTGATGTCCAACAAGGTCAGCAACGACAAGGACTTGGTGTTCAAAGACAAGGATTTGATGTTCAAAGACAAGGTAATGGCTCCCCCGTAAAGCAAGTACAAGGCTCACAGGTAAGAAGAGCTCAAACCTCACCAACTCGCCAAGGGCAACAAGTATCACCAGTACGTCAAGTAAATGGCTCACATCAATCACAAGGCTATGGTCAAGGGTCAGGTCAATCGCCTGTCAGAAGACCGCCTTCTGTAGCTGCGAAATCTAAAGCTGGTTTACAACATGTTGCAACACAAAGCGACGGTAATCAAAATCAAGGTCAATATCAGCAACCACCACAAGTTAGCCAACAGTATCATCCAGAACAACAACATGGTGTTCAACAACGGGGGCAGGAACAACAGCTCCATCATCAACAAGGCAGAACACCTCAACAAATTCTAAGCCGTACTCAAGTATCACAGCAACGTCAACAACAATATCATCCACAAATGACTCGATCGGTCACACTTGATAATGACACTTGGAATGGGTATAACGGACATAATTACCCTTATGATCCCAATGCTCATCTAAACCTTGAAACAACCAAACATCAGGCTAATATTCAACAAAGCCAACAACAACCCCCAAAGCCCCAGCAAAGACCTCAATTACCCCTAAACACTCAACATGGCATAGCAGGCAACAAGTATTACAACGAAAAACAGTTGTCAACTAGTGGTTATGATAATGTTGATAACGAAGAAAATGAGCAGGAAAGACACAGTAGATATGAAGCTTACTTAAAGCAGCTGATTCAAAACAAACTTCCAGTAACTCATTTCGTGCAAAGCCCGGATGGTACATGGGTTGATCAAGATACGGCACAAGCTATGGGAATCAATTACAACACTAATCCTAGGACTCGGGCAGGTAGGTATTGACTATAACAGCTTTTATATACTTGGTTTTAGTAAATTTAGGCTTAGTAGGTTTAGGCTTAGTAGGGTTAGGCTTAGTAGATTTAGGCGTTGTAGACTTATGCTTGGTAGACTTACATGGGAAGGTACTTAAATCAGAAATCGACTTTGGGACGAGACCTATATATTATGAAAGCTCTGTGCTCACTGAGTACGAATCTGGAAGCCGTTTTTCCGTATGGCTCTTCGTTTTCGAGAAAATCGACGTTAAAGTTTGACCCAAATCGCATTAAAAACCGCTCCGCAAAGGCTCTCGCAAAAAACGAAAGAGAAGCAAGTAGCGGCGTGGCGCAGCGGTAGAGCGCTTGCCTTCTAGTTTTGACCATGCAGGTTCGACTCCGGGCAGTCTAGTTTTATTTTGCAACAAGTTTCAAACCAACAAAATTTTGAAATACTTTATTTTAACTGCATAAATGTAATCATTTTTGTTAATTTATTTTTAAAATAATTTTTATTTAAGCTTTAAAATTAATTCTTTAAAAGTTTTGGTGCTCATCCAAAATAGCCCCCTCCTACCCATACCATTTTAACCCCCCGCCGATGTCAACCAGAACATACTCCTAAAATTCATTTTCAAAAAGCAAAAACCAAAAAGCAAATTGAAATTTCTTTTTCTGCTCTTGCGATTTCTCACATAAATTTCAATTCGCATAAAATTTTGAACTAATATTTCCATTTTACTTCGCACCCCCATCATTGTAGTTTACACCCCCTACGCTGTAGTTCGCACCCCCGCCCACTGTAGATAGTGCCCCCACCCAGTGCAGGTAGCACCCCCACCCACTGTAGATCGCAACCCCACCCATTGTAGATAGCACCCCCACCCACTGATCGCACTCTCATCCAATGTAGTTCACACCCGCCATTCACCGCCCTGGCCAGTCAGCAGACCAGCACTCTCTCGCGCGACCCTCAACCTTCAACTCCGGACATTGCCGATATGGCAATTTTTGACTAAACAAAATAAAAGTTGCAAAACGATTTAATGTTTCGTTATGATTTGCATACATTTGCATAATAGAAACTTGTTGCAAAATGAAACTAGACTGCCCGGAGTCGAACCTGCATGGTCAAAACTAGAAGGCAAGCGCTCTACCTCTGCGCCACTCCGCTACTTGCTTCTCTTTCGTTTTTTGCGAGAGCCTTTGCGGAGCGGTTTTTAATGAGATTTGGGTCAAACTTTAACGTCGATTTTCTCGAAAACGAAGACCCATACGGAAAACGGATTCCAGATTCGTACTCAGTGAGCACAGAGCTTTCATAATATATAGGTCTCGTCCCAAAGTCGATTTCTGATTTAAGTACCTTCCCATGTTAGGCTTAGTAGGCTCAGGCTTAGTCTCAAGTGTCTTAAAGTAAAAATAAAATTGCAGCCTACTCCCAATCCCCAGTCAGCTGGTTCGACTCAACTTCAAATATGATTAGCGAGCAACCTAGATCCTTCTATGATCCTCCACTGGCAGAAGAGGAACTTCCTCGCCAGAGAAGACATTTCAGTCAATCACCAGTTAAGTATCGACCAGGTGGCGGTCGAAATGGAGGCAGAAGCGGTTTTGAAAGAGCTGGAGGGCTTCAGCCTTATCAACAAGGTACACATTCTTAATTTTTTACCACGCCCTACCGTACCCTGCCCTACCCTACCTTACCCTAAAGTGAAAATAAAAATTTTCAGCCCTAACCCAATCCCAAGGACCTCACTACCGAGCTGGAGGTCATGATAAAAGTGTCAAATTTGCTGAACCTACTCAGCTTGGAGCCAAAAACAATGTTGTACATCAACAGTATAACTCACCACTCAATTTATATTCTGCCGAATCAGCAGAAGAAGCCTACCGACAACAGTTGGGTCAGATGAAGATCGGCGATCCTCAGTAAGTTGGTCTACAGCTTTTTATCTTTTAATTTTTTTGAGTTTTACTCATAGTTAGCTTGTAAAACATGGTAATATATAAACACGGTAATATATAATTAGGTATGGCATAGAGCTATTGCTGTTGAAATATCACTTTAAAAACCATATATTTCAGGCAAAACCGGTCAAACCAACCCTCATATTTAACTTCACCTACCCGTCAGTACATTACTGAAGAAGAATCTGGCTTAAGCCATCCTTATTCTGGTCCACAACAAAGTTCAAGCTTAAAAAGACTTGCACATAATGTTGGTCGAGCACTATAGATATATTTTTACCTATAAAGTGATATTGCGTATGGTATTTTGAAAGTAGCCTACCTTACTCTACTCTACCCAACCCTACTCATCATACCATACCCTACCCTGTACTACCCTACCCTAGTTTACCCTACTCTACCATGTCCTACCATACACTACCCTCTATACCATATACAATATCATTTTATTGTAAGTTAATAACAAAATTAAGTTACCTTACAATTTATATTTTTTTTTCGTCTCATAAACTGCCATAACATATTTTTGCTCAAACATTATATTTGTCTTTATATCTCATTTATATTATGCTTCATTTAGTACTAGTCGTACTAACTCGCTATAGTAAAATTTAGTTGTTTAGTGCTTGTACCACACACTTAATGCCCATTTAGTACCATGCTTGTTTGTAATATATAGTTGCAGATTTATTCAATAATAATAAAGAACATGAAAATAATACAATCAGGCTTTGATATTACCATAAGGCATATAGTATTAACAGTTGAGCAAGGTTAGAGTCATAGTTAAATGAATGTTAATATAAAAAAAATTAAAAACAAAAAAGGTATTTCTACACGTGTTTTACAAGGGCAAGTTAGAGCTGTTGGAGAAGGTACTAAAACAAAAGTCTTTAATGTAAAATACGGTGAATTGAAAAAATCAATATAAAATGTGGCTTTTTGTTCTTTTTTCCAGTAATTTTTGTGACACTTCGTTAAATATTAAAAACGTCATTTTTCAAAACGTTATTATAAAAAAATGCTAAAAAGAGTCTTGAAAACAACTAAAATAATTTTTTAAATTTCCAATGTTTTGTGACACTTCGTCATTTTTTCAATAATTTTTGTGACATTCCGTCAAATTTTTTAAATATCATTTTCATAGCCCTGCTTATCACAAAACAGCTTATAAATGTCAAAAACAACTAGAATGCTGTTTTATTTTTCCAATAATTTTTGTGACATTTCGTCATTTTTCCAATATCTTCGTGACATTTCGTCAAAATGTCATTTTTAGTGTTTCAGCTTAACTTTTTACAAAAAAATATAAAAATCAAAAAATTAAAAACAATTTACCTTACCGCGAATGGGAATCACTAGTGGCCAAGGCTCGGTTAAACATTTGTTCTCTGGTCAGTTGCCTAAAATCATATTAATAAAGCCACTCTTCTAGCTGCTATTAGGGGGTATGTCGAGGTTTTTTGGAAAAGTTTAGTTATGATTTTGAAAAATATGATGATGTATAGAAAAAGACTACAATTTGACATTAGGAAGATGTTAACTTTAGATGTTTAAGCTACTACAACATCACAAACTTAGGTTCATAAGCTATAACATAAGCTGAACTCAAAAACTTATAAGCCACAACATCAACTAAACTTAAAAAACTAAAAAAAATTAAAAATTTTGAGAAATTTTAAAAAATTTCAAAATTTCAAAAAATTTTAAAAAATTTAAAAAATTCACAATTTTCAGCAAAAACTAAAAACTAAGCACCAGTCTCCAAATCGACCGGCTTAATGGTGCTAGCTTTGCTGTCAATAACCGGGTCCTCAACGTCATCGTGATTAACATCGACCACCACAGGTAAGAGTCGTTGGTCTTCGTGCCGCTGACGAATTATCTTCAACTCTTGTGGTTTTGCTGAATTTGGTCTGAAATAGTGTGCACAGGAAAAAGCTGCAGTGTTTTCGGAAAAAGTGGGTTTTTTTATTTGAAAAAAAATTAAATTTTAAAATTGTGGAAGATAGCGAACATGTAGGCTTTGAATTGATAATAGGTTTTGAACATTTAAGCATAGTAAAGAATTTTGAAAGGGAGGATAATATAATGAGTGAAAGTAAAATACGTTGAATAAATGGAATTCATCGAAACTACAGCCTAAAGTAACCCTAGCATGTCCTAGCCCAAGCAAACGCTAGACCTAATCAACCACACTACCTTAGCTCTGCCTTGTCCTATCCTACCCTGTCTTAGCTCTACTTTGCCCTGCCGTAGTACAGTTCTACGTTTCTCTTGGTAAGCTTAATCCAACAAAGCTCAGACAAAGCCAACTAAAGCTTCAGTTTAGGCTTAGCAAAAATTCATAAAAATGCCAAATAAAAAGACATCCCTCGCTGAAATTCAGAGTAAAATCCCAGTACTCGCAGTCATTTGTTGGGTCGTTTTACATCGAGGCAAACATTACAAAAATAAATAAGATTACATAAGAAAACGTTGCGCAATACCATTTCTTGCAATTTCTCTAAGGCTATGTATAACAGTTAAATAATTGTTAGGTAATGCCGTAATTTTTGTTTATTTTTTATACACAAGGCTTTTGTAAAAACAATTTGTACCGCAAAGGCATGCGAAGTAGACCAAGTAGGCGTAAGCTTAGTAAGCTAAGCTATAGTAAGCTTGAGTTCAAAAAACTTAGACTTAAAAGGCTTAAGTAGTAAACTTATGCTCAGTAAGCTTGGGCCTAGACTTAGTAAGAGGAGGCTTAGTTTTACAGTATACGGATAATACGGCCCTCAAAGCTTATAAAATTGATATTCCTATATCATAAATTATTACTAAAGTAACCAACCTTTCCTGTCATTCCTTACCTTAACCTTCCGTACCTTTTTCTAGCCTACCCTACCTAACCTTGAGCTATCTTACCCTAGTTTATTGTAGCCTATTATACTTCATTCTTTCTTACTCTATCCTGCCATAATTTACCCTATCTTACCCTACCTTTTTCTAGCTTACTTAACTCTATTTTTCCCTAGTAAAAGTAAACATAAAAATGTGTTTCTTTCAAAATTATTTATAAACCTCTAATATTTAAAATCACAAGAGGCTTATACAATCATCTATATGAGACCACAGACACCTAAACTCTTACCTGTTTTCAATATTATGCTTGACAGTCTCTCTAGCATTTTTAACTCCAGGTGCATCCTTAATACACGCGTTCCAAGCCCAAGTAAATACCAAGAAGAAGAATGGCACCAAGCAGATGACAATCATCAAAATGACACACATCACCGGTATCAACCAGTTCTTAATCTTTGGTACACATGGGTCTTGCTTGTTGAATTCGACCAGGATTGGATGATAATCAAAATCACAAGCAAAAGCTTCTTCCAAGTCTTCTAAACCTGACTTTGGTCTTGGTGTACCTTCGAGAAGTACTCTGTCGACTTGAGCTGGCATGTTATAGGCTGTACGCAGCAGGGGTTCTATTAGGAAGTAAACCTCGAAGAGGAGGAAGATTAGTACTACTACTAGGAGGACCTGAAAGTTGATTATGTTTAGGTATAGAAAATTATTTTTGTTCTTGGGAAGGTTAGGATAGAGCTAGCGTAGGGGTAGGGTGAAGCTAGGGTAAGATGGAAGTAGATTAGAAACTTTGAGGAAAGGAATGGTAAAAAATTTCAAGCCTTTAAAAAAAATTTTTTTTCAATTTGTTTTATTTTTTAAATAAATACAAGTCAAAGTTCATAGAATCACACCAACAATTGTATCTGTGGACCAATTTTCCGAAATTTTTTTTTCGTTTTTTCACGTACAAGTACCTACCTACCTGTGGATTTTTTTCAGATCGGCTCTGGGGGGGAGTCACCCCGAACCACCCCCCCCCTCACTAAAAAACCCAAAATCACCCCACCCACTCTGAAATGTGTATCTAAATTGCTATATTTTTCTAAATGCACCACTGCCCAACGTATTTTACCACCTACCCGATACAAAACCTTGAAGCTGCTCTTGTTGTAGTAGGCCTTGTGGAATAAGAAAGCGAATGGAGCAAACAATATCAAGACAATCAAGTTTAAGGCTGCCAACATCCAGAGTACAATATGTTGATGTTGAATGTCGTCGGCGAATGCTAATAGTTCTTCTTCAGTTAGGTTACGTGGATCGTACGGTAAAATGAATGTCTGAAAAAGGGGTACTGTAATGTTGGTCTTGATTTTTTTTTGGAATTTTCAAAGCTCTTTAACTTCAATTTAGTACTAGTTTTACTGTGATAGTTGATATACTGATCATTATATAATACTATATAGTACTGAAGACAAGTTTAAGGTACTACTGTTTTCTCTATCTTACCCTACCCTGACTTGCCCTACGCTACCGTACCCTACCCTATCCTATGCTACCCTACGCTACTGTACCTTACCCTACCCTACCTTACTCTATCGCATCGTACCCTACCATATCCTACCCATTGTACAGTACCATTAGTACCTTAAAAGCGCGCTTATGGTAATATCATAGAACTACCTACAATATGAGTCTAGTAGTACTAACCTTTATATAGTACTACTAGTACCCTTAATAACATGATAATAGTACTAGTACTAAAACAATTCTCCATAATATAAAAGTTTTTCCTACAGTATTCCGAATACCATATCTGCCCATTAAATAATACAGTCCTTTCCCAATACTGAGATCCAATTTTTAGTCCCAAAAAATACTATAAATACCACCATACCTCAGGTTCATGAGTAACATTATCAGCCTCAGTGTAGTTATCGAAACCAAAGACCCATTCTTGATCTTCTACGGTAGTTGTAGCTTCTTCTAAGCCTTCATCACGTCCAAAAAAGACTCCAGATAATGTAGCATTCAGTACCTCTGTACTACCTTCAGCATTTTCTATCACAATTGGTACTACAGTAGATCCAGACGTCGTAGAAGAAGAGTCTGAAGTCACCGTACTATCTGTAGATGATTCTGAAGCTATCGTGCTAGTCAATTCTGCTATCGTAGTAGATTCTGTGGTCGATTCAGTAGCCGCCACGCTAGTCGATTCTGTAGAAGTCTCAGTAGCCTCCACAGTAGTGGATTCTGTATTAGACTCAGTAGCTGCTACCGTGGTTGACTCCGTAGTAGAGTCTTCTGTAGTAGCTTCAGTAGAAGTGGATTCAGTGACTTCTGGAGCTAATGTTGTTAATGGTTCATCTGGCTGATGATCGACTATAAGTGGCTCTATTTCAGCTCCAGGTGGTACTCGACTACCGGTTGGGAAGAGGTCGTCAACTTCTGCTTCTTGCTACAAATTTAAATGTTTAAAATTAAAAAATTTTTTTTTATTTTAACATTTTTCGAAAAATTTAAAATTTCATCCTCCCTGATATGCTCTACTCTATCCTGCCTTGTTATACCTTATCTTACCCTACCCTACTCGACCCTACCCTACCTTACCATATTCTACTCTACCCTACTGTACCGTATCCTATCCTTACCCTACATTAGCTTACCTTTACCCTTACTCTTATTTCTACCCCTACCCTACCATAAACCACATCAACGCTTATCTCAATCTTGCCTTACCGTACTTCACAAACTTTAATAAACCCACCCTCTTAGCCCTCTCCACGCTTTCTTCCAAAGCCTCTTCTTGAACATCATCAAGTTCTTCGTTTGATTCTTCTGTTCTTTCTGACGGCTCAACTTCGAGTTGTTCATGTGAAGTTGTGTTCGTACATTCCTCAACCCAGCCTTCTTCGCTTTGCACTTTTACACAAGTGCGGTGACGGTTTTGGCGCTGAAAAAAAAGTGTTTTAGGTAATAAATGATGTTTCTTTTGTTTATATGAAATTTTGTGCCATTTTTAAATACAAAATAAGATTTTAGGTAACAAAAAGCTATTTTGAGAAATAAAATGATGTCTTAAGTTTACAAAAAGTCATTTAAAGACATAAAATAAGATTTTAAGTAACAAAATGTCATTTTAGGTAATAAAATGACATTTAGGTTGCAAAATGCCATTTTAAAATATAAAATGAACGTTTTAGTAACAAAATGCCATTTATACCTCAAAAACAACATTTCAAGCCCCTAAAGAACAAAAGAAAGTATTAAAAATGCCTAACCTTGATCATATGAAATACTCTGTCAACATAATGCCCCAAGTCATTATTGATCTTCAGTGATCCAAACGCGTATATGCAAGTTAACGTAGTCAATGTTAGAAGACATAAAACTATGACAAAGCTGATTCTGTGGTCGACTTTTCGCTTGTAGTCTTTGAAGTTCTGGAATTTAATTTTTTTTTAAATTTTAAATTTTTTTTCAAAAATTTTGAAACTTCGTACCCTAAATTGCTCTGCTTTACCCTAACAAACATATCCCGTCTTACCGTACTCTACCAACCACACCTTGCCTATCTTATCATGCGCTACCCCGATCTAAATTACCCCGCCTTGCCCTACCCTCCCTACCAACTATACCTTGTCTACCCTACCATGCCTTACCCCACCCCAAAACGAAAACCCTTACCGGTTGATTATAGATCTTGGTGACACCACCGCCCTGCAGCCGGCCCCTTCCTTGATGATGCGCCATATTGGGTGGGGGCTGAAAACCGACCGAATCCACCGATTCCGTACTCATTCCCCCTAGCTTCCAACCCTTTTGCGGTTTCTTAACAGCGATTTTTCTCCGTTTTTGGTCTTTAACCTATACGAAGCGTTTTGTCAATAATCGAACATTACTTTTGAATTTGAGGTGAAGCGTGACATGAATGACAGTATTATAATATGCGTGATTAATGTGTAATTAATTGTATAATAGTAATGTAATAGATACCCTACTTAATTTTGTCTTACCCTACCCTGCCCTACCCTACGATACCTTACCTTACCCCATGCCCTACCCTACCCTACCCTTCCCTACCCTACCCTACCCTACCCTACCCTACCCTACCCTACCCTACCCTACCCTACTCTGACCTGATTTACCTTACACTACCCAATCCTACCATATTCCATAATATCCTACGTTGCCCCATAGTGTCCGGCTTTGCCTTACTCTAACCTACCTTATCATTAGTTACCTTGCCCTACCCAAACTTAATATACATCATCTTATCCTACCCGGCCATATACTATATACTGCCCTAGAAAACCTATCCTAATCCAAGAAGTTCTACCTGCGACTGACTTTTCTCATCAAAGGCCTATAACTTGAACTTATCGCCGGTACCTGTGGACCGTTTTTTCAAAAAATTTTTTCACCTGTGGAATTTTTTTTCAAATTGGCTCTGGGAGAGAGGGTACCACCCCTACCCCCCTCCCCCAAACGACGTCCCTGCTAGCGACCCCACACTACTCTACTCTACCTTACCCTACTCTACTCCCCCCCCCCTCCCCTACCCTACCGCAATTCCAAGTCAACCCTCCATATTGATCTATTAAAACCCGCTTGAAAAATGAACTTAACAAGGATAAAACTCTTTTTTTCTCATTTTATTATGGTTTATTTTCGAAAAGTCCATTCGCATTAGGTTTTTATGGTCATCAAAAGTGTCACTTGAACGCAACTTTTTAACTCAAATCGGAGTAAAAACTTTGTAAAATGGAGCGATTTCGTGAGGGCGTGAGTAGAAAAAAATGGTTTTTAATTTTTTTTTGCAAAAAAAAGTTTTTTTTTATTTTTTTTAATTTTAAATTTTTTTTTAATTTTAAAATTTTTGCTTTTAAAATATTTAAGCTTAAAAATTAAAAAAAACCTCCCCCCTCCCAAAACACCCCTTAAACCATCCTTCTCCTCCAAACCCCTACCTAGACCAAGCTTTTCTCAGCCGGACCCAAAAATCGGCCCAACCGGAAACCCAGGTTTACCCCTAACCCAATTACCCTAGCCACCACCAATACGCCCAATCAGGTAAACATTCCGAAAGCAGTAATTTGGAAATTGCCTGTTAATTGACTTTCAAATCAATCCAGAAGAAAACAAAATTGTAAACCCGCGGAAACGCCGAAAAAACAGTAACAATCCATTTCTTTTCGATTTTTGAAATAAAAAAACCTTTGAATACTTTACACTCATGCCCTACGGCGGCAAACAGGCAAAGAATTTTGTAATACAGCTGGAAACGTTCGTCAATGATAGATTTGAAAAAGGTTGTTTTGGCGCTGCTTTAGGTCTATTTACCCTACCCTACCCTACCTTACTCTACCCTACCCTACCCTACCCTACCCTACCCTACCCTACCCTACCATACCTTACCCTACTCTACCCCACCCTACGCAACCCTACTCTACCCTGCCCACCTTACCCTTCCATACCCTACTATACGCACCCTACCCTACCTTACTCTAACCTATCCTACCCTACCCTACTAAAGCAAGATATGATAGAGTAGGGTAAGGTCACGTAGGGTGAGGCAAGCTAAGGTGATGTAAAGTAAAGCAAGGCATCGAGGGAAGGGCAAGACATGCAGAGCAAATAAGAATATATTATAGTAAGGTAGTATACGACAGGGCAAGTTGAGATAATTTACCCTGCTTTACTTACTATATACTGACATGATCTATCCTATCCTATCATACTCTAGGTAGGGGTGAGAAATGGGCCGACTTTGAGCTATTGGGCCGCGGGACGCTGCAGGGCCTCAAAAGTGGGCCCGGCCCGTTTCTCACCCCTAGCTCAAAGTTATTTACCCCATCTTTTCTTACTCTACCAACCCAAACCTTACCCTAACGTAGTCTAGGCATAGCCTTACTTTTTGCGTATTTTTAAAAAAATATAGCCTTTTTCAAGAAACATTTTTAAAACTTTGCTGTTAAATGTAAAATACGCCGTATTAATACAAAATTTAAAAAAAATTGAAGCAAAAAAAATATTTAGTTTTATTATAATACATTTTATTAGTCCAGTAATTTAAAGCGTATCATGTCACTTTTACTAATTTTCTTTTTCTCTACTGTTAAATTAAATTAATTGTTACAATGATTGTACAACTTGAAATCAGTGAAAACTTTGACATAAGTTTCAAATATTAGTAAAATTATTGTAAAATACGTTTACTACATTATCGCCACATATAATTTCCTTTTTTTTCTACTGTTAAATTAAATTAAATGTTACAATGATTGTTCACATTGAAACCAAATAAAAAAATTGAAAAAAGTTTAACATTTATAAGAATTATTGTAAAATACGTTAATCACATTGTCCCCACACATATAATAATTATGTTTTTATCCTACACTACATTACCAGGTGCTCTGTTCAAAAAATAGAAATGAAACTTTTAAGGTTCTTGAGTACGGTAACGGTGACCAATAGAAAAATTAACAAAATTTTTATAAAACGCAAAACTTTAAGTTTCAGTAGCAATAACGTTAACAAAATTTATGCTACAGCATCACACGAGCAACGATAGAACTAATATTGAGTTTAAAAAAGAGTAAAAAATAAAAAAAAATTTTTTCCTTTCCTACCATACATTACATTACCCAACTCAGCCTTACCATACGCTACCCAAAAATACCCTGTCCTACCATACAATATCCTACTCTGCCCAACCTAACCTACCCTACATAAAATCATGTAAAAACTCCAAAATGACAAATTCCCCACCTAAAACCCGTCAAACTTCCCGATTTTTCCTCTTTTTACAAGCTCAGTTACACCACTGCACACAGATCATTACTAAGCGCATAACAATGGTAATAAACTGCGTAAACGGTTTATTGTATATAATTTCGTAACTCGAACGTTATGCAAACATATTGTAAATATCCGTTTTGGAAGGCTGTAAACAAAGAAAAAACCAATTATATACATAAGAAGGATATCGTTACTTGTCGACAGTGTTCAAGGTCAGAATTAGGTAACGTATAGGCTACGGAAAGTAAATAACAGTCGTGGTAATTTTTTAATTTGGTTTTGAAATAAGAGCTTTTGAAAAGTTTTTTAAACTGGTCTTACTGTAATGTAGTCTTAATGTACCCTACTCTACCATACCCTACCCTACCCAACCCTATCCTACGCAACCCTACCCTACTCTATCCTACATTACCATACCCTACCCTACTATGCTCTTCTCTACCCAAACCTGCTTTACCCTACAAGAAATTACCCCATCATACGCTAGAGTGCCTTACTTTGTCATTTCTACTGTCAATTACCCTGCCCTACCTTAGCTGTACCCTATCATAATTAAAATTATTCTCCCCTACCCTGCCATACACTGCCACCCCTAAAGCAGCCATACCATAGCCTAGTTTAACCCAACGCTAATCCTAATGAATCCCTAGCATACTCAACCCTGCACTAAATTACCTTACCTTCACATATCATAGTCTACCCTACTCTATCACAATTTAAACTACTCTTCTCTACCCTGTCTTACCCTACCTACACAACCCAAAAAAAAACTTTCTCTTAAAAACCCCTACCCTTCAAACCTAACAGAATTTTTAAATTCTATTTATTTATTATACTTGCCATTTTTACCACACCTTTTAAAATTCCGATCAAAAAAGTAAAACCAAAAACCCTTAAAAAGTCTAAAAAACCTCATTTTAGGATCAACATTGTTACCCAAAGTTTGCGTGATCTCCTTTTGTCATTTTTGTATGAAAAGTAGCTTTAGTGAAAGCTACGTGAATAAAACCCAACCTTTTCCACTCCGAACATATACAATGTAATGTTTTTGGTAATCGACGTGGATACGGAAAATACGTTCGAAGGAGCGCAAGTTTTTGAAATTAAGAAATAAAATTTAAATAAGAAAATTTGAGGAATTGATCTTGATTTGACATGAAATTTTGATTTTAGGCTTAAGTTTTGAAGTAAAAATTTAATTTAAAAAATACTTTTTTCATTTTTAGGTAGGAAATGTAGTATGTATAATATAGCAAAAGTTGACGTATTCTAGGTCTACGCTTTTTCTAGCCTAGCCCAATTCACTTTCTGCTTTAGTCTAAACCATATTCTAATCGTACTCTAGCTCTATACAAGGCATGCTTATTCCTACACTAGCCCTTTTCTAAGCCAATCCTAATTCTAGCCTAGTCCAATTCAATTTCTATTGAAAGCCTAGTCCAGATTTACTCTAGTCCATACCCTGGTTCTACCCCAGCCGACCCAACACCTACTCAACATTAAACTAGTCCTTACTTTAGTCCTACCCTAGCCTTATTACTTTGGCCTTACCCCAGCCCTAACTTTTTTCTACCCTTGCCTAACCTTACTACTTCAACCCTACCCTACCCCAGCGTTTTGTAGTATCATTTTGTGTAACTACCGTACCGAACTCCAACAAAAATTTTTGAAAATTCAAATAAAATTTTTCAAAAACCAAGACTAAATCAACCTTGAGTAACCAAAACCCAAATACAAAACTTAATTTGAATTCTCCAACTTTCTCGATTGACTTTTGCGGAACAAAAAATAGCAAAAACTTAATTGACTGTGAGATGGTAAGCTAATAAAAGTGAAACACAAAAAGAACGAAAAAAAGACAATTAAGAACGAAACGTTACCTGCAACAATGATGAATGAAGAAGATTGCAAAAAATCAACTTTTTGCAATATTGTAAGTGAAAAATTACAATATTCTAATTAGCTAAGTATTTTCCCTTCAGTTCCGGATATTATCTATGATGTTGATGACGAAAACGAGAGAGAATCCTCTAAAATAACCTGAAAATGTAAAAAATTAATAGTTAAACTAAACCTACACGTAAAGCAAGTTGTTTTTCGCCAAACTAATCATAATATATTTGATCTTAGTTTTGTTCTAGCTAGCTTCGTCCATTTCCTTTCAGCTCAGTATGTTATCCATGATTTTGATGTTGAAAACAAGTGAAAATCCTCCAAATCAACCTAATAACGGAAAAACTGAAAGTAATAAAACAAACTTACATGTAAAGCAACTCATCCTTCTTGCCACCTCATTTAATCTGTTCTGTCCATTTCCCTTCAACTCCGGATATTATCCTTGTTACCAAAAACACATGAAAATCTTCTAAAATATAACATAAAAAAGCAAGAAATAAAAAATAAAACTGAAAATACAACGTAAAACAACTTTTACTTCATAAAAATATTAAAAAATACACTGTTTTAGCTAACATTTAGCCATTTCGGATATTATCCTTTAGTGCCAAACCAAATCGTTTAAAATAACCTAAAACCTTAAAAATCAAAAAGTAAATTTAAACTTACATGTAAAACAACTTGTGCTCCATCAAATTAATCATAATACACCTTGTTTTAGAGTTGATTTAGTCAGTTTTGTCCATTTACCTCCAGTTTAGCTCAAATTCGGCAAGTTGAAGATGTTCTTTTGCCAATATCTCCTCCATTGTCCACTTCTCAATCCTTTTAAAAACCTTAAAACATTGAAAACATTAAAATACATCAGTAAGGTCATATTATACATATTAAAGGGGCTTTCTCGCGCAATGTCACATATTAAACATAATGTTATCTTTAAAAAAACGTATAAAACTTCAAAAAAACGACAATATTAACAAAAAATGAGTAAATAAAAGGTCATTGATGTGTAATCAAGTAATTTTATAAAAATTCAATCAAGTATTTAAAAAAACAGCTGTAGAAGGTACAAAACATCTCTTCCGGAAGCTACAATTAATTTCGTCGCTGAATAACTTCGTTGGAGTAAACTGCGAACTGCGGGTATCACTTTATACGCCAGAACATGTCCAAACAAAAAAACGTTGATTTTGTTCAAATATCACAAACAACCTTAGTTTAAACTTTGTAAATGTAAAATTTCATGATTTTTGCTATTATTTTTGAAGAGTTATAGTTTTATATTGTTATAGAGAAGAGCTATGGTAAAGTACAACTATGATATCACTTTTTATAGTGGTCCTTTTGTGAATTCGTACTGTAAAATGCTTTGTCAGTGCAAGAAGCTCCGAATACGTATACTACTATACGTATTATACAATTCTTCGAGATTCGTGCACCAAAGATAATTTGTTTTCATCGGAAGCGTCTGAATGCTTTCGTCAAGAATCTGTTTCATGAATATGTTGTTCTTTGTTACACCTACTTCCATCGCACGCTGCTTATCCTTTTTAGAAAAATGTAGTTTGGAAATGATGTTAAAAGTGTTTCTTCCTCCACATGTTTTTTATTTGTGGTAATTTGTAAAGAGGATTTATAGATTTGAAGATATTTGTTTTTTGCTTTGATTATTATGTTTATATATTACTGTAGCAAAAATTTTAAATTTTTATTATAAGGAAAAACAAGGAAAAGGCAAAGGCAGGACAAAATTAGAGAAAAGGCATCGAAAAAACAGGGCAAAGGCAAGGCAAAGGCAGGGCAAAGACAGGGCAAAGGCAAGGCAAAGGCAGGGCAAAGGCAGGACAATATTTGTTCTTTCAAACTCAGTAAGAGTCCAGGAAGATTGAAACAAACAGAAACGTATGTCACTTTCGTGATATTACAACATAAAACAAAAAGAAACAAATGGATAAGCAATACTTTGTCTAATTTTGTAGTAGAAGTAATCTTTTCAGTGTTGCAATAAGATAAATTACACGAGTACTTTAAGAGAAAAAAGTAAGCAAGGACGTATTTTACAATGGTCAATCAGAAGTTGAAAAAATTACATTTTTTTAAAATTTTCTTATAAAAAAACTATTTTTGGACTCTTAGGGTAAAGCAGGGTAGGAAAGGATAGAGTAGGGTAGGGCAAGACGTACTTTTACAAGTTTAAATTTTCTTGTGAGGTCATTTCCGAAAGTTGTATTGTTTATGTTTCTTTCGTTTGATTAGTAGATTTCCGGTAGGTGATAAGAACTTTTATTATAATTTTTTTAAAACTTTATTTTTTATCATGTCTACCATTGTTTCAATTGATCAAAAATTGATTATAACAAGTATAAGATAATGTTTAATATTTAAATAATTTTTGTGATTCTCTAATGAACAATTGATTTTTTGATTTTATTTAAAATTTTAATTAGCTTTTTTAAAGAATTTGGGTAATGATGATCTCGTGAACTTAAAAATGTGAATGGATCTTTGAATTTTTGAATTACTTATCAGAAAAAATTAAAATAATTTCAAGGTTTTTTAATTCTCATAATACAAATTTTAAAAATAATGTTTTTTGAAGGGTTTTAAAAGGGTAGAGCTAGAAATGAGTTGGTGTGGTAGGGTTAAAAAAGGGTTATAGCAGAAAGAGTGTAAGGCGAGGTAAAGGATTTTAATATTTTTTAGCTTTACAATTTAAAAAAAATTAATTTTGATTTCTTGCAAATTTTAATTAAAAACCCTGTGGCAAATTAAAATTAAAATTCAAAAAAAAGTGATGTACTATAATTAATCATATTCAAATAGGAAGCAGTTAAAGCGTTTTGAGTAATTTAAAAACAAGTTAATTAATGAAAGGCTGAGTCAATAAAAAAAGTCACGGTACGGTGGGTTTTCGCAAAAAAAATGACAGCGTTCTTTTAGAAAAAAGCATTTTTAACGTAATTTTTGGACTTGTATGATGAGGCAGGATAAAATTTGGCCACGGCTGAGCAAGGTTAGGTTAAGGTAGGGTGAAATCGACTAGGTAAAGCTAGGCTAAAACAAAAGTATAAACAAAGATCGGAAGGGCTAGGCAGAGTCGAATAGAGCTGAGTTGAGTAAGGCTGAAGAAAGGCAAGGCAAGGCAAGGCAAGGCAAGGCAAGGCAAAGCAAAGCAAGGCAAGGCAAGGCAAGGCAAGGCAAGGCAAGGCAAGGCAAGGCAAGGCAAGGCAAAAACATGGAATAGGCAAGGGTTTCTTGAACGGCAAAAACTGATCTTTATTTTAATTTTAATTGTTTTTCTCATCAAAAAATAATTTTAATTAACTAAAAAACTTTCACATAAAAAACAGTATCAAAGCATAAAATAGTGGGAAAAATAACATTAATTTTCCAATGTCAATACCAAACACCAATTTTTTTGCTTTGCCAATACAAGTATTGTTATGTTATACCTTTTTTGTTTACTCAAACGTTTTGACCTTTGTGACTTCTGAACCTTTTTGTTTGAAATAGCTTTAAAATGCCTACTTTAAGTTATTGACACCTTTGTTTCTCGGAATTTGTTTAGTATAACACTTGACCAAAAAGGGTAAAGAGTATTGTAAAGAACGTCAGCATTACGACAATTTTAAGTTCAAATTTTAATTTTTTTGAAAATAGAGAAAACACGGAACAAGCTTCCTAGCCTGACAATAGATAGTGGGTGGGACAAAAAGGGTTTGAGACAAGTTCACACGGTTTGTATTTTAAAATCTGTATGGCTATAGTAAAGCTACATAGACAAAGTCAAGCTTTAGAATTATGAATAAGATTGGGGTGAAAAAGTTATGGCAGAAGGTAGCTAGAGCTAGAATAAAAGTTAAAGCTAGATTTAGAGTCAGAGCTGGAGCTAGAGCTGAAAAAGTTAGGGCTAAGCTAAAAAGCCTAAAGCTAAAGCTCAAATTCAAGCTCAGGGTCAGAGTTAGACTCAGGCTCACGCTTACGGTCAGGCTTATGCTCAGGCTCAGGTTCAAGCTTAGGCTCAGGCTCAGGCTCAGGCTCAGGCCCAGGCTCAGGCTCAGGCTCAGGCTCGGGCTCAGGCTCAGGCTCAGGCTCAGCCTCAGGCTCAGGCTCAGGCTCAGGCTCAGGCTCCGGCTCAGGCTTAGGCTCAGGCTCAGGCTTAGGCTCAGGCTCAGGCTCAGGCTCATGCACAAACTCAGGTTTAAGCTGACGCTAAGGCAAAGCTTCAAACTTGGCCTAAGGTTAATCTATTATAGTACTAACGCTAACTACTGTAGCTTTTTTTCTTATTTCTATTCAACGTTTCTTCCAATAATTGTAAAAGTTTCCAACAGTAGTCCGAACACATTATGTGGTCTAACTGCTTTACCATTTAAGTGCTAGTCTTGTTCCGAACGTGGGATTTAGATTATTCACTTAAGTCAAAATGTTTGCTCTAATTTGAATTGACATCCAAGGTGAGAGTGTTTGAACAAGCTCGGGTTCTTTTTCTGAATTTGTACTCAAATTTGAGGGCGGTGGGGATAAAAAAAGAGAGTATTTAAGGATGTGTAGACTAAAAAAAGGTTAGTTTAAGAGCTTCTTTAGAAAAGTAAGGTGTTTTGTACGGTCAGGCAGTCCGGGGGTAGAGAGGAACGTACCGTTTGATAGTATGGGATAAGCAATGACAGCTAGAGCGGGAAATAGAGATAAAGCTAGGGCTAAAACAAAAGCTAGAGTTATAGCTGCCACTAGGGTTAGAGACCTAGACCTAGCCTAGACCTAGACCTAGACCTAGACCTAGACCTAGACCTAGACCTAGACCTAGACCTAGACCTAGACCTAGACCTAGACCTAGACCTAGACCTAGACCTAGACCTAGACCTAGACCTAGACCTAGACCTAGACCTAGACCTAGACCTAGACCTAGACCTAGACCTAGACCTAGACCTAGACCTAGACCTAGACCTAGACCTAGACCTAGAGCCAGGACCAGAGCCAAAGCCGAAGCCAGAGCGAGAGCTAGAGCTAGACCTAGACCTACACCTAGACCTAGAGCCAGGACCAGAGCCAAAGCCGAAGCCAGAGCGAGAGCTAGAGCTAGACCTAGGGCGAGAGCTAGAGCCGAGGAAGAGAAAGAATTTAAGCAGAAGCTCCAGCTAAGGCTAGAGTTGAGGTTAGGGCTAAGGGTAGAGCTGAGTGTAGACCAACATCTAGACCTAAGGCTAAACCCCGGATCAACCCCCACCTCAATTCCAGCTTGAAAAACGTCACTTTTGGGTACAAACAGTTTTTTCGCAATAAAATTGTCAGAAATCCTGTTTATTTTTACTACGATACTAAAAAGTGGGCGGAGCTAAATGCGAACGTAAAATCTTTATTTCAAAAGCTGTGCTTTATATAACAGCACTTTTAGAGAACGGTTTTAAGGGTTAGGTTCTGGTGGTTTTAGGTTGGGCTTTATTGTAGTTCATATGAATTTGAAGCTCTTTCTTTATAAGATACAGTAGGTAAGGGGTACCTTTTGTATACTGTTGAAGGGGGGGGGGATATCAAAGTTTTTTCCTTGATAAATTTAGAAGTCAATACGTTAATTTTAGACCTGCTACTTTGATTCCGGTTGCAGAATGATAAAAAAGTACTGTTTTTCAAACTTATCTTATCTTGAACGTTATGAAATACAAGGCAGAGGTCTTTCAAGTTTGCGGCATTATTACTAATTTACAAGCGGAACAGGGCGGGGTAACGGAAAACAAGGTGGGACTATAAGACAGACAATGACATGATAAACGTTTCATTATAAAAAAGTGTATTTTTGGAAAGACATTGTTACAGTAGAGTAAGGATGGGGTAGGATTAAGATGAAGGTAGGAGGGGAGGCAAAAGTAAGGGTATTTGGATTTACCTCCCGCCAGAGCCAATCCGAAAAAAATTCCACAGGGAAGTACGTCTATTTGTGAACGAAAAAAAATTTTTGGTTTCCTCCCCTCTCCCCCTCCCCCAGAAAAAAATCCGTAGCGGCGCTCCTAACGAAGAGTATGGCTAGGATAGGGCATAGGTAGGACAAGCATAGAGCTAGCTTATTTAAGGATGCGGTATGGCTGAGCTAGAGCTTTGGTTGGTCAGGTGTGCTGTACGGTATAATACGTTTTCTTGAAATTTATCTTAAACACATTTTTGTTATTTTAAATTTTAAACTTTGAGTTGAATTTTGTGTTATTTCGAAATAACATAGATCAAACTCCAAGTTTTGCAAAGTTTCTCTGTGATAATTGTTAAAAAAAAACTTTTTTTCTTATCATTCAAATTCCACGAATTCTCATTGACTCAAAAACTTTTAAATATAAAAAAGTAACGTTCTTCTTGATCAGTTCTACGTACGATTAAGATGAAGTTAGAGCGAGCAAGAAGCAAGGCTAGTATAGAGCCAAAGTGGATCTAGAATAGGGCTGGGGTAGTTCTAGGGTACAGTAGAACTGAAGAAAGAAAAAAGTAGGGCTAGGGTAAAGCTTGTGCAGTACTAGAGTAGGGCCGAACTAAACAAAGCTAACATTAAGTGACAGTGAGGCTAGAATAGGGCTAGGGTACGGCTAGGGTAGTATAGAACTAAAGAAAGCTAAAGTAGAGCTACATTAGGGCTAACGTGTGGCTAGGGTACGGCTATGGTAAGACTAGGGAAAGATTTTTAGAAAGAGGCAGGAAGACTTAAGCTTTACTAAGGCAGTACTGTAGTAAGTACAGCCATTGAAGGTTAACATTTTACTTTTTGTCGTTTGACATAACATTTTATGCCAAAACCTACCTTTGGAAATGTTTGTTTACTGAACCTGCCCACCTTTTTGATAGATCTGTAAAGTTGTGATGCCAAAAAGTGCAAATCAATTATTTTTTTTTTGAAATTTTACATTTTTTAGTGAAAAATGACGGCACTCTTTTTCCCCTTTACTCTACTTTACTTATCTACATAGAGGAAGGGTGGAGGATGGATTATATAAAAAGTAAGCCAAGGGATGGGCAAGTCAGAGTAAACTTTTTCATTTTATAAATTGGGGCGGTTTTTGTGTTATAATTGGACTACAGTAAGTCTTATTAGATAGGTACAATTATACTACAGTAAGCTCCATTAGAAAGGGCTAGGAAAGAATATGGTAGAACATGGGACAAGTAATGTAAATAGTTCACGGGTAAATAGGAAAGTGTAGGCTAAATCTTAAGGGGTAAAGGTTATGTTAAAGCATGGGTAAAAATAGTGAAGGGCTAGAGTTAATTTTGGAGCCAGGGTTACGGTAAGGCATGAGAAGGCAAAAGGTAAGAATAAGGGCTAGAGTGCTAGTGGGTAAGGCTGAACTAGGGGCTTGGATTACGTCTCTTGGGTAGGGCTAGAAACCTGGGTTAGGGCTTTGGGCTAGAGCTCTGGACTAAGGCTCTGGACTAGGGCTCTGGGCTAGGGCTCTGGGCTAGGGCTAGGGAACATAACAGCTTCTTTTGACTAAAGTAGGCTATTGTAGAGCTTATTTAAGGCTGGGATACGGTAATTTTTACACTTTTAAACATTAAAAGTATGCACTCAAGCATAGGAAAACACGTATTTTATTTTCACCATAGATGTCATAAGGTTTATATTGTTGCAAAACATCAAACGTGACCATATTTTATTGGATTTCCAACTTTTTTAAAGAATTAAAAACCGCCCGCGGAGCCATTAAAACCCGTGCCCCAACAATTTTATTGCCATTTGTGACGATTTTGCGATTTTTAGTGCATCAATATGTCGTTCAGCTGGTCTGGGATGTTGTTGACGATAGTGATTTTGGTTTTGGGACTAATGGTACAAGGACAGAGCTACGAGGAGGAGCAGAGGGTAAATTTATTTCGTTTTAAAAAATAAAAAATGAAAAATTTCAAAAAATAACTTTAATGTTGAAAAGTATGGTTTAAAAAGTTCTTAAGAGTTAAATAATTGAATTTTCAGTTATTTTTAAAAAATTAATATGTTTGTGACACTTCGTCACAAAATCCAATAAACTTGTGACATTTCGTCACATAGCAAAATTTATGTTGCTGCTGACTTAAAAAAAGCTTAAAATTTGCAAAATTTTATTTTTTGTAAAAACCAATACTTTTGTGACACTTCGTCACAAAATGAAATAAATTTGTGACATTTCGTCAACTTTGCTCAAGTTGTTTTAAAGTTACATAAACCACACCAAAAATAACTTTTTATGTTAAAAAAGGTTTTAATTGAACCTTTAACTATAGTACAGTATTCTACAGTACCCTACTAACCCCCCCCCCTTCCTGCTCATCACTAATCCTTCGTTTTTTAGTTTATGGAGAAACGAGTGCCACACCCAAGTTTCCGATCGAATGTGCGTATTCAACACTTCCAGCAAGGTGAAATGCCTCCAGGCTTTGGCCACAACTTCTCGCCCTTCATGGGACGTTTCGGCCGCGTCGCTCGGAATCGGCCATATTTTGTTGATTATTAAGACGCCACTTACTTACTGCTATGCCAATTTAATTAATAATAGAAATAACATTTGGTGACTTGTTGATCTCATGAACGAATAAATGTATATTTTATGCTAAAAGTTAAAAGTCGTATTTTAGATTAATTAAAATTTAAAAAATTGAATTTCTTAATATAGTACAGTATTCTACAGTATCTTTAATAGTAAAATGCAAGTTTTTTTCCACCGCAAATTTGGGGAGGAGGGCACGTCAAGAAAAAGCTAACCTTCCGCTGGGTATTGAACGGAATTTTGGCATTGTGAAATAAGAAGAAAAATAATATTTAGAGAAAATATTTTATGGATCAGACATAAACAGTAGTAATAACAATAAAAAGACGACGAGATCAAGCTTATTCAAACAAAAATCTTATTGGTAATTAATTTTTTTTCATCGGCAACGGAATTGGCGCCAAAATTATTTGGATGCATAATATAATATCGTGTTTTATTCATAACTCAAAAACTACTCCTTAGATTTTGGTGTTTTTGGTATCAAACTAATCGTTATTTTATTCTACGTCTACCTATGGAGAGATCTCTAGCCCATTGCGTGCTCGTTGTAAAGTTATACATGATTTTACGGTTTTAAAAAATCATATTTTCAGACCGATCATAAACAACGGATAAAGTCAAATTGGCTATAATGGCTGTTGTAAATAAAAGTTTGGATGTTAAATAAGGTTTCTTATATAAAGTTTCTATGTTAAATGTCCAATAACTATCAGTAAAAAATTGTTAAAGTCGAACAGGTTTATTCTCTTCTTGTTGCAGAATGCCAAAGATTTTTCTCTATGCGTGCGGTTTTCTATTATTTTTTCTTGACGTGGAGGGATACTTGTATTTAAAAACAAAGCGAAAGATAAGTATATAGGAAAAAGTCAATACTATGTGAACGATATGCAAATTTTCTTATAGTAGAGGTAGAGGTAAGGCTACGTGAGATGAAGCTAGGTAGGGTAGGGGTAATTGAAATAAAAATAAGAAGAGTATAAGATGGTGTATGTAGGGTAGGAAAGGGTAGCGTAAGGTAGGGTAGTGTAATAAGAAGTAAAGTTAAACGTTTTTTTAAGACATTCAGCCATTAGGCAGGTAAGAGAGTTTATTTTGACCCGTCATAACGATACGTTAAAGCAGAAAACAACAAAACTAAAGAAAAAATTTTGAAAAATTTTCAAAATTTTAAAAATTATTAAATTTTACTAAAAATGCCTTTAAAATTTAAAAAAATCAAAAAAAACTTCGTTTTCAAATTTTTCGGTACCTAGTGATAAACAAAAGCCTGCTCAGTGGAACACCTAGTTAAAGTCGGGTTTTGGTAGTTCATTTCCAACGGCATTACCAGTTTTGTCAGTTCAGACAAACGTCTTTCATAATGTCTTCTCTGAGCGTAGAGAACGGCACAGCAAATTGCTAGCAGGCCTAAAAACATATTTGTTAGAAGGTTAGGACTTAATGTAAGGCGAAGGCTAAGAATGAACTGGGACTGGAACGGACCGGGCTGAACTGAGGTTGGCCTAGAGCTTAACCGGGGCTGGACTGATGCTAGATAGAGCAAGGATTTGGGTCCAGACTAGTGTTAAGACAAGAATAACGATTAAGACCAGGACCAGAACCAGGACCAAGGCCAAGACCAAGACCAGGACCAGGACCAGGACCAGGACCAGGACCAGGACCAAGACCAGGACCAGAACCAGGACCAAGGCCAAGACCAGGACCAGGACCAGGACCAGGACCAGAACCAGGACCAGGACCAGGACCAGGACCAGGACCAGGACCAAGGCCAAGGCCAAGACCAGGACCAAGACCAGGACCAGGACCAAGACCAGGACCAAGACCAGGACCAGGACCAAGAAGGCTAAGCCTCTGGGCTAGGGCTTTAGGCTAGGGTTTTGCTAAGGCTATTACTTACCAATAATCAAGCAAAACCATCCAATACTGATCTGATTATAAGCAGCTGAACAGATGCTATCAATTTTGAAGGCCAGATTTCCATTTGGGTTTTCATCTTTTGTAAAAATAATGAGCTAAAATTGATTTTTTTTTCATTTTATGTAAAATACGAACATTTTAATAGTGAAAACTAAGATAAAAAAATTTTAAATCATTTTGACACCTACAGAATCCGTGTTAACATCAAGTGTAACTTCAGTGAAGTTTCTTTCTTCTCTACGTTTTCTAGCATTTCTAGCGTGTCTGGCTGATGGGAATGGCATAGAATAGAAAATATTAGAAGAATCGGCTAGCTGAGCTTCCGCTTGACCATTGCCACTGGTTGCATCTGAGGTTGTCGTGGTTGTAGTAGCAGTAGTTGATGTTAGTCGATCTGAAAATGAAGTTAGTAAAGCAATTCTGAAGCATATTTACGGTAGCGTTAAGGTATGACCAGGGTAAAGTTAAAGTAGAGTTAAGGTAGGATTAAGGGAGGATAAAGTAGGACAAGACGAAGTTAATTTAGAATTAAGATAGGGTAAAAAAGAGTCTAAGCATGTGAAATTATAATATAGGATAAGAATAGAGTTAGGTAAGCTAGGGCTACAGTATAGTAGAGTTAAATACTTCATTCTTAGATTATAACTACAGTTAGGGCTGGGGCTAGAGCTAATATTAAGGCTAGGTCAGTGCAAGACAGGACTATAGTAATTCTGGGATAGTGCAGGGTACGATAGGGTAACATAGGGTAGGGTAGAGTATGGTAGGGTAGGGTAGGGTAGGGTAGGGTAGGGTATTACCATTCCCATTCATATCCACACCAGAATCAGTGTTATTGCTGCTGCTGCCATTTGATGGCTCGACATCCAAACCACATAACGGAGGCTAAAATCATTTAAGCTGTAAATTTTTTTCAAATTTTGAAGCACCAATTAGACCCGTCGTATTTTACTTAAATCTCAAATTATAAAAACTTACAGTAATGCCTTCACAACCAAGGTCAGCAGTTCGACAAAGCGTGATTTGGCAACTGAAATAGACAACCATTTGGTCAGCAAACTTGAAAGCGTTGATTGGAGTGTAAGCACTAGTCAGATTTGGATTGTAAGTGATTTGCTTTATCAATGATCCATTGGTTGGGCAGCTGAAAGCAATATTAAAATTTTAAAAAATTTTTGATTTTAAGATTTGATTTTAAATCAAAAATTAATATTAAAAAAATTTTTTTTATAAAACAAAAAAAAATAAATAAAAAAGTTAAAAAAATTTTTTTCAAACAAAATTTTGTCTTCCAGTATGGTCTTACCCTCTATCATCCAACAATAAAAACTCTGTGCCAATTCCATCTCTAACGTAACATGAATGAACTAGAATACCTTGAGTACCTAAAAATAAAAAAAAATACAATAATTTTAAAAATTTGTAACACCAACTGTGTTTCTGAGACTTATTTTACACTTTTGTTACCTAAAAATTCAAAATTTAAACAAAAAATTTTCAAAAAATAATTCAAAAATAAAAAAAAATTTTTTGATTTAACTACCCCTCCCCCCTTTTTCCAAAAAAAAATCTTTTTATCCCATCCTCTCTCAAAAACGTTTTTCTCTAACCACAATATTTTTTTTTCTGTTAGCTGTGCCTCTCTAATCTAAAAAAGAAGTTTACATTTCGTCCACATTGTATTGGTTTTTCTCTCTATACCACTCTTATGCAATTAACCATGCTCCTTCCCTACTACCGCTGCCACCTTTACCTTAATAACCTTAACTTACTACCAAAAACCCCTACTCCTTTATAAATAAAATTTACATTTCGTCCACATAGTATTGATTTTTTTCTCTATAATCACCCTTACACCACTACTTTACTACCCCTACTTTACTAACCTTACTCTACTATCCCTACTTTAGTACCCTTACCTTACTAACCCTACCCTATGAACCCTACCTTACTTCCCCTACCCTACTACCTAGCACCCCTTACTGACATTATTTTAAGTTTATCATAAAACTTTCAATCAAAAAAAAGTTGTATACTTTGTAAAATACGCACAGACAAAATATTATAATAATATACACTTACTAGTCTGACACTCCCACTTATGAACCAGTGTCTCTCCAATATTAGCAAACTTGACCGGCTCTCCACTAATACCGCCATGGAGTACGGTATATCTACAATCTGGTAGAAACTTTTCGTCCGTCAGTCCGATGGTTGTCATTTCGTTAATCTCTACCTTTTGCTCCAAATTGTTTTCGTTTTCGTTGTAAAAGCAAGACACATCATAGGCTTTGTCATATTCAGTAATGAATAGGGGGTGATGTTGTACTACAACAATCATGGAGAACATGGTACCATGGTCCTTCTTTTCACGTTTCAACTGACATTCTGACTTGAAGGGAACGTGAAAGAAGAAAGGGTCGTGGATTTTGGATTGGGTATAGTCTAAATGGCAGTGTTTTGAAAAGTAAAAGCCTTTGACGTAGATATGGCCACTAAATGGTTGATTTTGTTCTGGCACAAAGTGTAGACGCATGCCATCGTCTAGGCATTCCTAAATGGCTAGAACATTAACAGGTGAAGTCCTAGCCCAGAGCCCTAGTCCTAGCCCTAGCACAGAGCCCCAGCCCAGAGCCCTAGCCGAGAGGTCTATACCAGACCCTAACCTAGCCCTAGTCCTAGCCCTAGCACAGAACCCTATCCTAGAGCCCTATCCCAGAGCCGTAGGATAGAGCCCTAACCCAGAGATTTAGCCCAAAGCCTTAGCCCAGAGCCCAAGCCCAGAATCCTGGCCCAGAGCCCTAGCCTTAGCCCAATAGCCTAGAACAGAGCCCTTGCCCAAAGCACCTACTCTATCCTATCCTTAGCCACAGTCCCAGTTTCATCATGAAGCCTAGTAGCTTTACTCAAGCCTTGTCATTGTAACTGATGACTTACCAACTGCGGAGTTTGTTCTAATCCGCTAATAATAACAATGTTTGAAGCTAACAACAAGGCAAATACGACATTAAAAATTTTTAGGATAAAACACATTTCTAAAATTCAAAATATAAAAAATCAAAATTTTAAAAAAATCATTTTTTAGAAAATTTTAATACAAATATTACGTTATACCCGAAATTTTATAACTCTGGAATAATTTTGTAAAATACGACTGGCCGAACTATAAGTTTCAATATCCAAATAAAAAAATATTAAAGCTGTACTTCTTCATCTACAATCAGAGCCAGAAGCTAGTGTAGAGGAATGAGGATCCCCCTACCCAAGTTTTTTATCAAAAAAGTTGGTTAATTAACAGATAAAGCCATAGTCGCTGCTATAGTCTTAGTTTCAGCGTTAGTCGTAGCCTTAGCTTTAGCCCTAGGCTTAGCCTTAGTTTTGGCCTTAGCCTTAGTCTTAGCCTTAGTCTTAGCCTTAGTCATAGCGTTAGTCTTAGCCTTGGCCTTAGCCTTAGAATTATCTTTGGCTACAGCTGGAACTTTAGCCTTAGTTTTATGCTTAAACCCAAGCCTAGCTCTAGTAACATCTTTATAAAAAAACTCTTACATAACAAATTTCAAGCCGCCGAGCAATTCGTTATACAAAAGCGCTACTGTATTCACAAACTCAATATATTATAATACTATACATGCTTACAAATCTAATATAATATTATATGTTTATAAAATCCGACGTAAAGCCCGACTTGTAATGGCGCAACATCGTTTTTCAGGAACCCAGCGTATGCAAAATCGGTTTGCGCGGCGTTAAGTCGACTTAAAGCTACAAGAAAAAAAAAGAATGAAGAATTCGTATGGTTTTTTGGTATTTTATATTTGAAAAGAATGAAAATGTATAAAATATGTTTCGGAATTTGGTTTTTTATATTGTTGTACCTTTTAATGGGCTTATATCTCGCTGTAGGCTGAAAGACTTGTCGTATTCAAATTCAATATTAACTATGATTTTTAGGATTTGGAGGTTAATAGAGCATAAAAAAAGCATAATAAAGTCACATATTCAAGACACAAGCACAACACACACTAAAAATAATATAAACAAAGTAAAAATAAGTAAAACAAAAAGGCCAAAAGAAAGTCTTGTCGCTTTTCCTTGTGAAACACAATAGAAACTGGAGACAAAACTTTTTTTACCATCTTAAAACTTAAAATTAATGTTTGAAAGCAAAATACTAACTAATATAACTAAATTACAGCACTATAATACTTCAAACTGTGTTGTTTTGAACAAATTCTGGTTGAAAAACCAGCCACGGCCGCTAGGAACCTCATTTGTGGCGTTTCGTCTCAATTTCAGTAAATTTTCGCCAAATAAATCGTTTTTTATTGATAAATTTAGGAGTTTGCTTGATATTCGTGACATTTTCTATTGTATACAACATGGAAAGGTAACATAAATGCTATAAATTATTGTTGTCTTTGTATTTTTAGGTAAAACATTGGTTTTCTAAAAGTTAACGTGTTTTGGCAACGTTTCAAGGACTTTTGCAATGTTCCAGATAAAACAATATCAAATGGAGGCTGGTAATTGGTTTATTTTACTTTGTTTGTGGTTTTAGGTAACTAGCTTAACTCTTCAAGGTATTGGCAATCATTCGTCTCTCTTTTGGCATTGTTTTTAAGGTCTTTGCTTCGATATTGTTGTAGGTCAATGTTTAGGGGAAAATTTATAATTTTGGACATTTTTTGATGTTTAAAACATTCAGAAATGACAGTACATTCATTATTCTATGTTTCTTTATGTATATATGAATTCGGATTAGTTTTTGAAGAACATCTGCAGATTTTCACTCCGATTTTGTTTTAGGTCAATTTTTAGGTAATATTTTTGAATTTGGGCATTCTTTGATGTGTAAAACATTGAAGATAGATAGATAAGTTATTGTTAAATGCGTTTGTTCAGATGCGGGTACGGATTTACTTTAAAATGAGCTTCAAACCTTGTGTTTTCTTATTATATTGTTTTAGGTTGCTGTTGATATTGTTTTAGCCTAATTTCCAGTAAAACCAAAGGAGTTGAATGTGGATTTGAGTAGGATAATCAGTAAGTTAAAGGTTTTATTCACTTTTGTTTAGATTTTCAGACCAAGGTTCGACCTAAAAATGTCAATATTTCCACTTCAAACTTGACCTTTCGACCTCAACGTCGACTTTTTGGTCTCAACATCAGAAATAGTCGAATTGAACTTTCCAAACTCCTTGGAGAATGAATGTTTCTCTATTTAAAATATTCGAAATCATTTTCAATCTTTTCCCAATTTCATTCCACTTCCAACTGTGCCACCGTTCCTCCCGACGTGAAAAGAAGGATGTGGACAAAAATGCGTCCCATAGGGTTAATAGTGCTGTCATTTTGAAGGATTTTCAAACATTCTTAACAATTTCCGTCAAACTTTTCTATTTTGACGTTATTCCAATTTAATGGCTTATCGGAACTTGGTTTTGTTCGGTTCGAACATTGATGTTGTCATTGGAGTTTTAGGGAAATGGTTATGTTATTGTAAGTCTTGATGGGGCTTTTTTTGGCATAGGTGTTTTGGTTGAAGTCTTATGTTGTTATTGGGATTTGTGTCGGAAATTGATGTAGTTTTTGAGGTTTTAGCAAGAATTTTGATGTTATTATAGATGTTTTTCGTAAAAAATTATTGGGTTTTCAAAATTTTGGTTCACCAAACATCCGTTTAGCTAGGTGGTTTTATCTTAGCGGTAGCTTAGGTTTCTGAATCCCATCAGTGAAGAAATCCCGTTTAAGCAGTACCGTAGCCCTACACTTAAAAGCTATCGCAAGGCTTTTGCTTGCTATTTTAGCCATATTTCGGCGCTGCCTAGGCCTATTTCTAAACCAGGCTTAGCCTACTTCTAGGATGACCAAAAGCTCTAGCCCTGTCCCAGAACTGCCCTAGTCTTGCTTGCCTTAGACGTGGTTTATCTTAACCTTTGCTCTAGCTTGGCCCTAGCCCTGCCGTAACTCAGCTCTAGCCTTACCCATCCCTCTCCTAGTCGTTTTATAGTCCAAACCTAGCCCTGGTTAGCCAAGCTCTAGGCCTTAACCTTGCTATATCTCTATGTTGACCTTTTTATAATTCAACCCTAGCCTTACCATAGCCTAACTCGTCTTTTTTTAGCCGTAACCCTACCCTAGATTTATTTCACCTTACCATGCCCTGCGGCAAAAAGTTATTTTTTAAAAATTGAGATTGGCAAAAACTTTTCTACAAGCCCAAAACTAACTTTATTGTCTTAAAATCAAAATTTCGAATTTAAAATCCACAAAATTTAAAATTTTTGAAATATTCTGTCATTTCCATATGGCAAACTCTAAAACAACATATCAAGATCAAACAGCTCGATACGAAAATCGTCGGCGAACAATAAACAAAACAATAGTTGGTATAAAAAGCGGGTGCCGGGATTATCCGCTATTTTTGGGCCGCCTTGACATTTGGCCCCTCTTTAACAAGAGCCGGTTATAACGCCTCGGGGCGTTTTGAAATTTGGACTTTTTGCGCGCGTCTTTGGGGATTCCGCGCTTCTCAGCCAATTCAAAAACGAATTTCGCCGGGATTCCCCCCCCAATAATTTTATAAACAATTGGATTAGGGCATGGGTATCGCACTTTTACTCAATTTTAGGGCAGGGCTTTTGATGCGCTTGCAAAATTTGAAGTGTTGGAAGTGGATTTTTTAAATTTTATTGTCAAAAGTTTACGGATGATGGTTTAGGATTAACTTATATTTGAAAAAAATGAGTAAGGTGAGTATAGAGAGAAAAATCAGTGCTATGTGGACGAAATGTAAACTTCTTTTTATAGTAGAATTAGGAGTAGGGGTAAGGCAAGGGTATGGGTAGGAGTAGGGTAAAGGTAGAGTAGATTTTTTGTCGATTTGAATGCTAGGCGTGTTTTTTTCAATTTGGGAGGGGTAACTAAAAAATAGGGCATAGAAGGCGTTTTTGAAATTGTTTTGTTATGAAAAGGAAGTTTTTGTCTGTTTTCATTTTGTAAAAAAAAGTTCTTGCCGTTTTTTGTTTTGTAAAGAAAGTTCTTGCCATTTTTTGTTTTGTAAAGAAAGTTCTTGCCATTTTTTGTTATGTAAAGAAAGTTCTTGCCATTTTTCAGTTTGTAAAGAAAGTTTTTGCCATTTTTTACTTTTTCGACCGTTTTTTATGTTCAAACTCATGAATTCTTGCTCTCATTTAAACAAAAACCAAGTTTATACCTAAAAAGTTTTAATTGCAGCCTACTTCCTCGTCGAAAATGGCATTTTACTTTGCCCTATTCAATGTTTCGAATGTAAACAACGAGTTGCGCGGCCAAAGGAAGGAGCGCCGGGACAAGCGAAGACACTCGTTAGCGTCGTCCAATTGTCTCAGCACCGCCAAGGACTATCGTTTATTGCCAAAGTATGTTTTTTGTGTTGTTTTGCTGCAGGGTAGGAACGCTGATACCAAAAACAAATTTTTTTGAGGTGGTGTGGAGGGGGAGGGGGGGGAGGGGTATATCTAACCCTGATTTAGATTTTGGGTTTTAAAATTTTTTAAATAAAAAAAAAATTCAGTTAAATTTTTTTTAACTTGTATAGCTTATAAAAATGCGTTTATCACAAAATTTGTCAATTTAAAAAATTGGCAAAATTTGTGACATTTCGTTACAAAACTGAAAACTTTGTCTATTGAAAGGGATACAAGATTGTTGCTTAAAAACTAAGAACAACGTATTTTACTAAACTTAAAAATAAATTTTTATAAAATTGTTTATTAATCAATAAATTTTGTGGTATTTCGTCATAAAACTTAAAATTTGATTTTTCTCGAAATTTAGGTAACAAGTATTGAAATCATAATAGAAAGAACGTATTTTACAAAAAAACACATTTTAAAAATAGTTTTTTACATTTTATAAACTCGATAAAATTTGTGACATTTCGTCATATTTCTTAAAAATCATCAAAATTGATGTTTTTTTCTGTAATATACGATTTACTTCTATTGTAAGTTGTAAAAAGTTCTTTTTATCTAAAATTTAAGATTTTCAAGTGTATACAATACGTTTTGTCATTTCCAGGCCCCAAATTGTATTCCAACATACAGACGATGATGCTCTGAATGCCGTTTCTTCTGAATCGCTGAATCATCGTCGATCTTCGAGTAGAGATTCTGGTCTGGCTAGAAGTGCACGAGAATCTAGATCAGCGAGGCTGAGTTCACATCAAGATCAATTGGCACGGGAATTGAAAAAAGTTCATTTTCGGCCGAATAAAATGAAAAAAAGCAAAGAACGACTTGATGTTGATGGAGGTAGGGGTTTAAAATACGATTCTATGGGCTTGGTGGTCGTTTATAAGGTATACAAATTACTTTAGAACGTGATTTTTGAAAATAAATGTTTTACCTAAAATTTTTTTTGAAAATTGAAATTTTTTTTGTTTTTTGATATTACCTTACTGTAAAGAGTAATAAAAAACTGATTTTAGCTGAAGAACCAATATGGATGAGACGTCAAACAGTCGATTTGAGTGATTCATACCCATCTTATACAGACTCGTCTAAACGAGTGTCTGAACCATGGGTATATTCGATTGATTTGGATGAAAATCAACCAGAAACTGAAAGAAAAAGCCGATCACAAAGCTTGAGTCATAGTAAGTAGCATTCATCAAACTACCCCTACCCCTAACCCTACCCCTGCCTCTACTCCTACCCCTACCACTACCCCTACCCCTATCTTTACCCCCACCTTTACTTCTATCCCTACCCTTACCCCTAGCCCTGCACCTACCCCAACCCATACCTCTACTTCTACTCTTACCTCCACCCTTACCTTTACATCTCTCTTCAGGTGAAAGTTGGTCCCCAGCCTCGCCAATTTCCGACCAAACTAATAGTAATGTCAGTAACAACACCTTACTATCATCGCCAAAGCAAACATGGCTAGCCTCATCAGAAACCCTAACAGAATCGACCACAAGTCAAGGTGATCAGGTTTGGCAAAAGCCAGTAATGGGAGTGAATGCATTAGAAGATTGGGATAATAATGATGAAGTGGAGAAGCCTGAAGAACAACTAAAAGATGAGCTACAAACCCACATTAACACTTGGCCGGAAATGAATGCCAAGAAAAAGTAAGTACGTGTTTTCTTGATAGATTTGGTTGATGTTTTGGACGTTGTTGAGTTTATGTTGTAGTATGTTTTTTTTTCAATTTTACTTTGCTTATTGTTTGGTATTGGACCCCTCGTATTTTACAATGATACATTTGTTGAGAATTTCCACTCTAGTAGCTCTTTTTCCTTCTTGAAAGAAAGGTAATGTACAGGGACGTCGCTATGGTTTTTCTCTGGGGGGGGAGGTCGAAAAATTTTTTTTGGTCCACAGGGACCTGTGGACCGATTTTCCAAAAATCTTTTTTTTCGTTTTTCCGCGTATAGGTACCACCTACCTGTGGAATTTTTTTCTGATTGGCTCTGGGGGGGGTGTACCTTGCCACCCCCCCCCCAAACGACGTCCCTGGTAATGTATATGTAGAGGAGGGCTAGCAGGATTTGTGGGAGGGTAGGGTAGAGTAAGGGTAGGTATTGGGGTATGATAAAATAGAAAAGGGTAGGTTAGGGTAGCGTAAATTAAAGTAAGGTAGGGATACAAGTGAACTGTAGCTTACAGTTAAAAATGTTAGAGAATCCCTACCCTAGCCCTTGTTTTACTTTTTTAAATTAAAGGTAAGCTACAGCTAGGGTAGGTTCAAAGAAAAGATAAACAATGGAGAGGGAGTGTGAAAGTTCGGTTACCGTAAATGACTAAAAATAGTAGGGTAGGCAGGGCCGGACAGGGACTTTTGTTCTGGAGCGGGGGTCAAAAAAATTGGTAGGGGGGCCCAAGTTCAACTTTTTTCGAAAATTTTTTTCTGTGGGGGGGGGGTTCCACCTATACTTCAGGATAGAGTAGAGTAGGATGGATTAGAGTAAGATAAGGTAAGGCCGGTGTAAGGTAGGTAGGGTAAAGTAAGGTAACGTAAAAGTAAGTTAAGTATAGGGTAGGGTAAGGTGAGAAAAAGCAGTCTTTTTGTAGGCCGAGGAAGGGTAATTTGGTCAGGGTAAAGAAAAAATGAGGGAATGGTGAGGGTGTGTCTATTACCGATATCATATATACAAAAATTTAATTTTCTTTGAAAAACGAGAAATATTTGTAAGCAAAGTTAGTATCCGTACGATATAATCTAACTTTCACGTCTTTGTCTATCTAAAATCAAATTACATGGTTTTATGATGTTACCGTACTATTCCAAATTTAATTTTTTTTCAAATTCATTGATATTTTTCACTTTTCAAACAATTGTCATCCCTGTCTCCCTTACTCACTCCTCTACCAAATCTATTGTCGATATAAGGTCGTCTGGCTTAATTAGTTGTTTATCGGAAAAACTGTAGAAATTGGATTTACCACACCCCGGCCGTTTGTTTTGTTTTGATAATTCGAGGAATTAGATTTGATGCTCACTATAAAACCGCTAGCCAGACGGCAATTGCGTTTTGTTTATTGGCAACGTTCCGACGTGCCGTTCTCTGTTCTGTGCTAAGATATAACGTATTTTAAAGCTAAAGGAGTGTTTTTTGAGGAATACTGTATTTTTTGAAAAGATTACTGTAATTTTGCTATCCTACTCTACCTTTTTAACAAGATTACTGTAACGTCTGCGCAGTTTACGGTATTTTTTGATAATACTGAGGTTACTGTAACTTTTTTATTCTTACTGTAATTTTCTTCATATTGTTGATATTATAGCACGTTACAGAACATATTGGTACTGTATTAAGTATTATAACAAACTTTAATACTACAGTACGATACTATAGTACGGTACAAAAAATATTGGTACTATACTACGTTAGGATACTATAGGTTTCGATTTGCAAAACCATACTGTACTTTTTTATTTGTATTGCGATACTACTTTGATTTACAGTACGATACAAATAGTACCAAGATGCTGATTTTCATGATGTACTCGAAAATCAATGAAAAATCAGTGGAGAAGGTCCTCCCAGCTAGTGATGCCTCTACTCTAAAACTAACTGATTCTATGCAAACTATCGCACCCACGCCTTGCGTACAGTATCCTAAAACTCGCTGATAATAGTACTACTTCATCTTATAATACTATTATATTGTATATACTGTAATATGGCTAGGCTCTTATCATCAACTTGATTTTCATGTTCTTTATAAGAACGTTGGGTTCATATTTTATTACTGCGTACTCTATGAGATACGTACTTGTAAACCTATGGTTTGTAGATTATGTAAGTTGACTTATCAATAATGTGATTAAAGGTATTGCTGTAAGCTGTGAGTGATTTGTGAGATAGTATCTGTAGTGTGAGTCGTAATCTTATCCTACCCTACCTTAACCTACCCTACCTTACCTTAAGCTACCCTACCTTACTCTACCTTAACCTACCCTACCCTACCTTACCCTACCCCACCCTACCCTACCCTTCCTTACCCTACCCTTCTCTACCTTACCTTACTCTACCCTCCTCTTATTGTTAGTCTACTCTTTCCTTCCTCAACTTTCTCTACCTTTCCCTGCATTACTCTGCTTATCTCAGCCTACCCTATTCTACTCTACCCCACCTTACCCTACTTTATTTCCCATACCTTCCTTGCCTCGCCTGCTTTGTTCTGCCCCGCTCTGCCCTATATTCCCTTAGCCATTCCATAAAAAATGAAAGTAAAATTCTGCTTTCTAAACAAAAAATGTTTCAGAATCCGTTGGCGTCCAACCTCACTGATTCGTCGTCATTCTGAGTCCGACCAGGGTCAAAAGAAGCCTCACATCACTAAAACTACATCAACATTCAGGCGATCTGTTGAGTTGACATCACCTGAGATTCAAATTACATCACCACGTGATAACTACGATGACAATGGCAATAGTACTACACAAAATTACAATGGCCCCAAAAATAGCATAAATGGTACTGGTGGTGCTATTAGTACTAACATTGTAGTTAATGGTACTGCTGGTACTAATAGTACAAAAATTGGAGTAAATGGTACTAATATGCTTTCAATTAGTACAAAAACAACTTTGAATGGTACTGCTTTTGAAAAACCTACAGTAAGACAAAAAACTACAGTAAGCGGCATACCCGTTGATGATGTCTATACAGATAACATAATCGGCCAACAGCTGACTATGTTGGCCAGAATAGAGAAGACTAAGCCCATTAGTATTGACAAGAAAGCTGGACTAAAACTTCGACAAGCAAAACCGATGCAGTATCTTGGTCATAGTTACAGTAATCAGACCATAAGGATTATTGATGACAAAGATGACTATGGTAATATGACAGGCTTTAATGGACATAGTAATGGTGCCAAATTTGATAAACAGCATGATAATTCACTTTATAGTGGACCTCATATTAAGGTACTACCAAATGGTACAAGTGGTACTACTGGTACTAATGGTACCACTTGGGTCAAAAACACTACTAGTACTACTGGGATAGAAATGCCAGGCCATTCGACCAGTTTCAACTCAAATAGGCTTAAGAATGAAGATGAAGGCCAAATTTGGATCAACAGTCGATCAATCAGCTTCGACCAGTCGGTTCTCGGCTTAAATCACTTGGATCCAAACTTTTTTGAAACGACGGGAAATTCAAATTTTGACCAGTATGAAGACTACCAATCAAACGGTCCTTCTACTAATGGTACTCTCAGAAGTGGCACCAGTGGTACTAAAACTGAATTTTCGACCAATATTATCGACCAAAATTCGAAATTTTTTGAAAAAACGAAAATGCTTGGCCCACCATTAAACGCTGTCCGCCAAACCAGTCCAAAACGTCATTCTAGTCCACATACCAAACTGACTGGTACCGAAAAGTCAAAAAGCTCAAAAAAGACAAGTTCAAACGCTACAACAGGCCAAAAAGCTAGTCCAGCTAAACGCTTTTCAATCGAAAATCACCTCAGAACCCGTCCACGTCTATTCCAAAGTATGACAAAGTCAAATGATAAGCAAAATCGACCAGTCGGCAAAGAAAAGCATGGTCAACAAAATGGTAACGAAAAAAGGAATCGACCAGTCGGTAGTGGAGAAAAAAGCCAAGAATTTGATGTAGGTAACAATGGACTAGCCGTTAATGATAAGCTGAATCGACCAGTCGTAACTCCAGTCGATGTGTCGACCAAGAAGAAGATTTTCCGCGAAAATCTGGCCGCACTAGCTCGACAATTGGGTAACAAAGTCAATTACCGCCATCATAATGATAATGTTCCTTTCATAAATGAATTTACTGATCCTAGATTGAGCTCTGAATGCGATGTCATGTCCAGATCTAACGTTTTTTAATTTCTTTCACTTTAAATTTATTTTTTTTGTTAAAATTTTCAATATTTGAGGTTATTTTGCTATGTAACTCTTTATTATTGTGATAACTTTTGATTTTATCAATTTTTCCTTATGGAAAATACTTGTAAATACATAATAAACTTATTCAAATATTGCTTTGTTTGATTTGAATTCAAAAATTTGGAAATAAACAGCTTCAAATGTCAAAATCAAGCATGGATAATATAATCTTGTCAATGAAATTTATCAAAAGTGGAAATCAGTCACGTATTTTACATTCTAACACGTTAAAAAACAAGTAATTTAATCCTACAGAACGTAGGCTAGCTTCATTACACGATTATACTGACTTCTTTTTTGGATTTCGCAAAAATTTCGTCGGTTTCGTCTAAAAAACTCGTCATTCAAACAAAAACTTGTCGAAACAGTTGAAGAAGATGTAAAAGTACGTTTTATATGTTTTCTGATAGTTAAACTGTTTATTTTATATTTATTTTGCTTGAAATGTTTATGTTTACTCTATGTTTTCTTCTAAAAACGCAGCTTTTTGTTTTATAAGTGCAATGTCAAGTGTAATATAAATTATTTCGGGTTTTCTGATTTTGTTTTACTTAATTTTAAAGCTTTCGGGTATGACTAATAAGCTCTTCTTGGATTTCAAACAAATTTTAGTGTACATGGAATAGCGTAAGTTAGCTTTGTTATTCAGTTTTTTTGATTTTAGGATCTGAACCTAGCGTAATATCGTTTTTGGATCTGCGGATTTGATTGATCTTGATGTAATTTATGATCCTGGACGTGAATATTGCTTTCACAAACTATTTTCTACTTGTCTTTATGTTTTTTTAGCTCAGTAAGTTGCTTTAAATTAATGTTTCCTTTGATTTAGGTATACTTCATGGATAATATAAATTTTAAACTTTTCCACCAAGCTTTTTTGGCGAAGTTACTTAAACTAAGTTTCGGGACAACAATACTTATTTTTTTCACCATAAGTGACCATTTACAGAGTTTGGAGCGGTCGGAATGACTTCGAACGTCTACTTCAATGAAGGAGACGTTATCAACAATCGATTTACAGTGATCCAAATGCTCGGAGAAGGTAATTCAATGTTTATTAGGTTGTTTTTAAATTTTTAGGCATATTTTTGATTCAGGTTTTTGGAAAGAAAGTTCTTGCGGAAGGAAAATCCGGGCGGACATTGAATTTTTTGCGGTTTTTTCCTTTGGATCGATAAAACAATTGATAACTTGTTGATTTTGATCTCTATCAAAAATATTTTATTGTTTTTACCTTCAGGAGGCTTTGGAGCAGTATATAAAGTAATAACATCGGACAATCAGACCTTTGCGATGAAGTCAGAGACTCATAATCCAGACGGAGTTCTCAAAATGGAGGTGTTGATCTTAAAATTGGTGAATGCGAAAGGTTATGCGCATTTCTGTCGCTGCATTGATGCTGGAAAGACTTCAACTGCGACGTTGTACATGGTGATGACTTTGCTTGGGCCAAATTTGTCTGAACTTCGATCTGATTTGCCTGATCAGAAGTTCAGCATGGGATGTTCGTTGAGCGTGGGGAAACAGTGTGTCGAAGCGATTCAGGAGATTCACAGTGTTGGGTTTTTACATCGGTAAGGGTTTAAAATTAAAAATTTTCGTAAATTAAAAAAATCGATAATTTTTGTGACATTTCGTGTATCATTATCTGTTTATTTGTTTTTTAGTGATTTAAAGCCCTCAAACTTTGCTATCGGGCCAGAAACAAACTCACGACGAATCTTAATGTTTGACTTTGGCCTAGCTCGTCGCTATCGCAACTCAGATGGCACAGTCCGACCTCCGCGAGTCGCTCCCGGCTTCCGAGGCACAATCCGTTACGCACCATTGTCATGTCATGTATACCGTGAACAGTCGAGAAAATGCGACTTGGAAACTTGGTTTTATCAACAAGTTGAACTGACGAGAGGAGCACTGCCGTGGCGTTGTAGTGACGATCGGAATCGTGTCGGCGTCTTCAAAGAAAAGTGTAGGTATGGCCTGGGTCTAAAGGAGTTTTTGAGTGGGTGTCCAGCTGAATATGTGGAGATTCTGAGGTACTTGGATAGGTTACGGTAAGTTTTTTTGATTTATAAAAGCGTTTTTGGTGTTTTTATTGATTTTTGAAAATTTTACGAAATGCCACAAAATATATTGGTTTTTAAAAATTGATTTTTTGTTTTGGATGACGTTGTTATAGTCATTGGGATGGTTAAAATAGCTTATAAAGCAGTGTAGCTTCCTATTTGGTTTTTGAAGAAATCTCACAGACATTATTGATTTTTTAAAAATTTTTGGTAGGGCCTAACAAGGGAAGTGTCTCACCTCATTCCGGAGATATGAAGCGAGACTAGGCTCATTTGAAAGCCTATATGAATACAAATTTAACAAAAAAAATTTAGCTGCCGAATAAGCCCCTGAGGCAAGTTATGACGGTTTAAAAATTTGCAGTGCTTTCCTTAGTTTGAGTTTGAAAACGATTGGGAGCGAGAAAGAAAACAAGGGGAACCGATGATTCGGTGGTTCAGTGGTTAGGCGTTGGGCTTAGGGGTGAAAGGAGAAAGGTTCGATCCCTGCCAACTCGTTTTGGTTTAACAGCTTCCAAAAAAAAGTTTTTTTTGTTTTTTATGCTATACAACAGTCAATAAACTAGTTTTAATCATTTGAAATCAAAAATTAAGCTGTTTGACAAATTATTAAACTTTAAAATTTTTTGGAAATGCTACGAAAATTATCGGTTTTTGACGAAATGTCAAAATATTATTGGTTTTCGTAAGACTAGAATTCACTGGTTTGGCAATGACTTTAAAGATAGCAAAAATGACTAAATACATTTTTAAAAGATTGAAATTTAATTTTCTTTACATTTAGATACTTTGACACACCCAAGTACAAGCTCATCCTAGACCTCATGGATCAAGCTTTGGAATCGCTGAATCTCTCCGAATATCCATATGATTGGGAATCGACTAGCAAGTTATACCAAAAATTTATGGCAAAGAAAGAAGCGGACAGACTGGCAGAGAAACAAGCAAAAGGTCCACGACCAACGTTAACAGCTACCAATAATGTTATATACACAGCCAGCAATTCAAAGGATTCTTGATCTATTGATTTGTCAGAGTAAAATAAATTATTAGAAGGCACGGTTGATTGAGTAGTTGTTGTATGGTGTAGTGTACACATTGTTTTACTTGTTTTGTCATATTGTTTTGTGATATTGTGGTTTGGCTTTGTCAACCTTTAGCAACGATTTTCTCTATTTCTCTGGATTTGTACCCACGCCCATCACTGATAATGGTAGTATAAGCTTGATCATGCTTGTGGTAAGCCAAAAGTAATCATAAGTAAGATCAGAAATTTTTTAAAGTTTTTTTGTTATCAGGGTTTAAAAAAAGTCTTGTCGTCAATTCATAGACGTTTACACAGGAAAAAACGACAAGAATTTTAAAGCTTCAATATTGTTTTTTTGACAAAATGATTCGTTTTGGGTGTACTGTAATACAACAAATTTTAAAGCTCTAAGCAATTTGTTATAGAGTATAATGTTATGTTGTACTAAATTAATGCACCTAACTTATGGTGTAAAAACAAAAAGAATGAGTACTTTTGGTAACATAGAAATACAGAAACGTCACTTCCTTCTCGTAAACAAAATATTTTTTGATTTCAAAGCTTTTAGGACTTTTACGAAGAAATTTGAACTTACTGTCATAATGCATGAAGTATCATAGTGTGGGACTCCTGTATAACAAATTGCTTGATAGTTTTATGGGCATTTTGAACTTACAGCATGTTTGAGAAGAGGTTTTTGACTAGGATGGTGGTGGGGTTCTGTTTTAAGGCGTAGTCTATAGTCCCCGTCAATTAAAAGGGCAGCCTTCGTTCTCTGAGATGGTAACACCTAAACAAAAAATTTTTTCTGTTATCGATAGACCGATGATTTTCATGCAAATTTTTAAAAAATAAAGAATTTTGCTTTTATTTTACGGGCTACAAAAATTATTCAAATTTTCAAAGCAGCAATTAAAAGGGAAGTCTATAAAATATTCAAATATAATACTTTATGAATTATTTCTTTGTAAAACGTGACTGCGCGAGTTTTTTGGACAGTGAATATGTTATCAAAAGTCCAGAAACGAAGAATCATCGACTTGTACATTGATATTGGCAATTGCAACATAGTGGCTGAAAGGTTGGGTCATTCTGTTAAGACTGTACTGAAAGTGATCAAAGCAACTCCACGGAAGCAAAGAAAACGACCACCACGTCCCAAGTTAATAGATGAACGAATTGGAAGACAAAGCATACGATCATTTCAGCCAAAATTACTTCCGGACATCTAGTAAACCCAGGAATGGTAAACAGTGAGTTGGATTTGATACGTTCCAAAAGTGTTGTGCAACTGTTTCTGAAGACAAGTGATGTGCAATATCAAAAAACTCGACAATTACTGGAATTAAGCCCTAATCATCGACAAGCGCGAATGACGTTTGCCAATAACCACTTACGAAGTTCTACCAACTTTAAAAAATGGATCTTTAATGATGAAAATAGATTCTGTGATGACGGGACTGACAATATGGGGACATATGTACTCAAAAATTCATTTCACCCCCCTGGATTCCGCCATCAAGGTGGTTTGGTTAACGACATGGTTTTTGGGCCCATGGCTTTTGACGGATACGTGTTTATAAAGGTATGTAACTGTCTATCGTATCTAATGTGTGACTTAAAGGTCATAGACGGTCGCTACACTTCTGCTCGTTACTTGGAAAATCTAAAGAACGAAATTATATCGTGGTGTTTGGCTCAATTTTAAGATGGTGACTTTGTTTTTCAACAAGACAACTGTTCTGTTCAATGCTCAAGCATCATTAAAGCCTATTTTAGTGATAAAATATTCAAACCTCCAATGTGGCCAGCTAAGAGTCCAGGTTTGAATAATATAGACATTATCCTTAAGAATTTATGGGCCCATATGAGCCGCGCCGTCTACCCGCCTAACCAGTACACAAAAAAAGCGTAGTTAATCAATGCCATCATGGACGCTATTAAGGATTTATACAATTCAATTCCGGGTCGATTGGTGTCTGCTTTGGTCAAAAATGGCAATACTATATAATATATTTGTTTCGTATTAATAAAGCTTCCCTTTTAATTGCTGCTTTGAAAATTTGAATAATTTCTGTAGCCCGTAAAATAAAAGCAAAATTCTTGATTTTTTAAAAATTTGCATGAAAATCATCGGTCTATCGATAACAGAAAAAATTTTTTGTTTAGGTGTTACCATTTCAGAGAACGAAGGCTGCCCTTTTAATTGACGGGGACTATATTTGCTATTAGGAGTTCTACAAGTTGGTTTACCTTGTAGAACTTTTAATAGCAAGGGTCCGGTCCGAAAATTTTTTGGACCGGTCCGGTCTAGCTTTATTTTTTTCCGGTCAGGTCCGGTCCGGGCCGAAAAAGTCCGGTCCGGATTTTTTAAAAATTTCTCCGCGTCGGCGGAGAAAATCGGCGAAGGCGATACCTCCGCTCAAACTCAATATTTTTCCACCGGACAAAGACTGGGGATATTCTTTTAAGCTTTTAAACTATTTAAATCCAATTCTAAACTAAAAAAGTTACATTTTTTAAAATCGGCGCACGATCGGCGGAAAGACTCGGCGGAGGGCACAACACGGCTCAAACTCAATATTTTTTACCGGAAAAAAACTGAGAATATTCTTTTGAGTTTAGCAACCTTTTTAATCAAATTTCAAACTTAAAAAAATAATTATCGGAAAGCTTTTTCTCCGCCGATTGTTCGCCGTCGCAGAGAAAAACATTTTTTGATTGCAAAACGTTTTGACAGATTATCAGGTGTCATAGGGACCCAAAATCAAGGTTTTGGATTGGAAAAAGCAACAAAATAGCTTCAACCGGCCTCCGCCGACCGTCCGCCGAACATTCACAAGCCCCGTCTCTCTATTCTCCCCGCAACAAAAAAAAAAAAATTTCGGTCCGGTCCGGAAGGTTTTTAAGAGGTCCGGTCCGGACCGATCCGGCAAAACACTGTTTTAAATGCACTGGGTAATGATAGCCGAAGATTCGAAAGTTGCTTGTTATACGGGGTTTCGTTACACTGGATTTTTGTTATAGAAGAGTTCCGCTGTTATTTAATCAAAGGGCCATGTTTTAAGTGTTAACACATAGAACAGTGCCATTAATAACTAAAGAAGAAGCAAAAAATTGCAAAAATATAAATTGGGGATAAAAAGTTAACTTGATTATGCATTGCGCATTGTTTTTTCCTCAAAAAATTAGGTCGAAAAACAAAAATATGTTTTTTCTTGAAGTGTCATGGGGGTGAGGAACGGGCCGTGTAGGCCCAGCTTAGCCTGGGTATATGATCGGACCGAGCTGGGCTGGAGCTGTAGTTGAAACGGGCCGGGCTTAAAAGTTGAGCACGGCTTGCGAACGAAGCTTGAAAAAATTCATGGTGAAAGGGGATTATTTTTTGAAAAAAAGTTTGCGTGAGGGTACCCAGTGTTTTGACCGGACCGGTCCGGATCTTTTTTCACCGGTCCGGTCCGGCGGCTTTTGGGTCCGGTCCAAGCTTCAATTTTTTGGGTCCGGTCCGGTCCAAAACCCAAAATTTTTGAGTGTTCGCAAAAAAAATTTTTTTTGAAAAAAAAAGCAAGGAGCGCTAAAACTGCTTTATTTTTGCTTAAAAACTCTTAAAAATATGTTTTATTAGCAATTTTTAAAACAGTTTTATTAAAATAAAAAAAATTTTCTTCCGGACCGGCCCGGAGCTTTTTTTTTAGGTCAGGGTCTGTAGGTTTTTGGGTCCGGTCCGGCAAAACACTGGGCGTACCTTTTTCACTTTGAAACCTTCTTCTCTTCAGCGCTTAGCCTTGATTACGCCTGGCTCTGAACTTATTACTATACTTGACCTATGTATAAAATACAATTTTATTGTTGTTTATTTCGAAAACAATTTTTTTCATGAATTATTAACACAATATGTATGAATATTGACCTTTCGTCATTTGTGCGAATATTTGTGACAAACATGGAATGTCATAACAACAATATTTTCACGCATTTTTTGATTATTAATTATGGGTAAAGTACAGTAGCGTATGGTAGGATAGGGGAGGACATGGCAGGGCAGGGTTGGCTAGGGCAAATTAAATTGAGGTAAAGCAGTGTAGAGTAGGGAAGCGTGTGGTATGGCAAGAAAAACTGGGCCAGCGTTTGGTAAGGCAGGATAAGGTAGGGTGAGATAGGATAGTGTAGGGTAGCGTATGGTAGGTTTTGGCAGAGTAAGGTAAGATAGGGTAGGGTAGGGTAGGGTAGGGTAGGGTTGGGTACGGTAGGGTAGAGTAGGGTAGGGTAGGGTAGGGTAGGGTAGGGTAGGGTAGGGTAGGGTAGGGTAGGGTAGGGTAGGGTACGGTAGGGTAGAGTAGGGTAGGGCAGGGCAGGCTAGGGTGTGATAAGGTAGGATAGGGTAGGGTAAGGTAGGGTACAGTAGAGTACTGGTATGGTAAAATAAGGTCCAAGAAAAAATAGTGTGGGGTATGGTAACGTACTTCCAAGCCCAATCTTTGGCCGTACCTCAAAGACCGCCTCAATTTGAGTTAAAAAAAAGTAACTTGTCAGCCAAATTACCCGATAATAGCCTACATTAATGTTGGAGTCACGTGTATTTCCGGCGTGTCAAAATCTTGGCCACGAAATGTTGGTTATGCCGGTTTTCAATTCATTTCGAATTAGTACAAGGTCATGAATTTCACGCTCAACTTGACGTATTTACACTTTTTTGGAAACAGATTCGTTTCGCTTATGTTTGGGGGTGTTCGGGGTGGCGAAATGGAAATTTAGGCTGAATTAGAGGGGCTGGGACAAAAATTTAAAATTGACAAATGGGTCTTTAGGGTTACGGGTAAGATAAAAAGGTAAGAATGGAGCATGGTAGAGTAGAGTAGGAATGATTAAAATTAAGAAGTTCTTGAAGGTAATGTGGATATGAGTAAAAATAGATATATGGGTATTTGTAGGAGAAGAAGCTCACTGTAGAGTACAGTGCGGCAAGCCATAGAAGACAAAAATCAATAATATGTAAACGGAATGTAAATTTTTTAATAGTGCGGCTAGGGGTCGGCATGGGGATAGTAGAAGTTTAAAAAATCAATGTTATGTAAGCGAAATGTAAACTTGTTTCTATAGTACGGGTATGGGCAAGAGCAGGGGTAGGTGTAGGAGTAGGGGTTGTAAGAGCAGTGATGTTAAAGCAGGGGTATTAAGGATAGACGGGAAGGGGGGAGTTAAAATAGAGGTAAAGATGAAGAACGGGTTAGGGAAGGGAGTAAGGGTAGGGCCCGATAATCTTAAAATAGCCTGCCCTACCTTAACCTAGCCTTAGTTGTAGCCCCAGTCATGGCTCTACCTTAAGCCCTAGCTTAATAAACTCTATCGTAAGCTTTAGCCTTACTCTATATTATTCTGTTAGAAGTAAGACAGCAGAATATTCTCTGAATAAACTGATTACGACAGGCTCGTTTCGTAAAATACGATGACCTTGACTGAATTTAAAGGTTTAGATTAGCGTATGACGCAGATATCTATGTCTCTTTTTGAAACTTAAAGGGGTAGGGTAGGATGTGGTAAGGTAGGGTAGCGTAGAATGTGGTAAGGTAGGGTAGAGTAGCGTCGGGTAGGGCGGAGTAGGGTTAAGTAGAGTATTATAGGGTAGGGTGAGGTAAACTATGATAGGATTTGGTAGGGAAAAGTAAGTTCGGGCTTCATTGTAGTGTAAAAAAATTTTTTAAGCATGATAAAATTTAGAAAAAAACCATTTTTAGCAAAAATTTTTTAAAAACTAAAAATTCCGAAGATTCAGAAGCTTCAGGGTGAGTCAATTTCATTCGAAGATAAACTCTAATTTGAAGTGAATCTATAAACAATAAGAAAGGAAACGTGGATGATTAATACGAACAGAAGGAGCGTTTTGTAAATAAAATCGACAAGTTTTGAGAAAATGAAAGGATATCAGATTTACGGCCACTTTAAGAGACTGCGAGGACAATTGAGAGCTCTTTTGAGGACAATGTTATGTTATTATAGGCGTGGATAGAGGTTAATTTGATTTTTAAGTTAGGGTAGGGGTTGAATTGCTTTTTTAGGGTAGGGCAGGGTTTAGTTTACTTATTTAGGGTGGGGTGGAGTTTAATTTGGTTTTCTAGGGTAAGGTAGAGTATATGTTTGGTTTTATAGGGTGGGGTAGAGATAGTGTCTTTATTTTTAAGACAGGGTAGATATTATTGTTTATTTTCTAGACTATGGTAGAGATTAATTTTAATTTTCTAGGGTAGCGGTTAGTTTCATATACAGGAATAGGTGTAGGGGTCCATTTGATTTTTTAGGGCAGGGTAGGGTAATAATTAGTTTATTTTTTAAGGCAGGGTAGACATTACTTTTGATCGTCTAGGGTAGGGCTGACGTTAAATTTATTTTCTAGGGCAGGGTAATTTTTTTTGGTATTTTACTGGGGCAGGGTAAAATAAAATATAATTTTTTAGAAGAGGGGTTAGATTGATTTTCTCGGGCAGGGTTGAGGTTAATTTTTTTAGAGCAGGATAGCGCTAAGTTTCAGTTTCATTTTTTGGGACAGGGCAAGATTAGCAGCTTTTCCTAAGGCAGGGTGCGGTAGGGGAGGGGTAAAAGCATTTTTTAAGAACGGAGCAACGGTACACGTTACGTTATAATTCTTGTTAAAATTAATTTTTTAAATCGTTTTTAATATATTTTTTGAAAATTTTTTTTGATTTTTTAGGTCATACAGAAATATTAATGAAGATACGACATGTTTTGGCATTATGGCTAATTTTGAAAACATTTTGTACTACACAATCGGATTTGGTCAGAAAGTGTGATGGTAACTATTGTTTTAATGATGGACATTGTTATTTGACGAGTGGTGAGTTTAGACTTAGCTCTAGACCTTTTCACTATCTGTTGCCTTGCCTTGCCTTGCCTTGCCTTTCCTTTCCTTGCCATGCCTTGCCTTGCTTTGCTCTGCCCTGTCCTGCTTTGCCCTGTCTACTACTGCTTTACTTTGCTTTGCCGTGAACTGTCTTGCCTTGCCTTGTCTAACCCATTACCTGTACCTACCAAATCCTACCCTACGACGCCCTCCTCTGCCCTACCGTACTCTAATTTACTGTAGTTTACTCATAATTGTTAATTTTAACTTCCAGCCGCTCAATCCTCAGCCAAATGTCCTCACGGCTTTTACTCGGAACCTGACGAAACTTGTCTTCAACATGTTCAAGTTCGAAAAACTTTTGTCGATGCCAACAAGTTTTGTCAACAACATTACAATGGTCATCTTGTGTGGATGAAAAGTCTGGAAAAGAGGAGTTTTGTTGAGAGTTTAATGACGAAAGACGTCTGGATTGGTGCACAAAGAGACAAAAATGGGCTAAGATGGTACCCAAATGGTACTCGGGCTAAACTTGAGGTCGTGGATGGGACTGCTGAGAGGAATAGTAGGTTTTTGCCATTTTTTGTTTTGTAAAGAAAGTTCTTGCAATTTTTTGATTTGTAAAGAAAGTTCTTGCAATTTTTTGATTTGTAAAGAAAGTTCTTGCCATTTTTTAGTTTGTAAAGAAACTTCTTGCCATTTTTTGTTTAGTAAAGAAAGTTCTTGCTACTTTTTGTTTTGTAAACAAAGTTCTTGCAATTTTTCGATTTGTAAAAAAACTTTTTGCTATATTTCAGTTTCTAAAGGAAGTTCTTGCCATTTATTTTGGTGTGGTTGGCGTATTTTACAGTTAATACCTAAATTTCTAGGTCTTCAATGTACAGTCTTCTACAGTAACTACGGTGATTCAATCGTCACTTCTGAATTCTGTGACGAACCTCACGAATTTCTTTGTGAATCAGGTATCGCACAATTTGAAGGTGCTGAGGATTGGCTACGACAATGTTCTTGTCAAGAAGGATTTACCGGTCGATTTTGTGAAAGGGTCAGTGGGAATGGAGATGGCTTAGATTCTGAAGGCCATAAGGATGGTGAGCAAGATTTTGATGGGCATAACGGTGAGCAAGGTTCAGAAGGCGAAGAAAATAGTGGTAAAGGGCAAGAAGATTCTGGAGGGCAAAAAGAATTATGTGCTAACGACGTATTTTACGAAAAATGCGATGGAAACAAAGTTTTGGACATTGATTATGCTGTTTATGGGTACAGTCCGGTAAGTTATTTTATTGTTTTAAGTAGGATGCTTCTCTTATAGTAGTAAGTGGAGTACGCTTTGAGCTGGACAGCTATTTTTTGAATGGGGAGGGGAGGCTAGAGTAAAAATTTTTTTTTTGGTGTAGGGTGGGTTAGAGTAGACCGAGGTAGTGAAGGGTAGGGGGGTAGAAAAGTATAGTTAGTGGTATGGTGGAGCAGGGTAAGAACAGTTAGTGAAGGGTGAGGTAGGGCAGGGTAGGGTAGGATTTTGGATGGTAGGGTAGGGTAGAGTAGGCTAGGGTAGGGTAGAGTAGGGTAAGATATATAAAGGTAGAGAGGGGTAGTACAGGGTACTTGAACGGTTTTTCGAAAAAAAAATTTTTGGGATGTGGGGTTCAGGGGAAATAAATTTTTTTTGAGTTGGGCTGAAGAAGAAAAACATTTTCCTATTAAACTTGATCTTATTATAGCAATTCAACTACTCTAAACTGTGCATATTGACGTCCAACTTGGCTGAAGACTGCATTGAAGCTGCCAGTTTGATTAAAATGATTCAAAGGTAGGCCTACTATCATTTTCTATATTATCATAAGAATGGAGTATTACCTAAAAATGCATCGAAAAGTTTTAGCCATAAATTCCAAGTTTTTCAGATGTAAAGGACGCCAAGAATGTAAGATTAGTCGAATGGACGATCTCTTTGGTCATCCAGCTTGTTCAAATGGGGCCAGGCTTATGTACCGAACTAGTTGTGTTGAAAGTAAGCTTCTTGATTCATTTTTAAGTAAATCATATATTTTTTGCTTTGTTTTGCAATGGGATTAGTAGGACGGTAAAGATTATTGTGTAAAATACGTTTGTCTTTTTGGGATACATTCAGGGTTCTCAAGGGCTGCTGAGTTGGCTTTGGGTCCTCGGAGTTGAATTTTTTTTTATAAAACATGTTTTAAAAATAGACTTTTTGATATTTCAGGATCTACTACAACATGCAAAAATGGAATGATTCAATTGAACGATCGTTGCATTGAGATATCGAACAGCAAAGACAAAATGTCATACGAAGATGCGAGAGCAGAGTGTACGCAAAAGGTAAGTTGGGAGTAGACTGGTTAGGAAATAAAGAAACGGGCTGTGTGGGTCCGGTCTGGTCATACGATGAGCGGGGCCGGCTTTGAATTAAAGATGTTTTTTAAAACGGACCGGACCCAAAAATTTGAAGTTTGGACCGGACCGGTCCGGGCAAAACACTGGGTGCGGTAGGTTATGGTAGGGTAGACTAGACGAGGCTATTCTAGTCTAGGGAGGCAGGGTAGGGTAGGGTGAAGTAAGGTAGGGTAAGATAGGATAGGGTAGGGTAGGGTAAGATAGGATAGAGTAGGGTAGGATAGGATAGGGTAGAGTAGGGTAGGGTAGGGTAGGGTAGGGTAGGGTAGGGTAGGGTAGGGTAGGGTAGGGTAGGGTAGGGTAGGGTAGGGTAGGGTAGGGTAGGGTAGGGTAGGGTAGGGTAGGGTAGGGTAGGGTAGGGTAGGGTAGGGTAGGGGGGTAGGGTAGGGTAGGGTAGGGTAGGGTAGGGTAGGGTAGGGTAGGGTAGTGTAGGGTAGAGTAGGGTAGGGTATTTACAAGATAACTTGCTTTTTGATTTCAGGGTGGAGACCTAGCAGTACCAACTGAATTAATAAACTTCTCGGAGCTTCTAAAATCAATCAAGCCCTTACCATCTTCTGAATATTGGATTAATAACTCGACCGAAACTTTCAATTACATTGGACCAAGGAAGGCGGAATGTTTTACAGCATCATGGTGGAGCACCAACGTTGGCCAGGTACCATGTTTTGCCAATTTGGGATGGATCTGTGAATATGTTCCAAATGGTACTGGTGATCGAGTGATTGGTACTAAATTTAGGTGGGTTTTGGTCTTTTTTGGGTTTTTGGTACTAATTGAAAGGGTTTTTAGTACTGATGGTACAAAGATGGAAAAAAGTTTTAAAGTAGTTCTAATGATACTATTTTTGAAAAATAGTGTTGGTGTTACTATTTTTAAAAAAAAAAATGCTATCGGTACCATTTTGTAAAAATGGTGCTATTGATACGCAGAAGGTAACAAAAGGGCTTTAAATTTCTTTTTGTGTTACAGTAACTTAAAAACGGTCTTGGTCAAAATAGAAAAATTTTTTAGTGTTATAAGGTATTATAGTACTGTTTGTTTAAAAAATGTTTCAAAAGCACGATTATTACGTAAAAATGTTGTCTGTTTGTGTTGGCTTAACCAAATATCACCACGCATTTAGCCTAAAGGCTCGGCTGTCTAACATTGAGCTGATCTTAATTTTGTTCAAATATACCCAGCGCAGAGCTTCAGCTTTATCTTAGTCTTAGCCCAGAGCCCTAGCTCAGGACCCTAGTCCAGAGTCTTAGCCCAGAACCCTAACTCAGAACTCAGAACGCTAGCCCATAGTCCTAGCCCAGAGCCCTAACCCTAGCCTAGAGCCATAACTCAGAGCTCTATCCCAGAGCCCTAGCCCAGAGCTTTAGCCGAGAGCCCTAGCCCGGAGCTTTAGTGCCCTAGCCGAGAGCTCTAGTCGGGAGACCTAGCTTAGAGCCCTAGTCCAGAGTCCTAGCTTAAAACCTTAGCCCATACCCCTAGCCCAGGGTATTAACCCAGAGCCCTAGCCCAGAGCTCTAGCCCAGAGCCTTAGCCCAGAGCGTTCGCCCAGAGCCCTAGCTCAGAGCCAATCTTTAGCCTCAGCCTCAAGTCTACTTCGACTTTTATTAACGCCTTTGCCTTTTTCTTTACCCCTCTTCTTACCTTTAACATGCCCTATTTTTACCCCACTCTACTCTACCATTCCCTATTCTTACCCTTACATTTACTCTTAATTTACCCTTACTTTTTTTTACTTTATTCTATTGTACTTTACCATGCCCTTTTTTTACCCTACCTCTTCCCTATACCACTTACTCTCAAAATTTCAAAAATTTGCATTTAGTCTACCTAGTATTGATTTTTCCAATTTTTTAAAAGCTTTCATTGTTTTGTAATCCAACTCCTAAAACTATAATATTTATATTGTTTACCCTAACGCATCATACATCTTATGACTTGCACCACCACTTTAATAACCATTATTTGGATTAGACGGCTAAAAATGGCAGCCCAAATGCAATTGCAGCGTAATGACCGGAAATTAAGAATAAAAAAATGAAAATCAAATTGGACTGGTAGGAAATGGAAGGATGAGATAGTCGAGACGTAGTTTTAGGGATGATAATATAGGATATGTCGGGAGGGTAATTTGCGTTTGAAAGGGGGGGGGATGTAATTTTTTTTTGAGTGTTTAGGACAGTGTATGGGAGGAGGAGGGTGGTGGGCTTTGGCTTAAGTCTGTAAAGATCAAATTTGTTTTAAACTTTTTACAAGCCAAATCTTTCGTTGCGGGACCTAAATTGTGCTCTTTTGTCTTGATTTAAGCGCCGGCTCTCGTTTGTGAGCCTGGCTCCTTTTCTTCCTTGAGTTAGGTTACAACGGCTTATCCTTTATTTTGTTTTGATTTTTTAAAACTTTCAATATAGAACATATTGAAGTATCTTATAAAAAACGCCTGCAAGAAATAAGAACAGTTAATTTGGTTCAAGAGCATAACATAACACTTTTTTATTTCTTTTGTACGACAGTAAACAAACATTGGCAAAAAACAATGATTTCAAGACTTTTTTATACCGTAAAAAGCAAAAAAATTTTAAAATCCTTTTTTAAGTTTGTATTTTTGTCTAATTTTAAATAATATTTATAATCTGTTAACAATTTAACAATATGATGACATTTCGTCCAATGAATGAGGACTAAAGGAACATGTGGTTTTTGAACGTAATATATACATATCGTTCGTTATAATTACTATGATATATGGGATTAAAATGCGTATTCTAGGGCTCAGGATAGGGCTAGGGTTTAGTTTGTTGAAATTTGTTTAAAAATAAGGTTATGATTTTTTTTGGCGTGGCTATGGTTTTGGTTAGACCATAACCAAGTAAATCTAAGGCTTAAGCTTCGGCACGGGTTAGAGGTAGCGTAAGATACAGCTAAACTAGGTTAGGCCTGGCTATACTATGGCTAAATCTTGATTTAGGGCTTTACTTTGCTATGAAAAGAGCTATGGCTAGAACTAGGGCCAGGGCTAGAGCTAAGACTAGGGATAAGATTTTAGTTAAGGCTTGGGATTAGGCTAGGGCTTAGGCTAGAGCTAAGGCTGGAGTTAAGACGTAGGCAAGCGTTAAGGCGGGCAGTACAGAGTGTGGCAGGGTAGAGTTAGGGTTGATGATTGAGCTAGGGCTTTGGGCTTTGTGCTAAGGTAGTGCTAGAGCTAGAGTGTGGCTAGCGTAGGGCTAGGAGACAACCCTTGATTCTTGACCTAGTTTGCACTTTTAAAAACTTCCTTTCTAATTTTTATAATAAGCTTATCGTCTTTAAATTTCAAAAATTATATAAATATCTAACCGTCTTGCCATTCCTTTTTTTAATTATTTGGACCTATATAAACGTTTTCGAACGTGATTATTTATAAAAGGGAATGAGTCAGTCCTCCTCGCGCAACTATTTTTTAAAAAGATTAAATGGAGAAGATCAAACAACGAAATTCGCTGAAAATATTTGCTTACAGCGAACTCTTTTTCGTTACTGTCATTTGTGGAAACGATTTGTCAAAAAAGAACAGTGGCTTTTGGGAAAATTTTGGGTTTACGTGAGTAATGAGTAAAAGGGAAAGTTGGGGGTGGTTTTTGGGTTTTAAATGGGATGGAAGGGGGTATGGAAGGGTAGGGTAGAGTAAGTGGAGTAAGGTAGGACTAAGTAGTACGGTGGGTAGGGTATGGAAGTTAAATTAAGGTTACTATAAGAAGAGGTAGGGAAAAAAGGGATGGGCAGGGTAGGGTTGGTAGGATAGGTTAGAGTATGGTAGTAAAAGTAAGGGTACGGATAGACGAGGTAGTATAGAACATTTTGGGCAGGGATGGCCAGGAAAAACCTGGAATGTTTAGAATAGAGTAGGATAGGGTATGGTGAGGCAAGAGTAGGTTATGTTGAGGCAAGGATAGGGTATGGGAAAGTAAAGGTAGGATATTGTGAGACAAAGGCAGGGTATGGTGAGATAAGGGTAGGATATAGTAGCGTAGAGTAAGTATAGTAACATAGGATCAATTAGTACGCTGGGTTATATAATAGTAGGGTATGGTGGTTAAAGTAAGGGCAAGATAGCCTAGGGTATGGTAGGGTAGGGTATGGTAGGGTGGTGTAGGGTATGGTAAGGTAGGGTATGGCAGGGTAGGGTAGGGTATGATAAGCTAGGGTAGGGTAACATAAGGTAGGGTAGTATAATATCGAAAACAACCTCAAATCGTTTAGTTGTCGATTAGCGTCTTTTAATCGGATCAATCCTCAGAAAGTCACTTTCGATTCACTCAATCTTCCTTTTACCGTGATGTTCTCTTTCAAATATTTTACTATTTTCGGTGACGTAACATGTCGTAATCTGTCACGTTGGGATTTTTTGTTGGGGTAAAGTAGGGTATGGGTGAGTAAGGTATAGTAGAGTAGGGTTATGTAGGATAGATTAGGGTAGGAATGGATAAGGTAGAGTAGGGTAAGGTAGGGTCTGAGTTTTTTTACTTTACCATAAGTCTAAGGTAGAATACAACAAAGAAAGCTAGGCGAAGCATTTTTAAGGTGGGCAGGGTAAATCGTGCGCGTTATTTTTTACAATTACCGTTGTTTTACAGTACACTATAGGTGACTATATGTCTTTCGTTTAAGATAACAGTATGTTATTACCTCGACTTTTGGTTATTTTACTAATAATTGCTTTGGCGAGCGGCCAACACGGCCAAAAAGAGTAAGATTTTGAATTAATTTTACACTTTTTTTAAAAATTTTTTTACTTTTTTTAGGTTACTTACAGTAGAATAAAATTCATTTTTAAAAGATTTTTTGGAAGTGTTTTGGGTTACTGTAACACAAAACGTGCAAAAACTGTTTTTAAAGAGCTGTGTGGTTAGAACGGGGCAGGGATGGGTGGTAGGAAAGGGTAGGGTAAAGTATGGTACGGTAATTTTAAATAAAAATATCGAAAAATTTAAATTTAGAAAGCATGACAAGTCCTCAGGCCAATCCTCAGAAGAAGTCAACCAAAGGTGTAGTAGTATAAAATTTCATGGTATGAAGGTTCCAGAAGCTAATCTATGTCAAAGCGTTGAGATCAATTGTCCAAATGGGCTCATGGGTAAGTAAATTGCAAGAACTTTCTTTACAAAACAAAAAACGGCAAGGACTTTCTTTACAAAACAAAAAATTGCAAGGACTTTTTTTCCAGGTAAAATGAAGATAAATTGCTTGTGTGACAAGCCCAAATGGCATGGTTTGGACAACTTTTCTCAGTGTATGTCACCATCAATATCACCTTTAAGAGACCTTGTTCACAATGGAGACCCATACTTTACAATTGGAAAGTTCGAACATAACATATTTCAATTAATGGAGGCGAATAAGCTGACTTCTGGAGACGTATATCAGTTCATCGAATCAGGAGATCTTTTAATGGCAAAAGCAATGCAAAATTTGCATAAAGAGAAGGATCATGGAAGGAAGAAGAGCTACAGTGCCAAGTTTTCTATGGTGAGTCTAGTTCCTGCTTTGCCCTGCCTTGAGCCCTAGCCCAGAGCCCTAGCCCAGAGCCCTAGCCCAGAGCCCTAGCCCAGAGCCCTAGCCCAGAGCCCTAGCCCAGAGCCCTAGCCCAGAGCCCTAGCCCAGAGCCCTAGCCCAGAGCCCTAGCCCAGAGCCCTAGCCCAGAGCCCTAGCCCAGAGCCCTAGCCCAGAGCCCTAGCCCAGAGCCCTAGCCCAGAGCCCTAGCCCAGAGCCCTAGCCCAGAGCCCTAGCCCAGAGCCCTAGCTTTGGCCGTGGCCTTACTTTAACTTTTCCTTTACCCTACTCTAGCCTTCGATCTGTCCTAGACTTATTGTAGCTCTACTGGAGCCATCCTTTAGCTTTTCCCAACTTTCGTTCTGGCTCTGCGTTTGCCCACTTTAGCCTTACTCTATTCTGGCCTTGCTTTAACTCTTCTTTAGCCCTATCCTAGCCCTATTGTTACCTACTTTGATTTTAAATAAAAAAAGTCTAATTTTAGTCAATTGGCAAGACTGGAGACTACCTTCTAGACAAGAGAGCAGAGCCCGCATGGTTCAATATGACAGATGATATTCGAGTGGAAAGAGCTGCTAGACTGATGCAGCTCATGCAAAATATGTTAGTCTTGAGGGCTAATGGAGTGGAATCTGGCCATAAGGAGAAGTTCAAATTTGGACATTTTGGTGGGTTAAATTTTTTAAATTTTAATTTAAAAAAAATTTTTGAATTTAAAAATTTTTTTTTGAATTTTGAAATTTAAATTTTTTTTATTTTCAGCCTCAAACCTCGAAGTAAAGGATGAAATTCAGCACAACCCGGTACTCTCCACCTCCAGAATCATGGTGACTCACGACGAATTCGAAAAGGATTCAGAAGAGATTCGATTTGATGGCTTTGACCGTGCCGTAATGGACATACCCTCAACTGACATCTTGGGTTTTGCTGCCCATGCCAAACATCAGCCTAGGTTTGGCATCTTCTCTAGGGTTATGAATCCTACTACGTTAAGTGGCAGTACGGGAAATGGGCATCAGAAGTCATCTACAGGGAGAGGTGGATTCAGAAGTTCCGGTACGGCGGATAGGAAGCTGAATCCAGAGGCCGATGAGGGATTCAGAAGCGATGGCACGGTGAATCAGAATCTGAATCCAGAGGCTGATAATGAAGCTCAAAATGATCAAGCTACTACAATATCGGACGATGACAGTAAGATCAAAGTAGGCCAATTCATGTTCAAAAACATTGGCAAGTTGATGACAAATAAGGAGGACAAAAAGAGAGTCAACAGCTATGTCATTGGTGCGTTCGTCAACGACCCTGCCATATCAGTGGACTTGATGAATCAACATGTCAACTTCACCTTCTATCATCTTGTTAAGGTAAGGGAGATTTACGCTACTCTACCCTATCTCACCTCACCGTACCCTACCCTACCCTACCCTACCCTACCCTACCCTACCTTACTCTACTCTACTCTACTCTACCGTACCCTACCCTACCCTACCCTACCTTACCCTACCCTACCCTACTCTATCCTACCTTACCGTACCCTACTCTGCTTTTTCTTTCCCCGTTCTATACTTGTCCTAGTCTTGCCCTCTCGTGTTTTTTTTGGCTTTGTCATGTCCTGCCTTATATTGTTCTGCTCTGCACTGCACAGCTGTTCCCTGCCCTGTTTTGGCCCTGTCGTGCCTTGCCGTGTCTTACATTATACAATTATCTGCCCTGCCCTATTGTGTCTAACCCTGCTCTGTCTTAATGTGACTTAACCTGCTATGCCCTGCATTGACTTGCCCTACTCTTTTTTACCTTACCTTAACCTTCTCTACCATACATTAACTTATCTTACTTTACCTTTTTCTACCCTACCTTATTCTTCTCTACCCTCATCTCCCTCATCTATTCTTCCTTCTACCTTGCCTTACCTTACCTTAACCTTCTTTACCCTGCACTGCTTTGTCTTGTCCTCCTACACTAGCCTTACCTTTGGATCTATACTTTACTCTTTCTTGTCTTAAGTTACTCATCTCTACCCTGCCTTTCCCTACCATGCCTTACCCTTACAAAAGAATTAATAGCAATAACTTTCTTTACAAATTTTAAAAAAAATCAAATTTTAAAATTTACAGGAAGGCGTCTCAAACCCTCAATGTGTATTCTGGAACCTAACTTCACGTAGCTGGGACAATAATGGTTGTACCATGCCGATGACAACCTCAGATTATACCAAATGTTCTTGTACTCACTTGACTTCCTTTGCCATTTTAATGGATTTCACCAACTCTTTGGAAGAAATGCGTCATGATGACGGATTAAATCGGTCATCTTTTGTTGAAACTTCATTAGATTGGCTTACTTTCATTGGATGTACGTTAAGCATCGTATCTTTGACTATATGTATCCTAATATTCACCATTTTCAAGTCACTATACAATAGTAGAACTACCATCCATAGAAACCTGTGTATCTCATTACTAATGGCAGAGGTATTGTTTCTATTTGGCATTGACGACACTGAATATGTACTTCTATGTAGAGTCGTCGCCATAGCTTTACATTACTTCTTCCTATGTGCCTTCGCATGGATGCTGCTGGAAGGGTACCAACTGTACCTAATGTTGATCAAAGTGTTCGATGCAAAGTCGAGGACCTTGTGGTACTATTGTTGTGGATACCTCATGCCAGCTATTATTGTTTTTGCTTCGGTTTTGGTTTCGGTGGAGAATTATGGCACTGAGGATTAGTAAGTTACTGTAATATATTGATTTTTGAAAATTTAGGTAACAGATCAATAGAGATAAGCTGGATTTCTGTAGTTAAGCTTAAGGGGAGGGGATAAGGTAGGGTTGGACAAGAAAAGGTAGGAGAGGGGTAGGGTAAGGTAGGAAATGGTAGGGTAGGGCAGACAAAGGTAGGACAGGTTGGAAAATGTAGGGTAGGGTAGGAAAAGGCAGGGTAAAGCAGAAAAAAACAGGGCGAGTAGAAAGAACTAGGGCAAGGGTAGTAAAAATTAGGGTAGGCGAGGAAAAAGCAGGGTAGGGTAGAAAAGGTAGGGATGAAATAAAAATGTAGGGTGGGGTAGAAAAATGTACGATAGTGTAGGAAAAGGCAAGATAGGGTAAAAAATGAAGGCAGGGCAGAAAAAGGTAGGGTAGGGTATTGTAAGTTAGGGTAAGGTAAGGTATTTTAGGGTAGGGTAAGGTAGAGTAGGATAGGGTAAGGTAGGGTAGGGAGGGTAGGCTAGGGTAGGGTAGGGTAGGGTAGGGTAGTGTAGAGTAGGGTAGGGTAGGGTAGGCTAGGCTAGGGTAGGGTAGGGTAGGGTAGGGTAGGGTAGTGTAGAGTAGGGTAGGGTAGGGTAGGGTAGGATAGTGTAGGGTAGGGTAGGGTAGGGTAGGGTAGGGTAGGGTAGGGTAGGGTAGGGTAGGGTAGGGTAGGGTAGGGAAGGGAGGATAGGGTAGGGTATGGTAGGGTAAAATAAAGTAGGGAGGGTAAGGAAAAAAATGAATCAAAACTTTAAAATTTTAGTTGCTGGATAGACGTTACGACTCCAACAATCTACACTTTTGTTGCCCCAATTGGTCTGATTGTTCTATTCAACAGTGGAGTACTAATACTAGCATTAAGAACAGTATTGGCCGTTCGAAACAGAGATCGAAGCTTGGCGGCTCGAGTGTTTGGCTGGCTCAAAGGCTCGGCTATGTTACTATTTTTGCTTGGAATTACTTGGGTCTTTGGATTTTTAAGCGCAATTCACGTTTTTCAACCATACGTGGCGTATATCTTCACCGTACTTAATTCATTGCAGGTAACGTGGTCGTATTTTATGCTTTATACCTAACTCTGCCCCTACCTCTACTCTTACCCCTGCTTCTTCATCCACCATTACCCCCCTCCCCAAATAAAAATATATTTACATTTCGTCCACATGGTATTGATTTCTTTCTCATACCACTACCACCACTCCTATCCTTATTTTAATTTTTTGTTTCTACTCTTACTGCTGCCTTTACTCATAGCGCTGCCCATAATATACACATAAATTTACATTTCGTCCACATGATATTGATTTTTTTCCTTACCCATACCCTACCCCGATTTTTTATCTCTACCCTTACCGCTGCCCTTACTCAAACTTTTATCGATAAAATACTAAAAAATTTACATATCCTCCACATAGTATTGATTTTTTTCTCCCACTTCTAGTCATCCAAATAAAATTTTCAAAAATGACCTTTTTTAAAATTACGAATTTTAAAAAAATTGTAAAATACGACATAAATATACTCCTGTAAATATTCGCTTTCCAGGGTACCTTCATCTTCTTCCTTCATGTCATAATGAATGACAAGGCGCGTCAATGCGTATCCAGGTGTCTTCGTGATGGAGTATGTTGTCAAGCCCCGTTGAGTTCATCGATGCAATCCAAGAATGGGGTTCGACCCGACAGTAGTTCGTACAACAAAAGTAACAACTTTTTTGCGTTGAGAAAGGACAGAATACTACAATGGTGGCCGTTGAAGTCGTCCAACAGCAATTCAAGAGCTTCGAATGGGGAGAAACAAGGAAACAGCGAGGAACCTCGTAAGGATTTTGATTTTTTCTAAATTTTAACAGGTCTTGGGGGATGGAAAGGATTTTTTGAGATTTTTTACCCTGTTCTATCCCACTTTCTCTCACTCACATTTAATTGTTCTGCCCTGCTTTGTAGACATGAGGAACTGGCCGGACCCAATTTTCAGGCCCGATCAAAATTTTGCTCAGCCCCGGCCCGTTCCTCATGTCTACTGCTTTGCCCTCCCCTTCTTTGCCCTGCTTTTATTTGCCCTTGAACTGTCTTATCCTTCTCTGTATTGTTCTGCCCTACCCTACTATACCCTACCTTTTTAATTTGTTGCCTAGTGTAAAGAAAGTTCTGGCTATTTTTTGAATACAGGAAAGAAAGTTCTTGCAATTTTTTTACGATTTAAAGATTTTTTTCAATTTTTTGATTTTTCAACCAATGAAAAGGAAGTTTTTGCTCTTTTCGAGTTTGTAAAGAAAGTTTTCGCCTTTTTGGGTTTGTAAAGAAAGTTTTTGCAATTTCTCATCCTGTAAAGAATATTTTTGCCGTGATTGGTGTTAGAAAAAAAGTTCTTGCCGTTTGTCTTCTTGTAAACAAAGTTCTTGCGATTTTTTAATTTTTAAAGAAATTTTTTGCCATTTTTCATTTTGTAAAGAAAGTTTTTGCCATTTTTTGTTTTGTAAAGGAAGTTCTTGCCAACTTTCATTCTGTAAAGAAAGTTCTTGTCACTTTCATTTTGTAACGAAAGTTCTTGCTATTTTTTGCTTTGTAAAGAAAGTTCTTGCCATTTTTCAATTTGTAAAGAAAGTTCTTGCCATTTTTCAATTTGTAAAAAAAGTTCTTGTCATTTTTCAATTTGTAAAGAAAGTTCTTGCCATTTTTCTTTTTTTCACAATTTTTAATTTCAGAAGTCCAAGTGATTGACCCACGACCAGAACTCAAACACATTGACAGTAAGGACGAGGAAGATGAGGTTGTGACAAGGAAGCGACTTTTAAGTCCAGATGCCTCATTGAAAATTGAACGATTTTAATATTTTTAAATTCTAGGTCTTTTTTTAAATATTGTTAACTTAAAAGTGACATATTATTGCACAGGGTAAACGCCAAATGTAACTATCTTGAAGAATCTCAATGTTAATATAAATAATAAATCTTTTTCATGAGAGGGCCTAAAGGCTGTGATTCTGAATTATAATTTTACATAAACAGCCGAATTTTAAAACCTTTCAACTAGACCTAGAATGAGGCCGGGCCAAATTGTTGGCTTCGGGCCCCGGCCCTCAGGCCAACATGTACCCCGCCTCTTTAAATTTGTTTGTTATACAGGGTTTTCTCTATAAATAGACCTGTAGAGCAGCCGGGCCACAGCTTTAAAATCAGCTTTGTTTTTAACTTTTCGCAAGTCAAGTCTTTCGTTGCGGGACCTAAAGTGGACCATGGGGCCTTTTTTTGGCTCGGCCCTCAGGCCAGGATCGAATAGACTAACAGTCCTGCCCTGCCCTTTCAAATTTGTTTCGGCCTGCAACTAGGCCTCTTTTCAGGTCTATTCTGCCTTCTACCCAAGTCTGGAAAATAAAAGCAACCTCTATTTTTGCCTATAAATAACAACAATTCGCCCTTAAAAGAGCTGTCTCCATTGATGCTTAGCAAGCCTCCATTTAGGTCTAAAAAGGCCACAACTGTGTAAAACAATCAACATTTAACAACGTTAAACCAAAATAATAAATCTGTTCAATACAGTTACAAAAAGGTCAGAAACAATTTCAAAATTCAGTTCAAAGCAGTTTATTTCTCAAAATCAGTTGAAAGATCCGGATTTGCGAGTGGTGCGAGAGCTCGAATGGTCCTGGTGGACACGTTGGTCTTGAACTCCGCTGTAGCGATTGGCAGTGTTGTTTTGTCCTCCGAGGGCTTGGGTTGCGGTCTGAAATACAGCAAATATTTAAAAAGTTTAAAAAATATTATTTTAGGTAACAAAATTCATTTTTTATTTAAAAACTTCATAATTCAGAAAAATGGCAAGGACTTTCTTTACAAAACAAAAAACCGCAAGAACTTTCATTACAAACTAAAAAATGGCAAGAACTTTCTTTCCATTTCCAAAAACGGCCAAAACTTTCTTTCCGCTTCTCATTTTTTATAAAAATTTGCAAAAACTTTCTTTACAAAACAAAAAATGGCAAGAACTTTCTTTACACAACAAAAAATTGTAAAAAATTTCTTTACAAACTGAAAAATCGCAAAAACTTTCTTTCCACGGCCAAATAATACTAAAATTTTCAAAATTTTCCAAAAAAAAGTCATTACAAAAAAAAATTTTAAAACCGCGCCCATGTCAAACAAAATTATTTTCAAAAAAACCAACATCAACACAGACCGCGTTCAGTTCGTTCAGATTTTGGATTAGTTGGTGTTCCTCGCGAGTCGATGGGTATTGGGCGGTTTGGACGTCTTTACTCGATTCACAGTCCAGCGCGGTTTCCGTGGTTTGGCTGTCCTGGGCGGCGGCTGCGGCTTGAATGCAGAGTTTTTGCTTGCACTGATTGCAGATAATGTCATTCTTGGGGTGGACAAAGCCGAGTTTGGCGAGGAGGGCGAGGAAGGCGGGCATTTGGAAGAGGGCTTTCAGGTCGTTGGGGGTGAGGTTCTTGTCCTTCATGAACTGGTTCAGCTGGTCCTTTGGTCCTTGGGAGAGGGGGCGTTTTGGTGCTCCGCGGCTTGATGGTCCTCGGCCTGAAGATAATGGTCCTCGGCTCAAGGATGGTGCCCTTCGGCCGCGGAATGGTTCACTTGGTGCTTGTCCCAACTGTGATGGCGCGTTTGGTCCTTGTTCATATGGTCCACTTGGTCCTTGATCGTATGGAGATGCTCCCTGATCCAATGGTCCATTTGGTCCCTGCTCCGAGAAAGATGGTGCTCTTCTGGCACTTCTTGCCCTAGCCGTAGCCACGTCTGTAGCCGAGGCCTGCCCCCTAGCCGTAGCCAGATAAGCAGCCGAGCCTTGGCCACGTGCTGTAGCCAATTCGGAAGCCTGTCCTCTAGCCGTAGCCAAGCCAGTAGCCGAACCTTGACCCCTAGCCGTAGCCAAATGAGAAGCCGAGCTTTGTCCTCTAGCCGTAGAAAGATAAGTCCCAGAAGCCTGTCCTCTAGCCGTAGCCAAGTGTGTAGCCGAAGCCTTTTCCTTCGCCGTAGCCAATTGCTCCGACAGCTGGTCAGTATATGAAGGTAGCACAGCTGTAGCCACATCCTTGCTCAATTCATTGTCCAAGGCGGTCCGAGTGTGACTGGTCGATCGTCTTCTGGCCACAGGTTGAGCTGCTGATGGGCCAAACAATGGCTGTTGTTGGCCTTGCTGGCGGAACTCCTCATACTGTGGCTGACCGTACTGTCCTTGTTGGCTCAAACGTGATTGCGACCGTGAGCGAGCTGTAGCCAGTTGAGTTGAAGAAGCCTGACGGCCTGTTTTTAGTTCTGAAAATTTGATTTTTAGGTAACAAATACTAATCTTTTTCAATTTTCAGGTAACAAATAATATACTTTTTAAAATTTTAGGTAACAAAAAACATATTTTTTTTAGAATTTTAGGTAATAAAATATTTTTTTGAGTTTAGGTAACAAAATGCTATTTTTTCAACTTTCAGCGATAAAAAACCCACCTTGATCAATCAGATGAGACGGTGCAAGTTGACTGTGTCCCAAGCGTGATTGTGACCGTGATCTGGCCGTAGCCAACTGAGTCGAAGAGGCAGCTTGTCGAGCTGTTTTCAAGTCTAAAAAAAATGGATTTTTAGGTAACAAAAAGACTTTTTTTCATTTTTTTAGTATCTTAGATAAGAAAATTTTTTTTTCACTTTTAGGTAACAAACAGAGCTTTATTCAAAATTTTAGGTAACAAAAGTAACATTTTTTAAAATTTTAAGTAACAAAAATCAATATTGACTGGTTTTTCAAAAATTTTTAAATTTCAAAAAATTTTTTTGAATTTTTAAAAAACTTCAAATTTTACAAACTCACCTTGACCAAGAACCTTCGAATCCATTTCGACCGACTCCGGCTTCTTGCGATGATCCTTGACCAGTCGATTCGACTTCTTCGATTTCGACTTGTTCTTGGATTTGCTCTTCCTTGACTTTCGCTTGGACTTAGTAGACTTTTGGCTAGCAGCCATGGGAGATTTGGCTTTGGCCGTGGCTAGATTCGAAGCCGATGGGGCTGATTTAGCCGTTTGGAGTTTGTCGGGATGATCTTGGCCAATGGCGTGCTGATCAAAGGGTGTTTTGCCAAAGGGTGGTTGGTGTTGACCTGGTTGAGCATGTTGTGGTTGACCGCCATGACCTTGAGGTTGAGCTGCTCCAGATTGACTCAAGTTGGTTCTTGAACGTGATCTGGCCGTTCCTAGCTGAGAATCAGATGGCATTGCCCGGGCTGTTGCCAAATCTAAAAATTGCAAAAACTTTCTTTACATGATGAAAAATGGCAAGAACTTTCTTTACAAAACAAAAAATGACAAGAACTTTCTTTACGGTCTGAGAAATAGCAAGAACTTTCTTTACAAAACAAAAAATGGCAAGAACTTTGTTTACAAAATAAAAAATTGCAAAAACTTTCTTTACAAAACACAAAATCGCCTAAAAAATCCAAATGTCATCAAACCCCTACCTTGTCCAGGCTTGGAGTTCTCCAGAACATCATAGTACGATGGGTTTCTGGCCGTGCCGAGCTGAGAATCCGAAGGCATCAGCCGAGCGGTTGTCAAATCTGAATAGCGACCTGGGTGATAACCTTGACCACCTTGTCCATGACCTTGGGGTTGACCTGCTCCATCTCGACTCAAGCTGCTTCTCGACAGTGATCTGGCCGTTCTTAGTCCCTGACCTTGGCCAAGTCGTCCAGGAGTTTGGCTGCGAGCTGTTCTCAAGTCTGGAAATGGCAAGAACTTTCTTTACAAAACGAAGAATGGCAAGAACTTTCTTTACATAACAAAAAATGGCAAGAACTTTCTTTACAGCGCCTTTAAAATTCTCAAAAACCTACCTTGACCATGCTGGCCTGGCTGAAAACCTCCTTGGCCAAGTTGTGGCATAAGACCAGGCTGATTCGTACCCGAAGCTGTTTTGGCTGTTCCGAGGTTGTCCAAGGACTGAGCTTTAGCCGTTTTCATTTGACTATAGGAATCCATGATTCTTGCAGTCAAAAGTTCAATTTCCTGAGGGGTCATGCCTCCATATTGATCTTGACCAGAGAGTTGAGCATCTAAAAATTCATTTTTATTTTGGGCGGGGTAAATTTTGAGGGGTGAAGTGATTCTTTGGGGTAGTAACAAATTTTCCAAAAAAATGGCAAAGATTTTGTTTACAAAATGGAAAATTGTAAAAACTTTCTTTGCAAAAAAATGGCAAGAACTTTCTTTACAAAACAAAAAATAGCAAGAACTGTTTACAAAACCAAAAAATACTTTTTATCGTATAACTTATCACCCGCAACCTTCAAAGCCCAAAAAAAGGCTGGTTTTGATGCAAATGGCAAGAACTTTCTTTACAAACGAAAAAATTGCAAAAACTTTCTTTACAAAACAAAAAACTCACATTGACCCGGTTGACTCCCTTGAGGTAGACCACCCAAGCTAGTTCTAGACCGTGATCTGGCCGTTCCAAGCTGAGAATCCGATGGCATTGGCCGAGCGATTGTCAAATCTGAATAGCGACCTGGGTGGTAACCTTGAGGTTGACCGCCTTGTCCATGACTTTGGGGTTGACCTGCTCCGTCTTGACTTAGGTTCGATCTTGAACGTGATCTGGCTGTTCTTAGTCCCTGACCTTGGCCAAGTTGTCCTGGAGTTTGACCGCGAGCTGTTCTCAAGTCTGGAAATGGCAAGAACTTTGTCTACAGAATGAAAAATAGCAAAAACTTTCTTTACAAAGTAAGAAATGACAAGAACTTTCTTTACAAAATGAAAAACGGCAAGAACTTTCTTTACAAAATAAAAAACGGCAAGAACTTTCTTTCCAAACCAAATAATGGCAAAAACTTCTTTCCAGCACCTTTAAAACTCCCAAAACCCACCTTGACCTTGTTGACCTAGTTGAAGACCTCCTTGACCAAGACTTGGCTGTTGAGTCCCCGACGCTGATTTGGCCGTTCCAAGATAGTCCAACGACTGTGCTTTGGCCGTTCTCAATTCACTGTTCGAAGACAAAAGCCTGGCAGTCAAAAGTTCGGCTTGATGCGTAGTCAGAGGGCCATAATGATCTTGTGGTTGGAATGAGCCAACTTGTCCATGACCTTGAGGTTGACCAGCTTCATCTTGACTCAAGTTTGTTTTTGATCGTGACCTGGCCGTTCCTAGTTGGGAATCCGATGGCATTGGCCGGGCTGTTGACAAGTCTAAAAACAGCAGAAACTTTCTTTACAAAGCAAAAAAAGGCAAAAACTTTCTTTACAAAACACAAAATGGCAAGAACTTTCTTTAAAAAACAAAAAATGGCAGAAAAAACTTACCCTGACTACCCTGTCCCAAGCCAGTCCTAGACCGTGATCTGGCCGTTCTTAGTTGAGCATATTGACCTTGTGGAAGACCTCCTTGGCCAAGCTGACCTTGTTGAGGCAGTCCACCTTGATCCTGTTGATAAGGTTGGAATGAGCCGACTTGACCATGACCTTGAGGTTGACTTGATCCATCTTGGCTCAGGTTGGTTTTTGAACGTGAACTGGCCGTTCCAAGTTGAGAATCTGACGGCATCTGGCGGGCTGTGGCCAAGTCTTAACATTTTTCGTATAAAATAGCAGAAACTTTCTTTACAAAACATAAAATAGCAAAAACTTTCTTTACAAAGTAAAAAATGGCAAGAACTTTGTTTACAAAGTAAAATATGACAAGAACTTTCTTTACAGTACAGAAAAATAACAAAAAACCAACCTTGTCCATACTGACTCTGACCCGCTGGACCGTCCAAAGCATAGTACGAAGGGCACTTGGCCGTTTCCAACTGGGTCAAGGAAGCCAAGAGACGAGCGGTCGTAACGTCCGAATATTGTCCTTGGTCAAGTTGCTGAGGAGTGCGGCCACGGGCGGTTCTAATGTCTAAAAATAGCAAGAACTTTCTTTATACACCAAAAAATTGCAAAAATTTTCTTTACAAAATAAAAATGGCAAAAACTCTTTTTACAAAATGAAAAATGGCAAGAACTTTCTTTACAAAACAAAAAATGGCAAGAACTTTCTTTACAAAACCAAAAATGACAAGAACTTTCTTTCCAAACCATATTACCTCATATCCTTCAAAAAACACCTTACCTTGACCAAGTCTAGTAGCCGAAGCCGACTTCGCCGTTCCCAAATTGTCCAAAGACTGGGCCTTGGCCGTTCCCAATTCAGTAACCGATCCCAATAGACGAGCAGTCAACAATTCAGCTTCCAGTGGGTCAATTCGACCATATGGTTCTTGACAAGCCGGCTGACCATCTAAAAAATCATTTTTATTCGAGGGTGGGGTAAGTTTTTGAAAGTGGAATCTATTTTTTACATTTTGTATCGAAAATGGCAAGAACTTTCTTTACAAAACTAAAATTAACCAAAAATTTCTTTCCAGAACATAAAATGGCAAAAAATTTCTTTACAGAACCTAAAATGAAAAAAACTTCCTTTAGAAAATAAAAAATGGCAAAAACTTTGTTTACAAAACAAAAATGGAAAGAACTTTCTCTAGAAAGCAAAAAATGGCAAGAACTTTCTTTCCAGCTTTCAAATTTTAAAACTATAACTTAGGAGCTCACCCTGGCCAACTGGATCGAAAGGGCCATAGTTAACTTGACCATGTTGTGTTGGTTGACCTTGCCCTTGAGGTTGACCACCTCTTCCAACTGGCTGTCCACCCCGTCCAACTGGCTGACCTCTTCCGACCAGTCGAGACTGTCTCGGAGCTCCCAAATTCATCTTGCTGACTGGTGCCGGGTCCTCCATGTGACTATGGAGCCGTTGGCCACACTTCTTGCACACAATCTCTCCATTCAAATGTTCAAAGCCGAGTTTCGCCAGTAAAGCCTGTAGCAGCTCCTTCAGATCGTCCTGAGTCAAGTTCTGACGCTTCAGCACCTCATCCGACGGTGATGCCTGATTCTGAGGCGCCACATTGGTTCGGGAATTCGATCTTGAACGAGAGCAAGCCGTTTGCAACCGATGCGCAGAGAAGGAGCGAGCCGTTCGCAAGTCAGTGTTCTAAAACAACATTTTTAGGTAGGTTTTTTTTGTCAAATTCGAATCTAAAACATAATATTTGAATAAAAAACAAAAAGACACTGCTAAAATAATCTATACATCAACAATAACATTCATTTTCAACCAAAAAACATAGTTCTCAAGCCAAAAAATATTATTTTTTCCAAACAAACCTAAATCAAGACCTTGTTATCTATAAAAACGTATATAAATCAAGGTAAACCTAGGCAAATCGAATCTAAAATCAAAGCAAAAACAACAAAAAATAAGTATTCAACAGTTGCTAAACATAAAACTGTCAATTTTCTGTTTTTAAAAGGTTTTCAACTTTCAACGCGATCAGATGGTCTACTACAATATGAAAAAACTGTTCTTTCTATCTCAAAAACTAAAATTAAAAAAGAATATTTGTGTTTTATTTAAAGGTATTTTTATGCTTCTTCTAACCATACAAAAACATGAATCAATTGTGGTAATTTCTCAGAAGTTATAGCGCGATTAGATAGTGTACTATAAGATCCGAAACGAAGGTATTTTTTCTCAAAAATTACAATAGAAAAATATACATGTTTTATATCATTTTATAGGTCTTTTTGCACTGATTCTAAATATACAAAAACTATTTTAGAAAATATGGGAGACTAAAAGTTATCACGCAAACAACTGGTCTACTATAATATCCGCAAGGCCAACGTCCTTTCTCAAAAACTACAATTGGAAATCAGACATGTTTTATATCATTTTAGAGATCTTTTTACACTAATTTTAAATATATAAAAATAAAAATAGGTTTTGTTACTCCTTCAAAAGTTATAAAGCAAAACAATCTTCATTAGGAGATCGCTTTGCACAATTCGAACATGGAAGTCTTAAACGGCTCAAATCGGTCGATTAAAGTAAAGTTAACCTAATAAAACGTATTGGCATAGTTAACACATACAATAGGCTTTCGTTTATCACAAAACATACGCAATATTAACCCTTGATTAGTTTGAAAAAGGATTTCAACGAAAACATAGTTCTTTCAAAGAAAGAACATCTTTGCTGTTGCACAATGCCAAAAACTTTCCTTTGGGTCAATTCTTCGCCGCTCTTCATTTTTTTTCTAGGGTTGGGTAGGAATCTTATTTACAAGATTAAAAATAGCGTAATCTTCCTTTGTATATTGAAAAATGACAATAACTTTCTTTGCAATACAAAAAGCTGCAAAAACTTTCTTTCCAAAACAAAAAATGGCAATAACTTTCTTTACAAATCAAAAAATGGCAAGAACTTTCTTTACAAACTGAAAAAGGACAAAAACTTTCTTTACAAAACAAAAAGTGGCAAGAACTTCTTTTCCAAAACAAAAAGTTGCAAAAACTTTCTTTACAACCCAAAATTTTAAAAGTGCAATAAACTTACACCCTGAGGCGCCCGAGCCAACGACAAACCATTCAAGTCCTGGTTGAAGTAGAGTTCGCTGTCATTGGGCGTGGCGCCACCGTTCTTCGCGTCTTGCGGGTTCATTCTCGGACCACCGACCACGCCGTTGTTGATCCGAATCGCAAAATGAGGAAAGTCCGCGGATTCGCCATTTTTATGGATTTTTGTAGAAATGAGCAAATTTGCATAAACCAAATTTTTTATTTTGAAAATGAAAAATTGGCGCGTAGAAAGGGTTTTCTTAATCTTGGGTTGGGGTGACTTTACAGTAGTTATGGTAGGGGTAGGGAATGGCAATGTATAGTAGAGTAGGATAGGCCGAATTAGGAAGGGCAGAGCAGGGCAAGGCAAGGAAAGGCAAGACAAGCCAAACCACGGCAGGACAAAGCAAAGAAAGACAGGCAGAATAGAATCTCAGCACTGGCAGTAATTTTTTGGGTCGTTTTACATCGAGGCAAACAGAGCCGGGCGGGGACTTTTGGTCTGGAGGCGAAGGTCCAAAAAAATCGGCTCAGTAGCTACCTGTGCCGATTTTTTGCGAAATTTTTTTTTCCGAAAATTTACAGGGGGGGGACCACGTTCAATTTTTTTTCAAAAAATTTTTTTTCTGAGGGGGTAGCTCCCCCGTCCCTCTCCCTCTCGCGCCCGGCCCTGGAGGCAAATATTACAAACATGAATAATATTACACAAGAAAAAGTTGCGTAATATCATTTCTTGCAATTTCTCTAAGGCTATGTTATTATAGCATGAAAATTAGGTAATGCTGCAATTTTTTTATAAGAATGTTATGTTAATATAGGTTTCGATGAGTTACAAGGGTAGGTAGAAGTGTGGTAGAGGCTAGGATAGGGGTATGGAATCTTAAGGTACTGTTTGAGAATGGTTAGGACATAGTAAAATAGGAAGGGTAATATAGGTTATGGCAAATAAAAATAAGGTAGGATGAAGCAAATTAAGCCAGAATAAGGTAGGGTAGGGTAGGGTAAGAGATCAAAAGTCCTTTTCTTGCACAGTAACAGTCATATGTATTTATAATATTATTTGTCGTCAAATAGGCTGCACCCTTTTGTATGAGTAATATCTTTAAAAAATGAAATGATTAATACAAAGGTCTTATCACAACAACAACACTGTCTCTGTTTCTGAGTTTTCTTAACAATTTTTAGGGGGGAGTCCGTTTTTTTTTGCGGTTTAAAACTATTTTGTAAATTTAAAGGGGTATGTATTTTTATGTTTTGGTCAAAAAATTTTAAAAAATTTTTTTATTTTAAATTTTTTTTTAAATTTTAAAAAGCTGTACTTTTATTCAAAACTGACAGGTTTGATTTTATGACAAACGTTTGGCGGATAATCGTTTACCTTGTTTTCAATAGCTGAACAAACAATGAAAATTCGTTAGGAAAGGGTTTGACACGCTCAAGTTTTAGTTCCGTCTATTTTCAAGTTTTAGCATGAAAAGAGATGGCTGGTATAATAAAAAATATTAGGGTGGGGTAAATTTTTAAAAGTTTTTATTATTGTTTTTAGGCTTCGGTTTAGGATGAGTAGAGTTGGGCTTAAGCTTAGGCTTACGCTGGGGTTTGGGCTCAGCTTAGGCTTATGCTTTGACTTTCGCTTAGGCTTAGGCTTAGGCTATGGCTTAGGCTTAGGCTTAGGCTTAGGCTATGGCTTAGGCTTAGCTTTAGGCTTAGGCTTAGACTTAGGTTTAGACTTAGGCTTAGCTTTAGGCTTAGCTTGAAGCTTTGCTTTTGCCTTGATTTTTTGAGCTGAGGCTTGGGCTTAAATTTGTAAGAGATTTTACAGGGTGCGCGCAATGTTCTGTTACACGGTTTTTTAATCAAATATTTATTTTAACAACAAATATAACTAAAACAACAACTAATAAAAGTAACATATAGTACTAGTTATAACATAGTCAAGCGGTTTCGAAGTGGCCCCCTTTTGCCGCTACGCAGAGGCGTAAACGCTTCACAAAGTTTTCAGCGATGGGCCGCAGGTCCTGAGGCGAAAGTTTGTCCCACTCTTCGATCAATGCTTGTTTCAAAGACTCCAAAGTTTGGTGTCTTCTACAACACACCCTTGCCTCCAATATCGACCAAATACTGTAATCCATCGGGTTAAGATCGGGGGAGTACGGAGGCCATTCAGCTGAGGTGATAAAGTCCGGAAAATGGGCCCGACCCCACTCCTGTGTTGTTTTGGCTTTATGGGCTGAACCAGAGTCCTGTTGAAACGTCCATTTGGTGTTCTTGAAGTGTTCTCGGGACCAAGGAAGTACTACGGCTTCCAGAATGTTTTTTTGGTACACTTCTTTATTGATTTTTACTCCATTATCAACGAAAATCAAAGAAATCTTGCCTGAAGCACAGATACCGGCCCAAACATAATGCCCCGAGGGTGTTGACGACCTGCCACGATGGATTAAGCTTTAGGAGGCTCTGTTGAGTAATATTTGTCATTTTGGGGATAGTAGGCCTCTGTAAAATGTAAATATCCTCTCATCTGTGAAAAGGATTCGTTCACATTTTTGACCAGCGGCCCGCTGCTGAAGCAGTTTACATCTTTTGAAACGTACCGTCTTGTTTTCTTCAGTTAGCTTCTGAACTTTTTTGAGTTTGTACGGCTTCATCTTAAGTTTCTTTCCCACTATGCGCCTCAAAGTAGGTTCTTTGATTCCCGCCTCCCGGGCCATTTTTCGTACTGGGGTCCGTGGATTTCGCTTGAAGCGCTTCATGATCATCTGACGATTGGCCACGGTGTGAACAGATGCTGGACGACCACTTCTAGGTCTGTCACAGTCATGTCTAAGCTCTTCGAATCATTTTACGGCTCTGTGGACTGTCATTCTTGAAATATTCAACAATTTCGCGATTTTGGGGTTACTTTTTCCTTCATTATTTAATTTGATGACGGCAGCCCTCATGTTTGACATCTAAAAACAGACAGTCGATGAAGACTTAACTTTTATGATTATACAATTAGAAAAACACGGAGAATAAGACAAAATAAACAATTTTAAATAATTTAACCGCAAAATTGAGAAAACGACCGGTAAAGTTTTGTAACAGAACATTGCGCGCACCCTGTAGCTGAAGCTTTGTATTAGCGGGCTTATTTTTTACTTTAGTTGTTAGCCTAGCCGTTTCTTAGTCTTAGCCGCTGGCGTTAATTAAGTCTATTTGACCTACAATGAAAATTTTTAATTTTTTAAAAGTTTTCAATTTTTTTTTATTTTTTTGAGTTTTTATAACTTATGTCATACGTCTGATTACTTTATTTGAGCAGACAAAACTGTAAAATGATTGATGTTCGGTTATTTTTCTTTGACTTTTTTGGCGTTAGTTTAACCATATTCATCATAATCGCAAGATTTTATCGCTTTTATAACTTTAACCTTGTTTTTTATATTTAATATGGCATGAAAATTTAGTCAACAGTCATGGCTAGTTCATTATAAACTGGTGGTTTTTGTTTATTAATCGTCAAGTATAGTATATTACAGTTTTCCAAGCTTATTTGCTTCAAAAAATCGGGTCATTTCAATTTTTTTTAAAAAGTAGAGATTCGTTTTAGCAAAAATGACAGCTTCCTCAAACTTGGACAAACTAGAGCCATTGCCATGGCTTCGAGCAGTGATGGATATTGTGCTATGTATTGGGTCTTGTAAGTTGATTTTGTGTATTATTTACTGAATTTTAGGTACTTTTTATTACAATTGGTACATGCAAAATTTTGAGAAAAATAGGTTGTGTTTGTCATTGTTACAGTTGATTATAGATGGCATTTAATGATTTAAAAACATGGTTTTGGTTCTTACAATTTGATTTTTGTTACCTATAATGAAAGTGGCAAGAACTTTAGTTTAAAGTAAAAAAAGAGCAAGAACTTTCTTTACAAAATAAAAAATTGCAAGAAATTTCTTTACAAAACGAAAAATGGCAAGAACTTTCTTTACAAAGCAATAAATGGCAAAAACTTTCTTTCCAACACAAAAATGACAAAAATGTTCTTTACAAAACAAAAAATGGCGAGAACTTTCTTTACAAAACAAAAAATGGCAAGAACTTTCTTTACAAACTAAAAAAAAGACAAGAACTTTCTTTACAGCTCAAAATTTTAAAAAAATTCAATAAACTTACCTTCTCTCTTCAAATGAGTAAAATACGTCTCCTAGCTTTTTGTGTTCATATACAAAAGATAAGATAGTAAAGAATATTTATTTTTGAATGTACTTTACTATTGTAACTTATTGTAATTACAGTATTCCTAATCAATGGTCTATTTGAATGGATGGGAGTGTACCGTCGCGGCTTCTTTTGTGACGATGAAACCATTATGTACCCAATGAAGCCAGAAACGATAGGACTTGGTGGTTTGTTGGTAATATCGTTTGTGCCTCAACTTGTGGTAATTACAATTACTGAGTCGATACGATTATATCGATTTCCGACTGAAGAATTGTCAAGTGTGGAAAGAGGCAGAGCTAAGCCCATTAGGCTTGTTTCGAGGGTTTTGAAGTTTTATGGTAGGTCAACTTTAAATCTATGGGTACCGGGTAGAGCTAAGGCTATGGTTAGGACTAGAAAAAAATTTTTATATTAACATTATATATTATATTAACCTTGTCCATTTCAGGCTACTCCCTCCTAATAATAGTGGTATGTTCCTTCCTAACCGCAGTAACAAAAAACGCCGTTGGCCGTTTACGGCCAAACTTCCTGGACGTATGTCAACCGACATTCGACTGGCGACATAACTGCACCACTCACGAATACCTGACTGATTACGAATGTACAGCTGATCGATCGAAATGGGCAATGAAAGACGCTCGACTGTCATTTTTCAGCGGACATTCGAGTATGAGCATGAGTGCTGCCATGTTTATTGTGGTAGGGGATTTGAATTTAATTTTTTTAACCTGTTGAACCTCTGCGTATTTTACAAAACTTTTTACGATTTTCTAAAAAATCAATATTTAAATCTTGTCAAAAATTAAAAAATCGATATTGACATTTCGTTACAAAAACTAAATATCTTTTTTTGCATATGTTTAATAATGTCATAGAAAGTTTAAAAATTAGGGTGCGGGTTGCAAAATTTTTGTAATTTTCAAAAAATCAATATTGACATTTCGTCAAAAATTAAAAATCAATAGTGACATTTTGCTACAAACTGAAATTTGTGTTTTTTAGCATTAATATTTAAAAATGCCATAGACACTTTTAAATTTGAGCACAAGTTGCGCATTTTTCAAATTTTAAAAAATCAATATTGACATTTAGTTCAAAATCAAAAAATCAATATTGAGATTAAGCCAAAAACTCAATTTTTTTTATCAAAACGCTTGATTTTATGGCATTAAAAAATGAAAATAAAATAAAATTATAGCAAATTTTAGGTATACCTCCAATCCCGTGCAGCTGGTGAATGTTGGCTGAACACGTTGATACCCATTCTTCAGTCGATTTCTTTTTGCGGCGCAATTTACGTCGGATTGACGAGAATTTTCGACCACAAACATCACTGGTCGGATGTGTTGACTGGCTTGATTGTTGGAATGACTATTGTCATTCTTGTGGTAAGTTTAGAATAGGGGTTAGAGGACACATTCCGTATTTTACACTTTTCTATCCAAAATAAGCTTTTTTTAACTTTAAATATATTGAAATAGATCAAAATTTAGTTTTTTAAACAAAAAAACTATTAATTTTAAGGTTAGTTTACTTTTCTTAAATTCCAATAATTTTGTGACACTTCGTTTAATTTTCCAATATTTTTTGTGACACTTCGCAACATTATTAAAAAAGCTGTAAAAAGTTTAGTTTTTTGTTTAAAAATAGACAAAAACAATGTTAAAGATTAATTATAATATCCGATAACTTTGCGACACTTCGTCTACTTTTCCAATAATTTTTGTGGCAGTTTGTTAAAAAACACACATAGTGTTTAAAAAGCTGCTCTTATGTTTTTAAAACATAAAAAAAAAGTTTTTCTAAACAAAAATTTTTAAAAAATTTTTAAATTTTGATTTCAGTGGAAATTCGTAGCTGGCTACGATATAGCGCCATTGAAGCAAAGACGACGAAAATGCGTGGTAAATATCGATGATGTCGAATTGCAGAAACCTTCAGCCATTCAGACTAACAGCACTGAATATACAAATAAATCGTTTCAAAGTGACTTAACTCAACGATTATGATCTGATACTGGTATTTGTTGGCAATGTTTAGAAGTATATGTATAATAAACAAGATTACATTGTAATACAATATATCTTTTGGATTAATTGCTTTGCCTTGCCTTGCCTTGCCTTGCCTTGCCTTGCCTTGCCTTGCCTTGCCTTGCCTTGCCTTGCCTTGCCTTGCCTTGCCTTGCCTTGCCTTGCCTTGCCTTGCCTTGCCTTGCCTTGCCTCATCTTGCCTTGCCTTCATCCTATCAACCCTAAATTAAGAAGAAAAAGGTACAAATGTAAGAGATTTTTGGTCTTCTGACGCCGAAAGTTCCATGGATTCACCTTTGCAGACAATAAAAAGAACGTTTCTATTGAAGAAAGCGTCCGTTCAGCTGATGCCGCGAAGGTAATGTGATTTGAGGTCAGTGGGTTAGCAATTTCAATTTTATAGCATTCTAGGTATAAAACGAACGTTTTGGGTATAGTGAACGTTTTTGTGGTTGTAGGATATAGTAGAGCTTCTGGGTTAATTTTCTAAAGCAGTACATAGTATAATCTTACCTTACCATATGATAAGCAAGATAGGGTAAAGAGTATCATCAAGATAGTATACAATGCAGTAAGGTATTATAAAGCAGAGTAGGGTAGGGATTTTATTATCGTGTTTGCTACAATATTTACTATAGCTTCAATTACAGTACCCACCTTTTCAGTCATGCTACAGTACCTTGTACTTACCCTTCTTCTACTGTCTACAGTAACCTCACAACGCTACAACTACTACAGTTATGGACCTCAACGCTACACCAACTACGTACAACCACAGCCTGTTTACAGTAGACCATCAGTAGCAACACAGTATCGTTCTTACTATCAACCTACTAGCTATTACAGTAACCCAAGCTACAACAACTACTATAACCGACAATCATATCCTAGCTACAACAGTGGGTATGGTAACTCTGGATACGGTAGCCAAGGGGCTTACGGTTCAACGTACGGTAGTCAAAACACTGGGTATGGAAGCTACGGTAGCTCATATGGAGGATACGGTAGCTCAGACGGGAGTTCTTATCCAGGCTACAGTAGCTCTGGCTACGGTAGCAGCTACAACCCATACTATGTGTCAAGGAACAATGCTTATGAAAATAACATCAACTTCTGGAGGACTAGTCAAATTGCACCATTAACGCCAAAAAGCGGCATCAATTTGGGCGGTGTTTGGCTATTGTGCTCCAGCTGTACTAGAGGATAGAATTAAAATTGCAGTATGAGATTTAAGTTATGTTCGTATTGTTGTTGTTATACTTAACATGTTTCGTTGTACAATAATAAAGCTTAAGATATCTAAATGTTAATAATAAACTTACTACAACATAATGTTAAACAATTTGTTTAGCCCTAGCCAAGAATCATAACCCAGAGCCGTAGCCCAGAGCCCTAGCCTAGAGCCCTAACCCAGAGCCCTAACTTAGAGTCCTAGCCCAGAGCTCTAGCCCAGAGCCCTAGCCCAGAGCCCTAGCCCAGAGCTCTAGTCGAAAGGCTCAGCCCAGAGCCCAGAGCCCTAACCTAGAGCTTTAGCCCTGAGTCCTAGCCCAAAGCCTTCGCCCAAAGCTCTAGCCTCAGTCCTACCCTCAGCCCTAGCCCTAGCCCAGAGCCCTGACCCAGAGCCCTAGCCCGGAGCCCGAGTCCGGAGCCCCAGCCCAGAGCCTAGCCCAGAGCCTTCGCCCAAAGGTCTAGCCTCAGTCTTACCCTCAGCCTTAGCCCTGCCCAGAACCCTAGAATTAGCCATACCCTCAGTCCTAGACTCAGCTCTAGTCTCAGCCCTACCTTTAGCCTACCGTACTCCAGTTCTGGTTCTGTTAGCTTATTTATTGTTTTACCGTGACCTACTCTAACCCTGCCAAAGCTTATGCTTGTCTTACTGTTGTTTCGTCGTAGCTTGACTTTGAATACTTTTGCCCTACTCTGCCCTAAACCATAGCTTTATCACTGTAAATCTTACCTTTAAGAGTGACTTTTTTTTGTAAACAAAGTTTCTTCGTTTTGACATTTTTTAGCGCGTTATATTTGACAAACTACTTATAAAACATAAAGTAAATACAATTCCCCCCCCCCATCCTCCCTCATACACCGTAAATCATATTTGAATAACGGCCATAACGTCAAATTCCGACCACTCCTCTTACTTTTTACTTTTTATGTTGTTTCTTACTCATTTTTGATTTACATCCGACGTTTTTTCGCGATGCCCGAGAGGACGATAAATAAAATTTCGAGTCGGAACAACTTTTCGACCACATTTCTCTGCGCCCTGCTTTCAAGAGCTTGACGAGGAAACGCTCTGTTGTTTTTTTTGACCTGATGGGGTGGACAAAACATAAATATTTTTAAAAATTATGTTTTTTGAGGTGGGTGAAGGTGGTGGGGTTGAAATTTTGTAAAAAGAAAAGGGTAGGTAACGGGAGGGGGGGTGGGAAGTAGACATGAGCAACGGGCCGGGCCTAAAAATTAGGCTTGGCCCGGCCTGTTACTCATGGCTAGTGGGGAGAGGAGAGCTCAGTTTTAGTAAAAAGAAAGGAGGGGGGGGTTCAAAAATTTTTTTTTTTCATTTTTGAAAATTTCGAACTTTTTTAAGCGTATTCACAGAAAAAAGGGCAGGATACAAAAAAAAATTTTTAACGAAGGGGGGGGCATTTTTTTAAAAATTTTTTTCATTTTGCATTTTTTGAACTATATCGACAAATAGAGAGTAAAGTAGAAAAAAATTTAATTTAGGATGTGGGGGGGGGGGTAAAAAATTTTTAAAACTTCTTTTGTGAAAATTTTTTTACATTTTCAAAAAAAATTATATAAAGGTGAAAAAAGAGTAAGTGTAGATACTTGAAAATGTACAACAGAATCGTGAGATGTTTTTTGTGGTGAGAAAAACGACGAATTTCGGAATTTTGGATTTGTTTATGGAATTTTTAAAAAAGACTTTTAAATTTTCTTTGTGTTCAAAGTCAAGAAATTTGTGAACACTTTTGTTTTTTCACTTGTTTGTAAGTAATTTTTAATAATGTTTATTCCAAATGTTAGTATAGTCTAAGCTACCCTACTCCATCTTGCCCAAAAAGTCTCCGTCCTGCCCTGTGGGTACCATTAATCAATAAATGATCTAAAAAACAATAAAAAACCTAATTTTTTCTTTATTTTTTAAATTTAAAAAATTTTTTTATTTTTAAAACGGGCCGGGTCTAAAATGTTTTTTTTTCGACCGTGCTGAACCAACCATAAAAGATGGGAACGGTCCGGTCCGTTTTAGTACTGCTAGACATGAGAAACAGGTCGGCTTTAAGCAAAATTTATATCGGGCCGGCAGGGCCGGGCGCGAGGGGGGGACGGGGGGCGGGGGGGGTGCCCCCCCCAGAAAAAAAATTTTGAAAAAAATTGAACAGGGACCCCCCTGTGGATTTTCGGAAAAAAAAATTTCGCAAAAAATCGGCACAGGGCACACCTGTGCCGATTTTTTTGGACCCCCGCCCCCCCAGACCAAAAGTCCCCGCCCGGCCCTGCTGGCCGGGCTTAACCTTTAGACCCGCCCGTTTCTCATGTCTACGCACCGCTAACCTAATCTACAATAGTTTGCACTACCATGTCCTCAACTACCCTGGCATACTCTATTCTACTTTCTCATCATAGTTTCTTGTCTAATTTATTACGTAACCCTTCTTTCATCTTTAACGTTCTCTTATCAATACAACTTTGCTGTTTCTATCACTTTAAAACTTCTTGTCGTTATTTTCTTTTCTTCCGGCTCAAATGGCAAAGTTTTTAACGAAAAAAGAAGAGATTATTTATCAAAAAGGTTGAAAAGCATTCATTTCCTGAGGGCTGTTTACTTGGATTGAGGCTGGGAAGAGATTGTTTGAAACGTTTTTATTAGCTTCGGATAGGGTGTTATGTTTTTGAGGGTTGAGGGTGGTTTTTAGGGTTTTTAGAAAATTTTGGGTTTGTAAAGAAAGTTATTGCTATTTTTTGTTTTGTAAAGAAAGTTCTCGCCATTTTTTGCTTTGTAAAGAAAGTTCTTGCCATTTTTTGCTTTGTAAAGAAAGTTATTGCATTTTTTTTCAAAAAAAACTTTGTTTTTCAAATTTCGAAATTTTTTTGATCAACCCCGCCTAAACAAAAAAAAATTTTTTTTACCCCGCCCATTAATTTTTAATTAAAAAATAATTTTAAAAAGGCGTTTAAAAACTAAAAAAAATTATTTACCCCAATCTTAAGTTACCTTAAAAGCCTTATTTTAAGTACCAACCCACCGCTCATATTACCTAAAAACCCCATTTTAAGTACCAATCCACCCACCCCTTATGTTAGTTCAAAATGTCATTTTAAGTACCACCCCACTCCTTATGTTACTTTTAAAATGCCGTCAATAAAACTTGCTGAAAATCATGATTGAAAGAGTGGCAAAACGAGTGCCGTCGAAGGTCACAGAATCGACTAGTAAATTGAGAGTGCGCCCACTTACCGGCTCTGTTTTATGTTGCGCTATTTTATTATTTACAAAAGAAGGGAAGGAAGGGCAGGGAAAGGAGCAGGAGGGATTTTATTGAACTTTTTAAGATTTTTCTTAAATTTTTTTTAAATAAAAGGAGGAGGCATACATTTTTTATTTTATTTTGAAGGTGAATGACGGATGAAGGGGGGGGAGGCAAAAGTTTTGAGCTAGAGCTCTGAGCTAGGGCTCTGGGCTAGGGCTCTCTCTGGGCTAGGGCTTTGGGCTACGGCTTTGGACTAGGGCTCTGGGATAGGGCTCTGGGCTAGGGCTCTGGTCTAGGGTTCTAGGCTAGGGCTCTGGGTTAGGGCTCTGAGCTAGGGCTCTGGGCTAGAGCCCTGTGCTAGGGCCCTGGGCTAGGGCTCTGGGCTACGGTTCTGGACTAGGGCTCCAGACTAGGGCTCTGAATTGGGCCTCTGAGCTACGCCTCTGAGCTAGGGCTCATGAGATATGACTAGGATAGGGCTAGAGTAGGGCTAAATTAGGGATAGGATAAGGCTAGGAGCCCTATGTTCATAAACAGCTTTTGAAAAATAGATTTTAGGCTAAGGGAAGGGGGGGGTGGGAATTACGTTTTTGATGAAGGTGGGCGCAAGACAAGTAGTTATAACATAGTATACTATAATATAAGTTACATTACTGCGGTGAAACTTTTACCTATAAATTGAGGTCAGTAATGCGCAAAGTGGAATTATTTGAGTAGATGTAGGTAATGTTTTAATGTGTATAAAAGGAGGTAAAATACGCCAGTTCTGCTTCTGCTTCTTGGTTTTTTAAAGAAAGTTCTTGCCGTTTTATGTTTTTAAAAGAAAGTTCTTGCCATTTTTTATTTTGTAAAGAAAGTTCTTGCCATTTTTCGTTTTGTAAAGAAAGTTCTTGCCATTTTTTCTTGTATTTACATGTTACACCAAAAATGACATAATCTTTAGCGACAAGATTCGTTTTGTTCAAGTTTGTGTAAACAAAACAGAGCTTAAAATTTGCATAAGGTTTGCGATGACCAGTCTTGTACACCGGCTGAAGAGACCACGCGGAGAGGGAGGGGTTCGTGTTTGTTTAGCTATAATCGCACTCTGGTCAACTAAGCCTGCAGGCGCGTTTTTACATCATAATTTTGAACTTTTCTTAAATATTTCAAAGGTCTTAAGGCTAAAGCTCAGGCTCAGGCTCAAGCTCAAGCTCAAGCTCAGTCTCAGACTCAGGCTCAGACTCAAACTCAGGCTCAGGCCCAGGCCTAAGCTAAGGCTAATGTTGAAGCTCAGGCTCAGCTTCAAGCTCAGGCTCAGACGCAGGCCCAGACTAAGACTAACCTTTAGGCTTTACAGTCTAAAACTTAGGCTTAGGCTAGGATTGGTTCTTGGGAAAAGGGAGGTAGATCTAACTATATACTTTTTTTCCTCCCCCTCCCCCTTATTCCCTCTTTATTTCCCAACAAAGTCCCCGGTCCAAACGACAAACAGCAGCTGATACCATCAATTTTTACCTTTTTTTTCAATTTCTCATGTGCTTTTCCGGTTTGGTTTTTTTGAATTTACGTCAAACCGGCCGTTTATTTTGACGAATTCTGTTTTACTCTTCTTACCATTTTTTTTAAATTTAAAATTTTTACTGTTTTAAAATGGCAAAAACATACTTTCCAAAACGAAAAATGGCAAGAACTTTCTTTACAAAACAAAAATGGCAAAAACTTTCTTTCCGAAACGAAAAATGGG